TCGAGAAAAGCTCAGTCCCATTACAAACCAATAACCCAAGCCCGACATCTCCACCACCGTATCCAAGACAAGACCTAAACCCCCATAAAACATAAAAAAAGCACCCATGTCCCACAAGATTACAAACAAACCCTGTGAACGAGAATCACCACGGAGATCGGGTCTTGCACTCGTACCTGTCATCGCCGTCACACCACAGCAATGGATTGGCATTCGGCCCGATGCAAGAGCTCGAACCGATTCAAGCACATGTCCCGATCTCCTGCCCCCAGCGGTCTGGCCAGATAGGAAGAGGTAGATGGCGACATACTGTAGAGTGTGGCATATATATCCAAGCCTACATATCCCATGCTGGGCTCTGCGGTGTCGCTGTTTCTGACCTCTGTCCCATGGTGGCGCCTGTCGTATTTTCAATCAATGCCGTCCTTTTGACTTGGCTGGCTGCAGGTCATGGGTATCTTTAATTCATCTACCGCGCGAGACGCAGGAGTACTATACAGGGATTGTTGCATGTATGTCTGTATGTATTTGCTATGCTACTGTTTGGTGTATGCTGTAGGGGCTATGCAGTGCTATGTATCCGATAGAGACTTAAAGATCGAGTGACATTGGCTGCTTTGTTTTAGAATTGCACTGCAGGGTGAGCTCATTGACCTCCCGTTGTCTCAAATTACTCTTGTTTTCTTTGCAGGATATCGGTCTAGGCTTTGATCTGGTGAATCTAGGCTGTTCTCTGGACTTGTGAGATTGAAATAGGGTGAAGGTCATTCAAAAGTGATACTAGATTCGAAGGGTTCGATATCCCAGTGAGTTTTGACTTCTTTCACTCGTCGCGTCTCACATGATGGAAAAAGAAACACCAAAGGAAATCTCACCAAAGAAAAAAATTAACCGATCCAAGCCAATATAAATATCCCCAGCCAAGTCTCAATAGCTGGGAGACCCCCAAAATGAATCATTTGTGTATGGTGGTAAAGGACAAGGATTGTATTTCTATACATTGTGCAACCAAAATTCAAACCTTGAAACCCTGAACCGAGCTGAAAGGCCATCATACCGGGACAAAAAGGCACACAAGAGAAAGAACCAAGTCGGATTCTGAGTTCAGCTCAACACGACTTCCGAAATAGGTAGACATCATTTGGAAGGGCATACAGCATAACAAGCCTACGCGGCCACTACCCACCCACCGGAGAATTCCGATTTGGGCTCCGATCAATACCTCAAACCCCTTATCCGCTCTAAGTGTATACAAAAGTTACAATTCCAGTCCGTCCCATAGGCCCATATCTTGTTGCTCGAGGTGGTTCCCCGAACGAGCAATATCACAGCAAAGCGCAAGACATGAGACCAAAGAGCTTACCATTTCTAGACAATACCTACCCTTCAGTGTAGGTTGGAGGAGGTTAGACTTTATTCTTCGTATCTTGCATAACACCAACCTAGAAGAAATGGCACCGCAAAGCTGGAGATCGCTGATCACTACCATATTCTCCATACCTTGCGTGCATGTCGTGCAAATTACTTCATCCAAGACCGACTCGACCTGCACCGACGATCAGATCGTCGTAACTCGTATCCATGAAGAAAAATCAGGTACCATGTGAATCGTCGCAAAAATAGTAGTCGTGACCATGGAAGAAATAGGAGAGAGGGAGAAAGGAGAGGACAGCAGACCGAGGTATCAAGGTGAACAACGCATCACTCATTTGATATAGCATCATGACCAAGACTCAGACTCGGATGCACAATACAATGCATGAGGTGACCACCGCCCGACCTAAAGAAAAAGAGCCATATGTCCGATTTCTCGTATCCGGTTAACATGGCAGTGTTGATCTCTCGTTGGGGGCAGGTCACCAGTCACCCTTTATTGGGCCTAGAGGGAGTTCGTGGGAAATGATATACCGAGGTTGGACAGGAGAATATCCCCGAAACTTAGAGTCGGCAATTGATGTCGGAAACATCTGAAGAGAGGGTGTAGATGGTGTGATCTTTTTCTTCTGTACGGTGTTGTTCCTCGGCAGATCGGGTGAATCCTCGTGATGGCAAAGCCCTGACGGTTCCGAATGGAGACACGGATCGCGACGAAAAGTGTATGAATGGCCTAATATGTTAGTTTCAGTAAAGTACTGGTATCGATCTTGTGTCGCTTTCCTCTCTGTCGAAGTCGGAAGTTCCTTTTCGTCCTGCCTTGGACAGACCACACGACGGTGTCTTATGGTAGTTGTAACCTATCGACAGGCCTTGTGGTGCTTACATCTAGAGATATGTCCGTGGAGCTCATGCCTAAATTAGAGCAAGAATGTTGGCAAGGGGAAGCATTATCAATCCTTTCGCTTTCATTGCAACCGAAAGGTTCTATGTAAGGGACCATGTTTTTACATAGGCAAGCCAGAATCATCAATTTTTTTTCTTTATCATCGTCGATTACTGAGTCGAGGAATCTAGAACTCTGACTCGTCGTCACCGGAGATGATAACGTTGTTGATCTGATTACAATTAGTATGGGAACTAAAAAAAGAAGAGAACGAGGGTCATACCTTAAGAACCATACGGCAAAGCTGAGTGGCAAGCAGAAGCTGCTGGCGCTTGCCGATCAGGGGGTCAATGGCAAAGTGCTCGCGCATGTCTAAGACAGAAGTTAGCTGATAAATTTCGACGAAGGTTCATCAAGTTCAACTTACCATTGGTACCGGTCTGCATGCAGTCAACACCGAGACGGGTGTTCTTCTCTTTAACTTGACGCGACTTGATAGCAGCAAGGGTCTCAATAGGGCTGAGACCAGAGTTCTCAGCGAGAGCGAGAGGAATGGCATCAAGCGCATCAGCGAAAGCGCGCATGGCATATTGCTCAATGCCAGGGCTCTTGACAGCAGCATCCTCAACGGCGAGAGAGCAAGCAATCTCAGCAGCACCACCACCATAAACAACACGGTTGTCACGGACCAGGTTGCGGACGACACATAGAGCATCGTGTAGTGACCGCTTGGCCTCATCAATGATCTGTAGGATATTAGCAACTGATACATCCCTTTTCATATCGCAGGTCTACTCACCATCTTGTTACTTCCACGAATGAAAACAGTCACAGCACGGCTGTTGGCACACTCCTCGATAACCAGCATCTTCTCTCGTGTGGTACCGAAGCTCATCTCACGGACCTTACCAGCAGTACCGAGCTTATCAGCGGTCAAATCCTCGAAACGGGGTACAATGCGGCCATTGGTGGCAATGGCAATCAGCTCAATCTCGGGTCCACCGACCCAGCGGACAGCAGGGAGCTCATTCTGAAGCAGAAGGTGGTTGGCCTCGTCATCGAAACCCCACTGACAGATAACAAGATTGGCACCAGAGTCCTTCAGCTGCTGAATCATCTCTGTGAACTTCTCCTTCTCGTAATCCTGCAACTTCTTGAACTCCTCGACGGATGTGATGTCAAGTTTGTGCTTAGTCTTGGGCTTAGGGGGCTCGAAGGGACAGGTGAGGATAGCCAGCTTGGCATCCCGAACCTCGTCGGGCATCTGGGGGTGAGAAAAGTCCTTGTCCACAATGACACCCTGCACAAGCAGAGAGTCCTCGAGAGATCCACCGACCTTGCCGTCCACCTTGATCAACTCAAAGTCGACATCCTTGCGCTCAAGGTCGGCAACAGAAAGCACAGCATCAATGGCGATCTTGGCGAATTGGTCGTGAGACTTGGAGACACTGCGAAATTTGTCAGCACTTAACTTTTGATCTCATATCAACAAGCCCATACATCTTGCTGCCGAGACTGGTCTTGGCCACTTGGAGGAGGTTGGAGGTATCGTCTTTGCTGAAAAGAATTTCGTCACTGATCTTGTCGAGTTCGGCAACGGCAATCTCGCAGGCCTGGTCATATCCATCGGCGATACGGATGGGGTGGATGCCCTTGTCGATGAGATCGGAGGCTTGCTCCAGCATGGCGGCTGCGAGCACCACGACACCGGTTGTACCATCACCAATCTCCTCATCCTGAGACTTCGAGAGCTCGACTAGGAGCTTTGCAACGTTGTTTGTGATATCCATCTGTCCATATCCCACACATTAGCTTCCCATATCGAAATCAAATCTCGCGGAGGAAAAGGAGTTCGGAGCCGCACCTGGCCGAGAATGGTTGCGCCATCGTTGGTGACGGTGATATCGCCGTCGGCGGAGATCAGAATCTTGTCGAGACCACGGGGACCCTATCAATGAGAATCAGATGTTGTTCCGTCATTGGTTGTTGAGTACCATACCAGGGAAGTCTTGACAATGCTGGCCACTGTCTTAGCGGCAACAATGTGTGACTTGACAGCCTCGGTGCCGTGCTGTCTCTTCTTCTTTCCCTGACTGTTTTATCACATCTCCGTCAGCCCTTATTACCCATCATTTGACCCTCAATGGTATATAAAAGCAGAAAGGTCGGCGTAGCGGTGAACGTACTCCCGAACGACGATGAATGGCCGTCCCTGTTCGTCCTTCAAGACTTGGGCTGTACCCCTGAGCATCAGTAACCGGATTCGATTTATCTCGTGCGGGAATTCGATAGATAATCACCTTGAGACATATCAAGCTCTGTTCACGACCAAAATGGAGATAGTTAGCCATAGCACATTTCCAGAATGAGGGGTATGGGGGGTGCTCCTTACGCATTGCCATATTGACGGTGGGCTGCCACCTGGCAGGGTATAATGAATAAAAAGAGAGAGAGCTCCGAAGAGAAAATAGTATCAAGAGTGAGCGAGAACCAAAAAACACAGCTTGACTGAAATCCGAGGGGTTGAAGCTTCCCGAAATGCACTTTCGACAAATGAAATTCTGACTACCCGAAGGGGACTAGCGTCTCCTGTCCGCCTTCACGCGTTTCCATCATTGCTTTGTATGCGGTGCGACAATCTTGATTTCGAGCAAATTCAGGGCCACAATTGAGGTATTGACCTCGTATCGCCAATCTGTTCTCACAAATCGCAAACCTCATTTCACCGTTCCGACCAACCATGCCTCGTAAGTGAGCTCATCGTTGTACATCGCATATTCGCGCTTGAGCATCGTTATTGACTTTTGACCTTCTGGGCTATCTAGCTCCCGTGGAGGATCAATCAGACACCGAGTCTGGGGACATTCCTTTCAGAGATGCGCCCGAGGTTCAAGCAAATGACAAAGCCATCGATAACGATTCCGACGAAGACGAAGACGAAGACGACGACGAGGAGGAGGAGGGAGTGTGAGTGGCGCGTTCCAGCTCAATCGCGCAGCTGAATAGCTGACGAGAAACAGTTACATTGTTGAGAAGATCGTTGAGCACAGCTGGTTGGATGATGTAGGTCAGCCACAGCCCCCTCAAGCTTCATTCTGCGTGCGACAAGCTGATCCGCAATTGTTAGGGCACCCTCAAGCTTTTAGTCAAGTGGAAGGGCTACGAAGACCCGACCGATCAAACATGGGAGGAAGAAGAAGGTCTCGAGTACGTATGCGAGTGCATTGAGATCTAAAGCGTGAGACCTGCCCGTGCGCTTTTACTGACAAGCGATCTAGAGAGGGAGCCGGTGACGTTCTGGCAGCCTACTACAAGAAGGTTGGCGGAAGGCCAGAATTACCCGCACCGAAGGCCAAGCCGGGCCGCAAGCGCAAGTCCATGGCGGACTCCAAGAGCGACACAGTTACCACAAGCCTTTCAGCAGCTGCCGAACCCAAGCGACAGCGTCGCAAGTCACAGAAGGACATCAAGGGAGAAGAGGCGGACGTCGAGGAAAATGGCACTGGCTGGTTACCAAAGGGCAAGAGCTGGGATAACCTTGTCCAAGAAGTTGACACAATTGTTCGCGACCCCGATGACAATGGCCTGTACGCCTGGCTCGTCTTTACCAACGGACGTAAATCGAGGGTCATCGTTGAGGCTTGCTATGAGAAGTGCCCAATGAAGGCAAGTCAGCCTCGGCTGTAACACTCAGGAAATCGATGATGCTAATTGTTCATTAGATGCTTAAATTCTACGAATCTCATCTGTGAGCCCAGCTATCCCCCCACAATCCCCGGCGCATACTAACACCCCTTGCAGCGTTTTCAAGGATAGTTGAACACATCATTTGTTTGATCGTTTCCAACATATAAGCCTGACATGGTCACACGTGCGAGCAGTTCCTTCATGAATATGGGGAAATAAAAGGAGAGTAAACTACAATAAATGCTCTCTACGGATTTAGCCAACGCGTCTTTGCTCATGGCACAGATATCTCTTCACATTCGATTCGTCCTTTGTTTTGTCTAGCGGGATTTTCTTTGTCTTCATTTTTGGGTCTTTACAACCGGAGTTATTTGGTCATTTTGTCTCCTAACAGCCGGCTATACCATGTGCATTTAACTTTGAATAATTTCACGTTTCCTTCCCGCCAATTTCCTTTCGTACGCCGGATAAAGATAAAGTCTCCCATGGATATCAATAAATGAGGCCTGTCTCCCGCGCCATTCGGTAGTACTCCCACCGTTCCTTCACGAAATCAGCACCGTGTTTCGTCAAGGCTCGTTCCACTTTTGCCCTTTCTTCGGCCTGTAGACATCGATCGTCATCCGCTGTCCACACTCCAGGGACACCCTCAGGGATCCCATTCCCTGCAGCGAGCTGTTGTAGAACCTTGTCTGCCATGTCTGGAACCATGCTTGTGCAGCGCAAGGCGTCAAAGACGTGACTTTCATCAACACCTCGACTAAGCCTTTCATCAATCCAGGTGTCCACGTCTGGTCCGTCGCTCACGTCGTCGTCCATCGGTTCTGGGCTTGGACTTGATGGGAAGAAAGGTAGTTCTAAGAACATAGCGTCCACTGGGTCTTTAAATAGATCCTCAACTGGAGGTCTGTTCTTGTTCAGCTGTTTCGTAAACAGACCTGACTGGGCAAAAGCGTTGTCTCCCCTTGGGCGAGAAATGAGGACTGGTATTTCGTTCTTTGATTGGGGAATGGGAACTTGCTGCTGTGTTTTATTAACCGGCACTTTTACTGGCGGCTCTGTTGCATTAACTGGCGGTTGTACTGAATTAAATGGTGAGTGTGTTGTGTTGGCTGGTGGCTGTGTTGTGTCAATTGGCTGTTGTGAAGTATTGAATTGTGGAGGTGGGAATGCAAGGTTTCCACGACGAGTATTTGCAAAAGGACTTGGAACCTGGAATGGGATGGGGTCTCCACGAATCCCATGTGCCTTTGCCGTTGGAGATGGGTCAACAGGATCTTTGCGTTGGGTGCTTGATGCCACTTTTGGTGTCATATTTGCCGGTTCTGGTTGTTTACCGGATTTCAAGCGAGGCACTGACTGAGACAAGCTGGAAGCAATATCAACCGCCCTTTTTTTTGAGGGTGAATCGGTTGACTGGGTTGTCTCGACAGCGCTGAGATCTGAATCTCGCTTTCGCTTCGAGACAGATGGGACATCTTTCAGAAACTCGGGGCGTAGTTCGGGAACTCCACCCCCAGGACGAGACCTTTCACGCAGCTGCTTCACATATCGAGTACGCCACGATTGCCACGAATGATGAGGGAACTGCGGCTCGAGCATTAGCGTCTTTTCTTCTTCAAATGAAAGCGTTCCACCATACAATTTCTTCCAGTACCTGGTATATTTTGTTGCCCATGAGAGGAGACCCGGGATCTTCCTTCTGAATGTGGGTAATCCAGTCAAACAAGATCTGGTCATCCTTTAAAGTGAAGGATTGTCTAGTTCCTTTGGTTGCAATATGAAATGCCCCAGATGGACGAGGTTTGGACCCCCCAGATTTGTGTGCTTCAAGGTCTTCTAGTCGACCATTGCGAATAGACTGTTCAACATATTGATAGGAGTATCTATCATTTCGTTAATATGCTTTTCGGTCAAGCCAGGACAGAGAACTCACGTATCGGGAGGAATCCCTTTCTTTGCGTGATCTACCAGCTTCACGTCGGCATCTTTTTCCATGAGTACCACGATGCCACCATGATTCTACATCAGTCAACTTCTCGATCTATCAAATAGATGGCGTGGCGACAAACCGCTATCATTTCCTTGAATCTGAGCCTTTGGGGAACGGTCTGAGACAACCAGAATCGGGCACCTTTGAACAGGCTATCCCCTGCCCCTCGATCACTCTGGGATGCCATTTTCAGTGATATCCCCACCGAAGATGTTGTTGGTGACTTTGACTTCTGGACGCGATATCACGTGTCAACGTATCACAAGTCTCATAATTCACGGGCAAAAGGCCTGTGCACAATACCAGCCTTTCATTAAACGCCGAGGATAAGTCTGAAATGATCAGGTAAACTTGTCGAGAAGGTTGCGCGTTGAAAGTTGGTGTTAGGATGGAAACGGCGGTCACGTGGTGTACACAAAACCAACTCGGCGCTGACCACGCATCAAGGACATCCCAAAGGAACTTTGAGAAATTGCGAGATGATGCACGAGTGACCAGAAAATTCCTAGGAATAAAATGGGTGCTCTCCGAACGGTCGGTCTAGTGATTCTGGGAATCTCAGCGTTCACCTTTATTGCTCTGTTTGGCAGGCTACCGGCCTTCAGGTAAGGGAATGCGCCTAGGTGTTTCCAGCAGCAGCTAATTGATCAAGAAAAACACCGGTCGCATTCTTACATCGAATCCTATGGGTTCATATTCCCAATGGAGTTACTATAGTCGACAATCGCTTCTTAGGCGGAAGGATAGTGCGGTGCTGGACTCGGTCCGGTAGCTATGTACTGAAGGAGAATCATCCTTTGGTTTTGGTATGTATTTTGATGTTTGAAGCGACATACATACTGATATATATTACAATAGATATTTTTTGTGGCACTACTTGTGATTGGCGAAGGGGCGTTCGTCCCAGCTGCATGGCCTCGATTGTCGAGCTGCCATAAACTTTCAGTCACTGGTGCTGTTTTGTTGTGTTATGCTCTTCTGTACAAGTGTGTAACGACTAAGTCATTCATCACACCTGAGAATCACGAAGAAGAAATGAAACGATACCCATACGACCGAGTCCTCTTCCATCCAGGATCCCGGTGCACGACCTGTGACTTCCTCAAGCCGGCGCGCAGCAAGCACTGCAGTTTCTGCAACGCCTGTGTCTCGAGACACGATCACCACTGTGTCTGGCTTATGAACTGTGTTGGAGCCAACAACTGCATTTATTTCATCTCGCTGCTCCTGTCACTCTCTGCCATGCTGGTCTACGGATCTTATCTTGGCTATGTCTTGCTCTCCGAGACCCTTGAAGAGCTCATATCGCCAGATATGAGGGCCGCCATTCAAGGCTGGACCATGTACTTCAACATGTGGGGTATTGTGATTTCCGCCGATCCCCGGATTGGAACTGTCTTCCTCTTGATGCTTATGACTGCCCCGCTGGCGGGTGCCTTCTTGGCTTACCATGTATACTTGATCTGGGCTGGTACAACTACCAATGAGACATCCAAGTGGTCGTACTGGAAGGATGATGTCGAGGATGGATATGTTTTCAAGACAAAGCGAAGCTTGATCTTTGAGAATCCTCTTCCGATGACCCCCCATGATCAAGCCTGGCCTATCCACACTGATCAGATTCTTGTCACTGACAATGATCCTCCAACAGAAGGGTGTTTATTGGCCTCTGATTCTAATTGCATCGTTCGTCGTCCTGGCCATGACATGCCACCCGATCCGCGATGGAAGCGACTTGACAGTATGCGAGATGTTGACAACATCTATGATTTAGGCTTCTGGGATAATCTACGCGATGTGATAGGACTATCTGTTCGACGGTCGAATAATGGGCGTAGATAGATGGTCACCGGTTGGCTTCAATTGAATACACTGTGGCCACGTCTCCACACTCGCAAATTGCTTCCTTGCTTGTATCCTACACCGCGCCTATATTTAGCGCATCAACAGGCTGTGCCATCGAATGATGTTGCGAAATGAGTCATTCGAGAGCGAATCAATCACCCAGCCCTTCATTGCGCATACAATCGGCTTAAAATGGATACGAGAGAAGCCACGCTTCCCCGATATCGGGCTCATTCAGCAACTCTTATAGTTTGCATGGAAATCAGCAGTATTTGGTGCTATCCTGGAAAACATTGATTTTGGGAATTGTCAGCTTCCAACTCCAAATCGCTCACAAGATGTTACCGACAGTGAAAATCACGGATCTGAACGAAGCTCCCTCCTCCCAACGAATCTTCATCGTTGGAGGAGGTATCGTGGGCGCAGCTCTCGCCTTCCACCTCTCCCAAAATAAGAATGGACATCACATTGTTCTCATCGACAAGTGTTTAGAAAAGCCTGTTGGGTCTACGGGTCATGCCCCCGGCTTCGTCGGCCAACTCAATGAGTCGCCCGTGCTGACTAGACTTGCTAAAGATACCGTTTCAGAGTATCGCACTATCCCCGGTGGCTTTAACACCGTCGGGGGGCTGGAGCTTTCATCAACAGCATCAGGAGTGGAGACATTGCATCGCCGACGTGAGCTAGCAGAAGCTGCTGGCCTGCCCGCTGAACTTATCACACCAGAGGCAGCGGCGTTCCTTGCTCCAGATTTCATCGACGCCGATACGGTGAAACTTGGGCTGCGTTTCTCGTCGGATGGGACAGCCAATGCGCAGGCCATCACTTCTTACTACTTTGATCAAGCTCGAAGCCGAGCTGTGGACTTTGTCGAGGCCTCTGTTACTGGCTTCGAGGTCACAGATGGCAAAGATGGACAAGTTGCACAGATAAAAGTCCTTCAGACTGCCAACGGGAATATTGACACGCAAGGCAGTATTGCCATACTTGCCACTGGTATTTGGACTCCATCTTTGACAGGTACGGCCGGCTATCAAGCTTCAATCACCAAGCTTCCAGTCCCCATTGTTCCAGTTGCACACCCTTACACATTTACCTCATCTCGACCTCTCCGCACTGGAATCCCGTACCCATTTGTTCGCTGGCTCGATCATCATGTCTACGCCAGAGATCATGGAGATCGGGACGGGCTGGGTAGTTACGATCACACTCCCCTGCAGCTCGATCCTGTGGATACCGCCATCGGAGCTTGGCCACCCAGCTTCGATAAAGTTCTTTCCGAGGCAGCCTCATACTTGAAGAATGGCGATCAATTCCAACTGAACGGATGCAATGCCGACTCGGATGCCTGGGCAGTCAAACGACCGTTCAATGGCATCTTCTCCGTGACGCCTGACAATCTCCCACTTGCAGGGCAAGTGTCAGATGTTGGCAACCTGTGGATGGCCGCTGCGATCTGGGTTACTACTGCTGCTGGAACAGCGAAGCTGCTGTCACGGAAGATTCTGGGTGGAATTGACAGCTCTTCGGAGGAGGATGGGCAGCTCTTGGAAGCTCTGAGTCCTGCGCGTTTTCAAGGTATCGGAGCGGATATTCTGACTAGCCAGGCTTTGGGGAAGTACAACGATATCTATAATAGAGACACTTCGGGTCACTAATACAAATCCTCGACGCCTAGCGGAGTTGCGCATGCTTCAGAGAGATAAATATATGCGTTTACTGAGTGAAAATCATCTAGTTCCGCCTCTCCATTGGCAATAGATTCTATATATAGAGGGTGCTTTCGCCAAAATCGGTTTAAAGCCGTTGTTTTAAGGATTTGAGCTATCAAAAGGAGGTCTTCGTTAGCCAGTCAACGTGCTTTGGAACATATTAAGTTTGTAGTACCCTCCAGCTTGCCCACAGTTGTCTGAGGTTTAATGAATACTTATAAAAGTTTATATGTTCTACAGCATCTTTGCCGAATGTGTGACAATAATCTAATTGGAAATCAGGTGATCCGGCTATGACAGCTCCTTGTCATGTCACTGCTGAGCTCCACCCATGAGGTTATAGTTTCAAGTCCACTTTGCCAACATTAGGATTACAAGCATTGCAGTAAGGATTTTAGAGGGTCGTGGTCCTCTATGCTCACCTGCATGTATATCGGCTTATGTTGATAATGCGGGGAGAGCTTACGTCATGACGAGATATAGACTCTACAGGGGCCAAGTGGAGACATAGCTACCGTCATGATTGCATGCTTGCAACACGTAACAAAGCGGCCCTTAATGTAGATCAGACCATCCCCGCGCGGAATGCTGGGGTAAACTCTGCTATAAATATCGACTCTCCTTTCAGCTTCCCACCTTCCCCTCTTCCTTCCTCCATCTCTCCCAACCATGACACGAGGATTCGCAACCATCACGCCTCAGTGCGAGGAGGTCTTTGACCAGGTCAAAGAAACTGACACTCTCGACTACGTTCTCTACAAAGCTTCTGCTCACGACAAGAACATTGTCGTCGCCAAGTCCGGCAAATCCAAGAATTACGAAGAGTTCCTCACAGAATTCCCGGACAACGAATGTCTCTACTCCGTCTACGACTTCCAGTACGATTCCCCGACTGGCGGGGATAAGCGTCATAAACTGGTTTTCATCACTTGGTATGTGGACCTGGTTACCCCCGTATTACTTGACCCCGCCTAGTGGTCGCGTGATGTCGATGCAGCTTGCTAATTGCTCAAACTCTCACTCCAGGGTCCCCGAAAAGGCTGGTATTCATGACAAAACCTATTACACAACGAACAAAGACCACCTTTACCGCGCATTTGAGGGCATCAGTCTCCATGTGCAGGCGCATACCCCAGCGGAATTAGCTCATGCCACCGGTACGTACCCGAAACGAGACTATTGCTTTTATCGGTGCTCCAGGCTGACTCAAATCCTTTTCTCTCAAGTCCTGAGCCAGTTCAAGGTACTCTGAAAGGCTTCTGAACCTTTACCATTATCGCGAAGAGAGCGACGGACCTTGTTTGTGATGAGGACAATTAGGTAGCACTATCACAATCAAGGATGCCAGTTATCGGCCTGACACAGACACCTGTCTTTCACAAGTCACAATTTACTCACGGCGTTCCCTTCTAATCAATCATTGATGCACTCTGCACTCTGCACTCTGCTATTTCGGCGGGTATCTATAGAAGCATGACACTAGCCCGAAGTAGCTTAATGCATCTGGTGGGCCTGGCAGTGCCGATCTTCTCTGGCTAGAGCGACAGGGTGATATTTCAGCAAGATGTCTGATAGAAACAAAAATGACATCTTGAGAGCACTGTCAATATTATTCTCTGGACTCTACGATGAAAGCAGAACTCGATTGAGCACCATCACCGCCTTATTTTGCCAAGGCGGCGAGGCGATAAACTATTCTGCCAATCTCCAAACTATGTTCGCCCAACGATGTCAGGAGATGGCAAAGGGATCATTTAAAGCGTTGTTGAGTGTTGATAGAACTGAGAGCAAATGACAAGAAAGTAACATTTATTTGCAATGAGATCGGGCTTCTGTATTGATCTTAAACGGTACTTGGGATCATATCCAGGATGTAAAGAATCTTTTCACTATGAGCAGATTTGCTGAAGGTCTTGAAATTGACTTCTCTCATCACTTGTCTCTTTCATTCCACATAACCTCAAAAAGTATTCGTTGAGATTTGGAGGCTCGGGCAGGCGCGTTCGTGCGGGCGGAAAATTTGTCTCCCCACACCTCCAAATCTTTGATCTCTCATCCCACCCCCGCTTGTTCTTTTGGCTACGCTCGGATTTTTCGCCATGGACTCAAAACCTTTGTGCACACCTGCTGAGCTGATGCTCAAGGTGATTCTCGCGGGGACTCTAAGCCACTATGAGACCAAGGGCATGATCGATGACAAACGCCTCGAGCACATGCTTGCCGCTGGAAAGCAGATCCTCTACAAAACACACCAAGAGAGCGATGTTCGGTAAGTGATCCCTACACCTGGCCTGGTCGCTCAGTATCCTGATGTTAGGCGACTATAGTCACAACCTAGGCATGTCACCCGACATCTGGCAAGGCCTCACAAATGTCCTCACGAAAGCGATCCCAGTGCTCGAATCCCAGTCTTTCGCATGGAAAAGCCCGGCAGCGAGCTACGAACATTCATCCTCCAACCTAATCGCATACAACTACCTTTCTCTAGTCAAGGACATTGAGCGTCTCAATGACCTCTGCACGATTGCCCGCAACCTCCTCGCGACGACAAAGAAAGCGCAAAACCTTGCTGCGGAAACTGGGTTCGATCAGCGAATTCTCGCGCTTATCGACACCTGCGTGCGCGTAACTGCGAGAGGCTTCGACGGCGAGACAAATGCGCGGAACGAGGAGCGTTGGCAGAAAGTGGTCAACCTCTACAAGCGCCTATTGATTACATGCCTCCAGTACCTCCACAATTTTATTATGCACAACGAGCATCGCAAGATGGTACTCTGGTTGGATCTATTCGGGTATCATTCGACCGCCGATACAAATATCATCAAGCCCAAGGAACCGTTGGACGATGCCAGTCCTAGAGAAGGAGTTGCGCCTATTGTGCAGGTTGGAGAGCGCGTTATCAACCCCCCTATTCGTGCGCTTTACGATCAGACCGCGGAAGATCTCCTGTTGGAGACTATTGCCAAATTCCCTCGGGAGCCTGCTACCATCAAGGAAGAGGCCGCTATGCTGCTTCTTGCCAACATCAAGGACCACATGGAGAGAATCCTCGGACGGGATCTGAGCGCCATTCAAGAGATGGGACGGGACCCAGACCAGGTCAAGGATATTCGTGCTGCTCTAACCGCGATACTCGGAGCGAAGGTGGATGGTTGGTCCGATCTTCAAGAGCGAGCTCGTGAGATCCCACCTGCCCTTCCCGAGGGCGAGTCCGAAGAACATGAAGAAGAAGAGGTAGAGGAGGAACACGAGGTGGATGAAGACGAGGAAGAGGAGGCGGACCACGAGGTCACTAAGAAGAAGACCATCTTAACCATTGATCGCAGTCTGACAGCCGGCTTCCCTCGTCTTTGCTGGGCAGATCTCCCTGAAATCAACGATTTCGGCGCAGTGGATGCACCAGTGACGGACGATGACACGAGCATGCCCCGGTCTGCTCAGTCTGCTGCCGAGACCCTCCAAGAGGCCAAGGATGAGCTTATGGCTCGTCTCCAGGAGCCATCACATATCGATGGCGACGAAGAGCACGATTATGACCACGGTGATGCACACACAGTCGGCGACGACGACTCGCGGAGCTTGGAGGCTATGGCTGATGGAAGCGTCGATGGCGACGATGTGGATGACGTGGATGATGATGGTGCAGATGGTGACGGTGACGAGGAAGACGACGAGGATGATGAATACCGTGGTCGCCCTGGTGATCAGCAACGCGGCCTTTTGACAGACATCCCACTTGTACTTGGACCCGCCGAGATCGAAGCTTTGCCTATGATCGTTCAGGCCGGCATCGTTGACAGCTTTGGACTGAAGGGTGGTGAACGCAATGGAACCAGAAACATGCAAGCTCTCAGATGCCACATACTGCTCACTCAAGAAACCGGGCGCAACCTTCTACGTGAACTTCTTATCTTCATCGCTGCTTGGGATCTTCCGGATGACGAGCTCTACTTTAAGATGATGGTCCAGATCATGGAGGCAGTACTCAAGAATGGACTTATGTCTCACGCTTACTCCGACTTTGGCCAGCCAAAGGATATCATATCTCCGGCACAAGCTGTGGTTATCAAGATTCTCACCCACATCTTCCGTGCGAAGTACTCGCCTGCTTCGGTGACAGGATCTTCTCAACCCAACATTCCTCGCAACCCGTCTTCGCTCAACCGAGTTGATATTCTCACCGTCCGATACATCTTTACCATCTTCCGTGGCAACATCATTCCCGAGACTTGCGCTCTCATCTACCTTCAAGGCCAGATCCGAGCCGAGCGTGCTCTGCCAGAGGACTTCCCGCTCAACCTGTGGGACATGGAACGGGTGTACGAGGGTGTATATCAGTTCTTGGAATTCTTCGCTGTCCTGACGGAGAACAACGATTGGAAGAACCTACTCGTCAAATGGGAGATCGTATATGACCTAGTGACCTTGATTAAGGAGTTGGAAGCCAGCATCCCCAAGGGCCAGCTTAGCCAGTTATCCTTCGGTTCAGTGCCCCCACCACCTCCACCCCGCAACGATCCCGCAAGCGATGTTCAACCGGGCCCTGTCGCAGTCGAGCGTCCTTACGACCCAAGCGACCCCGACCCAATTGACAACGGCGGTGGTAGCGTTGACTCCCGTCCAGAGTCCCCACCCATCACCGAAGACCCCTCCGAGTTCGAGTGGCGCAATCTCAAGAAACTGGTTGTCCTGGTCCTCTCGTCTCTTGTCTGGAAGTGTCCCGAAGTCCAAGAACAGATTCGCCGCTACGGCGGTGTCGAGGCAATCCTCTGCTGCACAGCCTTTGATGCTCACAACCCATACATCAAGGAACATGCCGTGATGTGCCTCAAGTTCCTGCTGGAAGGCAACCGTGAGAACCAGCGCCTTGTTGAAGAACTCGAGGCTCGTGAGGTTGTCAAGGACGACGGCGGTGTCCTTGAGAGAAGTGGTTACGAGGCCATGATTAGCCAGGCGGGCAAGCTCGCCATTCGTCAGAAGGACCGTGTCACGGAACTGTGATAGTTTTTCATTGCCGTTTGACCAATAAATAGTATCAAGTATTTACCTCAGAAATTGGCTTCCCGGTCACTTGGGTAGCTTTACTGGACGATCGCATGAATTCATATAGCCGGTCAATCATCATGGTTATATATATCTCGCTCCTTATTGATTACTCTAAACTAGATATGAAGGACCTTTTAATAGACAGTGATGAGGCTGACTACATGTTGTCTCTGTTAAATTTATAGATCTAGTTGAGATTTGGGAACTAAGAGAACACTACGGGTCAGCAAGTGCCTCGGAAGTTCATTAAATTTCAGAACATGGTCATATATAATGCTTTGAGTTATAAGAACCTCTTTATTGCTCTTTCTTTTAGTATATTTGCTTTACGATTTCAAGTACCTTATATTGAGCTAAGTAGTCTGGGTATATTGTAAAAGTGCAAAGGGAGCAGGAGAATTGGGTTAAGCGGAGCCAAGCTTTAAACCCATTCATAACATTGCACGTAACACCTAAAGCTAGATATATTCACTACCCCCCAGCATGTCTGCAGATAGCAGCACTGAGCAATGGCCGCCCAGGGATTTGCCGCCGCACATCTTCCCACTTTTTCCTCCACCCATCCTCGTCCTCAGTCCTAGAGATTGTAGGGATATCTTCTGCGTCGGATAGCTCACCAAGAAGATTTGCTATGATCGTCTGCTGCTTCGGATCACGAGATGCTGCACTGGCAGCAATCAAGCATGGAGTCACATAGCAGGCCCCCAAGGGCATATACCGATCTGGAATCCGACTCACAGCAATACTCTCCTCGACAAGCATGTCACTTTCAGTAAACAAGTCCGTTTCAAGAGTGACAACCTCGTGAAGAGCCATATTGACCATCAATGCAAGTGTTAGCACCGTTGCAAGCCGTGTCTGGAATCCAAGCTGAATCTGAGGAGAGGGCTGGTCCGCCGACGGGTCATTGGTGAAAAAGAGAGTCTTTGGTAGATTTTTCAATTTCTCCAAATCACTCAATAGTAGTTTGTAGTTGAATTGCAGATCAGAGGAGCGATGCGCTGGCTCGCGAACCATCTGCGTGGTCTCGATTATGCGGCGCAACTCTAGACTGGGAAACTTGTCCGGGCTCTTTCTCATAGCTTCGACGTGCAAGTGTTGTTCTTCGACCGATTTTGGAATCTCGACCTTTTCGAGCACTTTCCACACCCATGGATCGAGCTTGATTCGGGGATTCCCCACGCTTTCCATGACCTGGGCTGGCTTAGTGGTGTTCTCATATGGGGTTGTCAAGGGCAGCTTCGTACCACGATACCAGTGAGTGTTAACAGTGTCTCTAACTCAAAGTTGGACTTCCAGTTCCAATGGGCCGTCATCTGCAATAGATACACTAATATCTCGATGTGAGATACGCGCGGCCGGTTGGTACGGTTATTTATTAGATCCTACAGTCACTATTAGTCGTCTGAAAAAGAAGGGCCTGGGCAAGACATAGAATTTACATCATTGAGCATTGTGAAGTATATGGCTGTTGCAATCTCGGCAACCTGTCCCTCCAGGGGCATTTTCAAGCAGTCCCGTAGCGCCGTCAGCGCCTGTCCATGCTTTACTAGGGCCTGCACAGGATTACTGTCCGCGTGTAGATTCGAGTAGACTGTAGCAAATGTATCCGCTGCTATATCAAGAGCTTTGTTTGACCCAATGCGCTGGGGGATTAGATGTAAGAATGCACCAAAGCAGTTGGTATCATAGCGAATGTCTTTGACTTCAAGCCTAGAGATCAAGTGCCCAGTGATGAGGGTCGTTTGGTTGCTGTGAATTCTCCGGAGAGGATTCAGGGACGTGATATTTCGATGAATGAATTTGTATCGTTGCTGGCCAGCGCCAAAACACTTCAGGTTGAGCTTTGTGCATCTGGCGCAGGCGGGCACTGCGAGGTTGCACTATGTTGGATCAGCGAACGCCCTTTGGGATTATTTCGAGGCGTAGCTGACCTTTTTCTTTCGCTTGCGACATTCATCGCACGCTCGGCTTGACGGTACCCCAGGCATCGTGGAGGTTGGATGTACTGGAGGAGATGTTGCATATCATTTCCATCGGGGGATGGTGATCAAAGGCATTTTGGCCCCCAGAGCCACTTACGTCTCCCCGCATGAGCCTCTTGTATCCTCGGCCAAGACTCGATAATCCTCCGATTGCTGCAAATGAGTGGAATTGCGTATTTCGATTGGATGACATTCTCTATGGGAGATTTGCTTGACTATACTCGTCAAGCAAGACATTGTTTTCGGTTCAAGTGATGCTCTTCCTTTGGTCTTTGTTGTCCTATATAGAAAGTCTTTGTGGAACTTGTTTCTCTTTGTGTATCCTTTGGTCTTGTCAGGAAATCCATTCACGGCATAGACTCTCTTTATCTCCTTTGTTTAATTCAAAGAACGAATAAGTTAATTGTTCAAATGCGAGGAATGCTCACTCCGACAGTATAAGTAACAGCCCAAGTCGCAACCAAATTCCTCGATACACACACCATCACACATCGTGCTTCATCATTTGATCAAGTACAATTACCTACAGATTCTCTCTATGGATATTATCCAATGTCCCACCTGTCAGTATTGTTTACCCCCAGACTCATTTACTAACCATCTATTCATTTCTAGGAACCCATCTGCTGATATACAGCACCCCAACTTTGGGGCTAGCAATCATGAAATTCATGATCCTTGTTCAGGTGGGCTCAGTATCAAGCTGCGCAGTTTTGGCCGAAACTGCCAGCCACTGGCCCTCCAGACCTCGAATCCGGTCTTGCTTTCAGCGAGGAAGCATGGCAAGCGTGGAAGACTGAGGTCTCTTGGTCGCATTCTCTGCTACGCCTTACCTAGCTTCTACAATTGCCGGACTCGATGGTCGCAAGTTACTAATGCCGGACGACTCGATGTCTACCTCGATACTATTATACTATGTCCATAGTAGGAAGAGAGGTAGCTTGGACATTCAAGATCGTTCGGTGGCAGTGGGATAGCCTCAAAGCCTTCTCCGATACTTCATCTTTCGAGACGGCTCACCTTGATGGACTGGAGTGGATTGGGCCATCAGCGATGGACTTGCACTTCTTCGCAGTGCTGATGACTAGTAACCTTTTCAGGTGAAGCTAAGACAAGTCCTTAATGTCCTATGATAAGTATTACCATTGAAATGATGCCTACCATAGTTCATGACGGTTACGACTGTTATGATATAACTTATGATTTTTACTAATTCGAAATGATGTGAAATGTTGATACGAATACCCATCATGGCTTGTACAATATTTATGACGATATGATCCAAAAAATTGCGATGATCCCTGAAGTCTTCACAACAGGCTCCTCAAGATTTATTGTCTTGCTACAACTTACACTTCGACGATTACAATAATGAGAATCGACACTTGATGCACTTACAATACGAAAACATAATATCCAGAATCAAAATCAAAATTCACAATCCGATCATATAACATCCAATCCTTTCTTCGATTTTGTCCGACTCATTCCCGAATCTGTCGTCTTCCTGCTTCATTCTGTTCTTTGTTGCCTTTGTTTGCCAAAAAAAAAAACGTATTTGATAAAACGAATCTCAGAAGCCCTATCAACATCAAATCTATCTATCTTTATCCTCGGCATACTATGGTGGACTCTCATAAGAGGAATCATCGTAATAAGGCGATCAAGGAGTTCAGCGATCCACATCATCTGGGACATTCTCCTTAATGAAAAGCAGCAAACCTCCAAGGTATCAAACGACCTGAAATATTTACACGGTTCAAAAGTACGTGCCAAAAAACCCAAAAGTCATGGACTGTACCGCAAAAATGACCTTATATCTTCTCCTTGTTATAGCCTGACTGGCCAGGCATGGGATCACCATCATGTATCTATCAGTGATAGCATTCAAAAGGAAACATCTTCAAAATGACAAACCAAATAATTTCAACCAAACTTATGATGGAATTCTCGTACTGTCGTAGAAAATTCTCGCTTTCCTTTTGTATAAGCCGAATCCTTACTTTCCCATTATTGTAGATCATACTTGACAGCTTTGACACCACCAACAGCAGAGACAAAACTCTACTCGTATCAGTAGTCCTCAAATTCCAAGTGGTGTAAATAATTTCTCGAGCATCAGACACCTCAATCACGTGTTTCGATCGAGTCATCGCCGCTATCACCAGATGTCCCTAGTTCTTACTCCTGAAAGTCAACATAGATTTCCTCACACTGGATTCTCCCACCCATTCATCCATAAATTGTACCCACCATGGAAACAAAGCCACCGTCCCCAAAGTGCTACCTTGAACCCGTCGATCTACATAAAGAAGACCAATTCCACGAAATGAGACGACAGCGCACGATTTGTGGATGGGATTCAGATCCACAAACATTACAACGCTGGAAGGAAACTCACAACACCAAAAGACTATTTTGGATCATATTGCCTCACCTCAATGCCGGCAATGAGACCATCCACACCGGTCACATATCACTCGATGCCTCGTCTGGACTTCTTGAGCCCAACCTCGCACCAGAAAACAGAACAGAGCTCTCCATCAGCTCATTCTTTATTCTACCAGAATATCGCGCCTTGGGACTTGGAAAGCAAGCAGTAAAGTTGATTGAAAACATGGCTACCACTGAACAATTTGGGAACCCACGCTGTCGGTATATTACATTGACAGCGTTAAGTAAACGATATGTTTACGATGAGGCGCCAGAATGGCGGGGCGTATGGGCGAGACTAGGACTTTGCCCGCCTTCGTTTAGTATTCAAGAGTGGTATGAGAGCCTCGGATATGTGGCTTGGAAGGAGGAGCCTATTACCGAAGAAAAAGGGACCGATGGACAGGTTATCTTGCTATGGGAAGCCTTCATGAAGAAGGATTTGCGTGCAAATGTTGGTATTCAGGATTGCTGAGGGCTATGTTGCGCTATATGACAATCTTTTTGCCGTTGAGCTGCTCAATCTTCAACGTGCTTAGGTCGACATCTTTCAAGGTTCGTCCCTGATTTTCTGTCAGTTGGGCGATCTCTGGGGCTCTGACCAAGGCAGGGCTTACATTGATAGCCACGATATCTTTGTATTCGCCGCTCTCGGAATAAATGTAGACACTGGTGCCGCAGTTGCCACAAAATGTGTGATGGAACATCTTGGTTCCGAAAAGGTATTCCTATGTCTACTTGTAAATTGCGATAATATTGGGAAATGAACAGAGGAGAGACATGGCGACATAATACGAACCTTGGCAGCGTCTGCACTGTGATGAAACGTAATATTGGGCTTTTGAACATAGACCAATATGTAACCATTGATACTGCAGATAGAGCCTAGAGAAACCAGTTTTCTTAGTATTTGTTCGTTCCTATACGCAAGGTGAAGATGTACAATCGCACGTATTGACAACCTGCTCTTCTACAGGCGAACAGAGCTGCGCCGTGTAGCTGACCTGTCCACAATGACAACTGCCATCATATTGAATCAAGTCATCTGGAACGTCTGACATTGCAAATTTATGTGAGAATAAAAGGATACACTCGATATGAAAAGGACAAGGGTGAAATCTTGAGAAAAGTCGAGGCATAGAGCGACTTATATTACCATGGCAAAGTCCACACCAATGTACTGCGCCTTTTCTCCAAGAATTTGCCAAGTTCAGCGCTCTTCTGGAATCTGCATCGATATTGCTGGCTGTGACTCCAAGCTAAACTGTAATTCCAAATACGAGCTACCGCCTGATATGGTTTGTCCAATCACTGCAAAAGTGCCAGAATACCTCGTATGCAAATCGGATAGATGACGCAATGCTACAATTGGGAGACGGGAATTCAGCAGTGTTTCCAAGTGCCAGCTGAACTGCCTTTTGCATCTTGAGGCATTCGAAATGTACATCAAGTCTCGAAAACAGAGGTATAGTCATTCACTTCATGCTCAGGTAAAAGAACCAGGTATGCATCGTCGTCTTCATCTTCATCTTCATCTTCGCTTCGTCACAAAAGACCATGGACCAGCCTTTGTGTATGCATAGCTCAACTGCAAACCATGACCATCGCTTTAACCATACATGCCATCCCACTCCTCCTCTTCATCCTCCTCGACAAGCTTCTTCCTCGCCTCGACCTTCTCCCGCTGTTGCTTCGCGAAATCTACCCGGTCAAGGGGACAGGTTCCACGCAGACGCAGCCAAGGCCGCACACATTCCATGTCAAAGCGGTGTGTAGGGTGACAGGGCAGCTGCACGACGAGCGGGTAAGGATCTTCCACAAAGGGGTTATTGCAGATAGGGCAAATATCAGTATCCTTGAGTTGAGCTTTGGGCACACGGTCGAGCACTGTAGAAAATCCAACGCGGTTAGCAAATCAACTTTCAAAAAGAAGAGGCAATCGCCTGCTGAGCCTGGCGGGGAGGGACAGGGAAGCATCATACTATCGCAGAATTCCTCATTGACGCCCTCGACCTCCCTGGGCGGTGTGTCCGCCTGCGAAAGCAGTGACTGGATCATCGTAGTCAACAGGTCGTGGCTGGCGTCTGTGTCGGTGTTATCGGCGGCTTCAGGCATCTGTGTGCTCGGCTCTGCGCCTGCATCGCGGCGCATCATCTCCAGCGCTTCGGCGAGGGAGTAGAAGGCTGCACTGATATCTCCTGGCACGGGAACTGCATGGGGTCTGTGGTCTGGGGTGGGTGTGATCTCGGAGAGGGCTGAGAAGAAGGTGGAGAGGTCGGGGCGACGACGGCGTGGCTGCTGGGCCGTTGAGGGGTCGCTTGTGTTATGTTCGACTGCGATGAAGTCAGTCTCATGGGTTTTTCTTGGGGATCATTCAATAGCTCGTACTTTCGTAGGTCGACATGGTGAGCTGCGGGGGGGATTTCGAGCTTTCGGAGCTGGTGTAATAGGGAAGAGGGCGGGGGGGACCCGTCTGTAACACCTGAGGATATTCCCTGGGTGCACCTGAGGTTTAAAGAATGCAATGAATGAAGAAAAAGCGCAAATGGCAGAATTGGGGAATTGAAGGAATTGAGAGTCCCGTAGGCAGCAGATCGATAACGCGGCGGGTAGCTTCAAAGTTGTGATTGGTCCTCCAGCTACTGTAACTTCCATTTAGTTCACCTTCATATTCCTACTTGACCTTAGAAAGCTCTCACTTCCTCATGATTTTCCCGGAATGGTTCATTGAATTTGAGGCCTTCTCCTTCCTTACACGGTCACCTAATTGAACGCGGGCTACATGTTGTGCCTACAAAATCAGGCCGTCTACATGTAGGCGGAAAAGGCCAAGTGAAGGTGGATAAAGTAGAGTGGAAAAGTAACATGTTCCATATGCTTAGAATATAAAGCAATCAACAATCAATCATAAGCCTTGCTGGGCTATACTGCTTTAAAGCGAGTATCCCAGCTGAGAATTAACTGGCAACAGTTGCCCCTGTCAACGGTGAGCCCATTACCGCTGTGGAGCCAGATCGGCAATGGAGTCGGACTGGGGCAACGATGGGAGCTAAACGCGTTAGTGTGTGTGTGATGTTTACTCTCTGGCCTGGGGGAAATTGATGTGCGAGTCCGGATGACGATGCAGGGTAAGAAGGGCTGTATAGGCTGTTGATGTGAACCCTTCGATATAGGGTCAATTACAACGGATTGCAGGTAATAATTCAATCTTAGGAAGATGATGTACAAGTGATTATAAGTGATACAAGATTGTTGTCGTCTACAGTACTCTGTAACTTGAATATAAAGACGAGACACGGCCAAGGACATACGCAATGCACAGCCCAGATTTATTAATAGCGGATGTGGATCGCCGATCCTATTGACTTCGTCTTATGTAGGGGTTTCTGCCACTTCCACCTCTCTCATCCTTGCATCTTCTCAAACATGCGATCAAAACCTTCAGTCAAGCCCTCGGCCTACCCGCCATTCCCATTCCACACAATTCGCTTCTTGAGCTTCCTCTCCGCGGTTGTAGTCGGCGCAATTCTTGCCGTGTTTATCTACCACCTCCACGCCGATGGCTACAAATTACCATATTCATTCCTAGTGGTGAGCACAAACAAAACACAGCCCAGATCAAACTAAAAACTAACAATCCCCAGCTCCTTATCGCAGCAGCCCTGACCCTCCTCAACATCCTCTTAACGACCCTAATCCACTGCAGCTGCGGCCTATCCCCCAAACTCTCAATAACAGCAAATGCAATCCTCCTCATCCTCTGGGCCATCTCCCTCGGCCTAATCTGCTGGTCCCTCGCCAGCACAATAACAGTATCCTGCACCACAACCTACTGGGGCAATTCCACCGGCATCTCCGTCTGCCGCAGCTACAAAGCCCTCTTCACCTTCACCGTCACCGGCCTAGCCGCCCACATCGCCGCCCTATGGCTGGACATTATTGTGCGCCGCCGCCAGAACCGCTTCGGCACATACGGCGCCATGGGGTCGCAGCCTGGTCTAGATGATTCTGGCGCCTTTGATGTCAAGATGGATGATCACTATGCTCATAATCTGGGCACGGGGTATCGCGATGCGCATGGCCACCAGAGGGGCGGGAGTGAGGCGACGCCTGCCTTGCAGGATTTTGATAATCTGCCGCCGACGAACGCGAATGGGAATGCTCATGGAGATTCCAGTGCGACGATGCATGGCGCCGGGCCGTATGGTCATGGGTATGAGCATGAGGCCGGTGGGGAGGTTGCGCATTCTGGTGATGCGCAGGGTTACTATGGTTATGATGCTGGTGGTATGAGTCACCGTGGGAGACAGGGGTATCAGGATCCGTATCAGAGAGACAACACCGGATATGATCCGGCGGCGTATCGTTGAATACTGGATTAGTGGGGACTTTTCTTTTCTTCATGATAGCAAGCGGTTACTTTTATGATATATATGTCTTATTTTTTTTTGGAGGAAATGGTCAAGGCGCTTTCAAAGTACTCAGTTCATTATTGGCATGTGTGATATCTGGAACAAAAGCATCGGGACAAGACAGGAAGCAATGCGAGAAATCAAATCTAACAACCCTTCATTTTGATTCCAGATATATTAAAGGGGATGATCTTGTAGATCGGTTACGCTCACGAAACAAGGATCCATCCAAACAGGAGATAGATTGAGGTATTTTTAAAGACCAAAACATTGCACGTTTACATGATAACCTCGTTGGCGACGTCCTAGATACGATGTGAGTAGGCGGGACAAACATGTCAGACGGGGGATAAGGGGATACTGACTCGCTTGAGTTCCTTGTAAGGCAAACATACGCAGTTCTGCACGCGGACTTCGTCGCCAACACCACACTCTTTACCCAGAATGGTGATGCTCTGCACCTTAATACCCTGCTTCACGATGCTGGTCGAGTGGCTGCCAATGGGAATGGGGGTTCCCTCAACGCGAGCCCAGGCACCGACGCGGCTGCTCCATCCGATGATGGAGTGCATGACACAAGCGTCGTGGCGGATCTCTGCATCCTCAAGCACGACGGAATCCTTGATGCGAGCACCAGCGCCAACAATGGCACGAGGGCCAATCGAGACATTCGGTCCAAGCTTGGCGGTGGGGTCGACGGTAGCAGTGGGGTGAATGAACACAGGAGGCACAATGGTGGCAGAAGGAGCAGTCAGCTCGGGAGACTCGGCCTGGAATGCCTTCTGGAGATAGAGGGCATTGGCAGGAACGGCAGAACCGGCGGTCTTGATCTGGCGCCAGAAGTCCTTGGTCTCGTGAACGAAGAATCGGTTGCTGTCAGCCAAATCGGACAGGATGTCTTGCTCAAGGCGGAGAACCTCGCTCTTCTCAGCATCATCATCATCTCCCATGGCGACAAAGGAGGACTCCAGGTTATCGGAGGAGGGGTATGACAGCAGGCGGGGACGGGTAGTGCGACGCTTGATGGCACTGCGAATGGCGGGGAAGATGCACTCGGTGGCGAAGAGGTACACACCGCAGTTGATCAGGTTGGAGATGTGCGACTCGGGCTTCTCGACATAGTGGAGGACACGCTTGGTGTGGGAGTCAGAGACAATGCATCCGAAGTTGGTGGCGGTGTCGTTGGACACGCGTGTACCCAAGATCACGGCCTCGGCATCCTTCTCGTCGAACAGGCGCATCATATCGCCGAGGGGGAACGAGCAGCAGACATCGGCGTTCAAGACGAGCAGGCGCTCTGGCTTGCCCTTGAGGATCGCATCACGGAAGTGGTACAGTCCACCTGCGGTGCCCAATGCGGTGTACTCGCGGAGGTACGAGATGCGGAATTGGGGGAATTCCTTCGAGGCATCCTTGATGAAGTCGCGGAACACAGTCTCATCATAGTATCCAACCAAAAGAACCTCGCGGACCTCGGAGACCCTGGCCACCGCCTTCAGGCAGTGGTGGATAATGGGGTGGCCGGCAACTTCGAACAGGGGCTATGAGGAACGGGATGGTCAGCTCCTTGCTTGGTGCACGTGGAGACGTGATCATATTGCAGGAATACACGTACCTTGGGCACATCAAGCGACAATGGACGGAATCGAGTACCTCTCGAAGGACCTCCGACCTGTGGACAAGGTGTCAGTTAACATTATGGGACAACGACGATCATTCCGTCACTCACCAAGATCACGGCCTTGGTGGAGGCCTGGCTAGAATGATCCCGCACAGGAATATGAAGCATTGCGACAAAAAAGTATGAGATATGAAGGAAGTTCAGAAACTCCTAAGACGAAGAGGAAGATCTCCGCCAAGACGACGCTTTCGGTGGGGGACTCACCTGACATCAACGTTTTACTACTTTGGGTTTCTACACTTCACTCGACAATGCGCTTCATGTACGCTTCACGCCTTGCACCCACGGAGATCGGCTTTTTTCTAAGCGGTGCTCGGATTATTGGAACGGCTGTGGGCATGGTAGGGCTGGATCGCCAGTAGATTTGATGGATAATGGCGTAAATACCCCTTGGTCTGTACGGAGATTCGCAAACGTTAGTATTTTCCTGTTCAATTTTCGGAACATGGCAGATGCACTTGCTTTGGAAGATCCCGATATTTTCAAATAGTTTCGCAGCGTGAGTTGCCATGTCAGTCGAAGTTCATCCCGTTTTTGGGGATCAATGATAGGAGAAGAGAGGGAGATTGGAGAAGGTGAAATATTTACAATGCGTATCTCAGGGTGTGACTCTGGGTATATTCCCCTGCGTGTCTCAGACTTTTGTTAAGCCTGCTTTATATAGCTTCTTTGGTTCAAATACCTACGTTATGATCACCCACATCAGATGTTAAAAAAGCCCCTAGGAGCCTCTGAGGAAGGTATGATTGATTACGATATAAAAAAACTTATCAAGCATTCATGTATTCAAACAAACCCATGTTAAATCTTGCATTCTTTGATAACAAATCCGAGCAGTATCTAGCTCCGACACTCATCTAGACCTATTCTTCTTGTCAATGAAGATCTTTCAGGCAAAGTATCAATTCAATGTTTGGGGTTAATGAACAACCAGGAATCAAGGAACCAGGAACCAGTAAGGCCTTGAGGGGCAACCCCAGAGTCTCCCATATGTCGCGGTAAGCATCCACTCATGATAAGTGAGAAGTCATCATTCAGCATTCCAGTTACCGAGGTACCATTAATACCAGTCTAGGCGCTCCTCGGGCTCATCATGTCCACATCCTCATTTCTGAGGCTCGAAATCCATTCTTGTGCTTTGGCGAACTTCTCTCGCTCTTTGTAGAGCAACACACGACGGCGCTGGCGCTCTTCGTCCTCGGCCATCAATACTAGACAACGTTCACGTCCTAAGAAGACATTAGCAAAATTCAAACCGTCAACTTGCTGTACGGAGCTTACCGTTGTCCCCGAAAATCTGAAGCTCGTCACGAATGCCATTAACGAGCTGTGTACGGCACTTTTTGATCAATTTGGCATGCGCAGACTGACATAGCACATCAACAAAACGTGAGCGTGCGATTTCGTAGTATGCCAGTGAGCTCTGTATGGATAGTTAGCCAAATGTGCAAGAAACAGTCAACAAAAGTGCTCGGGCGGTGGAGTATCATACGGCCATCATTTCAATTTCTTGGGAGTATCTGTCCTCTCCCAGGTCCTCCTGCGTAAGCTTCTTCTGTTTTTCCACAACTAGCTTTGAGTCTGTCAGGTCATAGCCACGAACTTTCAGCCATGAAATCACGCGGGCGTTGAACCGCCGCGCCCTCAGAGTATCCAGCGCCTGCTTTGTCAGGCGTTGGAGATTTCCTTGAGCCATTGTAAATGGCTGCTCGTGTTCACTGTGCCAGAAGTCCTGAGTGTACCTGAGGTGTTCACCTCGGATATTGGACAAATAATTCTTCAGGTTTTGTGCAATTCCTTGTACAGCCCCGTTTGATGGTATTCAGTGAATTCCTCCTGGAGAGCGGTACCAAGCTTCTCTTCTACCAGGTTATGCAAGCCATTGATAAAAGTCTCGGTCAAGTTCCCCCAATGCTCAACGCTTTTCTTGTTCAGGTTCTCAATCGCGCGAGGATCGAGCTGGTTGGGGACACCAACTGTGTTCGATCGGACTTTGATCTCCGCCAATCCTTTCAGTGTGAAATTACGGGCAGTTTCCTCACGATTCTTGAAGATCTTGGTGCTAAATGTGGCTTTCTTTGGCGAAGTCGCTTTCTTTTCTTCCACTTTCACGTCGGCAGATAGTTTGCGCTTCTTTGGAGAGATACCGACCATCTGAACCTCGCAGTCTGAGTCCTCTGCGAGATCATCTTCATCCGTGGGAGCGGTCATGTCAAGAACAGGGCGTGTTTTCAGAATAGCTAGCTGGAAGTCCATCACAACTTGATTCCAGTCCTCTTGTAAAGGTTTCTTTGCGCTCGGACTGACGCTGGTGTTGCCGTCGAATAACTCGTGAACTTTGCGCTCAAAGTCGGATGTTTTCCCCCACAGGATTCGCTGAACATCTTCGGTTGGAGGGTTTGTTAGAGTACTCAGTTCCATGTCGATGGCGTCAACTTTCTCGTCAATCTGCTCAATTATTGAGGGCAAACATCCGAGAATTTGCTGTCGTAGCAGTTCGGATAGCGAGGTTTGAAGCTTTGCGGTGCCGAATGAGTTGCCATAGGCAGACAGTTCTTCATTCCATGGCGATCCAGCGAAGAAGATCTCCTCCTCCATTCTTGCCTGGGCGTGGCTGACGGCCGGATCGGGGTTATTTTTGATGACAAAGTATCCATGGCCAAGGGTAAATTTCTTTTTGTCGAGAATTTCAACCCACTGGTTGAAAGACTCTGCATCAGACATGCGGTCTGGCTTGGTTAGCACTCCTAGGGTTCTCTCCTTGGCCCCTGGGATATCACGAATGATACGAGCGGCACTTGAGTTCGTCGCATCGTCTGTCATTGGCATTGTAAGAATTACAATACAGTGCCTTTGTGAGACGTAACTCTTGACAAGATTTTCAACTAGGCGCACGAGGTACTTCTCCCCATCTTGCTCCGTCTGGCTGATGACACCAGGCAGATCATAGAAGGAAAGATTTGGTAGGCCGGGTCCAGAAATGTCCAGACGTACGGCGTTTGGTGAGAACTTCACCAGTGCCGTCTGCTCTGTGGTTCGCTTGTTTCCCGGGACGAATTCCTGACAGTGCATCTGGGGGTTCAGCACAGCAAGCTGTGCCCACCAGATTGCCTGTTTCACTTCAGATTTGTTGAACAGAGTCTTAAAATGCTCGTCCTCTCCACCACTGGAGTCAAATTTCCATGGTCCTAGAGGATTTTCTTTGCTGGGGAACTTTGTCTTCCGGTCCTTGTCGTCCGGGACGTGCATGTACCTTTTTGCAATGTGCACCACACATTTCCAGGGAGTATCACTGTCAGAAAGGTTGATTTCCATGGGACACCGAGTACAAGTTCCAGTATCGCGGGGAACCTTAATCTCAGAGATTCCCTCGATGAGGGAGCTCTTTCCCGCGCTCTGGTCACCGACAACACAGATCTTGGGAAGAACAATTCTGCTGTCCTCGATGCCTAAATGACGCAGGTCCTGAATCCTTTGTACCAAGCTTTTCATTTCCTTGGCATAGTAGTAGAAGGGACCTTTCTCGGTCTCGTGGCTGGATTGAGCTGGAGCAGGGGCACGGAGCGAAATGTCGGCTAAGAAGACCAAACAGGTCAGTAAATAGTATCTCTGTTTGTTTTAGACACCTGACTCACAGAAGAACGAATCCATCTCGCTTTTTGTGACAGGGGATGGGCTGGTGGGAGCCATAGCAGAGCCTGGTCTGAGCAAAGAGAGGGTGTCAGCTTGAAGAACGAATTCTGAGAGACCAAAGAGAGAATTTGGAGAGCTCGACAGAATGGTACACGCAGTCTGTATACGTGCCAGGGGAGACTCAGAAAAGATGGAGGTTGAAACGATGCTAGACTCGACCGGGGAAGCTCTGGGAGAAGCTCACAGGATGAGGTGGATGGATGACGGGATGAGGGCCGAGAGAAAGGAATTTGGGAGATGGTAGAAGGGTGAATGGAAATTTGGTGCGAATTATGAGAGTTTACGGTGAGTTGCAAAAGGGAGAAGAGCAAATGAGGTGATGCAGAACGCGTGCTGAGATCAAAGTGGTTGATGCTGAGGTGGGAAAAGAAAAGGCTTGGGTAAACAACACAATCTCAAGCTCTGATCAAATCACTTGATTGAGGCATGTTACAAGATTTGAGGAGTCTCAGTTGCACACCAGAGTCCCTTACGCTTCTTGGCCAAACGATACACATCGCGGAATGAACCCCTAGCCATGTGAGAGGCAGTCATACAAGAAAAGTCAAATGAACAGCTAGAAATCAACACAGCAGGAATCACCAAATCAACATGCTCATATATTCTTTATTAGTGTATATTCACCATACGAAATTTTTGAAAAGAGTGCACCATACTGTGCATCGTTTAGGGTCTGCTTCGGCTTTGGCTTCATGTTTCCTCTTTTTCTTTTACTCGTTTTGAGTTTCCAGGGTCAATGGTCGAGATTTCATACATATCAGGTCAAAAATATGACTTGGGAGTAATGCATCCCGCTGTTGACCAGAATGACCGACTTGGCTACGGTCTGTCACGAGATCTCGACTGCATTCGCAGTATATTCTGGGAGAAGCCAGAAGATGTTTGAGCTCTCTTGGAAATATGAATCGAGTCTCGTCATTTAAAGGTAGTAACATGTAAAATACGCCGCGTTATTGACAGAAATGAAGCTATTCGTTCGACATGAAGTTGTATAGATCGGAGTAGCCGAAAATGGCATGGCGGGGTAAAACCCCGCTGACATGCCCTAAGCCCTAACTTCCCAATTCAGTATCCCTGAACTGATGGACAGGCAAGAATAGAACAGAATCTGGAAAAGAAAGATATGTCAAGCCTCATGCATGATTCGACAGAATTGAAGCATTATATCAGTGAGTCATAGCATGTGAGGGAAGAAGGATTTACTTCTGGGGCCCAATCAGGCGGGATGCCGATCCCGCCCAAAAATTCAAGTGTCCCTCCTTCATCCCACCATCCACTTTTGTTTCCTCAACAAAGACATAATGGCGGACTCCAACCCTGTTAAGGAGGCTGAGGCCTCCATGGCCAATCTTCTGCTCGACGAAGTCACCGGCGAAAAGGTCTCTAAGACCGAATTGAAGAGACGCCAGAAGAAGCGCGACAATGACGCCAAGAAGAAGGAGAAGGAAGCCGCCGCTCCTCCCAAAGCTAAGGCCGAGAAGAAGACCTCCGCAGAGGAGGAGGAGGCTAACTTGACTCCTAACGTGAGTGACTCCATCACTACATGCGCAATGGTGAGGGTGATGGAAGCTAATGAAGATGTCATGTCTAGCAATACTTCGAGATTCGGAGTAAGAAGATCAACAAGCTGCGCGAGACCAAGCAGCCCGATCCCTACCCTCACAAGTTCCAGGTCGATACCGACCTCCGTCAGTTCCTCAAGGACTACGAGGGTCTCCAGAAGGGCGAGCAGAAGACTGACGTTGCCGTTCGCATTGCTGGTCGTATCTTCACCAAGCGTACCTCCGGTAACAAGCTGAACTTCTACGATATCCGCGCCGAGGGTGTCAAGGTCCAGGTTATGTGTCAGGCCCAGAACGCCACTGGCAAGCCCTTCGAGGAGCAGCACGAGCTCCTCCGCCGTGGTGATATCGTCGGTATTGTTGGTTTCCCCGGTCGCACTTCTCCTAAGAACCGTGACGACGGTGAGCTTTCCATCTTCGCTACTGAGGTCATCCTCCTGGCTCCTTGCCTGCACGCCATTCCCTCCGAGCACTACGGATTCCAGGACAAGGAACAGCGTTTCCGTCAGCGCTACCTTGACTTGATCATGAACGACCGCTCCCGTGAGATCTTCCGCACTCGTGCCAAGATTGTCAGCTACGTTCGTCAATACTTCGATAGCCGTGACTTCACTGAGGTGGAGACCCCTATGATGAACGCCATTGCCGGTGGTGCCACCGCCAAGCCCTTCATCACTCACCACAACGACCTTGACATGAACTTGTTCATGCGTGTCGCTCCTGAGCTTTACCTTAAGATGCTGATTGTCGGTGGTCTCGAGCGTGTCTACGAGCTCGGCCGTCAGTTCCGTAACGAGGGTATTGATCTTACTCACAACCCCGAGTTCACCACCTGTGAATTCTACTGGGCCTACGCCGATGTCTACGACGTTATGAACCTGACCGAGGACCTTGTCTCCGGTCTGGTCAAGAAGATTACTGGTGGATACGAGACCACCTTCCACACCCAGTCTGGCGAGACCTACAACGTCAACTGGAAGGCGCCCTGGAGGCGAGTGGAGATGATCCCCGCCCTGGAGGAGGCCTGTGGCGAGAAGTTCCCTCCTGGTGACCAGCTTCACACCAAGGAGACCAACGAGTTCCTTAAGCGCATGCTGAAGAAGATGAACGTCGACTGCTCTCCCCCTCAGACTAACGCCCGCATGCTCGACAAGTTGGTTGGCGAGTTCATTGAGGAGACCTGTGTCAACCCCACCTTCATTACCGGTCACCCCCAGATGATGTCCCCTCTTGCCAAGTACCACCGCCAGAACGTCGGTCTTTGCGAGCGTTTCGAGGCCTTCGTCTGCAAGAAGGAGATTGTCAACGCCTACACTGAGTTGAACGATCCCTTCGACCAGCGCATGCGTTTCGAGGAGCAGGCCAACCAGAAGGATCAGGGTGACGACGAAGCCCAGATGATTGACGAGACCTTCTGCCAGTCTCTCGAGTACGGTCTTCCTCCTACCGGTGGTTGGGGTATGGGCATTGACCGTCTGGTCATGTTCCTTACCGACAACTACAGTATCAAGGAGGTCCTTGCCTTCCCTATGATGAAGGATGACAAGTCCGCTGCCACTGAGAAGACCGCTGCCGAGGTTGCCGGCGTTGAGCCCATGCCCGAGGAAGGAATTCGTATGTTATTATTATCCTGTAATTTCCATGAGCCTATATCACTAACGATGACTTTGCAGCCCACAAATGAATAAAATGATGTCTCCGAGAATTGGATGTTGATGTTTGAATCGTGATTTGAAGGTTGTGCATACAGCAGCTGTTATATGAGAAATGCCTCAGATAAAATAGTCAAAAAATATCCAAGCTATGTTCAACTTTTCAACAGTACCCTGCTGTAGCTTGAGGTAATGAAACTCGACAGTTGGTCTCTGAAGCTACATGACTCAAGGGTTGGTAGTGGTGGTCTATTTACAGTCCACCTTGTGAGATGATAAAACGAAAAGAAGTTGAAAAAGCGTCAAGGAAGAGATATACGTATACGTAGGAATTAACAGTCCATGAAACAGCACACTTGGATCCAAGAATTCCTTCATAGATTCGCCGCTACTGCGTGGCACTAGGTACACTCATGGCCTTTGCTACCATCAACCGTTCTGTTACAATGAAACATGGCCTAAAACACCTAGAGTGCCTGTCACGACCGACTCTATCTCAAAATCTGGATGATTCTTGTCATGAAAATAAACGTTCTACAATCATCAAATATGGGTTCTCGATTTATATTTGCAACGGTTGATGCTCGAGCTATACTTAGGGACATACTACAAACACACCCCATATTGATGATAACACACCCCTCCCCATATAAGCCATAGTAGATGTATAACATCAGCGTTAGGATTGGCGCATTTTCATTATATTTGACCTCATTCCTCGTCTCAAAATTTACCTCATATTTTACTCAAAAGACACATCAAAATATGCCTTAATAACCTACATAAATCGCAGGCCCCGCCGCCTCGGAGGATTGAAACAAGTTTCCTTCCTTCTTTTCTCCCCCTTCGGGCTTTAGGCTACGTAAGGGGTATTCGGTACGTACTTTAAGTATGTGGCAGCATAGCAAATCGAGGTACATCGGGTCCCTAAGCTCTTAGAGTTGGAATCAAGAAAAGCATTCCAATTTATATGCAGTTTCATCGTACATAAACTTGAACACCCAAGGTACATGATTAACTACGGAATCCCGAGGAACTCAGGTACCCTAGGTACGTATTAACCCTACCCCCTTAACAAAAATCAACTTCTCTGTGAACTACTAGGCGAGAATTGACGATTGATTAGATTCATTAAAATTCCAAGAACTTGACGCATTTGTTTATTTAAAATATGAGATGAAATATCATACTAAAAATGTGCTAATCCTAACGCTAATGATATACATGCACTATTATATGGGGAGGGAAGGCCCTATTAAAGCACAGACCATGCATCACTCGCGCAGTTAGCCCTAATTTGACACGGTACCAACCGTCAGAGATTCATATTGTTTTTGTTAAATTCCCTGAATGAAGAGGGAAGTTCCGCAAATCCGTAACAGTTTGAAAGCTTCGTATCAATGAACCTGGCAAAAGCAAGCAACTAAAGACATATTAACCCACCCTCCCTCGCCGATGGAGATCTCACGACGTTGCAATTGCGAAATTCGATTGTCGGTGCTTTGAACGGTTAAAACCAGCCATCAATTTATTAAACGATTTTATATATATATATATGAGGTTTATGGTCAGAAAATTTATGTCAACAATGATTGCATCATTGCCAACGGTAAAATCGATATCGAGTGCCATTTGTTTGCTTCTCATGAAACGGAGATATCCCTTTTGAATACAATATGTCATCTCAACTTCTGATTGTTTGACCCCGAGACTGCGCATAAATAAAGACCTCTCATTTGGAATCTTTCTTCCATCGCCCATCTTTTCTCCCTCCTCCTTTCTCCTTCATCTGTTTCTCCCTCATCCCTTTGCACTTTCTCTGGTCATTCTCGAAGGAGATATCTTGTATTCTTCTATTATCTTCTCATAGGATACCAAGAAGAATAAGCCTCCTGCTCTTTTGCTTCTTTTATTGCCGCTTCCTCGTGTCTCGTTTGGTAGAACAGATGCTCCAAAGTCACCATCTTGCTTGTTCTTAAATCAGGACCTGAAGGGTAAGCCGTTTTCTGCACTATTCATTCTTTGCTCCCTTTCTCAAGTCTTCTTTGGCGAACCGGATCAACCTTCTCTTCTTTCCTGTTTAGATAAAATTCTCAGGCTAACTATAGTTCTCCTTCTCGCCTTGAGAACAGAAGTGTGACTCTGCTCTTTCTTTTTCCAAGTCTTCATCTCCAGTCTGTGAAGCTATCTCATTGTCCCACATCTGAGCTTCCAACATCGAAAAGGTATCATCACACATCATCCCCCTTGTCATCAACTGAAACTTATCATCAGAATACTCAAGATGTCAGGGGAGCCGGACTTGACACAGCGAGTTCCCAGCTTTGGAGAACTCGATGTATCTTTAAAACAATATTGGATTCAGAATGGGAAACCCCCCTTCCTGGTGGATGATGGTACCTCAGAGAATGTCAACGCTAATCAGAACATGCGGAATATGTACACTAACACCATTGGTGATCTTCCGCTCCCACCTGCAAACCCATACCCGATTTACCCACTACAAGGCCACTCAACCACGTCGGACCCAAGCTTCAACGTTTGTGCACTTTACATGCCTTCTAGACAAGACACTGACCTCGCTAGATATTCCATAAACATGGATTTACCTCACAGGGCGTACGTATGGAATGGCCATTACATCGGAATATCTGACTGACCGATCATGCAATAGGTTTTTGGCAATCCGAATGAGTCTATGCTTGTGAGAACTCGCTACGAAGCCGCCGTTGGAAATGAACCTCATAATGCGAGTCCCAGTATGTATACGTATCAAAGTACCAAACAAAACAAGATCAAGTAACTAAAATCACCGACCTTTAGTAACATTTTCAAACACAAACATAACCTCTCGCTCACCTCCTGAGATAATATCTCCTCGACAAGCCGCCGAACAACAAGCTGCTTCAACACCGACTCTGGTAATTTACCCTCGCCGCAGAACCACAAGAGAGATCGTCGTCAGCTTCTCGGATGTTGCCGCCCACACAGCGAAATGTGACGAAGGGAATGAAAGGAACAGGGACGGTATGTCACGTTGCAACCTCTGCGGCTGGCAGATTTGCCGCGCGTGCATCAACCGACGCGCTGGCGACAGGAGCCACTCTTCTTTTGGGAGTGATCATATCGAGGATCGTGCTCGAAGACGACAGATAGGCCCCATTCCTCACCAGGAAATCTTACGGACCGAGAACAGACCTGAAGGTCAAACAAGCGCCAGCGCTCGCGCAAGCGAAACACCTCTGTCTACATCTAGAGCTGGATCGGGAAGTCAAATGAGCGAAGAAGCGAGTGCCGCTCAAACTCTCGTCACTCTTGGCTCTTCTGGCCGTGTTGATGAATCGATATCCGGGGCATCCGATTGCGAACCAGCTGAACTACAAGTTGAGCAAGCTGGATTGAATGTTCAGCCAAAGGATCGACCTTTGTGTGGACGTAAACGTGCTCGCGACAGGACTGATGTCATTGGAAGTGAGTCGGAGAATACCTTATCTCCGGCTACTGAAAGCTATTGGGGAGATTCAAATTCAGCTACTGGAACTGCTGATGAGCCAGAGATTGTCATCAGAGAAGATGGAAAGTACCAGCTTGCTCGGAGGAACCCGAAGCGCCGTGCGCGTCCTTCCGCGCGAATGGCGGACTGAGATAGTTGTTGCGCGATAGGCCTGAAATCGGCTTTACTATGGATGCATTTTGGCAGTAAATGTGGAACTTGACGATTGACGAAGATTACGTTCAACAAGAAGTTGGATATGTGTCAGATATGAAGGAATTGATATCGTGTTCAATGGATGTTTTTACAATGAAGATATAGTGGTGCTAATGATACAAAGACTCGTGAGATGTGGCGAGTCAGTAGAGAATGGAGATTGTACGTTTCTTCAGGAACGGGGGTACTTCAATGGACCCGGTCTTCGCCGCCATATTCTTACACCCGAGTGAGTCGGGCTTTTAGACCTTGTGTGCGGTGAATGAAGGAGCAGGTGTCTGCTTCTTGGCATTCTTGGCTGCCATCTTCACTAACCTGGCGGTGCGAGAAGGATGCCAGACACGGCTACCCAAAACGATAACCCAGGTAAGGAGGAAAAGACTGCCTGCCTGGTGGGCGGAGGCAAGAGGAGTAGGAACGAGGTAGAGGAGAGTGGAGATACCAAGACCGACCTGGCAACAGGCAAAGGCAAACACGCCGTGGACACCCTTTCTAGCGGCAGGCGGCAAGTGACGTTTCATGGAGGGGGCGAGGCGGGTGTAAGCCAACAAGGCCACGATGGAGGTAAAGGTGGTCATAGCGAGCATGCGGTGGTCAAGCTGAACGAGAGAGGGATTCTCGAGCATGTTGCGCCACCATAGATCAGACCGATCTTCATGTCTGGAATAGCGAGCGTCAAACAGCTCCTCTTTTGGTGGAGCAAGTCCATTGCCCATATATGGGAACTCGTTGTAAATAAGTCCAGCATCCAGACCAGCAACGAGACCACCAGAGATAACCGTAGTGAAGACCAAAAGCGCAATGCCGGCAACTGAGCGGCGGAAGAAAGCCAGCTTCGCGGAACGCAGAGCATCCAGCTCGCCAAGACCTGCAGTAGGGTTGTTCATCAACCGGTGAGAGCGCAAGATAGCAAGACCGTTCCATAGCATAGCGACATAGCAGGTGAAAGCAGCACCGAGATGAGCAGTGAGACGATACTGACTCACTCGAGGATGGCTGCCCGGAGCAAACAGATCATCCTTCAAGCCAGACTTGACCATCCACCAGCCCAAGAATCCCTGGAAGCCAATGAGACCAGCAATACCGAACAGACGCCACGCCATGGGCGTGGAGACCTTTTTGCGTGCGACGAAGTATACAGCGGGCAGGACGAAGGACATTCCAACGAACCGACCCCAGAGTCGGTGGATCCATTCCATGTAGTAGATCGATTTGAATTCGGAGAGTGTCATATTCGGGTTCAACAATTGAAATTCGGGGGAAGCGCGGTATTTTGAGAACTCAGACTCCCAATGTTCCGCGTTCATGGGAGGGAGGGAGCCGGTAACAGGTCGCCATTCGGTAATACTCAATCTATACCACGATGTGTCCGTCAGCTTCCGCAGCCTATGTTTTGTCCCATGTCGCGCATACGAACCCTGATTCAGTCAAACGTGTCAGACCACCGAAGACCACAATTCCAAAAACGCTGGCCGCGCTACCGAGAAGCCAGTAGGCGACGGTCTTATCGCTGATCTTGGGGAAGCTGCGTTTGGCGCTTTTGGCTCCCCCTTCGATCACATTTTCAGCAGCCTGCGCCGCTGTGGATCTCTGAATAGTTGAGGAAAAGAACTGGCGGTTCTTGTTGTTGAAAAGGGTCGATTGGGTCTTGGTAGGCTGGCGGGAGGGCATGGCACTGAAATGGCGGATGGATTTGGCTGCAACACCCTGGTTGTGAAGACATTGCCGACAACTTAACAGATCCTTTGTCAAACGGGGCGCGAGACTCCGCCATAACGGCAAGGTAGTCCCTAGAGAAGCCATGGCTGGTGAGAGACGCAAGAGTGGAAAAAAGAAAGCTGTTGCGGTCTCGAAAATCGTATGATATCGCGGAATGCGCGTTGGCCAATCAGCGCCAGAGCATTTGTCTCAACAACGCTGTCGTAGTCTCCTGTTCAATTGATCGTTGATCGCTGGTGTTTAAGCAGATCAGACAATTCTCCGTTCTCTAATTGCTAATTCAGCTTCCATTCGCCCAGTAAGCTCGAAAGCGATGTTGGTGCCTGAGGCGACTATCTCCGGCGCTTTGTGATCGCCGCTCCAACTCTCACTTGCACCTTGATTGCTTCACACGTGCAAATATGTCTTATGAGCTGGAGTCAAAGAAGCGCAAGTTCCATCGGATCTTGGATTCAATATCCAAACCTCAGCAAACCGACCCAGCCCCAACACCGCCTCCGGCGCAGCCCATGACAGCGCGAGAGCGTGTCGCGGCCAACCTATCGATCAAGAAAGTCCGCCTAAGCAGCAACGATCGCTCCGAGCTCGCATCAGTGCGCAATTCGACCCAGAAAATATCCAGACCTACGGACCGAACGCCATCTACGTCTTCGGATACCACAGCGTCCTCGAATAAACGCCCGACCTTTGTTCCTTGGGATCGCGAACGGTTCCTGGAGCGGCTAGAGACATTCCGCCGGGTTGATCGATGGACTTCCAAACCGGCCCCGATTAATGAGGTACAATGGGCAAAGCATGGCTGGATATGTGCGGATTCAAAGCGTGTCACTTGCGTCTCCGAATGCGGCGGTTCAGTCGTTATCAAACTTCCCGAAGAGATCGATGAACTTGATGGATTTGATAGCGAGAAGGTGCAAGAGCGAAACGAAGTCCGTGAGTATTTCACTCAGTCCCTTGGGATTAATGACGTGGGTCCCGGTGCTAACTGCCATGTTTACAGGCGCAACACTCGTGGATCAGTATGCAAAGATGCTAGTTGAAAACCATGGTGAGAGTTGCCCGTGGCGGCGAAAGAGCTGTGATGGTGAGTCTGCTCGACTATTAGTCCATTGACCTCTTTTCCAATTGACTTACATTGGACTAGCAACTATTCAGCATCTTCCGTTAACCAACACCGACACTGCCCTGACGGGGCTACACAACCGCTATCTGAACATTTTGAAGATGGGGGATAAGTTACCAACCGACGATGTAATTCAAGCTCTTGAGGAGCCCAACCTTGATGTTATTGCGAAATTACTACCCGAAGAATGGTTCAAAGAGGCACCACAGCCAGCTAAGACTGCAGCTGCCCCCACGACCGAGGACCAGGCGCCAAATAACGGTGACCAAGAATCATCGGAGACTACGCTTTCACCCGCTGATACTCCTCGCTCTGTCAATCGAGCAGCCCTGGCACTGGCATTATTCGGGTGGGATACAGCCTCCGATGGAGCTGCCGGTTTAGTCGGATGCAGTGCGTGCTTCCGTCGACTGGGACTTTGGATGTACAAACCGAAAGACAACGGAGACGTCACGGTTTATACATCTCTGGATGTGGCCAATGAACACATGGACTACTGCCCCTGGATCAACAAGGTCGCTCAAAGCGGTACTGGTCGACCCAACGAGAAAGTGGAAAGGCTACGCGCTGGCTGGGAATTTGTGGCAGAAGCCGTCAAAGTGAAGAACCGACGACGCATGCGCTTTGTGAAATCTTCAGAAAGTCTTCGCCCAGCCACGCCTGTAGAGGAATATCCTCTTGAAGACGAGGATCCAGAGGCAAAGAAGAAAGCAGACAGTGAGTGGTGGACGAAAATCCAGCGAGTGAGGCAGATTTTGAAAAGCAGAACGCCGAAACCGAAACCTGCTACGTCTTGATTGTCTTGTTAGAGTGCAGTTTCTCATGACCAGGCGTTTTAACATGCATATCTCTTACATTTTTGTCATATATAATTTTCCTAATGCGAGATACGAAATCCTACCATGTCGGTTTAGCCTTCACTTCCTCTATTTACTCTCATTATTTGAGAACATATAGATTACAAACTGGTCTCCTATTTGGGAGGGGGATGTGATATAAGGCTTTGTGGAGTTACAATGAATGAACAGCAGTATGTTTCAATTGAAGTGTGACCTTCTAGAACATTTCTCAAAAGTTCTAGGACGACTATCATCATATTTATCTCGTTTGATATACTTATTGAGCAGGGGAGTGGCCACATCGTTCGGTAGGAAACAACAACGCTGAGCAGTCTCGAAAATGGCGCTCTTATCTTATTCACCCTCGAAATACCTCGATTTCTCAAGAATCATCCTATTTGCTGAAAAGGCCCGATGAGGCACTGTCTCGCTAGTATTATCCGGAATTTTGCCGGTGTTCTTTCCAAGGGGACTCACGATGCAGCTCTACAGCCAATAGGGTAAATCAGCCGGGTATATCCACTGCTCCGCGTCTTGGAGCAGCTTGTCACATACGCGGGACAAGGGAATTACTCACCATCGGCCTTCATAAGTCATCTATCTCCTATTCCAGGTTGCTGCCTCTCATTCTCATACATTTCTTGGTATAAAAAAGGAGCAAGAGCTCGGCAGTATCCCCCAACAATAAACCCAGATAAAAATGAGCTCCATTATCGAGACTCGTACTTTGAGACTGCCGGCGCTCATTCTGGGGGGCGCTGGGTTTAGCTATCAATTGCATCCGGATCCCAAGAGCATACCGGTTTCCAAAATCATTCGTCGGGCTTTTGATGCGGGCATGCGAGCAATAGACACATCGCCTTACTATGAGCCATCTGAAGAACTGCTGGGTTCTGCACTTGCGAGCGTGGACGTGACCAGCAAATATTCACGAAGTGACTACATCTTGATGACCAAAGTGGGCAGGGTGTCCGCAGAGGAATTCAACTACTCGCCCGAATGGATCCGAACCTCTGTTTCAAGGTCTTTGGATCGACTGGGAACATCATATCTAGATGTGGTGTTTTGCCATGATGTGGAATTCGTTTCGCCAGAAGAAGCCATCGAGGCCGTTGGGGCATTGTTTGAATTATCCGATCGAGGTATAATCAAACACGTTGGAATATCAGGCTACTCTATCGACCGTCTTATTCACGTTGCCAAGGCTGTGCTGGAGAAATATCAACGACCTCTTGATATTGTGCAGAATTGGAGCCAGTTGAATCTCCTGAATAGCCGCCTGGAGAGATACGGGATTCCGGAGCTACGCAAGGCCGGTGTGTCTGTGATCTGCAGTTCGAGTCCTCTTGCCTCGGGGCTTTTGCGGTCTAGTGATGTGCCGAGTGGGAAGCTAGGAGACTGGCACCCAGCGCCGGAGGGCCTTCGTAAGGCCGTGCGACAAATATCAAACTTTGTGGAAGCGCAAGGATCAACTCTGGCAGCTTTGGCTCTGCGGTTCTCCTTGGCAAGGGCATCTCGAGTGTCCCGGGACGGAGTCTCTGTTCACACCATTATCGGAATATGTTCTATCGGTGATGTTGAAGAGAATTTGTTGGTGATAGAGGGCATGCTGCGTCCAAATGGCGCGGAAAATAAACCAATTGCCGATACTCTAGGTGTAAGCTCCTTCAGCCGAGAAAGGGAGACTGCGGATCTTGAACTTCACAGACAGATTCAAGAGACCTTGGGGGAATGGGCAGAGTTTGATTTTCAAACTGGAAAGAGGGTATCTCGTATTTAGAGACTTCCTTGACATTGTCTTTATCCATTGTCTTCCGTACCGGAATTCAAAATGAAACATAGTCTGGCCGTTTCAAGAAATTCTTCTTACTTTTCTGGTCCTTTTCTTTTTCTCTTCAAACCTATCACATTGCTTTTTTGCACAATTGAGAATCGAAATCATCACTGGCCGTCTATCTTTGGCGTTTAGTGTTCGAAACTTGAAAGCGGCTGGACCGGACTTGGCTATGATCAGACAAGAGGTTTTAGCGATCTACTAGAGCATGGGACACATGGGTCTCTGCCTTTAGCTACTTCAGCCCAGCTGATCAGGAATTTAAATCGCAGCTAAACTGGAACTAGTACATGATTCCTCGCGGGAAGAGCTGTTCAAATTGCGGGGCCGATAACCTGGGGTTAGGGTTAGGCTCGGACCATGTCTGGAGAAAGTTCGAGTATGCAAATCTATTTTAAGATCCCTTGCGGCCTAGTAATAAAGAAAATACAGAGAACTTAATGTTCATGATAGTTTAGAAAAAATAGCCAAATTGTTAAAGTCTTAACTGGGAATTCCGTAATAGAGCACGCATAGGTGTTACAGAGCAATTTACCAACCATGCACTGCATTTAGCCGGTAATTTCTTGTAAAAATCATATATCAGACAATACGAAGTGCAGTATGGTTTGGAAAGTGGCTTTACCCTGCATCAGTAGGCGAATCGGTAGTTTTAGTGCTCATCAAGGTATGATCGATCTATGGGACTTCGCCCTTTGACTCCACAGCTGCACGACCATGCAACTTGATCCTTCTACTTCCGCAGGCCAATACGATATTTGCATTTCACGGCATAATCCCCGCTTCCTTTTCAGCATCAACCCCACGTTCCAAAAAGATTCTACGAATATCACTTCAGATCGGTTGCTGTGCAAGCTGAACTTGATCATCCATTTATTGTTCTTTTCATCGGTTTCTTTGGGACTTCTGTCTTCTCCGCAGTCATGAGTGACAAGATGCTCATCCTCGAGAACGATACAATTCAAGTCGGCATCCACATCAACGAGGATGGCACATGTTCACTGGCGTATCTCTTGCCAGCAGGTCAAAAACCTCAACCCTCATCCTCCCCACATTTTCAAGATGGATATCTTCCTTTGGTGGAACTTCGTCTAAGTGGACCAGGAAACTCCAGTCAGAAATCATCCCGGGCTTTGGTCGCAGGTTACATTGGCGAGCGTCTCAAGTATCAAAACCATCGCGAGTTCAATGATGGTCTTAAGCGATCTAAGAGTCTGGATGTGGGTTTACTCGACGAGAAGACTCAGATGACTGTTACGAGTCATTTGACGATCTTCGAGGATCTACCTTTCCTTCGATCTAGCGTTACAGCCAAAAACGACTCCTCGGTCGCCGTTGTGGTAAACCAAATGCCATCCGTCGTCATTGGAGGCATGACTCGATCTTCACAATGGTGGCAGGATTATGAAGTCTCATATGCAAACAACACCTGGTTTCGTGAGGCACAATGGGTGACACTGTCACTCCCTGACGTCGGCCTTGATGACACGGGGGTTTACGGTCTTCCAGATAAACACCAGGCTACCTTGGCTACTTTCGGAATATCAAACCAAGGTAGCTTCAGTACACAAGGAAAGCTACCGATGGGTATGCTGAAGAAGCGCGATCAGACAGAAACCTGGCTGTGGCAGATTGAACACAACGGCTCGTGGAGGTGGGAAATTGGAGACTGGCGTGATGATGTTTATCTGGCTGCTTCTGGTCCGACTAGTGATGATCACGATTGGAGGCACGGTCTCGCTCCTGGAGAGTCCTGCACTAGTGTTCCGGTTGCTGTCGCTCATCTCTTCGGTAATCAAGAGGCTGCTTTCGGTGCCTTGACACAATACCGCCGTCGCATCAGACGATCACATTCGGACCATCAGAAATTACCAATCATTTTCAATGACTATATGAACTGCCTAATGGGCGACCCGACAGACGAGAAGATTCTCGCGCTCATTGAGCCGGTGTCCAAGGCCGGCGCCGAGTACTTTGTCATTGATTGCGGTTGGTATGCCGACGATAGTAACTGGTGGGATGATGTCGGCCTGTGGGAACCATCGAAGCGAAGGTTCCCTATGGGCTTTGAGAATCTCCTGGGCAAAATCAGGGACGCCGGTTTAAAGCCCGGTTTATGGATAGAACCAGAGGTTATTGGCGTGCGAAGCATCATGGCTTCTCGTCTGCCAAAAGAGGCCTTCTTCGAGAGAGATGGTCAACGCATTATAGAGAAAGGTCGCTACCAGTTAGATTTCCGCCACCCTTCCGTCCAAACCTCAATGGACAAAGTCATTGACAGATGTGTTCAGCAGTATGGAGTTGGATATTTCAAATTCGATTACAATGTCCAAATCACCCAAGGTACCGACCTCAATTGTTCCAGTTCTGGTGCTGGATTTTTGGAACACAATCGTGCGTACCTTTTATGGGTGAACAGAGTATTCGACCGCTACCCTGAGCTTCTGATCGAGACTTGCTCTAGTGGTGCACAGCGACTTGATTATGCCATGCTCTCAGTCCACCCACTCCAATCCACCAGTGATCAGCAGTGTCCCACTCGCTATGCCGCCATCTCTGCAAGTATTCATACTGCTGTGACCCCGGAGCAGGGTGCTTCATGGGCATATCCTCAGCCAGATTGGTCAGAGGAGATCAATGCTCTGACTGTCGTTAATAGCTTGCTTGGTCGGGTATACCTCAGTGGTCGGCTGGACAGTATGAAGGCTGAGCAGTTGAAGATTATCGATGACGGGATGAGAGTGTATAAAGACATCCGAGGCGATATCCCTCGGTCTACACCTTTCTGGCCATTGGGTCTACCTGGTTGGCATGATGACTGGCTAGCTCTGGGTTTGGCTGCAAGGTCTGAAGATGGATCTGAGACTGGAAGGTATTACCTGGCCGTATGGCGACGTGGGGGATCAACCAAATGCAAACTACCTATTGCAGCCCTTAAATGCAGTGAATCTGTTGCAGTTGAGTTCCTTTATCCGACTCAACTTGCTGCGCAGAGTAGCTGGGATGCTGTGAACTCTGCGCTACTGGTTGAGTTCCCCGACACAATTTGCGCTCGCCTCTTTAGACTTCAGATTTGAGGGTAAGTCTGACCATGAGACCGAATCATTAATGCAATATTGAGAAGAGTATATTTCTTGTGCTTTAACAATCGAGTGGCTATAGCCTCAGGCTCTCGGGAACAAAGAAGAAAGAGACTGAAAAACAACAGACACCGTAGATTTACGACTGCCTATAAGCAAAACAATATAACGAGACACCATATGCATGATTTGGCAGTTGTCCGAAGAACTTCGTAGTTAAGGCTGCTCTGCTTGCTCTGATTGGCCGAGATGCGGAGCTCAAATCAACGGATCTTGAGTGCCGTTGCTTTCACTTCACTCACTCTACTCACTACCACAACTAGCCATGTCCCTAGTTATTTGAAGAGTGAATTCCTTCTCCGTGGCCTTGCTGTTCTTTCCTGAATTCGTATCCCTTCCCGAAAATCAGCCTAACTTCTGTCAACACATTTTCCGAACAATTCAGACCCTTACTCAAATCCGCGACAACACCCTCACATAACCAGTATGGACAACCGCGCTGACGACGGATACCCTCTGCAATCCACGGATTCCCGCTCTCCCCGTCAAACCACAGATTCCTACCGACCGGGTGACCAACAAAATCAAAGAGGCATGGACGGAGACGCAACGTCAGAGAGGCCATCCGCGCCAGTATCCAAGCGTGAGAGAATGCAAGAGCGACACCAGCGCCGCAAGCGCGGCCGAACACCTCCATCCGTATTCTCGCGCCGGAACCGCTCGCGCAGCCCAGATGGCTCAGCACCCCGCGACGACAGGGAGAGACGACGCTCCCGATCCCCTCTAGTGCCCCGTTCTCCTTCACCCGAGGCTCCTCGCCAGCGCAAACGACCAGGCGGTGGTGCGCGCCAGGGCCTTGCAGACCGTGAAACACTTCGCCGGAGACAGGAAGAGCGCGAGCGCGCTGAGCAGGACGACGCCTTGCGCAATTCTCGTGACCGCGGCGTGACAGATATGGTTCGACAACATTACAACGCGGTCCCTGAGCGTGGGCGTGAGTGGCGGAAGACTGAGAGTAAGATTAAGGGTCTGCGGAGCTTCAACAATTGGGTCAAGAGTACTCTGATTCAGAAGTTTTCACCCGATGAGGAGTTCGCCGCGAGGTTTAATGATACCAAGGATTGGGCGGATGACAGTGGGCCCCCGCCTGCTGATGACAAGCGGCTGCTGGTCTTGGATCTGGGCTGTGGAAAAGGTGGTGATCTGGGCAAGTGGCAGCTAGCGCCTCAGAATGTGGACCTATACGTCGGTCTGGATCCTGCCAATATCTCTATTGAGCAAGCGCAGGGCCGATATGAGCAGATGCGCTCTGGCCGTGGTCAGCGGGGCCGCCGTCCTCCCCAGCCGATCTTCCATGCTGAGTTTTACCCCAAGGACTGCTTTGGAGAGTGGTTGGGCGATATCAACATCATTCAACAGGTTGGTATTGATGCGAATGCCGGACCCGGAGGGTCGATCATGGCCTCGCGCTACGGCGGTGGTGGCTTTGATGTTGTCACCTCCATGTTCGCCATTCACTACGCTTTTGAAACCGAAGAGAAGACTCGTCAGATGCTCAGCAATGTTGCAGGCTGCTTGAAGAAGGGAGGTCGCTTCATTGGTGTCTGCCCCAACTCGGATGTCATCGCCAGCCAGGTGTCCAATTTCCACAAGAAGCGCAAGGAACGTGAAGCTGCCAAGCCTGCTGAGTCCGAGGGCCCTGAGGATGGTGAGGTCGAGGAAGACGAGCGGGCCTCGTGGGGCAATGATATCTACCGAGTTCAGTTCCCTGGCGCAACACCTGAAGATGGCATCTTCCGTCCACCTTTTGGTTGGAGGTACAGCTATTTCATGCGGGAGGCAGTTGAGGAGGTGCCGGAATACGTCGTCCCATGGGAGGCTTTCCGAGCGTGAGTTTTCATCTTGATTGAAAGAGGTACATCGCTGACTTGTCTAGTTTGACCGAGGATTACAACCTAGAGCTTCAATACCGCAAGCCTTTCTTAGATATCTGGGAAGATGAGAAGAATGACCGTGATCTGGGTCCTTTGAGTGAGCGCATGGGTGTCCGGGATCGCTCGACTGGTGCCCTGGCTATGACAGAGGAGGAGAAGGAGGCAGTTAGTGAGTATTCCGCTGATATTTTTATACTTCCCTCCGCTAACAATATATCAGGCTTCTACCATGCCTTCTGCTTCTACAAGGTTTAAGTGGAACATCACAGGGTCTATGGCTGATGTTGGAATATCTCCGGTTCAAGTGCCCATATCAACAAACATTCTCCACCAGATATCAAATCTATGTATAACCAAAGCGAAAGAAAGATAGACAAATATATTCAAACCACCCAACCACCTCACCTAATCTTCTAACCTGGATCTAAACATCCTGCTGCTGAATCTCCACCAAATTCCCATCAGGGTCCCTAACCAACAAAAAGTTCTCCCAGCCAATCAACCCCTGAGCCTCAACAAGCCTCCTCTTAGCCTCAAGATGCACTCCCGCAAAGCCCCCAACACCAAGTGCATTAGGAACACCCCCCTCAAACGCCTCAATAGGCACACCCACTCCCTTCAGAACCTCCACCCCCTTACCCTCCAAATACGTCTGCGCCTTGACAACATCAGGAACAACCAGCCCAACATGGCTAAACGTATTCGTCCGCTGCGTCGACGACAGCAACGTATCATCCGAAACACTAAACTCCACAATTTCCAACAACCCGTACATATTATTCTTGCCCATGGTCATTTCTGTGCCGGTTTGGAACCCTGTGCCGTTTCGTCCACCTTGCACGTAGCCCATGTATGTCACTGTGTATTCGGGTGTCAGGGCAGCGTCGAAGAGGAGCCGCATGCCCAGGACGTTGCCGTAGAAGCCCTTCATTGCGGTGAGGTTGTTGGTTATTAGACCGACGTGGTTTAGCGCGTAGCCTAGGGTTTCGGGTGGTGCGGGCCCGTCTGTGCCTAGGGTGAATGGGTTGCTTGCTGTGGCATCGGCGGTTGAGCGGCGGGTTGGGTTGCAAGCTTTTGTTTGGAGAGAGAATATGGAGAGGAGAATTGGGAGCAGGGGTAGGAGATGCATTTTGACTGTGATGGACTTGAACTTGGGGCAGAATTTGGCTCTGATGTCTCTCGTCTTGATGGGGGACCAAGGTTCTCTTTATATGTTTCCAGGCTCTCGATATCTTGCTCAATTGCGTCTCTGGCATCGATATTATGCAGCTTAAGAGAGTATATTCACCATTTTCAAGGCATGTCCTCTCTAGTATACATCACAAATCAAACAATGACCCGTCAATCTTAGTGGGGGCCATCCGGCGATCTAACTCTATCAGGTGGAACCCTGCGACATTCAGGTCTGGAGCAAAGTCCAAAGTCTAGCTATGCTCCTCTCTAAGCCCCCGGGCTGCAGGTTAGACTTGGACATGCTCATGCCATGGGCTGTAGGTGAGCAGCCACAGTCTTGGCAATGGTCTATACAGCTGCAGGGTCTAGCGGGATAGACTGTAGGACGCCAACCTTGTTCGTATAGGTGCAGATCAGAGCTCAAGTAAGCTATGTGCAGGGCTGATCACCTGCGCCTGTGACATGCTAACTTGCCGGAACGAATATAACCCAGGTCTGGCAATGTTGAGCTCAGGTTGTCTTGTGAGAGCAGAAATAATAAGTTATCATAATTACTCCGGGATGGTGGGGGGTATGAAACACAGCAACTGTGGGATGTGTTGCCAAGAGATCAGGCGTCCCAGTTAGGGTTGGAGTTACCGTTTCTGGGCCACGGGAAGGGTCCATGTCTCATGAGGTCATTCATGTGTTCCATGCTGTGAGACTTCTTTTGGTTCGAACATGTCAAGGTACAATTTGTGGTGTTTCGGGTTGAGTTGGAGAACTGGGAGCGTGGGGTTGCGTTGCGTGATTATGGTAGTTGAAATTTCTGTACTACAATGTCTGCAATGAGCAAGCTTCATATTTGGAATTCACGGGTCTGCTGCTGGAGCCAAAGAACCTTGGAGGAATCCTTTGTGAAGGTAATAGATCCTTGACTTGGGAGAGAAAATCTGGGGTTAAGATCCGACTTTTTGATTGAGTATGTCTCAAAGTGTTTGATAATCATATACTGTATCTGAGAATCAGGTTCAGACTCAGCATTACAAAACCTCGTAGCGGTAGCCTCAAAAACAAAGAGTCTCCATGACTGCAGTTGAGAAGCACCCGACGATATACTTCCCGATAAGCCTTATCGGCTCAAATCGGCTAGCGTCATCGCGTCTCGCGTCAAGATTTCGAGATACGCATTTACCATCCAACATCGAGCAACTCACCTCCAGACACTCCCCCGCCAAAATGAGCGCGACTCCAGACAGACGCTCAAGGCTCTCCCAATCTCATCCACCCTCAGCACAATCCCGACGAAACCAAACCCACCCCACCGAAATCCCATCCCTACCAGACTATGTTCCCCCCGAGGCACCCCTCACAGCCGAATCGCAACGACACCTGGCATCTTTAATCGCAAATACCTACCACCGCAATCTAATAACACACCTTAAACACGCCAACGAAAAACTCACACACTCAGGCGGTGAAGTGAATGAACGGTTGGCCGATGCGCGCGGCCGCTACGAGAAGAATAAATACCTGCGACGACAACGCGAGGGACTGGAAGATGCGGATGGAGGTGAAGATGACGAGGAAGATGAGGAGTATCAGCGGCTTGCTGGAGAGGAGACTAAGGTCAACGCCATTACCGCGCAAATGGAGGAAAAGGCGCGGTTGATGGTTGATTCGGAGGCTAAGCTGCAGACGTTGACGGATGCCATAACTGAACTTGATAAGCAGGAGGGGGAGGCTATTTCTGCGGCTTTAGGGTCAAGGCAGACGCGTGCTGGGAGGAATAGGCGGCGCGCCAATGATGATAATGATGAGGATGGAGATGGGGAGGATGAGGATGATGCTGATTATGAGGATGCGCAAGAGCGCGAGACGCAGGAAATGAATTCGCGGAACCCGCCCAGCCGAAGGTTGGAAAATATGATTGCTGAGGGAGCGGAAAAGTGGGATGATATGTCTTTGACGGAAAGGTATGTTTTTGTGTTCCTATTTGGGACATGTGGCGGCTTACAATTGCGGGTCTAGATATGCTGGCCATAACCACTACATCGGGTTCTATCGCATGGTTCACGACTCTAAATTCCCCGGCGACGATGTGCCCCCGCTCCCCCACTCGTCTACATGGTTCCAGCATATGGAGGATACAAGTGCTCGCTCAAGTGGAGCACGTACCCGCAACCAACGGCGTCACTCTTCCGTTGACGACGATGACATCGCCATTGAGCGCGAGCGTATCTCTCTGAAGTGTCCATTGACCCTGTTACCATTCCGTGATCCGGTTACCAGCACCAAATGTCCCCACAGCTTCGAGCGCGAACCGATCCTCGATATGATCACCCGCAGCCCGACTACCATTCCACCGCCTGCAGCTCGCCGTGGCCAACGCCGTATCCACGTGATCAAATGTCCCGTCTGCTCTACTCCGTTGACTGCCGATGATCTGAACCCAGATCCTGTTCTCCTCCGACGAGTGCGCCGTGCGCAGGAACTCGAGGAACGAGAAGAAGACGAGGACCATCTTGGCGATGGACGGGTGAACAAACGTCGTAACAGCGAGATCAGTGTGGCCAGTGATGGGAGTAACGATGGTATGGATGTGGATACACCTGAACCCTCACAGCGTATCAAGGCCGAACGGTTCAGTCAACCGGCTCCCATGTCAGTTGAATCGGAAAGCGGAGAAGAAGAAGAATCCGGGGAAACAAGCGAGGACTCGGGTTGATAAGTTAACGTTTCAATGAAAGCCAAGGATTCCCAAGTGTCACATCGTATTGAAGACGCGGCACAAACATGACAAACAGAACCAACTCCAACCTTTTCGCACCGAGCTAAGCCCAGAACGTGGAAACGGCTGATAACACTAGTCCTAATTGGGGATCCCCGCAGTCGACCCAGTAAAAAAGCGGTGGGTAATAGTGGGGCAGTATGGCTCCCGAGCCAATCAGATCCCATCTGGCCACGAGGAACACAACTACAAGTCGCCCCTTATCGCTTATTATGGCCTCAGCCTCGGAATACGGCAGTTCGCTTGGTTGCTTCGTGACTTTTTAGTGGGAAAAAGAGAAAAAAAAAATCGACAAACTTAACTCCACATCCCTAGAGAGTAACCCTGCTGAGAACGATACGACGGTATCTAAAACCCCCGACTTAATCTCACGCGACAAGTCAAACAAGCTTACACAAAGAGACTGTACCATCCGTAGGGTGTAACCATGCTATCAAAGCGTGCAGCCCCAATCAGCTATAGACCCCCGCAAAATAGAAGCCAATTGTTGGCTCTGTCCAGTGCTGTCCCCAGTGCTGCCCCCTAAGGCCAGCCACACAAATAAGTCGCCTGTTCTAATCCAAGCCGATGCTACCCTGCAAGCTCAGTATCTCTCTCTCTAATCTTAGCGCTGGGATATCATAGCTTTCCTTTTTAAGCATCCTCTCCCCATCCCCTTCAACCTCACCTCTTCCCATCCACAGACTCTACTCAACATCGTTCTGCGGTCCCAATTCCGCTATCCATAATGGAGAAGTCTCCCGAGCACTCGACCGCCGAGCCCATCGACGTTCCCCGTCCCACGGGATGGATGTACCGATCGCGCTCCATCGGCAAATGGTCAACCAGCTGGTATGCCTCGCCACGCATTCAGCTGGGCATGGTCGCCTTTGTCTGCTTCCTCTGTCCCGGCATGTTTAACGCCCTGAGTGGCTTGGGTGGCGGTGGAAAGGCCGACCACACTCTCGCCGATCAAATGGTAAATCTCCGCCCCCCACACCATGATAAGCATCCCGAGGCTGAACGCTAACTGGTCAGAACATCGCCCTCTACTCAACCTTTGCTGTGGTCGGTTTCTTCGCCGGTACGATTGTCAACCGTCTCGGAATCAGATTGTCGCTCTCGTTCGGTGGTATTGGTTACTGCTTGTACTCTATCAGTCTGATCGTCTCGGAGCACAAGTATGTTCCCGGCTTCAACATCTTCGCCGGTGCTTTCCTCGGTGTCTGCGCTGGTCTGCTCTGGGCCGCACAAGGAACCATCATGATGTCCTACCCCGCTGAGCACCAAAAGGGTCGCTACTTCGCTTGGTTCTGGGGTATTTTCAACGTCGGTGCTTGCATTGGTAGCTTGGTAAGTGCAAGATATCAAACTTGACTCACGCAAATTCAAGATCTCTCCCAACACAGACCCACAAACAAGAGACTAACCAGGATAGATTCCTCTGGGCCAAAACATCAATGTCAAGACCAACGCCAACGTCACTGACGGCACCTACATCGCCTTCATTGTCCTCATGTTCGCCGGCGCCTGTCTAGCCCTCTTCCTCTGCGACGCAGACAAGATCGTCCGCAAGGACGGCTCCCGCGTCATCCTTATGAAACAGCCCAGCTGGAAAACAGAGTTCATCGGCCTCTGGGAAACAATCCGCTCCGAGCCCTGGATCATTCTCCTCTTCCCCATGTTCTGGTCTTCCAACTGGTTCTACACATACCAGCAAAACGCCATCAACGGCTCCTACTTCAACACCCGTACCAAGTCCCTGAACGGCTTCCTCTACTGGTTTGCACAGATTGTCGCCGCCATGATTATCGGTCCCCTGCTTGATGTTGAGCGGGTGCGTCGCTCCGTTCGTGCGAAGATCGCCCTGACAACACTTTTCATCTTGACCGTTGCCATCTGGGGTGGTGGCTATGCTTGGCAGAAGAAGTATACCCGTGCCGATGTCGATCCTAAGATTCACCCCGAGTTCGTGGGCTGGGACTGGACTACCAATGGCTACGTCGGTCCTATGTTCTTGTACTTCTTCTATGGCATGTACGATGCCATCTGGCAGGGTGTTGTTTACTGGTGAGTTGATCCCATCCCCAATGCTGGAAATTGTGTTTTGCTAACTATATCTTAGGATCATGGGTGCCCTCGGTAACTCCGGCCGCAAGCTCGCCAACTTGGCTGGTTTCTACAAGGGTCTCCAGTCAGCCGGTGCGGCTGTCATGTGGAGTCTCGATAACAACAAGCTCCCCTTCATGAACGAATACGCCTCGAACTTCGGTCTGCTCTGCGGTTCCATTCTCGTCGCTGTCCCCGTCGTATTCTTCAAGATTAAGGACTCCGTCCCTGTCGAGGAGGATCTCGCCGGAACAGATGAGACTCTCGAGGACGTTCTTCCTCCCGGCGCTATTGAGTCGAAGCATGTTGGCGATGAGAAGATTTAAAGCTGAGCTTTGTCTTCATCGCTAATCTGGTCTTGATTCCGCTCCGTGGTGGCATGGTGGCATGGTACATTAATGCGCTTTTGATCCTTACGAACTTGCTTTTCTTTTCTGATTCTCCCTCTGCTCTTGGATATTGATGTTTCATATTCATACGATATCCCGCTGGCGTGTATTCCTTTTTTTATGTTTTCTTTTATATCTTTATTTTTCCTTTACTGTTCCTATGCTATCCACCTGGTGGCGCGTCATGACATGACTCGGGGGTTATGTATTTACTAAGTACCCATTCCAATATCTATGGAGATAGGTCTAATAATTTAATCCTCTATTAAGATGAACTGTCGTTAGTTGAAGTAAAAGTTTATAATCCGATCCTTCGGTCTGATATCCAAATCTAGAGTTTTATTTGGTCATGGTGGTGTTTAGGGAGTTTGAAATTTTCACATTTACAGTTTTGATTGTACTTGGCATTCATTGTAACTGAATTTTTCAGTATGCCAAAAGGAGAAAGAACATCCCTTCACCAGCAATCATCAATCAATACGTCGTCACCACAGCAGCACAGGACCTATGGCACCATCCTTCACGGCCTATTCCTCCACGGCAGCATTCGGATCCCCACGGGCCGGACTCGGACTCGACTTGCCTTGCGCTCTTAGGCTCCTCGAATCTCGCCCGTCTCGCCCGTTTCGATCTCTCCCAGGCGCCTATTCCTATACAACATCCTCACCACTAGATACGCCATTGAAGCCCAATAATAGGTCGTAGCTTTGAGGTAGCTTACACGGAGTTCTAGATATACATAAGCATATTTATACATACCCATCATTTAATGCATTGATGTATAGTCCTTCGGCTTCGCATCTGCGAAGAATCCCTGGTGACCAGGTCACTCAGAGCTATTAATAACGATAAAATCGGACTTAGACTGTCCGGCAAGCTCAATAGCCGGATGAACTGGTCCAGCTGATCTAGCCGGCAGATTCGCTTCTAGAAAAGCCCGGATCGCAACCAACGGGATGCCATGCCTCATGGCCGTAGAATCGTCCCACGAGGAATGCAGTCCGACGAGAGTCCCATCCAATGACCTTAGCAGCGGTGCCCCCGAGTGGCCCCAGTACGTCCAGGCATCATGTTTGAGAACGCCAATTTCCGAGTTGTCGTGTGGATCCACGTTGGGGATCAGCCCACATAGTCGACCCTCGGATACCTCGATCCAGTCGTATGCCGTCTTGCGGGGCATACTTGACTCCAGGTCGTCTGCGCCGGGTTGTCCGATGCAAAATATCGATTCTGTGGGGTCCTGTATTTTTGCGGGGGAGATATAACTGAAGATGGGGAATCGCACGTCGGTATCACCCGGCTGGGGCTGCTCCATCTCAACGTGGATGACCTTGGCCATCGCAAGATCGCGTCGTGGGTCCCAGACGCGACATTCCACTTGCACCGCCAGCCCTGTGTAGTATAGCAGCCATTTCCGTCGGTGTGTTTGCCATTCTTGTCGCGTTTCACCGAAACAGTGTGCGCAAGTGAGGATCCAGCCTCTTGCGTCAATACACACTGCTGTACCTGCCTCGGCTTGACCGAATATCAACGTGGATTTCAGAGCGCGCACTGCCTGCGGACTTGTTTCACGGGCCAAGGCAACTGTGGATGAAATTGATTTCCGCAGTCGTGTTTGTTTTTGTCGTAGATTCTGAAGCTCGGTACTATTGAGATCAGGTAGTGATTTGTTGAAGATGATCCTTGGTTCGCTCAGAGTGAAATTTGGGACGAAGCGGATAGGTGAGTGGCTGTTTGTTGTTAGTTCCGATGATGTAGCGTGTGAACGCAGCCGACGAGACATGATTGAAGTTCCAAGTCCATCGAGGTGTTTTTTCAAGGATGTTGGAAGCAAACTTCACACTTGGAAGGTTGAAGAGTAGAGGAGAGTGGGCATCGCTGGAGAACGTGAGATAATTCTTAGATCGCATGGTTATTATTGGTGGCCAGCCCCAGGAGAAAGCCCCTATTTAGTAATCTAGTATTATATAAGCTTTCTAACCGAATAAACCTTCTATTGTAACGGCTGTTTAGCAATGCCTTGGGTAGTAACTATTTGTAAACCCTATAAATCACTCGGGATGATATCCTCCCCTACTTACTTTTGACTATCACTAAATTTTGGTATAGGTAATGATCACCTTTTATTTGGACTAGGCAGCCAGACATGCGCTGGTTGCTTTTTGGCGATCCAGGAAGCCAAGGTACTCATGGCACGCTTCTTGAAGTTACGATTTCAAATTGGCTGAAGGCGTCCCTGGACACCCAATGCACAATGCTGCAGGTGTGCTGATAGTAGTCGATCCTACTGCTATATTCTTGTGCAAAAGTCGTACCATTTGATTGAAAATCGTCGTTGAAGAAATTGGTAGATATGTCAGGACCACCACCAACTAAGGCTGTCGAGACCTACTAATAAAGATATATTAGACTGTGTATTAGAAGATTTGAGGAACTGACCCAGTTCCTTAAGATGGTGTTGTGTTTGTTCACATGACATGGTCATGTGGCCCTAGGAAGATAAATAGCAAGCCCACGCTGATTCTCGGAATCCGCGTTTAGACTACTTTCTATAATATATGTTCTTCTTATTATATACTGAAATGGGATATGCTCGATGGTAGTCTGGTCAAAACAGACAGGTCGACACTAGCAATGGGAGTACAGGCAAACCCCCAATAAGAGGTAGGGCTATAGGAAAGGAGAGCACATAGGGGTGGTCTCAAGTGAGGAATGTGTCTGTCTTACTCTACGTAGAGAAGAGAGGTCTGAAATACATCATAAATGCTGAATTATCCGTAGACCGCTACTTTATGCAGTAAGCAGTTCCCCCACTACATACCACCCTCCCTAATGATTGACCGTCCCTTAGTCAAATGCTGAAAATCTGAAGACTGAGGGCAATTTGCCCGAATCGTGATACTAAACTTATAAACTGAGAACCGAGGGTAGACGTAGTGGCCGAAACCGTAAAGCGAAGGGGTACAAATACTTCTGGTCGGTACTCTCAAGCCTTCCTGATCAAGCTCAGACGCCACTCTTCCTGGAGAATAGACTTCGAGGTCTAGCGACATGTCCCGAATCCGAACTCAGGCCCACAAACTAGATCCTGCCCTGGTGCCGGGTGCCGTTTTCAGGTCTTGCTGACACGCTTATATTTGGTATGGAATGGGCTCTAAATTCGCTATATCAAGCATTGAACTCATTAACTCGTTGATAACCTATGATCGTAGTAATCAAACAAATTTAAGCCCAAAATCTATCAGTACCACTGCACCAATTACATAAGTGCTAGCATCCGATGCTAACCACAGTATCGCCTATGCAATCTCTGCCGGCAGAGAAAAACGATTTAACAAACCGACTCGCGTCGCATATTTTTCCTGGCTGGTTCCCATGGTTGCCAGGGTATTTAGGGTCATCTCAGTAGACACAGCACCGGGGGCGGACGCATTTATGCGGATATCATGTTCGCCATTCTCCAGGGCCACTCCAGGAGTCAAACTCACAACACCATGCTTGGCTGACGAGTAAGCAGCTACAATATTCTCTGCCTTGGTGGGAGTGGCGGATGCCATATTGATAATCGCGCCGTCATCATTCTGTGCCTGCATCTGGCGTAGTTTCCCCTTGAGTAAGAAGACGATAACGGGCCGGTGTATTCATAATGTTACATAGCCTTTCAACATTCAAGATTCATGATATAGCTCAGACCTTCGTAGTAGGCCTTATTGCAACCCATATCTAATACCTGACCTTTCTATTTGGTTTCAAACATGCTTTCTCCATTCGGTGTCGACCATCTGTTGTGTTACACTGTCAACTTGCCGCTCACGTCTCATTAGTCAATTCAAGCAGCCTTGGCGGACTGAAGTTAATCTGGCTAACATTCAAGAATGAACAAAAGGGCATATAATGGTGGAAATGATCTCGAGCGGGCATGTAACATATGAGGATCTACATGGTTTCAAATGTATTATTTCGCACGCATCAAAAATCAGGGGTAATGTGGAAGGTGAAAGAGCCGACTTGGGACAGTGCAACAATTATCTGGTAAAATTTGCGACCAATCGACATGTCTGCTATTGCTACAGTAACTAAAGTCCTGTTCATTTGGATGACTCGTCCCTGATTCGTTGGCCTACTTAAGCCGGGATTGAAAATCATGCCCTTGAAACCTTTTTACACCGGAATCCCCTTATCCTGGACTTGACTTGAATCCTCCCATTAAACCTCGTTCGTTATGTTGTACCAAAGCTTTGAAATGGAGCCCCTAGATAACTCATGGCCCTGAGCTAGCTATCTAGATCTCCGATGAGGGATCTCTTACTTTCTGCCTAGTGAGAGATATCAAGTAGTAACAGTCGGGCCTAGTACTTATGGTTCGGTCTAGTATGTAATGACGCTACCGTGGTTGACAAGAGCTGCAGGTATGATATTGTCCTACGTGATGGACCATATCGCTTGGGATTTGAAGCTAATCAGTTGAACAGGCCCTGTCAACGCTCATTTCAGCCTAGCCCATGCCAAACCCTGGGCTGGGCTGGACTTACGGCCCAAGGGGTGGCTTCTGCACAGGAACCCCCGGACCAACCTGGGCACGGCTGCTACTGCAATCAGATTGGTATAGTCCTAATTGTTATTGAAAAGCTCAAGTGCCCCTTGATTTACCCCTTGATTTTGGAACTACGGAAAATGAGCTACAAGCGTGGAGTATGTGAGTATCTATACAGGATCTCTGCCATAGTGGTTTTTGGATAATTATTGTCCGAGGGTCTATTCTACCTGTAATTGAGATTAAGTACCACTCATTTAGAGTTAAATTGTATCTCATTCCATTTATGTTCTATTCAGGCTCGAGGTATGTAAAACCCCTTGGTCAAGTGGACGGAGCAGATTGCCCACGATCTTTACCAAAGGAAGTCACATTGCAAACTGATTCAGTAATTGCTAGTCGTATTCCATTATATTCGACGCCTGGTCAGAGCTTTATTTTCACGGTCTATATAACGAGCTTCAGTTCTTCTAGTGACATCAATGCTACATCATATTTTACTACTCATTTTCATATCTCACGAAAGATCGCCCTGACCATTCCTTGAACAACATGAAGCTGATTGAGATTTCGGTGCTTCTGTGCGCGCTCAACGTCGCTGCCTTGCCTCGAGATATGGATAGACCGTTGGTGGAGCAGTGTTCCAACAATCAGCTATCCTGCTGCTCAAACCTGAAAAACACGGCCAATGCTAATATAGACAACGTTGATCAAACCATGGATATCGGCAATCCCGTCGCAGTGCTCGGTGCTGTGTCTGTTCTCGTTGGCAATACTCTTAGCCAGGCCGTGGAGGCCCTTCCTATTAGCATTCTGTCTGGCTGTGCCCCCCTCATAGGTGCGTATAACTCTGACAATTTCTTAATCATTTGAAATAGCAGCTTCTAAAACAGGTGTCTAGGAAATTCTGTCACTACTTGTGTCAACTATCTCGCTTGTTGCGTACCTCACGACGATCATGATGATCATCACGCCCGTGGGAACACTCACAATGTAAACATACATAGCCCCCTCTACCATGACACGTTGCTAAATATACCTAGGGTGATGAGAAAAAATGCCGAGTCCTCAGAGACACTAAGACTACACACAAGTCTGGCTTGCTTGGTTTGCTCTAAAGACATTAATATTTCGGAGAGAAGCTGGAGGGCAAAGATGTGGAGAATTGGAGGCGACGGCTGGAAGACGGAGTGTAACGGTTAAGCCCTTTTTCTTTTCCACACGGAAGAATTGGCTCTATCTATCTGATGGCATGTTGACGACGTTGGAGATAAGATCCAACAGCAAACTTGTTGTGACTCACTTTGTATTTATCAGTGTTATAACACTGACTTGGTGAGAGCTGGCATGACCCATTTATGGCGGAGAATTCACGCCGGAAATCCCAAGACTTGATTTGATTTCGGATTGTGGCCTAATTCTTATCACACCTCATCTCGCAGACAATTTAGATTATACTACTACCGTATCTGAGGCATAATTGATATGGTACGAGCTTTGAATGCTCTCTGAATCGAATCGCGCTCGGAAGAGAAAGAGTGTCTATCTTGCTCTGCTACGCGCATAGAGGTCTTATACATGTATATATTACGAATGCTGAATCGCCAATTAAGTTGGGCCTTGGGCTTAACGGTGGGGACTGTAAGGCGCCTATCAATACCCCGGAAGTGGGAGCTCCCCTGTTGTCATAAGTCTCCGATACGGAAAGATGGTTCCTCCGCTCAATGAGTCGGCCACTTCTACCAGCCTTGGATTTGTAATAAGACCGTTCATTCCTAGGTTATTATAACTAAGAAATGTAAAATGATAAAAGAAAGAACAATAAAAGTTTCCCCGGAGCAGCCTATCCTCATTGATTCATTTCCTATACAAGAACTATCAACCCCATTTCCCTCGATGATCTACTTTCCTATGGAATCAAAATGGCATCCAACGTGCAGAACCGAATAATCGTCATGCTTGGGGCTACAGGACACCAAGGCAAAGGCGTAGTGAGTTCGCTTCTAAGCGACAGTGCGCGGGGACTGTGGAACGTCCGCGCTGTCACCAGAGATATCAACTCCGTCTCAGCTCAACGTCTTTTGGATGATTTTCAAACCCCCGACCACCGTCTAAGCCTTACTACCGGCGACATCTTTGATGAAGAAAGTCTTCAGATCGCTTTCCGCGGGGCTTATGGTGTGTTTGCGGTGACGAGCGAGACTAATGCAAGAACGATTGAAACCGAGGATGACCTGAAGCAGGAGCTCGAAAGCGGGAAGAACATTATTTCTGCTGCGAAGATCTGTCACATTCAGCACTTTGTTCTGAGTAGCTTGCCAGACATGAAACAAGCGACTTCGGGTCGCTTTGACAAGCTTTTCCACATGGATCATAAGTTTATCATTGAGCAGTGGGCAAAGCAATCCTTGCCGGCGGTTACTTGTCTTCTTCCCGGTGAGACTTATTTCTGGCTTTCAGCGTCCGAGTGAATTTGCAGCCAACATTTTTCTAGGTCTCTTCTTCACCAATCTGGATCGTCCGCAGTATTGCCGAAGAGAAGGTCAGTTCAGAAAAGGAAATTTTCCCACGGACAATATTTCTCACTGTTGCAGCAAATGGGGTCGTTCGTTTTTGTACCCCGATTCCGCCGACAAAATTAGTTGAATGGGTTGATCCTGTTTATGACATGGGTATTTTCGCCGCAGGTAAGTTGCGATATCGACTTCTTTGCTGTCGTTTCTGCCAAGGAAGACCTGGCGTGGTACCCCACGCCTTGTAATGGGAGACTGGACAGAATCAACTCGTAATTCATTGGAAGTAAAAAACTGATGGGATCTCTCACAGAGGTATTTGCTTTGGGCATTGCGAAAACAAAGAACAAAAACTATATCGTCTGCAGTCCAAAATTACGAATGGACGAGTTCGCATCCACCTTCACACGGGTCACTGGCCAGCCAGCGATTTATTCCCCAATTTCGATGGATGAGTGGGCTGATTTGGCTTCTAAGCCGGTAGGAAACGGGTTCAAGGAGGATATTCGCCAGATGATGGAATGGATCTCGATAGCGCCTGTAGACAAAGTTTGTTACGGGGCTCTTGATCCAGCTCAAGACTCTACCTGGGAGGATCTCCACCTACGAGCTAGTACTTTCGAAGATTGGTTAAGACGTTCCGGTTGGCGAGGTCCTCCAGAGTGAATCTGTGATGCAGTCAAAGCTCGCTTATACCACGGTGGTATAGAACACATCCTCGGTTACAACAGACCCCTTGAACTCTTCATTCCAGGTTTTTGTATATCAATTGTCGAGATATGATACACTTTGTTTTACCACACTTTTTCCTGCCCACATGTCCCCAGGTGCAGGTGGGATCTCTGTTTAGTCGCATCAGGTTAGGTTATAACTTATCTTTACTATTTTTATTGGAAAATTTAGAATAGGATGTATATCGGAATAATGTGTCAATATTTAGAACCCCTACTTTGTGTCATGTAGAAAGGAGAAAATTAAAGGAGGGAGCTCTTATAGGCTCCCTTACTGATCACTTGAAGCACTCAGATCATCATTACTCACCCTAGTGTGCTGCTTATGCCGTTTCTCAAAATCAGGGCCTTATAAAAGTTCAACTCCCTTATCCTCCTGGCATAAGTACGGCTAAGCAGACGGGAAGCCTTGTTCTCCGGACCATATGGTCATATGTCCTTGCTCTAACATTAAATGGAATGATGTAGAGTATAAAGTCTATATGTTGGGTGGTGGCTGATCAGGGTGAGTGCTCTGTAGTCAGGGTAGCATCTGCAGTAACAGTAGCTCTAGGGCAGATTATTCTTTCTGGATTGCGTTACTGCCTACCATATAGATATCAGGTTCTTGAAATCCTTGCGCCTCTAAATGCTACTTTATTGTACATAGGTGATCATACTACGATTGTTCAATTGCGACCTAAGTGCTAGTTAGCCAGGGCCCACGGATCTGTCAGCAGGATTCGTTGGGGTGAGTTCTGATAAGTGATGGAGATATGGAGGAGTCAAGGCATTGGGCAAAGGAAGTTGTGTTGGGGTTGGTTTGACCAATCACAATCCCGATCTGGTTGGTTGCATGCTTCCTGTACGAATACTACGTGCTTATGAGCCATTGGACGTTGAATGCGTGTTATCAATCTCCTTGGAATGATGTTACAGCAAGGAACAATTCTTGGTTTAGATAACAAAGACTGCAACAAAGGCAAAAAATAACATTTGATGTAACTTGTAATCTGCAATCGCATTTATTGCTCCTATGGAGATAAAACAACAGTGGAACAAATAGGAGATGCCACAACATCGCGACCGAGGCAAATATCGATCAAACTGACAGAGCAAGACAAGGGGTATTCGCTTGTCGAAGAACATAACACATAAAGTCAACACAGACAAAAAGAAGTTTACGCAAAAAGCATTGGTTATCGTCCGATGCCTTTCCGCGGAGAAGACCGGCCACGGATCCGACATGTTTTCGTGGTTTTTTCTTCCCCGTTGAAAAGAAGATAGCAATGGAACTAGAATGCATCACACCGGAGATTTGTTTCCCGGTCAAGAACCGACTTGAGGGGAGGGGAGGGGATCGCTTCTCAGTGAATGATAGGGAGTGCGCGATAAACGGCGGAGCTGCAGCAATGTTGGGGTGGATTTGGTTGAGCTGTCTCCGCCGGACGCTGCATTTTCCATGTAGAAATCCAAATTGTGAATGGCCAGTGAGTTTGAACAACGCGGGTATCAGTTTTCCATAAAGGCAATTATTTGGTGATGATGTTCAGATAATCGGCCACGATGAGAGTCACCATCCTATCAAAAGTCAGTGGAGAAAACAAGTAAGAAAGTGGGGGCGACTAACGCATGAGGAGCGATCCGAACGTAGTAAGTTCCGAAGCCCCGGTAGAAGCGCAACCAACCCTCCTCCGCCACAACCTTCCGCGCACAATCCAGCATCCCCTTGTAAGGAAGCTTTCCAGTCTGGGGATCCTTCTGCTGCTTCTGCAAACGAGTCTTGAGGAAATCAAAAGGCAACGACAAGAAACTAGCGAAGAACCCAGCAATAGCAGAGGCCGCGAACGTCTGGTTTTGCACCGACAATGCCGTGTGCTGCTTCAGCTGCTGCTTGGCCTCGGCGAAGAAGGTCAACTGGCCCATGTTCAGCGCCATAGCCCGCACCACTGTCGGGAAAGCACCCGCCCACAGCGCCCCGATTCCCTCGCCGCGGGTAATCCGGAACAAGGCGTCGAACACAGAGCGATAGTTTGCCCGCGCTTCGGGAGCCTTGAGGCCGTCCGACTGCATGCGCACGAGGGCCAAGTCGGCTGGGTTTCCAATCATGGCTGCAATACCACCCGCGCTTAGTCCAGCCGCGGCGCGCTCTGCGAAGGTTACCTTGCGGTTTGCTGCTTCGGCGCGGGTGTTGAGGCGCGTGATGAAGGTGTCGAAGAAACCGAGGCGGGCGGTTGTGTAGACTGCTTGGCGGAGGAGACCGGCGGAGAGTCCGGTGTATAGATCCAGGGCTTTGCCGGATGCGATGATGTCGCGCGTGATTCCTATGGCAGAGGGCTTGGGTCCGGTGCGGGCTCCCTCGCCGGCGAGCTGCAGACGCACTTTGACCATATCAACGGGCTGGATCACGACCGTGGCGGTCATACCAGCTAGACCACCGTTGATGAAGGGCAAGGCGGCGCGAGTGTATGGGTGGTGCAGGAAGTCTGTTGGGCGTTCAATGGCCGAAGCCGCAGCTGTTGCGGTGGCAGCGGCATCGCTGGCGGTTTCTTTGATAGTGCTCGATGCCATGATGAGTGATGACTTGGTCTAGACGCGAAGTGTTAATACCATGTACAAAGTCAGATGTGGACAGATTGAACCGAGTATGACTGACGTGGAATACGAGCTGTCCAGGCCTCGGGTCAGTTCGTTCGTATTATCTACCGAAAGGACAAACTGGACCATGGGACTTACCAATGACGTATGTCAACGAGATTCTCGACAAAGTGAAGTTGAGAAGGAAAAGAGAAGAGGTTGAACAATCTGAGGAAGGACCTTGGAATAGCACGAGTAAGTCACAGGACAAAACGTCAGGTGCGGGGGACTCTAGGACTGTTATACTGGGACCAAACCGGAAGGGGTCTGAGCCTATATGTAGGGTTTCTCAACTCTTCATGCTCTTCTCTATGGACACCCCTTTCCGACTCGGCTATGACCTCCCTTTGACCCGGCAGCTGCTATAGGTCATGGCCATGGAGAAGTAAATCTGGGGCGAGGATTTCCCGATAGTTTACAGTAGTTCCCTATTGGCCCAGCCAATGACAGGGGTTTAGTCAGGCGATTCTAAGCGGATTATCAATGCGCCAACGTAGAGTCGCCTAAGCTTGAAATGCGGGGATAGCTCTGATCCCGGAAGATATTCGCGAGTCCGGATATCCGGACTTGGAAGAGAAGGAAAGTCCATGTTCTCTCTGGAGGGGTGAGATCTCATGGGGTATTTGTGTAATTGTGTATTGGTGTATTGGTGTAGCTGAATCTGTGTCTGTGTCTGTGTCTGTGATTCCTATAAAAATAGAGTAACCACTCGTTAGTGCCACGCTTAGTGCCACTCCACTCCCCACTCTACACTTTCTCCTCCAGACTCGGATATACTCATAAAACAGCATACTGACCTCCCGAGGAGCATATCGTTTCCGATGACCTCACCTGCATGGGCCCGTCTCAACAAAGCCCATCCTCCCAACATCCCACACCGAGTGTCTCTCAGATAACATTTCAGGTCTACCGTCGACTACCGGTAGCTCTCAATAATCCACGGACAAAACATCGGCACAAAGTCGGCTATCCTCGATAATATTCTCCCGCCACTCGGCCTACCCGCGGGTATCAGCCCGGCAGTCCAATCGGCCCAACACAATCCCACTATGACTCGAACGGGACGCATCACGACGAAAGTGGGTGCTGGCGGCCAACTTGCTAGTCTGTGGGGTGGTCCCGCTGTTCCTCTGGGCCAATACTGGGAATCGCAATGCGAATCATGCCCACCTGCCCCCCTCGTTTCCCGGCATGGAATTGCGGCTCCCGCTACTTCTGTTGAGACGTCAGTGCTGGACTGTCAGGCACCGGCGTTAGTTCGTCACCATATCCTCCGATCTGGGGCTTTTCGCCGATGACCGGCGGTTGGGACGGTTACCCGTGGGCTGTCCGGGGGGTTCTCCTCCGTGGCTGGTGCTGGTGTTGGGCGTTTGGATTGGTTGTTTGTGGCGATTGCGGATATATTTCTTGATCGTTTATGATGTTGTCGAGGGTAGGTCTTTGCGGAGGACTGTTCTCCGGGGAAATCGTCATTGGGATTACGACCCCCCTGGAGTCGGGTTGGGCTGGATAAGGCACGGGGAAGAGACGGTGTTGCGGTGGCTGTGTGTGGGACGGGCGGATTGATTCTGGTTTGTTGTTGTCCTCATGATGTTTCTGAGGAAGTTCAGGGCATGTGGTACGCTATTGGGGATGGCGCAAGAGGGGCGGATTTGGCTGTCCCGGTTTACTCGTCTATGGTGAGTATGCAGCTGGGGTATACAGCTGATCGAACATTCCTTCATCGTTGCATCGTCGCCAAGGCCTACCTATGCACGCCAACCTTGCTGAAATGTCAGGCACATGCCGAGTATGGCAATTTGGCCATTTCTAAATAAGCCTAGCGCTCTCTAACATCTATGTGCCCGGGACCCATATCCCCTTCTACTAACCAACTTGGCTCACACTTACTCTCGAGCCTTTGACGTTATTTCTCAGCTTGAAGCCTGTAAGTTATGTACTAAGTAATGAGTAATGGCTCCCCGCTAGACTATCAATATTTAGAGTTATATCCAAAAACCAATCGAGAGTAGAACTAAAAATCCCCCAATATCTAATATTCAATATCCATAGCGGAATCCACTCCGTGTCCAGCCCCTGAAGATAGCCTGTCAGATCATCTCCACTCCTCTCCGCGGAAAGGGTCAATGACATGGACTCCACGGGCCTTCATGTCGAGATCTGGACCCACTGGCTTTCCGGCAGGCGGCAGGGAATTCGGGAATAGAGGAAGATATTCCCGATCGTCTCCCGAGGTTAAGTTTCAAGGCATGACATGACGGGAGTCGGGTGACAGCGGGTAGGTTAGTAGGGGATATTGGTGCTGAACACAAGTGATGTTTACTTCAGCTAACAGGAAAAAAAAATTAAACTATTAAATCAATAAATAAATACTGTCTTCGATTATGGAAGAATAGAGGAAAAAAAATAGAATGAAAAAATATGTGCACTGACGGGGAGTCGAACCCCGCGCTAGAGCTGACAACTATCAGATGATAGTAGCAGTGGAAGGCTCCAATGTTACCGATACACCACCAGTGCTGTTCGTGAAATAAACCTTCTTCTTCCCAAATATAACCTGCAATTCTATATAATCTATAGTTAATTCTGGTATCACATCCAGCGTTTTTCTAACTTATTTCTCTATTAAATTGTTTATTGTGTAATACCTGGCCATTGTTTAATATCCATGTCTGCCTTATCGTGTTTTTAGTAGTAATCCGAGTCTCTAATTTTGAGGACTGCTGGGATATATATCTTTGGCAAAGGCCCACCACTCATGTGCAGGGTTAGTGCTACACTATCTTGAGCTAATACTAGGTTGGGCGATACTTAAGTATACTCAAGAAAGTCCCACTTACATAGAATCCACTTCTTATGATGCCTTGCACCTTATACTCAGCGGTACAAGTCACTTCAGCTACAACCCTACTGCGAGGATAGCATATGGAAGCAGAAGGAGGAACGCGTTATATACTGTTACGGAACTTCACAAATTGACCACAAGTGTGCATATTCTGTGGCCGAGTTTAAAACAGTCCTAAATCTGCTCAATTTGCGATGACCTGGCAGTAGAGTTGAGAATAGTAGTCGCCAATCCTTCGCACAGCCTCTCCAAAAAACAGGACAATAAACTGCAAAAGCTCCAAATGGTGTTGCAAATCTGACTGCAGTATTCTCTACTCGTTCCACAAGGCCCTCAAGTCCCTAAAAAATGTAATGTAAGGCCGAGGAAAATCGTAGTTCCAGATGAGGAGCCATAGAAGATGTTGCGGTCGCTGTTCGGAGATCGACAATAAAGCCGAGAGTCCATATGCCCAGCGGGTTGAAACAATACTCTCGACTTTCGCTGAGGAAAAAAGGAAAAAGTGTCCGCGCCTAAATGACAAACTTACTGTAAATGCGCTTTCTAGAATCGGAATATGAATATGCCGGTCTACAGAGATGCCTTTACCAGGCTCAGAAGCGGCTGTAGACCTCCAATACCAATAATGCATACATAACTCCCACAGCGAGATCGATATAATCCCGGCACCTCAAAGGCCACAACACGAGTCCGAAAAAGGCAGGTCCAGTTTGGAGTTCCGGCTTAACAAGATGGTTGAGGCCGAACGTGCCCGTTTGCTCGGTCGCAAATTGGGGAAAATGAGTTTCTCGGACTTTACGATCAAAATATCAAGAGAAGATTAATGAAAAAAAAAGAATGGACCAAGCCTTAGAGCCGGTAGGGGTAAACATGACGGACTTAGCACGTAAAACCGTCTTGCCGGAGTAAGACCTCCAGCCGCATGAGAGAGATATGTATAAGAACGAGATCACGGAACAAACTGACATCCAAACCAGCATATTCTACAATAAAACCATTACATTATATCATAAACCCAGGAACACTTTACAATGTCTTTAATCGGAAAAGTCGCGCTCGTCACCGGAGCCTCCAAAGGAATCGGCCGAGCAACAGCCCTTCGCCTCGCCAAGGACGGAGCCAACGTGGTAGTAGGATACAACTCGAACCCCGAAGCAGCCCAAGAGGTGGTGAAAGAGATTGGCGCCGACCGTGCAATCGCGATCCAAGCAGACGTGGGCGACGTGGGAGAAATCACATCCCTCGTGGACCAAAGCATCCAGCGGTTCGGCAAGATCGATCTTCTTGTTCCCTGCGCTGGCATCATGACTCTCACCACACTGGAGGACACGACCGAGGCGACCTACGACAATATGTTTGCCTTGAATGTCAAAGGACCCTATTTCCTCTGCCAGGTAAGTCCGACTCGCCCAGCACTGGTCTCCAGCAGTCTAATAAGAAGTAGAAAGCCGTTCCACATATGAGCCCTGGCTCACATATCGTGCTCTTGTCTACGACGCTGTGTGCTGCCTCGACTGTCATGCCTGCTTACCTGCCTTATGTTGCTACCAAGGGTGCAGTTGAGCAGATGACGAGGGTTATGTCGAAGGATGTCGCCCGCAAAGGAATTAGTGTTAATTGCGTGGCTCCTGGTCCTACTGCTACCGACTTGTTCTTGCGGAATCAGTCTGAGCAGACGTTGAACCTTTTGAAGAGTCTTAATCCCAATGGGCGGATTGGAGATACTGATGATATTGCGGATAGTATTGCGTTTTTGTGTAGTAGTGATAGTCGCTGGGTGACTGGGCAGACACTTCGAGTCAATGGGGGGATGGCATGAGCATAGAGAAATTATAAAAATGAAAATGAAAACTTTGTTCAAGTGACCGTGTGGTCTCTTTGCATTTGGAATTTTGAATCACTTGCGATGGAAATGAACGGCATCAGTGAGTACATGTAACCCCTGTGCTATAAGTTAGTTAAGTTAGATTATCGGAACTCTTCATGTAACCATCAATAGGGGTAGACCTACAAAAGATAGTCCGGGTGGCGCAGATTGGGTGATACGAAATATTCAAGGATCTCATCTATCGACAATCTATTCTGTAATAGATACCCCATAGTGTAGTGTTGCGAAGTTACAGCCATTCTGAGACGTTATAGGAACAAATAGTGATATAAACCGGTGGTCGACTAACAGTCCATTTCCTGTATCCACTCTAACTTACTACTTTGTCAAACCAGATACCCATCGACGCGAACGTTCCCAATTCTTTGTCTCTTTTCTTCAGCCAGGCAATCTCCTCGATTCAAAAGCCGCGGTATCTGAGCTCATTCTCCTGTGTGATCTTTTCAATGGCTTTCAGTTTTCCTGGACATCGCTGCAACTGCCACTTGCTTGGGGGCCACAATTTCCAGATCGAGCATCAGACCCGTCATGTCAATGAGAAACTCCGTATTGGGGCAAGACGAACCCCTCAGAAGACCAGAACCATTTTACCTCGTGCAGACGGGTGAAAACTCTGAGTACCAAAATTGAGTAGTCCGGAGCAGGATCAAGTAGCCGTTTCTGTCCTCATTTTTGCCAACCATGCATTATACTACCTGGTCGGCACAAGGCCCGAAGATTGCAAACTATACAACTTTACCAAACAGTGGCGCGAATCCCGGAAATTCCGGCTTGTGGAGTGAAATCTTGATTGACGGCAAATTCATACGCCAATGCAAACTATACAAAACACATACGCCACATACAAACACTGGAGCTGAGTCCGGGAGTTCCGAGTCACTGCGCGCTGGTTGGTTGAAACCCGTTGAAACGGCAAACCATGCAAACCTGCCAAACAGAAAAATCAGGATTAATATTCATACTTCGTAGATGTAAGGATCATACTTACAGTAGGTGTCTTCAAAATATAAATATGTCTCGATTCCCAGATCAAGTCTTTCAAGATATAGCAAACAGTCCTCCTTGATCATCAAACACTTTGCACACCAAAGGTAAATTACCATCGCTTCTTGCCGTATAAAACCTCCCGAGAGGTGTCTTCAATGAACCTAGGTTCCAATTTATTTTCTGTGGCTTTTACTGATTTTTGGTCTCAGATACTTACTCGGCGAAGAAACACGACTTTCAAATCCTACCCCTTCATCAAGACGAAATTCCTAGATGTGAGTCATGGAAATCATTCTTCTGTTCTATAAGTACAATAAACTAACGTCTTCAAGTCACATCATGTCTCGCCCCAATCTACAGAGGATGCATCGATTTGTTGACTTCATCAACTCAGGCGATGAAACTCTAGGGCAAGAGGTGGTTTCCGAATCAGCCATGTTCCACGTTCCGTTTTCGGATACTCCACTGAAAGGATTACCTGGATACATGCAAATCCTTGGCATGATGCGCTCCGCGTATCCAGATATCCAGTGGACGCTTGACGATACAGTCATCGAGGACGATAGAATTGTGGCGCAGTTCACTTTGCGTGGAACTCACGAAGGCGAGTTCTTCGGGGTTCCGCCTTCAGGGAAGAAAATCGAGGCACGAGCTATGAATATTTATCGATTCAAAGCTGGAAAGATTGTGGAGGAGACTGGCTTGCCTGATATTTTTCGGATAATGCTGCAAATTGGGGCTATTAACCCTCCAGTTCCTCAATAGGACTCCTAGGCTACTTTGAGAATGTCACTGAGATTTAACATTCATCGTCGATCTTGTACAATGAAGAATGCGTACCCCATGGTAAGCTGAGTAGCCGAAGTAAGGTGATATGACCAACATAGATTGAACCCCATTTTCAGGCTCATAAGACGGGGTATCACTAAGGGTAAATCCCTGGCCGAGAGGTTGTAAGGTATTTAAGACACGGGGTGCATAGCGAATCATGTTTAGCGTTCAAGACATCTCAAGATACAGCCTTAAATACAGTGGAAGCCTGCCTCAGCTTGAACCATCTGTCAGATATAGACAGGCACCGGGAATCAATGGAATGATCCTGCCGGAAGCAGATAATTAGTTCTCTATTTCTCTACCTCCAATAGTCAGGCCACCGTGACCGAAATGATTCCTAGCACTTTCTCTTACTAAAAGTCTTGTTCTCGGGTTGCTCTGTATCAAACATTGATGGTGTTCTCTGTTTATTGAAAACCATGTTCTATGTCAGTTATGTCTAGAGGAATGTATCAATTATCCTTACAGTGTAACACCTATTGCTTCAATATGTAGAAATGATTGAATGGTTGTATTCACCAACATGCTCTTCAATAGCTACTACCTGCCATTTAAAAGCCTGTTTAATCTTGCCTTGAACATAGACAGCTATGGTCATCTAGATTGCTCAAGCTACCGGTTAGTTACCCGCGGATCTAAATTAGTTCTATTGTTAACCCGTGGACTTGTCACAGTCAGTTATGCCAGAGAACTTAACCAGCATGCGCGCCCGTTCAAGATTATGGCGGGCGCCAGAGCTTAGACAACAAAGCATCTTATCCTTCGCGCCTACGTCCTGTTGCAGGGAGGCCTTGCAGGTGATTTGTTTCCATGGCCTTACTATATGTCAGCAAACAAACGACCAGTGATGTTTGAAGTACTCAAACCCTTTGTTGAGCAGCTTTGTTTGTTAGGCCCCTGGAGGGAATATTTATAGAAGAGCAGGTGGGTGCTTTGTTAAAAAAAAAACCACTTGCATTCAAAGCCCCTCCAACCCATCAAAAACCTCAAATCTGGTTAGTGAATTATTGGTATCTATTCCCATCGCAACAACGACCTTGGCCAGTACGTTCAACTCTTGCCGGCGATGAATCCACCAGATGAACCGCACATCGACAGGTACAGTCCAAGAGTCCCATGTATGAATGAAAGATCCAAATCTGACAGTAGTTCCATGTAGCATGTTCAAGGGAGAACCTTGGAAAGCCTTAGTAGACAGTGACAAGGCAGTTTTCTACGTCCACCCAGGAGCCTTGCAGCACCATGGTTCCGCCTTGGCACTCCGGATCAATGGGGCGTGGAAAGATCCAACAGACAAATTACTGGACTGGTCGGACTTTGACGAAGAGACAATTGACTGTGTTTTGAGCTATCTATACTCGGGCGCTTACGGCGTGCTCGAAGATGCAAAAAAAATAATATGAACAAGTCGATTGTGAACCAGACGAGTATAAATAATACGAATATGGACAAGCCCAAGAGCAACCTTCTCCAGTCACTAGTGTGATCTTCATACATGCAAAAGTCCACTCATTCGCAAATCGATACATACTACCCGATCTCGCCAAGTTCTCAGCAGAGCGCATGAACTACTATCTGCAGAAGCATGCGAGCTACCCATTGGAAACACCCCAGCTGGTGGAAGCTATCCAACTAGTTTACACTACCACCCCACCGACTGGCGCGGCTGGTGATTGCACCGATAATGCAAGGATTGTGCTTGTCAAGTTTATGGCTCTTCATTTCAACAAGTTCTCAAAGAATTATCAAATCTTCAAAGACTGTGATGGGAGCTTTATGGTCGACCTCGCGCAGGAATTGACCAATTGTCTTCTTGGGGGAGGAACCCCTAAAAACCGAAAAAGGTAGTAAGCAACTTGAATACTGGTTTCCCATTAACTTGGAAAGATACAACAAGGACTATGGCTGTGTGTACAAGAGTTACAAGAAAGAGGATTTTTTAAGAATGATATCATTGACTATCAAAGGAAATCGTAAACATCACAAACTCCATCTAGCCAAGCGAGATTATTGGCCTAGATTGAAAAGAAAACAAGCCCAGTTCGGGGGGAAATCAAACATATCCAACGCTCGTCCCGATACAAGCGGCAGACGTGAGAGGTGATCCAAGAAAGTGATCACCCGGAAAAAGTAGCACGCCATGCAAATGACTTATTCATCCCATCGGAGGAACAAGGACCAAAGGAGAAAAAGAAATTTTGAAACCGTTCAGGTCCTTTAAACCTGGGGAGCGGCAGCGAGGACATCCGGGGTAGCCTGGTCGGAGTACTTCTTGAAGTTCTCGTTGAAGAGACCGGCAAGCTTGGTGACCTCCTCCTTGAAGGAAGTGGAGGCGGTCCAGCTCTTCTCGGGGTTGAGGAGCTCGCTGGGGACACCGGGGCAGGAGGTGGGGACGGGCAGGTTGAAGGTGTCGTAGATCTCGTAGTCGGCCTTGGCGAGCTCGCCGTTGTGGATGGAGTCCAGGATGGCACGGGTGTACTTGAGAGGGCAACGCTTGCCGCCGGTGGTGGCGCCAGCGCCAACCCAGCCGGTGTTCAGGAGCCAGGCGTTGACCTTGTGCTCCTTCATCTTCTCGGCGAGCATGCTGGCGTAGCGCATGGGGTGAAGAGCCAGGAAGGGCTGAGCGAAGCAAGAAGAGAAGGTAGCCTGGGGCTCGGTGACACCGTCCTCGGTACCGGCCATCTTGGAGGTGTAACCGGAGATGAAGTGGAACATGGTCTGCTCGGGGGTGAGCTTGGAGATAGGGGGCAAGACACCGCGGGCATCACAGGTGAGAAGGATGATGTTGGAGGGGTGGTTGTCACTCTTGCATGGAATCTTGGCGTTCTCGATGTACTCAATGGGGTAGGCGCAACGGGTGTTCTCGGTGAGGGTGACATCGTCGTAGTCGACAATACGGGAGACAGGGTCGAAGACGGTGTTCTCGAGAACGGATCCGAAGCGGATGGCGTTGAAAATATCGGGCTCCTTCTCGGCGGAGAGACCAATGCACTTGGCGTAGCAACCACCCTCAATGTTGAACACACCAGTGTCGGTCCAGCAGTGCTCGTCATCACCGATGAGCTTACGCTTGGGGTCGGCAGACAGGGTGGTCTTGCCGGTACCGGACAGACCAAAGAAGACAGTGACATCGCCGTTCTCACCCTCGTTGGCGGAAGAGTGGAGGGTCAGGACGTTGTGCTTAACGGGCATCTCGTAGAAGAGGACAGTGAAGACACCCTTCTTCATCTCACCAGCGTACTCGGTACCGAGGATGACCATCTCCTTATCGGCGAAGTTGATGGCAACGGATGTGGCGGAGGTCATACCCTCAGTGAAGCGGTTGGCGGGGAAAGAACCAGCGTTGTAGATGACATAGTCGGGGTGGAAGTGGTCGAGCTCTTCACGGCTGGGGCGAATCAGCATGTTGCGCATGAAGAGGGCGTGGTAGGCGCGAGCGCAGACAACGCGAACGCTGATGCGGTAGCGCTCATCCCAGCCGGCGTAACCATCGATGACATAGATGCGGTTACGGGTGTTGAGGTAGTCGACTGCACGCTCACGGTTGATACGCCAGACCTGCAGAGGTGATTAGTAATGATTTCGATGACGTCATGCACATGCCAGCCTCGGTCCAAAGGGAGCCGCAAATGACAGCCGAGAGGCAAAGTGAACAAATGAGGCAAATAGGAAAGTCCAGTGAGACAAAGCCCAAGACAGGAATGCATCGGAAAGGACGGCTTCTCAATGTTGTTGCACGAATGGCTGCCAGAAAAGCTTGGTCTTCCGATGCATGTGCAAGGGATCCCAATGGGAGCTGATCGGTCCCATATGCAAGGGCTGGACTATGCAAGAAAATCGCGCAAGACAAGGAAATCAAATCACTCACATCAAGAGTCATGGGCTTGTTGACGGGTCCCCACCAGATCTCGTTCTCTGAGGAAGCCTCCTGGACAACACGCTTGTCGGAGGGGGAACGACCGGTCTTAGCACCGGAGTAGGCGCTCAAGGCACCGCTGGAGGTGACGGCGGTACCAGTCTCGTAGACGAGAGCATCTTCATAGAGAGCAGGGACGGAGGGGTTGGCAATCTATGAGAGGGTAAGTTGAGGTTCAGGAAGAATCGTAGAGACCACGAGGGAGACTCACAATGGCGACACGGTCATAGTCAATGTGAGCAGTCTCGTGGAGTTCCTCCTCGAGCTCGGTGTGTCCCTTGCTAGGCCTAGAGATGGTCAGTGAGGTTCAACGACAGTGAGGTCGAGGCAACGTACTGGACACCACCGGGGTGCAGCGCCGTGCGATTCACAGATGTGGCAACCATGTTTCTGAGTGAAGTAGAGTGAAAGTTATTGTTGCGTTGTTTCGCGACTTGCTGTTGAGAGAAATCAGAAGCTAGAGGCCTAGGAGACTCGGGGCGATTGGGACTAATATAGTCCTTTCCGGCAGGCATCGTGAGTATGTGAAGGGTAATGTTTCTCCACAGTTCCACGGAAGATGTCGGGGCTGAGCGCCGAGCTGAAGCGTCCACGCGGTTGGTGATGGATGAAGTGCCGTGGGTAGCAAATTCCTAAGATGTCCGACTTGACCCGAAAGGTTTTAGTGGACACGAAGTGGACTCGGAAGGTTCTGGATCGGAAGAAGGCTAGACTGGGGTTACTAGGGATACTAGAGATACCAGGCTAGATGTTCTGAAAAAAAATGACTCGTGTTGAAGATGGTGCAGAAGTGACGTTTCTTGGAGAGTCTCAGGGTCTTTTATGGTGACGGTTGCGGCAAAACTAGAACGTTTATTCTACAAAGTATACCTAGGTTCACTTGCCCATGATCCAAGACCACCAATCTGTGACCGTAAAACCGAGTCTATTTGCACATGAATTCTCTTAAATGACGCACAATGACTTCACTGGTAGTTCATACATCCCAGTCCTATACTCCCGGCTCAAATCGCGGGGGGCTGACATAATCGTCGATCAACCGAACGTGATTTCCCGCCTGATTCGTCCTTTTGAAACTTCTTTGGCTTCTCTCTCGGCTTGACTGAACCCCGATCGGAATGCTTCGTGTCTGAAAAGTTGCTAAAACCGGATGACGACAGGTCGGCTGAAAAGTCGGAAGCATCTGGGATCAAGATTTCAGCAGCAAATAACGGCGTTTAACCAGCCGAGGATGATGCACCCGCATCCATCGATCGCGGCGGTCTCAGCCAATCAGCACCGTCATATTTCCACCTCCAAGGATGGTCGGGTGGGCAGAAGATATTGCCGCTGGGTCCTGGTGCGTATTATCGCTGGTTAACTGGAATTCCTGCGAGAGACCCCCTCCGACTGGTACCTGACCTCCGAACCCGACTCCAAGCTCCAACGTGAGCCTCCGGAAACTATGCATATTACGTGTGGTCTTCGATGGCCTCGACCAACACGGCCAAATGGACAAATGGACAAATTGAACCATTTCTCGATCATATTTTACTCCTTACAAATGAGCGGTCAGTCGTAGTCAGCCTTGACTTCGCTTTTCGTGTCGCATCGCCACTCGGCATATCCTCCTTGTGGCTTGCCTACAACCCCAGATCCTTTTCCCCGTGGTTTAGCGGCGGATCCCGACCCGGCTGCGGCCTCGGGAACGCGACCTTTTTTTTCGAATTCTGGTCGGAGACTGAAACAATTATGAATGTGCGCCATTTTCGGTCTTAGGTTTACGTAGTGACTTTCTATTTCAAGGATCCTGCTGATCGACTCAATTTTTCCTTGTATCCCTGCGCGTGACACGGTTGCTGGCTTGCGAACTATGTGCAATTGAGGCTTTTTTTTTCGCCTTCGTACTCCCTGAAGCAGTAAGGGCTGGTGGAGCTCCCCCTGTCCTCTCCGCAAAACGTAGGGATATGAATAGACATAACGTTACCCCGTGACCCTAGATAGTCTGTATACTCTGTGAATCTATTGCGGGATCTTCATTTTGCCCCCTTTCGCACACCCGTGTCGTTTTCTTTCATTGGTATTCATTGTTATCTTAACCGGATCAACATTCACCAACATGGAATTCCCGGTCCCTGATAGTAGGGCCAATCATCACGCATTAGCTTCCTAATTTACCCGTTGTGATATGGCTGTGCTCGTTCATTCGAGTCTCTACCTATCAGTGTATCTGCCCAACTAGTTTCAAAATGGCCTGGGCCGGTGCGTTTTAAGGGGGCACACAAAGATCGACTGGCCTCCTATTTCTCCCGATCCAGCGCCGCACGTCATTGTTGATACCAACGGCTATGAACGGACTCCGGGTCCCATGACTTTCAAACATTGGAGGATTTCTTCCGGCCCTTGTTCCTTTTTGTCCACGCCTGCTGCTTGGCGTCTTGGCCTTTTTCTGGGGAAGTTGTCGCGTGGCCGTGCCTTGGCCTTGGGTTTATATGCGGGGTTTCTAGTGGCGTGAACTGTTGCCCTGCTACTGGACTGCGGAATACTGGAGCGGGAAATGCCGCGTTTGGGATGATCTCGTGTCAAGACATGTCTTTTGCCCCTTTTCATGTAAAACTCCAGAAAGAGTAACGTGAATCAAGATTCACGTGTGAGGTATCGTCGGGTGCAATCCCGTACATGCAGCAGATAATGCATCCGATGTGTTTGGTACCATCGTGTCAGAAGTATTCGCTGTCTGCGTCCTAGGGTCTGTGATGTATCACCATCACGATAATTCTCGGTCGTCTAGATTCTGCTTACAAGTCCTTTGAACGGTCCAGATTGCTTCGCTTCGGTTTCACTATCCTCCTAAGTTCGATTTCTAAAAAAACTAAAAAAAGGTTGCTCTCTTTTTCCCCCCATATTTACAGAGCCCCAATGTCTCCAAAATCCATGTCAGCTTTCCAGGTGGCGATCCCTCCTGACTCATGAGTAGAAACAAACAGCACTTGATCGCATTTTAATACATCTCGGCTACTGCCATGAGCCTTAATACAAAACAATCTCATCGCGAACAGCCCCATCCTCAACCCACCGATCAAGTAACTTCCTAGCAACACCAGCCACAAGCTGAGGATAATTAGGCGGTGGCACAGCACCAGGAGGCAAGCTTCGACTCGGATCGCCAGCGATCCAAACAACAGGATCAGACGGGAGACTGGCGACCTTGTTGCGAAGAGCCTCGACATCTTTCAGGTCGAATCCACGACCGAAGATAATCGCACGCACCGGTCTGTCGTAATTCTTTGAGCCCACATTGTTGGTGTGTGGGGACTGTGGATCCTGGCCAACTAGAAGGTGTGGGATCTCGGTTTGGGCTGCTGAGAGGCTTTGGATGAAGTGGATGACTGAGAGGTATTAGTAACTGAGGTCAGGATGTGAGGGCCCAGGGCCTGATTGATAGATAGGATGTGGGTTTAAGGTATTGACGACTGATGGAATCGATGCATGTATATCGGACTGACCTTCAAACTCGGGAAGAAGGAGCTCGGAGACCGGCTTGCCGATTTCGGCATCCAAGGCGCAGACCACAATTGGTAGAGCGGAAGACATGGCGAGGAATTCGTGTTGAAGACGGGGGAGTATTTACTTTGATTGGCTTTTGATCCTCATGAAGTTCCAGAATTGTCTCTGTTTATATCTTGATGCTCGGAATCCGACATTCTCAATGGGGTTAGTATGGTGGATACCTGGAAAATATGACTAGAACTAAACCGGACATAGAGGCTTTAGTGTTGATTATGTCCATTCTATCTTCAACAGATCAAGTGAATCGCGTTTGTATGGAGACGATATATATAATAGAACCTAGACAAATCTCCAAATACCGAGAATCACCCTCTATTGAAACTGAGTATCACTATCCTCCACATCAAACGTACTCGGGTCAGACCGCCAAAAGCATTTCTACGGATACTGATGTGATTTCAACGCCCATGCTTGATATTGAATTTTGCCTATGCCAGCAGTTAAAATAAATGAAAGTAGACTGCTTGTTTCCTCTCGAATCCCAATAAACTTCCTGGATCCGCCTTGGAACTGTCAGGTATGATCAACACCGCTGTTGATCATTTGCACTTTCCAGTAGCAGCGCTGGCTTCCTTCTGTAGGGACATCATTAGCAATTAGTATACTCAGGGACACCGCTGAGATTAGTGTAGGTCACTTACTACACACAGGCCAGAGGCACAGTTGCCCATGCTTCCATCGGGCTTGCAGGTCCCTCCAGCAGGAATCTGCGATACCGTTAGACTGAATCGCGGCAATCAAGTGGAAATTTCTTACAGTAGCGAGGCCAAGGCTGGCAAAGGCGAAGACGGTGAAGAGTGTGAAACGCATGGCGATGGGTGTTTAAGAATAGAGGTGCTGAGGCTAGTTCAGAAAACTTGTTGTATAATGGCAATTCTGAACAATCCATGAGCGCATTCTTATACTTCGGGGTCGGCTATGTTATTATGCGTTATGCCCGAGCGATTTGTATAATCATTACTTGATTTAGTATGCAGCTACCCACATACCCACCGGCTATAAATAGTCGGATGGTAGCGGTAGATCTTAACTCGAATGATCACATAGATGCACATGTATGGGTATGTCAGAGATCGATATCAATAACTCAGGGGAATTGACACATAAGCCTCGATACTAAAAGGGTTACAAAGAAGACGTGCGCTGAGGAAAAGCATCTCGTGGGGCCCTTGTATATCTTTCTGGCGGCAAAATATGGTTGAGCTACAAGTAATTGGGAAGAATAATTTCTGATTCGAACATCTGGATCATGTCATTCATTTGATCTGTTTCATGAATCTTGTTTCAACCCACTCCCGTCAGAAAATTCCACGACGTATAAACGCGAAAGACAGAATCCATATGGCTCTTGTATAAGCTAAGAAACCCAAAGACTGAAATGTGTCTTTGTGCAATATTCTACGTAGTATTTATATGATACTCTGGCTATAGAAATTTTTTCAAACGTACATATTACCAAATATCAAAAGGACCGATGACCTCACCAGGAGAAGCTAAAACCTCACCAGGGTATCGTTGAACTTGGACACCAGTCCCTCAGCAAAACTCTTTTCTAGCAAGCCGGTCCTTGTTATCAAGAAGGTTGTCAAGCTTTGAGTGCATGGGAAAGTAATAAGAAGATGTTGCTTCACATTTGAGTCCTTGAAAATAGGCTCGTGCATTTGTCCAGCAGTATTGCCAAGGTAGATCTCCTGCAAAGTCTTAACGTTCTCATGCAGCACGACTGAATCAAGATCATTGTCGGCCGCCCAGGAGGTACTGTTCGCGACCATATCAAGCCAATCAATAGTTTCATGTTCAAGTGCCTCAATATGCTGTTGCTGGATCATCGTCAAGAGGTCACGAACTCCGGCAGTCGGTTCAACTTGAACTCGCACAGGCGTGGTGTTAAGACACATTCCAATGATCTCCTGTTCTGCTTCCGGCTGAAGGTATTGCTTTCTTGTGTTTTCCATCGATAGCCAGAAGGCGAGACCTGGGTCGTAGCCTTATATATCTGTTCAATGGATGACTTCCGTCGCATCGTGGCTAGGTGCCGATCATGTATCGAGTGATATCAAAGAAAATATTCAAATATGCATTCAAGCTTCGTTTATATTATGCTAGGCCCTCAAAATTGCCCAAGTCTTTCAGCAACGGAGAAATGATAGTGTCGAAGACATGCTCCTCGAACCCTTTCTCAAGACATAGAGCCGACCAAGACAAGCAGCGATTAACTACATGGGCATAATTCGTCCCACTCTCCATGTACACCCTGTTGACAAGCCATGAAGCGGTCTTGAATTTCGTCATCAGTGTATCCTGATTCTCGTCCTCCAGATCCAACAATGCGTGGAGAGACTTTCCAAGAGACAGCTCCACCAACGCAAGCCCCAGTGGCAATAGACGATTTTCCCCAAAATTGGGATAATTAGTATCATTGCGAGGCCCTGGTGTTGTGCTAGTGGTGGAAATAGGCCAAGATAGGTATATATTTTCCAATAGTACATTGCCACCATCGTCGCTTGTAGCGGCCAGGTAGACATCGGAGATGTCCCACCAGGATTTTAACCAATTGCCGCAGAACTGGACCATACCACATGCTAGAGCAGTAGCAATATGAAGGCGGTCCCGTCGACTGATATGTGATAGTACTTCACGGAGAGGCTTTTGAGGAATGCGCTTTGGAAGCACCTTCACGGCATGCATCGTATATTTAACAGAGTCATCCAGGTCATTCGAAATGGAACCTATGCTTTCTCGCCGCTCAAAGTATGACTCGGCGACGCAAAGAGACGAAAGGGACGAGCAAAAGTCTTGGATTGGTGGAGTGGATAGAGACGACTCTCGGCGTTTTTCCGATGACCGTACTTCCTCCACGGGGGGGATATGAAACTGAACCTTAGGCTTCTTCTGCTTATGAGACTTGGAATCGTCATGCAGAGAGCGACTAGCAACTGTGACTATATCTTCAACCTGCCAGGGCTCAAATACCACTTCTGTCCAAGTCCATAGGCACGTTATATCCGCCTCCTTCATGTTAGAGAAGATCATTCGAAATTGGGATCTGGCATCGAATTCGCTGTCAGGGTATTTTTCGACACTCTGCAAGGAGTTTATTTGCAGTTTGAGGTGGACGTGATGGTGCTTCTTGCACTGACAGTGCCAATAGTTTCCTCCAATGATTGCTTTGAACAGTCCATCGGCATGTCTGCGCGCCCTTTGGTACCGTTTCAGAAGATAGCTCCAGGTCTGTCGCCTCTTCTTGGTATCTTCTAAGTAAAATGACTGGTCGATCAGAGTCTTAAGGATTGTATTGGTTCCGTCAATCTTCAGGAGGAGATCGTCATAGACTGCCTTGCTAATGATCTTTCGAAACTTCCATTTACTCTGGGCTTCGGTAACTGGTATCTGTTAGGAGAGTAGACCGGTTAAACACTGACCAGACGGTTATTCTGAATTCCAACTACTGACCTTTATATCAGTTGCGTCCACATCCAGCTTATGCGATAGTTTTTCCAGCAACTCGGAGAGACCAGCCATATTGTCCATGAATACCCCGTAGTTTCGGTCCAGCTTCCTGCGTAGTCGCTTTTGCAAGTCCGGGTCCTTCCACCCATCGCCCTGTGGATCGCTGATGAGCTCCGAAACTTGATCCTCATCCTCCACGACCCCTTCCAAGGCCTGTTCCAGCGTGTTGAGTAGAATTGCATGCTGTGTGCGGAGGCCCACTGAATAGCCTTTAAACTCCCGTCGGTAGTGCCTCAGGCCCCTGATCTTTTCTATGCCACGGACGTAGGCATCGATCTGGTTCACGAAAAGCGGTAGAATCGCGAGAGCGAGCCCCGCCACCTCGATACCAGTCGCCATGTCCGGTTCTGATCGTTCGATCCCAGGCTTGCAAATGGGAAATGGGGGTTTCAGCTGCACGTGCTGACCCAGTCATTCTACCCCGCTTCAGTACAATGGATTGCCGACGATGGACATCCTGGCAAACATCCCCTTGAGAATGCCAGAGGTCTTGCAGCTTCAAGAACCACCACAACATGGTAGCAATATCGGAGCTGTTGCAGTGCTGTCTCGCCCAGTTTGTCTCCCTAATCAACTCGGGTGCGTTGTCCGATCATATTGACGAGGTTCCACTACAAGAGTGGACGGACGAACTGGGCCGACTTCGCGTGTGGGCAGCAAATATCGGTGGTCATCAGACTAGTCAATCCTCACTAGATTACCGCCTTAGAGATGCGTCGCATATCAAGAGTCAGATAGTGAGGCTCTTGGAGCAATTCCAGGAACTACTCGCCGACCTCAAGGATGTGTTTGAGGAGAACAGCGACGTTGAGCCCGAATATGATAAGATAGATGATTTGGAAGACTCAGAAAGCGAAAGTTCCTCAGAGATCCAAGAAATTCACCAAGGCCTCGTTGATACAATCAACCAACTCTACCAGATATCGATGATCATCCGCAAGCCAGCACAGCATGATCGGCTGATCGGGACAAAAACACTGGATTCTGAGCCTTTCCAATTCTGGGCTAAGCAACATATCTCCAATAAATATCCAAATGCAGATGCGCTAGTTATCGATCGTATCAGTTCCGCAATGGCGCGACAAAGGGCGATCTTGAAATACCGTGAACGACATCGTGCGAAATTAAGTCAAGGCATCAGTTCTGAGAATGATAGTAAATCGGCTATACTATCAGAAACGATTGTGACAGATGTGCTTAAGGAGATACCTGGCCAAGTTAGTGACATGGCTTCTGATGCCGGTGTGTCTGAAACTTCATACGGAGGCACACTGCTCGAGGGCACTGGTGCAGTTGCTCCTAAAATACCACCTATACCGAAAGGTGGCCTGGAAAAGAGATGCTTTGAATGTCCATACTGCTTTTACATTATCACAGTTCAAGACAGGAAAGCATGGGCGCGCCATATTTTCCACGATCTGTTGCCGTATGTCTGCATCTTCACAGGATGCTCGACGCCCAAGAAGCTCTACAAAAGCCGCCGAGAATGGTATCATCATATCAAGCAAAATCACGCTATGAATTCAAGCACGCATGGTACATATAACTGCTCTATCTGCAAACAGGGCTCTCTTCCCGCTGTCACATTTCAGCGACACGTGGGCCAACACTTGGAAGAACTTGCGCTCTTTTTGCTGCCACGAACCGATGATTCAGACGAAGAAGGAAGCGAATTAAATGATGAGAATCTTAGCAACGTATCGTTAGACGATCATTCAATGGAACATAGTGCCGGGCAGCGCAATGACATGGATGTTGCAGCAACACCAGCCTCTGACTCCAATGTTAGTGATGACAATTATTCACGAGGGCTACGGAAAAAGATCGAAGATTATGAACCCTCACTTGGAGCGACCTTGAGTGAAAGAGAGTCCCTGGGGGGTCTGGAATCCAACATGGCGAACAAAACGAGCGCCCCATCGTCCCCTTCCAATCGCGAATACAAATTCGCTATGAGCCAGAAGCTTCTGGAGAAGAGCGACTTCCGGCAGAACATGGATGTCTGGCAACATCAGCAGGAGGTTGAACAGCTGCAGAAAGATCTGCAGAAGTCTCGTGGGCACCGCGATAACGAACGCGAGAGAATTAATGTGAACTTGCAGCCCGATTCGCACGAATCTCTGCTCTTTAGCGAGGAGCTAGAATACGATGAAGATATCTCTGAGCGCAAGCATCAATCCGCGAATGAGGAACGCAAGGCCGAGGAAGAGCTGGATAAACATACACTGCTGAAGGAGGGATTAAAGGTACTGGCACGCATGCGGGATGGTGAAGGACAGAGGGAGACGCTCGTACAGGAGGAAAAGTGGAAGGAGCGTATCCGGCTAAAGAAAGAAGAGGAGGAACGTGAAAAGCTCATTCAAGATATTCGAGACGAGGAAGCACGAAAGGCGAGGGACCTTGCGGAGAATAGGGCGAAGAAGATGACCGCAAAGGCTGCTGCTGTGGCGGAGTGGAAGCAGGAGCAGGAGCGCATAAAGCAGAGGCAAGCTGACATGGCCGCAGCAACGACCAAGGAATTCAATGACCAACTCCGCAGCATGGGGTACTCCGATGAGCAAATCGAGGTCATCACCACGAGAAGGAAGAAGGGGGAAGAGGAGGACAAGAGGAAAGACAACAAAAAAGAAGAAAAGAAAACTGAGGAGGAGAACAGATTGACTTGGATCAAGGTATGTATGGACACTCTTCTCGATGAGAATTTACTAACGTCACGTAGGTCCACCGCAGACACTTGCTACCAGAGACCGTGGAGGCTTATAATCTGCCTTGGGACTGGGACGAAGTATGTCTTATTCTAACCATTCCTCAATGTGACCGATTCTAACCCTATTTTCCTCTACCAGCGTGACTCCGATTACATCATTATCAAGCGATGGGTCGACGATGACTTGCTAGAAGAACTCTTCGCCCACACCCGTCGCGAACGCGCGGGTAAGCTCAACGGCCAGATCTCCAGCCCCACCACCGGACCCAAGCTCAATGACCGCTTGAAGGACAAAATGTATCTAGTTCGCAAGGGAAGTAGAGGTAGAGCCCATGAAACGGAAAGGATCATAAATGATGGTTTATAGCGCCGGAGTTTGGGCGACGAAATCCTTCTAGTTTAATGAAATCAGGGTCAAAAAATATCGGTACCTCATACATCTTCCATGTCAGAATGGGGGATTGGTAACGAGACACCACTCCCATAATCAGACACCCCTTTGCCTGATGAGATACCCGAATGCCTGAATTTAGCCTAGTTTTGCGATGTCATAATTCTAATACTCCTTTTTCTTTCAAGCATGACATGTCCAACTCGAGCTTCCCCTTCTTGTATACACCGAATTCCGGGTGTCTTCCTCATAAGAATCAAGACCCAGTCCAACCAGGCTGAATGTTGCGCGGATGATTTGGGGGACATTGTGCATGGCATGTTCCTTGACCCGGCACGGTGCAATGCAAAGGTTGTTCATGGGTGCAGCGACATCTCTAGCTTTGAAGATATTGCATCCGCGTTTGAGAAGGTTACTGGGCGTGAATCTCGCTTCCAACCGCTCGAATCTTGGTATGATTTTGATACTCGCGGAGTTCCTGTGCTAGACGACGCCAAGATGATGTTTGGAATGACTCAGGACAGTGATGGATATTACTTTGGACCTGAGGCATTTGAAAAAAAGACTGCCTCGGAACTCAAGCGAAGCATGGCTTTGGTGTTAGGGGTCCCCGAAGAGGGACAGGAGTTGATGACAGCCGAGTCTTGGTTCTGCAAGAACTCCAATTCGTGGTAATCCATAGCTATATGACAGTTTAGGTAGTGCGATAAGCAATAGCAGACAGTACTAGCGTGTTGAAGCTTCCTGCAGGACTTTTCATATGCAATTCCGAGCATCAATTCCCTAAAAAAGATTACGCCAAATTGTTGCGCGCATATATTTTCGGCTAGACCATGCATCGATTCCCAAAATATTGTAATAGGCACTTTGCTTAGATAGGCACAAATACTGCATTTCTTGCAGATGTGACATCGGCGATCAGGCCAACCATATGGTGAAGAGCGAAATGGCCATTGCATTCGCCCCCTATAATGTACGCTCACGAGCAGAATTCCTCTGATTCACCATCTGTTGCCCCTGAGGTATTCAACCCTGGTGAGCCAAGATATATTGTCATACCGCGCGCTCAAAGTGAAAAAATTCCCGGTAGGGTGAGATGGTTGCACATGCAGCAAGGGTTCATGCAAGATATCGATAGTCTGAACGGTGGCTTACAACCACTGGACTGCAAAAGTCCACGTGAGAGACATTCTGCAGCTTTCTACTGTACTGTAAGATCTGACAGTTTCCGATGTGCGCGAAGGTTTCTTTTGCGATTATGCAAGACACCGGGTGATTTTGATCTAGATTTCAATCTTTCGCGTTTACGATCACGGTTGCATTCTACTCCGTAGCTCTGTTTACAACTAGGGTCTACAGTGGAAAATGAGCTTACAAGATCCAAAGATCTCGATCTCAATGAATTGTTTGGGGTGGCGTTGCAATTATTGATGTCAGCTGCGTTTGGACCTTTGTTATCTTTGAATAGAAATGGCGAATAGGTGAAATGCGCTTTATCGGTCACTTCAGAAGATATGAAATGCAAACAAGAGCGTTCAAATTCACTTTCTGTCTACGCTCGCTCAAACCATACCTTACTAAGCACAATTGAAACAACGTTTTTCATCGCGCTACTATGATCGAAAGCATCATAGCTTCTGGGGCGTCCTATACCGCCCCTCCGGTCGTTTCTTCACATCCAACTCCCCATAAAGATGAGACGTTAGCATCGTGGGAGAGTATAGAGTCTTTGGTTGATAAAGGCTCAGTCGATGTTGACGGCGAGACTTTGGATATTGCCAGTGTAGTCGCTGTTGCTCGGTAAGCCCTCTGTATACTCCAGTGTTATTACAAGAATAAAACTAAAACTATATAATAGTGAGGGATGCGGCGCTGAAGTATCAAGAGATGCAAAGGTCACCAAGAGAGTCGAAGCCGGGATCGAGACGTTCAACGACTACCTGAACAAAGGATACTGCATATACGGTACGAGATCCCAACCAGATAGCAATTTCCGCATGAAGCAGAGCGCAGTCATTGACGTTTCGCGCTAGGCGTCAACACCGGCTTCGGAGGCAGCGCGGATACCCGTACATCAGATGTAATCCGACTACAGCAGTCTCTTCTCCAGCTGACCCAGTCCGGAATACTGACTGGAAGCGACTTTTCCTCGCGGTTGGGCGACTTCAATCTATCTTCGCACGCCATGCCAGTCACGTGGGTGCGGGCGACAATGCTCGTGCGATGTAATCATCTGCTCCGGGGCCACTCTGGCGTTCGGCTTGAGATTATTGATACGGTGTTGAAGTTGTTGCGCGCGGGACTTACCCCGATCATACCGTTGCGCGGGTCGATTTCTGCGTCTGGCGATCTGATGCCTCTGTCGTATCTGGTTGGGATTTTGGAAGGCAATCCTGATATCAAAGTTTACTGGGATCGCCCCGGGGAAGCTGAGATTGTCTCGGCAATCAAGGCGCTGGAGATTATTGGAATCCCGCCTTTTGTCTTGAGGCCGAAGGAAGGCTTGAGTTTGATTAACGGCTCGGCTGCGTCGGCAGCGGTGGCATCTTTGGCTGTGCATGAGACTAGTCTGTTGGTGTTACTGGCTCAAGGGTTGACTGCTTTGACGTGTGAGGCTATGATGGGCAATGCGGAGAACTACCATGAGTTTCCGGCGAAGATCAGACCTCATCCTGGCCAGATCGAGGTTGCAGCAAATATCCGCAAGGGAACTATCAACTCCAAGTTGATTGAGACCTCCGGGACGAAAGATAGACTGCGCCAGGGACTTATTCAAGATCGGTATGCCCTTCGGGGTGCATCACAGTGGCTTGGACCGGTAGTCGAGGACCTCGGATTAGCCATGCAGCAACTTACCACGGAACTCAATTCCACGCAAGACAACCCAGTGATAGACTCTTCGACAGGCGAAGTATACTTCTGCTCCAATTTCCAAGCCGCATCCGTCTCAATGGCGATGGAAAAGACACGCGGGGGTCTTCAAATGATCGGCAAGCTGCTATTCAGCTACTCCTCTGAACTGATCAACCCAGACATGAACAAAGGCCTGCCAGCAAACCTCGCAGCAGATGACCCAAGCTTGTCATTCACGATGAAGGGCGTCGACATCAACATGGCGGCATATATGTCCGAGCTTGGCTTCCTGGCCAATTCGGTGACATCGCACGTCCAGTCCGCCGAGATGAACAACCAGCCCATCAACTCGCTTGCCTTAATTTCAGCAAGATATACACTGCAAGCAGTCGAGCTGGTCTCTATGATGAGTGCGGCTCTTTTGTATGTGACATGCCAGGCGGTGGATCTGCGCGTCCTTCACGAAACATTCTTGGAAGATCTCAACAACGTGGTGTGGGCGACATTCGACTCCCTGCATATCCCGCCAGAGAAGAGTTCGAGCCTACAAAATGAGCTTCTCCAGGCTCTCCGCAATTCGTGGAAAAATTCTGCGCGTGATGATCTCTCTGTCAGGATCGAGGCGCTATCCACAGCCATGGCGCCAGTTCTGCTAGTCAATCCCAAGGAAATAAATGCCGAGGATCCAATCGCGGCAATTGAGTTCGTACAAAAAGACGTTTGTGAGCGAGCAAGGACTGCATATCTGCGCTGGCGAGCGGAGGCATTCTCTGGTCAGCTTAATGCAGAGTCGTCTCTGGGACCTGCTGCGAAGGCCCTCTATCACTTTGTTCGACGGGATTTGGACGTTCCATTCCACTGCGGCATTGGTGAACATCCAACTTGCGACACAGAGGCTGCGGCAGATATTCCTTTACGTCCGCGGAAAACCGTCGGCTCGTGGATATCGATTATTTATGATGCTGTGAGAGATGGGAGGATTCGACAGCCATTGAGAGCTGAGTAGGGCTATTAGATCAGGATACAACACGACTAGACTTTACTTACTATTTCTATCCATATACAAGTTTCAAATAGCAAATAAAGCGAGAACATTTCAGTCAAATAACAAATTTGCAATTTGGCTCTAGGTACGAAATTAATCTAGCCCTCCCCTGGAGAAGCTATAACTATACAAGACTGGGCCAACCAAAAAGGGGCAGCTAAATTAGCCCCCGAGCACTAGTCAAACAGAGCCAAAATAGAAAGCATTCCGACTCAAATTGCCGATGGCATCAGCATTTAGCACGAAGCACCGCTGGGGATACCCTTGCACTTGCTGCTCTTCTTACCACCGGTGACGCTGTTGCCGCTCCAAGTCCAGCCGGAGCAAGCGCCGGAAGCACACAGGATGTAGACATCGGTAGCGCTGCTGGAGACGGATCCCTTGACGCCGCTGACGGTCAGACCGGTGATGGGGACGCCGCTGGTAGGGGTTCCGGTGGGGCTGCCGTTCTCGTAGTCCTGCTCGATCACAATGCCGTACTTGGTGATTCCGGAGAGGGTGATGTCCTTGTAGCTGACGTTCTTGACGCTACCGGTAGCGCCGGAGACGGTCTTGACGCGAACACCTGTGGTTGGAGTGTTAGGGGGTCGGGTTTCTAGTGTTTCCGGGGTAGATATGCTTACCGTTCTGGGAGTTGGTGATGGCACAGTTCTCGATGGTGACACCGTTGACGGTGTTGTCGGAGCGACCACCGACAGAGCCGATGGAGATACCGTGACCGCCAGTGCACTTGGCGCCGGTGAAGTGGACGTTCTAGACGGTGTCAGTTAATACTTCATCAGAACAGACTTTTCGGCTATACATACGGTGCCAGAGTTGACAGCCAGGCAGTCGTCCTGGTTGTGGACGATAGGGTTGGTGATGTAGACACCGGTACTGGAGCCAACGTCGAAGGCGTCGGTGTTGTGACCACCGCCGGCGTCGCCAGCGGCGTTGTCGATGGTGACTCCGCTCAGGGTGAGGTCATTGGCGCCGTTGATGCTGAAGACCTGAACGGGCGAGTTCTTGATGTAGATGTTCTCAATGGTAGAGCTGGTCAAGCTGTGAGCGTAGAAGAACTTCGGCTTGGTCTTGCCGCCGTTAGTTCCCTTTCCGTCCCACCAGCGAGCACCGTCACCGTTGAGAACGGCACCGGAGGCACCCTTGACGGTGATGGAGGTTCCGGAGACGGAGACGAGGGGACCAGACCACTCCTTGTAACCGAAGGTGGTGGTACCCTCGAAGATAACAGTGGTGCCCTTGGCGAGTCCAGTCAGGTCCAGAGTGGTTCCAGCAGGGACTGCGACGTTGCTCAGGGTGATGGTGGAGCAAGACTTCTTGTTCTTGATGGCACTGGCAGCACCGGTGGAGCCAGAGAAGGTACAAGAAGCACGGGGAACGAGACTGTTTCCGAGCACATCAGCCTCCAGGGCGATGGCAGGGGCAGCGTTGACGGCAGCGGCGCCGAGCAGGCCGAGAAGGGCCAATTTGAGGGAAGCCATGATAAAAGAAAGATGAAAAGAATGTAAGGGTTTAAAAGAATGTAATGTTTTGGTTGGAATTTGAAGCAAAGAGCAGCGGGCGGCGGTTTTATACATCTACAGCCACTCTAAAGCGAACTGGACTAGAACGAGAATAGCCCAATGTTTTTTTTACCGGGACGTTGGCCCACCCAATTTGGATAGGCAACCATTATTTCCTCCAATATGATGCTCGGCTTCGACGGTAATCACAGTTTCAGGGTCCTGTTTCAGTTTCAAACCGGCCTGAAAGCCACCACGGATGGCAAGCCTCGTCGAACTAAGGGGGTGGCCAAATTGGCCAAGCTCATTTGTCGTTCAAGACGAACGTTTCGAAGAAAGACATTTAGGGCTTTAAGTGGAGCAATCCACTATGGAAAAAAGCCTCTGGAAGGGCTTGGGGGTGAGGTGAGCCGACGGCTGATTTGGGCATAGTCGCAGGGTGTTGAAGCTCAACTGCGGTGAATCTTCGGGTAAATCAGCAGGGAAGTGATGACAACTTATCCGCAATTTAACTTGCCATATTGACTTTGAATGGCTCGGAAGTGGCGGCCGACCTTAATAGCAACCCTTGAAATCCACCAGCCTAGCCAGGTCCGACAGTAGAGAGTGTCCTGGCCTTCGACTTCTCTTCCGAAAGCTCGGCAAAATAGCTGTTCAAGCAATATATCAAGCCTTTGGTTTGCGCTCAGGCTATACCTAAAATGGTGCCCGTCCCCACCTCTTTGCTTGTTTTTTGTCTGCTACTATATGGCAGTCCTCACTAAGCCCCTATCTTTAAAGACTTCTGACACCTAGTCAATCCCAACCATTTGCTGCTCAATGTCGAATATAGTCTGGAACAAGATAAGCTCGTAGAAAATGCTCATTGGCTTATTTGGGGTCATCCCATTTCTTCATGTTTCATGACCATATGCAGGGCGTCAGCATGAAGATCAGATCTTTGTTCTATGGGTCCCTGGCTGTCATGACAATCCGGGGCATCCGGTTCTTCACCATCGACGGTGTTCCGACTCATCCACCAACGGCTTTGCTTGTGTGGTGTATTCCATGTGCTATTGCACACCGGTTAGAGTCCGTTCATCTACTCCAAATAGATTTCCCATCGGGTAGAAAAGAAAATCACACGAAGACCAAGAAAAATATCTCCAAGCTGCCCAGGTGGAAATGACCACCAAGTTACATCATCCACCCTCCCTATCACCTTCAACATTGGACTCCCCGTAAAGACACAATAGAACAAATACTGTATCGGCAACCACCAACCGTTTATCCCCCAAAGACCAAATATGCCACCCGATAACCCATCTCCCCAAGTCCACTCCCAACCAGCCCTCATAAAAAGAGCCAAGCGCTTCCGCATCCTCTCAACCCTCCTCTCCCTTCTAGACAGATACCTCTCCACCCCCCTCCCCCCAAAGCCTAGCACAATCATCACAATCCCAACAACATTAAACAAAACACCCGGCCAAATCGACCTATACATCTACACCAGCCCATCAAACCCCCTCACCAAAACCAAAACCCCCAATCCCCCAAGACCAGTCCTCCTAAACCTCCACGGCGGCGGCTTCACAATCGGCCACGCCCAAGACGACGCAAGGTGGTGCACCGCCATCCTAACCCCCCAGCCAGCAGCAATCGCCATAAGCATCAACTACCGACTCGCGCCGGAGCATCCGTTCCCAACAGCCCTAGACGACACCGTCGATGCCATCCTGTGGCTATGGAACCACGCCGACGAATATAATCTCGACCAGTCGCGTTTCGTGCTGAGTGGAGCAAGTGCAGGCGGGAATCTAGTCCTGGGTGTTCCGTTTCGGGTGGAGGATGTGTTGAAGGGGCGGACGGTGGAGGCACGAGCTGGGGAGTGTGGTGTTCGCTTTGCTGGCATAGTGGCATTTTATCCGCCGGTTGATTGGACGAAGAGTAGAGAGCGCAGGGATGAGAGTAATCCGATTGCGAAGAAGAAGTCGATGATTTCGCCTGCTGTTTTTGCCTTGTTTGATGATTCTTATTTGGGCTGTGGGGATTTGCCTAGGAGGTTTCCACCTGTGCTTAATGCTTCTACTTCTGTTTCTGCTTCTACTTCTACTTCTATTTCTGAGGCCGGTGCCCGCGTTGGTGAGGTCGATATGGCTCATCCGTACTTATCGCCGGGTCTTGCTTCGGATGAGTTGATACGCTCTGTTTATCCGCCGAATGTGGCCATCTATACTTGTAGCTGGGATCAGCTACTCGTTGAAGGGGAGACGTTCCGGGACAGACTACGTGGATTTGTGCGAACTGGCTGGATGAGAAGCGTGGGTGGGTATCAGGTGGAAGGTGTTGTTCATGGGTTTGATAAGAGACCTTCGTTTTGGAGGGGCGATGAGGCTCGGGAGAAGATGTATGGAGATGCACTGAGAGAAGTTGAGGAGATGTGGAATGCCGCATGATATATGCCATTTCTAGAGTATCCATGAAGTCTTGTATGATCTACATGGTAATACTGCGACAGCCGAAGAGATCTCTTGGCAGAAGAGCAGCGTAGAGCGGGGCACCAGTCAGGCGGGGTACAAAAGTCAGCAAATTTCGTGGATTTGTTTACTTCCCTTCTCATCTCCTCGACTACGAAGCTTCAGGTATGTTCTAGCTTATAGACTAGGCTTCCCCCGCATATGAGTACCCTGGGAGTTAACAAGCCTCAGATCCGATCTACATCTTCACTTCCACTTCGAAATCTACATCATGGGTCACGCTTCCTGCCCCAAGTGCGGTGCCGCCACTGAGGGCGCTGGCAAGAGCTGCGGCTCTTGCGGTGCTGTAAGTTCATCTCTGTCTCTGTCCCAAGGCTGTGTTGTACCCATACTGATCGTTTCAGACCTGCCCCGTCTAAGCCGTACATGTGACATGGCGGATAGACCCGGTGACGTTGAGTAGGAGAACATGGCTGGATGCCATGAGTCCAAGATACATAGCCACGATGCGACGAGAATGATATCCAATCTATTCATGATCCAAGAAAGCCAAGAAAAGTGATATACGTGAACATAAGAACGGAATGTAGACATATACTAGAAACAGGAAGATACAAGTCTGCCCATAGACAAACTTATTCAGGATATAAATGGAGTGCGCAATAATAATACCTCGACTATCTCTCGTCTCGCAACCAACATGTCCCCCCTTCACCAACGACGAGACCCTATTCATGCGGTCTTGCGCCACTGGGACCAGACACCAATCAAACTGCTGATGGTACCCGTGATGCCGACGATGCCGTCATCCAGAGCCACCCAACCGACAGCAGAAGCAGGGGCAGCCAAGTCGCACAGGTCAGAGATGAGCTGTATCCGAGCAGCGGAGCGCTCCCTAAAAATCAAAGAGATTAGCATTCCGAACAAGACGTCAACCTTCCCATTCACAGGTCAAGGAGAACAGATGGCAGCGAGGGGACTCACTTCTCGATCTTCTTCGCCTCCACAACACCCTCGCCCTCCTTCCGGTCAATGGTCTTCTCCTTCTGCTGCAGACCGTACAAGGTGTAAATGCCGGCCACGGCACTGCAAAGCAGACCAGCCGCCCAAGCCTTGTAGGCGGACTCCTGCAGCCGCTTCGCGGAAGCCAGCTTCCGAACGCCGATCACGTCAATGACGGTGACCGTGTCGAGGGTCAGGTAGCCGGCATAGCCGAGCTGACGACCGATGGCCAGGTAGCGCAGCACGGGGTCGACGGGGCTCTTGTTGTCCAGGGCGATGGAGGCCGCCTTGAGGTGCTCAATGAATTTGCCGATGCGGAGGATCTTGCGCGTCGTGCCGAACTGCTTCTTCACTGCGTTGAAGGGCTCGATGGCGCTTTGGGGCTTGTTTGTGCGGTAGAGGTACCAGGCATAGAAGCGGGAGAAGTATTGGATTGTTCGGAGGAGTTTGTCGCGGCCGACTGTGTGGTTTGGTTAGCTGATTCGGCGTTCGCGTCTTCAGGTTGGGCGGGGAAGGTTTTGTTGGGAATGGGGGGTGGGAGTGGGAGTGGCAGCTGGAGCGGCAGTGGGAATGACAGTGGGAGTTGAGCGGAGTGGTTTGAGTTGGCTGCGAGGGAAGTGGAGGATGGCTCTGCTGCTGTCGGGTGTGCACATGTGTGCTCGAGGTGTGCTCGAGGTGTGTAGGCCGGGGTCACGTACCTGTGGTTGCGACGAAGCGCAAGTAGTGCGCCAGCGCAGGGTGATAGACAAGAGCGTCGGCAACCATGATTACTGAATGTGAGAATCAACGGTGGTGGAGGGAGAGGTGATAAAAGGAAGATGGTCGGTAAATGAACGGCGAATGCAGCCGGGAATCCAACCTCGGCTGGAAAGATCTCGGGAGCCAAGGTAATCTTACGTCTCGAGTCCACTTCCCCGTGTTTTACTCGTGCTTCACGTGAAGGCCGAGTATGTACTCCCTGTACGTGAGTATATACGAAGCCATTAAGATTCTGACTCTTGATGATAATTTATACTATCATCGACACTGTATTATGCAATATTTTCGCTCTAGATTTTCTTCGCTTTCTTTGCCTCTTTTGGGCCTATCTTTCCAGTGGGGAAGAGCTGTAATCGGAGCTGTCGAGTCGTTAGGTATGATCATACTACGTATTGGTAATTTCACCGCTGTTTTCTCTCAAGAGCAAATCGTATTATAATACTAGAGATCAAACCTCGCCATTCAGTCACAGCTTATATCGCATCGTCTTATTCTGCCGATCCGTCAAGTCGGAGAAGGCATTGACAAGATCCTCTTCGATCCCAGCTGAATCAGCATCCCGAGCTTTATTTTCCCGAGCATACAACACATACAACAACCCAAAGACAGCAATATTGACCGCAAATGCAGCCATGCACACCGTGATTCCGGTATGGTAATAAGGTGCCTCGCGCGTCAAGAAAACCTGCGGTGAGACAATATTCGAAACACAGTTCGAGGAGAAGAACAGGGCACCTGCAAGCACCTTCTTCGAATATCCAGCCACATTACTCGCAAGAAGCGAGTACATAATACCAGCCGAAGAAGCCACCATGGGAACAATGAAAATCGCACCAAGATGCGCAGTCTTCGTGCCAGCATTGAAGGGCAGAGCGAACAGCATCGCTGTCGACACAAGGCCAGGAATATAGCAGAGAATGATGAAGAAAATGCGCTTCCCTTCTCCCCATTTCGTCGACAGCGTAATGCTCACAATAATCATAGTGACAGCCATAATAATCGAAGGCGGGATATTGAGCAAAACAGCCTGATAAGTCGAATACCCGAATCCCTTAATGATGATCCCCATGAAAGTAGTCTGCAGCGAATTCGTCAAGTTGTGAGCAAACATCGCAAAAATCAACAACCAGATCCGGCCATCAAGCAGCGTCTCCACAATCTGGTCTTTCTTCATATGCGTATTCTTCACGCCAGTCTTATTGCTGCTCAACCGGTGAACCACAATATACCGTTCCCGCTCCGTCAGGAAGCTCGCCGTCAGGGGTGAATCGGGGAGTAGCCACCACAGACTGATTCCAAAGACGACCGTGAACCCGCCGAAGATGATGAACATCCATTGGTAGGCGAACATCCCATCCACGTCGATGTGGGCGATTGCCCAGAAGATCACGCCGGACGGGGCGCCGATGATGCCGTTGGCGCTGTACCAGAGGCCTACGCGGGCGGGTTGTTCTTCGCGCTTCCACCAGGACGAGGTTACTAGTACGAAGCCTGGGTTCAGGCAGGATTCAAAGACGCCGAGGAAGAAGCGGGCCGCGGCGAGTGAATGGAAGTTCTTTGCGGAACCGGTTGCTGCCAAGGTCGCTCCTATTCGGCGGATTAGCTTGGGGGCGGATATGCTTATGGCGGTGGACCTTCTTACCCCAGAGAACGAAGTTCACGGTGAGAAATTTGCCGACCGGGTAGCGTTGCATGAGTAAGTTGACGGGATACTGGGCAATGAGGTATCCAATGTAGAAGATGGTGACCAGTAGACTGAAATCTTGGCCTTTGAGGTTGGCTTGTGTTGCGATTCCGTATGTGCCTGCATTGGAGAGTGTCTGAGAGGTCAATATCGGACGCATGATTGCACATTGATGATAGCCTGAGAGCATACATTCTTATCAATGAATTGAATGCCATTGATAATCAACATCAATAGCACCATGCGAATATCGACTTTGCGCATAACACGTCGCTCTTCTTCCTTGCTGTATTCTTCATGATGAGTTTGCAGAAAAGCAAGAGCATCGTCACCGTCTGCAGGGGCTATCTTCGTATCATAATGAAGAGTAGCTTGCGGCTGAGAAGTGATATCCTCCAGCTCCACCGCCGAAGCATCGTCTTTTGTTGTAGTTGCCATTGAATCAGTAGAAATAGAGACAATTGATGCGTAAGAATCAAGATCTCCGGAATGGAGTCTTTATATGGATCCCTTGCAATCGTTTACCCCAGAGTCCAGCTTTGACCTCTCCGGGGTAAACGATCTAGCTCCATAGTTCAAGCTAAACGACCGAGAGACGTATTCCCCCAGCATCCGACAAGACATCCGAAGAAAGTCCGATGAAGGTATCTGGAGGTTTAAGCGAGCTTGGGTCCGCTCAGATTGGGTGGAAACTGGGGATTGCGGAGAGAGAATCCGGGGAGGAGACGAGACTAGTAAAATATGGCTGAACCCCCGCAAAACACGGCATTCGTCTGCAGTCTTTCCGGCATTTGTTGCTTATATTGTACCTATAGAAATGAATTTGATCGGAATTTTGATCTACCGCAAGGAGTGGCTGTCAGATCTATAGACCTTGGCGAAGGCTTAACTGGACTCGGTTATTCCTTCATACTCTGTATCGATGTCCGGCATATCTTTTTCCCAGGGTGGAAGAGTAATATAAATAAAGAATCCCACCTACTGTCTTGTCATAGTTCAACTCCTCAAGCTGCACCATCTCCTCACAAAATGGAAACAATCACTCATCACGCCCCGTCCCTGAACGCCTCCCTCATTGGCGAATCAGACGACAACCTTGCCTTATTCCGCGGCGTACCCTATGCATCCGTGAAAGAGAGATGGACACACAGCGAGGTGACGAATACTCTCGACTCGCCCTTCAACGCAACCAACTTCGGCCCCCGATGTCCCCAGGGCGAAGGCATGGTCCTGGTGACCGGCGGAGTCACCGATCCAGCCCCGGGCGACGACGAATTCAAATGTCTGAACCTGAACATCTGCGTCCCAAAAGAAGCTTTGTCAAACACCTCAGGACCTGGATTACCAGTCATCGTCTGGATACACGGGTATGTTCCACCTCACCTCTCCCAGCACAATCCAGCGCGATAGTCAAATATTGACATTCTATTCCCTTCTCAGCGGGGGCTTCCTCTACGGCGCAAACTCCGTATCCCGCTACCGTGCCCAAGCATTCACAAACCACGCCGCCGAAACAGGACACCCAATCATCCTAGTCCAGATCAACTACCGTCTGGGGGTTCTCGGCTTCGCTGCCTCGTCGGACTTAGCATCCACTGCCTCCGATTCTACACTCCCAAACAACAATTGGGGCCTGGTTGACCAACACAACGCCCTCGAATGGGTAAACAAACACATCGCCTCGTTTGGCGGAGACAGGAACAATATCACTGCAATGGGTGTTAGTGCCGGCAGCGCAAGTATCCACTTCCACATGCTCTCACGTCTGAACGGAAGTCCGTTGTTCGATCGTGCGATTATGATGTCTGGTTCGGCTTCTACGCTTGGACCCTTGCCTTTCGAGGTCTACGAGCGGGAGTGGGGAAAGTGTGTTGGAAAGTGTGGGATCTCGGATAATAGTTCCGAGGAGGTGATTCGACAGATGAGAGGTCTTGATGTTGATACGTTGATCGGGAATTATTCAAAGGCTGCGTTGGGACCTGTCGGGGATGGAGGTGTTATGCCGACAGCTTGGAGGTTCGGGGATGGTTATGGGCGTGAGACTGGCTCGAGATGTAAGGAGATTATTCTTGGAGATACAAATGTCGAGGCTTTGATCCTGGATGCCATTCCTGAGAATATTTCCCAAGAGAAGTTTGCGGAGATGATTGACGGTGCCTTTTCCGATGACCTGATTCGGGATGACTTCCGCAAGGCTTTTGGGTTTAGGACTCAGACTCAACCATTTGAGGAGTATCGGAATGCTGTTCGACTCTTGCTTGGTTCGACGATGTTCCAGTATCCTAATATTGGGATTGCGAGAGCGGGACTCGAGCCAGAGTCTGTTGGGCGGGATGTTTACCTCTATCATTTCGAGGAGCCATCGCCTTTCCCTGGCCCGACTGAAGGAATGTCGTATCATGGTCTTTGCGCTTTGCTCATCTATCTTAATCAGTTAGATGGGTTGTCCGAGGAGGTGAAAAGGACATCGTTAGAGGCGGCAGGGACTTTTGCTGCCTTTGCTTATGGGAAGAAACCTTGGGAGTCTTTTGGGGAGGCTGGGAGGTTTATGCGGTTGGGACCTAAGGGTGTTTCGGGAATGCATGATTTCAAGAGTGACCAAAGTAGGGGGTACGGGCATCTTCAGTGGATGGATGACCATTTTGAGGAGACCAAGGAGTTTGTGTGGAGTATTTTGTTGGCATAATGGGGGAGTTGACCCGGGGTGGGATAAAGAAGCCCAACAGTCAGGAAGAACCGTGTGAAACTGTCAAGATAAGATCAGGATTGATTAGATTTGAATTTAAGCTTGTTTGCTGTCCCGTATTTCCTGTTTGGGTGGACGTGTCACTTTGGTGACGTTTTCTCATTTCTTGGTGGGAGCGGACGCGACTTGGCTGCCTGGCGTCGCTGCCTCAGACGCGTCAAAATTAGATCAAGATTGATTGTAGATTGATTAGATCCACGTTTGACCTTGTTTGCTTCCCCGTATTACCTGTTTTGGTGGACGTGTCACTTTGGCGACGTTTTCTCATTTCTTGGTGGGGGCAGACGCGTCTCACTGCCTAGTCTTTCTACCTAGCCTCAAGACGTGTCAATAGTGTATTATTTCCATTTATTGTATCCTCCATGTCTTCTGCTTGTCTAATATGTCTGCTTTGTCTGCTATGTCTCATGAATCTGACTTCCAGTATGAAATCAAGTACATCAATGATTGACACTGTATGGACCGAGCCCTTGTCAGCGCTTTCTCCACCTCATCTCCATTCTTCTCAACAGAAACTCCTGGCAGCTTCGAGAGCAAGACAGGACCTGAGTGCAGCCGATAGCCATGGTTCTTTGGAATGTAGCCATTGAATTCGATGAGTAGTCTGTAGCCAACGAACAAGGCCGGTCGTCCGCGGGCAGCCAGAAGAAACCTTGCCCTCCATATGTCATCGAGGAATTGTCGTCGCTTAGGCTATACTTGACCGTCTCTGAGAGCGGGATCAAAGGGCTGGGGGAGGGTGTGTCTCGAATCGATGGTCATACAAGCCCCAGGATTCATATTCTCAAAATCCTTAGGACTTCCTTTCTTGAAGTGTGGTCTTGATAGATAACAAGAGACGTTTCAAGCCCTCCTCCAGGGCTTCTCTTCCCACGGTGAAGGTTATCCGGAACCAGCCATAGTTCTCAGACATATAGACATGACCAGGAGTAATCATGAGGCCATTCTTCATGCAAAGATCTGCAAAGTCTAGCTCGCTTTGCAAAGTGGGCTGGGCGTCAGAAGCTGCTCCATCTAAACTGCTATCATCAGACGGCTGTGTCTGTGGATTCCCGCACAGAACATGGCGAAGATCAATCCAAAGAAACAACCCCGCATTCCTTTCGAAAAGTCAGCGCTCTTCTGCACTAAAAGATTGTCGGGACTTACATGTCATAGTAAGGGATTCCATGCTCAGACAAGAATGCCGTAGTCATCTTGTACCGGTCCAGCATCAATTCTTGTTTTCGCCTCATAAAGCCGTCCATCCAGTGACCGCGTTCCATCATGGCAGCCCAGACATCCTGGAGCATATGCGGTGACCAGGAAAACATGCTGCGTACATACTCTGTCAGAAACTTCTCCCGAGTTTGTGGTAAGCCTGGGTACACCTACCTGATGCTTGAAATCGCCCCCATGATACCCTCGTTGACGGTGTAGACAAAACCCATGCGTAGCCCATTCGCGCAGAAATCTTTACTTGCGCTATAGAGCACATGTTTGCGGGTTGGGTCGATCGAAGAATCCAGGTCCAAAGCGAGAATCGAAGTGAATGTGTCCAGTAATGGGGCTTCGGGGTTTTGAAACCCAGAGAATGCATAGATCTCATCAGAGATAAGATGTAGATCGTTCTTGCCACAGAACAGAGCAAACTCTCTCAACGTTTCTGGGGGCTTGAGCCGCAAGTCAATTTCAGAAAGTGGTCAGAGAAGGGAAAGGGTCGCGTACATAGCATCTCCCCAGGGGGTTATGTGGACTGAAGGCTGCTGATTAGCGTGTATTTATCAAACGCAGTCAACGAGAGGACTCACTTGGAAATCAAAAGAGCGCGAATGTTAACTCCGGTCTCTTTGGCTTCGCAGAGCGCCTTCTCAAGCGCTCTTCTGTTAACACCAGGTAGAAAAAGATCGTCTAGTCCACTGAACCCCTCGATGCCTTCATATTTGACCCCTCTAACCTGGACGTCACTCCTGTTCATCAAGTCGAAAACAAATCCATTATACAACGGCCGAGGAACCAAAATACCGTCGTTCTCATCACAGATTGCAAACGATATTCCATCAATAGCACTTGCCATACCTGGAGTGACAATGATGTTTTCATATGTGACAGGTGATCGTGACCGAAACCTCTCTGTCAAGAGCGCAGCCGCTGCTTTTCGAAGGCGCTTGGATCCACGGGGGCCGGTGCTATATGTTAAATGTTCCTGGGGCAAAACTGTCATCTGGATCGATAGGAATCAGCCTCAGCTTGTTAGACGAGCCATTTCAGTTGAAACAGAAAAAGAACCTCTGATAGTATGTGACTGCATATCTCTTCGTGCATCAAGCTATTCTCCGCAAGACGAAGTATGATCCTACAGGAAGACAGCCACGGTCATTCATCGTTCTCATGAGTCTGAAAATGGTGCATTTACGTTCCGTCTGGATTACTCGGTGACCAAGGGTTCCCCATTGACTTTTCTCTTGGACCCCAAATATCCCTCGACGCAACATTAGTTGCGCCACGTTTTGATATGTGGTGCGTATGTGCGAGTGCCTCCGAGGGCGAGACCCTCTCTTGGTCGGAGCTGTGGTTGACAGGCATTTCGGTTGCTGAAGAAGACAGAGTTCAAGCTTGAAATTGATTATGAGAAAGTTTGGACTCCCCTGTATGTTCCTTGGCTGTCTTTTTAGACCCAACGCCCTCAGGTGTGGACGCTGAGGCAAGAAGCCGCGGGTTTTACCAATGCGGGTTCAGGTGGGGGTCCGCCCCTGAAGTCGCCGTCTTCACAACTGAGTTATGGGAAATACCAAGAATCCTTGGAAATTCCAGAAATTAAGTCTTATGTCTAGGTTTTCCTCCTGTCAAGGCAGGTTATTCATTTATAGGCAATATATTCCGCTTCAAATCATTTGACTTCTGACTTGCAGGCCTATGGCCTTCCAGCAGTTGTATCAGCCCATGCTTGATATGGCCCTTCAGATGATACAGGCTGTGTCATGTCCGCAAAATTATACAAGAGCAAATCGACATCAAGTGCGTTATCAAGATAGTTAGCCCACAAAGAATCGTAAACCAAATCCCCTCTCCCCGAGGACCCGTCGGTCTGCACGATCCAATTCTGTGGAAAAGTGTTGCAAGTAGTATACAAGCTCGCATTGGGAGACACATTTGAAGTCACGGTTTGAGGGACAGAAACAGGCGGTTGAGGTCTATTACTCTGTCCGTTCTTCTCCTGATCCCTCGTGGCTGTCGCAATCCTCGAGGATACATCCACAATCGAACCACCGAGTATTGGGTCTTGCCGAGTCAGCCTCTTCATCAGATTCCCAAAGGCTTTTAACATCCATATCCTGACGGGCCAGGATTTGGCAATCACACTCAAAGCCAGCATGCATTGTCTTGATTTGTTCTCGGCTAGTTGTCGATGTATAGAGTCTGCGGAGGATATAACCATGGTGTGGACTGAAAGTGCGCTGAATAATGCCGGGACCCTTGTATGAGGTGAGAATTGTATGTCATTAATTGAGAGAATAGGAGGCGAGCTTACAGATGAATTAAGCCACAATTCATCGTCTCCGCTGTAAGAAGGTCCTCGGCAAGACGAGTAATCGAGTCGGCGGCATTTCGGGCCCGCGAATTACAATCAGTTTTACCCTGAGATTGCTTTTCAAGAGACCTCGTTCGGAAGAGCAGTATAATCGTATTCCTATTCCGAGTTAGCGGTATCTCTGTGACATTTTAGGATTAGAGTCCTACTGGTAAGAGAACTGGAGCATGGCAGCCCAGAATGAACATCCTAAATACTTGTCATAGGACTGGATTTTGAGTTGACTGGGCAGTGAGGTTTCCCAATTCATAAGTCTCCAGTCTATTGATTCCGTGATTAATGTTGGGTTTCCATTCACGGCGTGGCGAGGACTATACTCTGCCGTGAGAACATCTCCGACTATAATTATAGCATTAGCCACTATGTTTCCACAACAGTTATTAATTACTCTTAAGAAGTTCACTTACTTATAATTGCCAGCTTGGACATCTCAAGAGCATAAAGCACATGGTAATTCTCCTGAGCTGGAATAAGCCCTGGAATATAGGCGGCATCGAAAGAGAAATCACTCTCAGTCAGAGCTTCCACATCGCAGTCTTCATCTCGGATCCGGTATGGTCGACCAAAAGCCGCAGAAGTATGTCTGTCACGGGTCTGAATATATGAGAAACGGAAACCAGTGTAAAGAAAATAGAATTTACATAAATTGCCCACCAGACTCTCCTCCGTAAGCTTCTCACGCGTGGAGCAATAGCAGGCTGCTGCACCCTGTGACCACCTTGTCAGCGTGTTTCAGGATCCATGCAATCGTCACAACCCACGAGCGGTGCAGTCCCATTGATTGCGCCACATTGACAGCGCAGCTAACCCAGTAGCAGGTATCTTTCTGGTCGTCAGGTCCGGCCCACCAGAAGCCCAGAAGGAGCAGCGCAGCAACAAGATTCATGCGGTCAGTCTCATAATCTGCGTCGTACAAAGTCTTGGCGCGAATATAGTGCGTCTTCCTTGCTGTTGCACGGTCACTGAAACCCGCTTCACGGATCAAATCATCGCCTCCGATGGTGAAACCTAGAAGAGCAATCGTTTGTAAAACCAAGGGAGACGTGTGGCCTTCATGGTAAGACTGTAAGAATATTTCCCTGTCGAATAGCGGGTAGGCTGGATGAATCTTGTGAAAGAACGTCTGGACCAGTTGGTCAAGTATATCTCGGGTTGGGAGTGATAGGGCTTCTTGCGGTGAGATCGGCATTTGTAGCTGGTCTAAAATGGCGGTTCCTGGCCGATCTGTGATAGCCTCTGGTATTTGGTGACGAATCGTAATCGGCTCAGTGAGTCCGCCTTCGGATTTATAGCTCAATTCTATCACGTAGTATTTCGTGGAAGGATCTGTGTTACCGACGCCATTGGCACTATGTTCAGTATTGGACTGTTGTGATAGGCGTTGGTTCTCTTCAATCGAAGACAAAATATAGTTCTGCTCTGTTGTCTCTTGGATCACACTAGAGTCTTGTGCAATCTGTGTGGCCCTAGATATATCGCTAGTGCTCTGTGATTGTCGAGAGATCCGATCTGATCGACGTGCTCGAATATACCTATTTGAACATTATTACCGGGAATTTGTGAAAGAAAAATGCCAACAAGACTAAAGTCACGTACTTGCCCCTTCTAGATTCGATTAGTTCGCAACTTATCCGCCGCATACGGCAATGCCAACAAGGCTGCCCGTCGCCTGCATCACATTTCACACGTCTTGCATTGCATGCCTTGCACGCCACGCGAGTTCGACGAGGCCGGCTCTCACTTTCTATTTCCATCAAGATAAGCGACAGACGTTCTAGAGCAAATATCACAATGATACATGATTAGTGTACGGAGGCGTCATATCCCCGAGGCTATATCCGGGAGAAAGAACTTCCGCGCCGATTTCATGATCTACTACAGCAGATGGGCGAGATCAATGGCGGCTTGCATGTCTATTGATAACACAAAGTCTGCTAGTATAGACTTGAATGGAGCTACAGGTATGATTCAGCATCGAACAGTTTCCTTGGAAGGCAGGCCTGTGCCGCGGTATGTATTAAAATCGGCCCTAAAATCAGGCACACGGTGTAAAACTACACAAATTCTCCCGTGAAATTGCACCACCAAGCTAGATCACCAGCAGATCTGCTCCGTCAATGCCCACGCTAGTTACATAAATATTCTGTCTCATGAAGCTATCAACCTTGTCGCAGGGGCAGGGGAAGCAAGTCGCAAGGGCTAGTATTGTCGCTGTCTCATCATTCGTATCATGTCGTTTCAAAAAATTACTGATCGAATTGGCGCGTAGGGGATTAAATCTCAGATAATGGGTGCTGATGGAGCTGCCGCAGAGCAAGAGTCGGTCTGGTTCAGCAAGGTATGGTGGTGGTGGTGCAATGGGATTCAAATGGAGTAAAGCGATTACTCCTGTTCTGCGGTGGTACTCTGGCGGTTGTTGGCACCCATCGTGGTGGTGTCGTAGCCGTTTGCCTCGAGGTAGTCGCGGAATTTGGCATCTTCGTAAGTAATTGTGTCCTAGGTTGCGGTTAGTGTCTAGGTATGATCGATATCACGACGTAAGTCATACCTGATTAATCTGCGGGACCATGAAAATGGCCAGGAAAGCAGCCAGCAGGCACAGAGAGCTAGACACGAAGAAAGGATCTTGCCCGGCACGAATCTTGTTGGGGGCATTCTTTTGAACAATTGGAATCACGTAGGTTCCCACAAATGCTCCGATCTTTCCAATAGCAGCTGCGTAGGAGTAGTATTGGCCTCGAATGGCGGTTGCACTGGTCTTGGCTGCGATCAGGCCGATGTTATCGCCCGGTCCCATTTCGCCGAGGGCGGAAAAGACTCTGGTATTGATAGATTAGCATGAGCTGTTCCAAGTTTGGGTCTTTTTAAATATTTGGACACACTTACCCGAATACAACCACAAAGGCGGCAACGTTGGCCTTAGTTGCAAGCCACTTGTAGCATCCGGCCATGATGAATCCAACAATTCCTTGGAGGCCGACGCCAAGAGCAAGGGTATACCGGGGTCCAATCCAGTCACTCATAAAGGCGCCCAGAACAGAGCCCGGAATGTAGAAACAGTTGACCACGGTTGCCCAACCAAAGCTCTTCCACAGAGCAGTTTCATCGCCGAGAATGATAGAGACCCACTCGGAAGAGTAAATCGAGAAACTGTAGGACGAAAAGTCATAGAGGAACCAGATGAGCGAGACAACAGCCTGTTTGGTTACGAATTAGCGTTTTTTTCTTGAAGATCGACAGAATGTCCACATACCAGGCGCCTCCAGTAAAACCTAGAAAGAGGTCAGTCAAAGTCTCACATCACATTCAATCGCCAAAGCTTACTTGATAATCAACCAAACAGGGAATTTGTGCATGCGCTCCCGGTTGAACTCCTCTGGTTCGTTCATCTTAAGTCGAAGATACATGAGACTCAAAGGGGGAATAACGCCGAATCCCAGCGCGACACGCCAGCAAGCACGCAGGTGGTCTTCGGTAAAGATCAACACCAAGATCATAGAGACCAAAGATGCAATCACGAAGCCAGCATCAATCTGGAAGTTGGTAAACATAATAAACCAACGGTTCCTATGACCATGCTTCAGCTCTCCGGTATTCTCAGCAGCACCGACCGAGCCAGCAGGATATTCGCCTCCAATACCCACAGCGAGGAAGAAACGATAAGCAGTCAGGGCTGCGAACATGCCTCCGATGCTACCACCGGCACCGTACGATCCGGCGCCGAGCGCGGCGAAGACAAACAGGATGATGGTGGAAATCATCAGGGACCATTTGCGTGACCAGTGGTCACTGGTATAGCCAAAGCCCAGCATACCGACTACGGTACCGGCGAACACAATCGAGGAGACATTCTGCGCCGCAGTGGAATCGGTGTATGCAGTGCCGTAGATCTTTCCCAGCATAGTACCCACTGGGCCGATGATCTAGATCGAGGCGTGTCAGTAGTGTGTACGTCGGACAGCATGGTTGTGGTACAACACGGAGGAAGACTCACCTGGTTCAGGTACCCATCAGAGAAAAGACCAGCACCACAGGCAATAGTAGGCCAACTGCGCTCCCAGCGACCCTTTGCGACATCTTCAAGGGGTGGCAGTTCCCCGCGCTCCTCTTTGAGAGGATCGGGTCCCTTTTCAGTCATCTGCTTAGACTCTGTTGCGCTCATGATCGCCGAAAAAAATTGCGACTGGCTGGGTTGTGTTTCACGATTAGAGCTCAGTAGGACTGCGCGAGGTGAAAAGGTGAGGGGACCGGTTGCGGGATATGACCTGGTCACGATGACGGGCGAGTGTACAAGAAAGAGAGTGTACAAGAGAAGAAAAGTTTTTTAACTACGCAAGAAAGAAAGAATAAATTAGGCAAATGCCCAAATGCCAAAAAAGCCTGGAAAATGCTAAATGGGGAATAGTATCCCTAAGGTACCTGGTCGGTACCTATCACAGAGTGCGGAGGCCCGCGTCTAACCAAGTATCGGACGGTAGTGGCACCCGGCCCCCGAGCTTTATCGTTCTAAGCTTTAGCCCCAAAACCACCGGTTTCCGCCATGGGTAAGCCAATGGCGCCCGTTCGTGTGATAAGATTTATGTTTATGGCCAATGGCACTGATGGTTGTATCGGCCACTCCGAGATGAGGAAGAGATAGATTATTTCGACCGATACAGAGTATACTACAGCCATCTTGACTACGTCTTTGCCTCCGGTTTGCCGTGAAGTCCAAGGGAGAACCTCGGGAGCAATCAACATTGTGAGCACGTGCCTGTGGACTCCTTTCGGAGTGGATTCTCTCAGCCTTTTTTCCTGTTCGATTTTAGTGTCAAATTCTGAGCCTCTTGGTTTCAAGAGCCCTGCAGTCTTGGGTCAGAGCTTGATGGTATTTTGGAAACTATCTTTCTTGCTCTCTACGACAAAGCTACTGGAAATGTTGCGTATGCAACCTCCACGTGACCAACAGCAAAGACGCTGAAAAAAAAGAGTGAGAACGTACGTCGACCACGAATATGTATTGGATGGGGAAATAGCTATAAAAAAGTAAGAACAATTTACCTTGGAGCCATTCGAGATTTTCAGGAAATAAACGGACTTCCCAGTCGTCGCTAGACCGTATACCGTGCAGTCCTGCTTAGTGAAGCGCTTCCTCTCTCGGTGGATACAGCCTTTTGAACCAGTCAGCGTCTCCAGTTCACTATACCTTAATAGACCTTGTCAACCACTCACCCTTGTACCCGCATCAACACCATTCTTCTTCGCCTCTACAATGATAACAGTTTAACAATTGCTAAAAAGCCATCTCCCCCTAAGAAGTTAGTCATATTTTAGCGCTATCTGAGTAATATATTTTGCATCCAATTTTACCTCTAAGAATGTATCGAGTATTCGGCATTTTAATGCATCGAATAAATTATCAATCGAATTTACAGTGTTTAGGCTTAAGGCACATTCGGTTCGCAATTATACCATGTGGCAGCGTAGAAAATCGAGGTATCTCATGTCCCTAGGCTCTATCCGTTAGAATCAATGAAAGCATTCCAGTAACATACAGCTGTACCACATTTTACCCGAAGTAGCAAGGGCTTGATTACTAGTTAGGCTGCAATAGGTTAATTGAACTTTGATTGATTGATTGACTGATAGCAAGGGCTTGGACACTCAAAGTACATGATCTACGTCGGGGATTGCTAGCAGACTGAGGTAGCCTGAGTTGACTGCTAGGCGAGAATTAAGGATTCATCCGATTCATTAGAATGCCAAAAATTCAATGCAATGTTAAAAGGTAAAGGTGGATGTAAAATACAATACTTAAAAAGCGCTAGAATGTTAAGTCACTAGTTTATCAGTGGCATCAAATTTGAGGTGCCTTAGTATCAATCAATTAAATCTGGTCCGTAAGCAGAAGATAGCAGTTCGTTTCGCTCCTAGTCTGTCTCCGTCCTAATTTCTATCTGCTCCCACTCCATCGCCTTCCTCTTCTTCAACTCTCTCATATCTGGAATCTCATCCTTCATATCCACCATCCTCTGTATTTCCTCTTCTCTCCCTGCCACCAGACTGATCATATTTCCTTCATTCTCTTCCACGGCGTACTCATCCGGGTCCTAAGAGGAAAGACCTGTGTATTTCTCTTTGAGCTTCATATCCATATAACCCTCTATGAGTTCTATATCTCCTAGTTCTAAGAGATGAAGTCTCTCCCGCCATAATTCCCAAATAATGTCGCCCTTATGGGTGGCGTTGCCGAAGAATCGCGGATGGACGGCTTTTCAATATATCGTGTCAAAGGCAAAATTGTTCCTTGCCGCGAAGCGTAGATATCGAAAGAACGATATTGAGAAGTTTTCTGCAGAGAGCTTCTAGCGTAACCTACATGAAGTCCGAATTAAGCACTGGCTGCTGACCTCCTGGGCGTCCTAGTATCTCAAAAAGATTGCCCATATTTCCCTTGTGGGGGATAAAGCTCATGATGGTGAGTGGACCCGGTTTCCGATGGACTTTCTTTTGCCTCTCGCCGGCGAAAGATAGGAGGCACCGGGATTAGAAATTAAATCTGGGACTTGTTCCAACTGGCATTCTAGGTGAGTAGTATATAGTATAATGCAATTCAGTATATAAGACCATCTTGGAAATTTATATAAACGCTGTGCAGGACCATCAAAGAGCATTTAAAAGCTCGTGATCAAAACAATTCAGATTGGAACTCACTTTTTAGCGTGCATCTTTCCAAAGAAAGATTCAACAGGGCTTACGCCCTTGGCAACACCAAGAGAAGTCTCAAACTGAAGACGCCACCACTCAACAAGATCACGGTTCTCCATAAAAGTAGCAAACTCAGTAAGAGCTGTGTAAGGATCATCCCAAACACTCCCAGCTTTAGCCTTCAAATCTTTCCGGATGAGATAGCTACCGCTATCACCAAATGTTTGCTGGTGTTCATCACTGAGCAACCAACTCAAAAACAGCCTGGAGCTCTCCGGTCGAGGGGTAGAAGCAAAGATGGCAGCAGTTTGAGGCCACAGAATGCGACTGTCATTCACGGGCTGGTTGGCAATATTGTTGGCGCCGTTCAAGTTTGTGGTGAATGACAAAACGCGCGAGGTGTTTGTCTCTGCCACGTAGTTTGCCGGCTCACCTGTGCCACGAACCCACTTCACGTTTTGCTTTTGGAGATCTTCGAACCATTCCCAGCCATATGTTTCGATTATGGTTGAGAACAAGTAGGTGATCGCGTCATCGTCGTTGGGTTGGGTGAGAACAAGCTTGTTCTTCCAGAAAGGGTTGGTGAGTTCGTCGTACGTCGAGGGAAGGTCGGATGCCTTCAGTGATTCTTTGTTGTAGACAAAGCTGCCGAACTGATCTGTTGGATTGCATGTCTCATTAGTAATATATTAAATGATACTCACCGATGTAGGGGTTAATTACAGATAAATACTCCAAGGAAGGCACCTTCGGGATCTTTGACTGAAGAGTATACATCCTCCCAATTGAGAGGCTTGTAGGGAAGAAGTCTGCCCTCACGCTTCCAGCGGCCATAATCATGCAGGGTCTGCAAGACAGCAATATCAGCACCGTCGGTACCATCACGCTGGAACTGGCGATTGACACGACTGTCGTGGTATTTCGAAACATCCACAGTCAAGTTCAGCTTGATATCGGGGAATCGGGATTTCCATGCAGCAATTGTTGAGTCTCCTTGACTAACGGCTGAACAGTGAACTTAGTACCAGTATGGATCACGGAGGCTAGGATCCAAAGCAATGAAGGCCACAGAGAACGTACCATCTCCACCCCAAAGAACCACTAATTCACCAGTTTCATTCTTTGCAGCAGCGTAGATCTCATCTAGTGTTCTGTTCTCCAAGGCCAGATTATGTCCAGGATAACTGTTGATCTTTGGGAGAATTGCACCGGAGGCAAAGCCAACAAGACCCAGACTTGCAATGAAAGCCTTGAATGGCGCCATGGCTCTATGTATGAGGAAAAGAAGGATTAATGCCGAGAAATCAACCCTTCTCTCTTCTAAATTATATAGATCTACTGTATTATGGTATGAGACAAAGCACGGAATGCTTCCGTAGCATTGTTCAACCTCCATTATCAAGCAGGGTGGGTCCACCGGCGCCGGCAGGATTTACTCTAACCCTCTTCAGGAACAGTAAAATGAGGATTCAGTATGGCAAGTCATGGAAGAATATTCCAAGGGATTTGTCAGGCTTAAAATGTGCTTATCGACTCCTTGGCAGCCACTTTGGAGTGAAACGTCCATCTCCCGCTTCCGAAATCGGGTCATAAGTACGTCCAGGCACGCCCCCTGAAATTAGACTGAGACCCTTGAATAAAGTGGTGCAATATATGCGCGGGCTGTCATATGATTGGCCTTGTATTGAATGTTCTAGGGATCAGCAGCATTTTGAAAACCTGAAGCTTTTTGAGGAACATATCGAAAGAAAGATTGATTCCGTTGCTAACAAGCCGACCCTCAAAGAGCGAGAGCATTAACCGAGCGCCTATGTGTACCAAGAAACAGCTTATAGTATAGAGTACGGAACTGACGTTGTATCAAGTGTCTCTGTTAGTAATTCAAAGATAGAATCCATGATAGTGACTTCGGATATGCTAGGACAATGATATACTGTTTATTGTAGCATGTTAGAATAGACTCATATCATGTTATATGTCCATAATTATGTTCTCCAGTGTTTCAAATATGGTAAATCCCACAGATCAGATGATTTACGAGATAATCAGGATACCGCTTGCGCAGATAGCCTGCATTGACCATTGATTCTCTTAGGAAATTAGAAAAGAGAGGGACTGACTCTCGAGAAAACAAACCAGTAAATTTGACTTGTGATTATGGAAACAAACCCTCTTCATCAAAAAGGAAGCAAGCCATGACAACCTTGAAAGCTCTATGGGGTTGATTTATATGGAGAACCGCGAAGAAGGCCCGGGGCGGAACAACTTTTCGCCAGCTGAGCTCGGGCTACGGTGATGCACCTGGCTTGCTCATCAACATCACTTCCATCCTCCCTCTTCCCTTGTGAATCTCTTCATTGCTTGTGATATTTCCCCTAGTATCTCCAGTACCCCTCGCCATTATGGGGTCTGATCCGCAATACATCAAATTCCCCAACCTCTCCCTCGCCCAAGATGTCTTCAACCTCTCCAACCCGGCCTGCGCACCAGCACTTCAGCAAACATCATTGAAGAAGCTTCAAGATGTCATCACCGAGCACAAGATGGCGCCGCTTTATCGGCACCTGGCCCATCCCACCGAGGGTATCCTGAACAACTCCGGCGAAGGCGTAACACAGCACCCGCAAAATGCAGGGACCTCAACAAAGCCGCTCCTCACCTCCAACATGCTTGCCTCTCGTAAAACACCGCAGAAGTTTGATTTCCCTTGGGATGAGAAGCTTTACCAGTCTTTGTTGGAGGATAACAAGAAAGAATTGGAGAGCTTCCAGAAGGAGGAAGATGACGCAGAGGAAGCTGCTGGTGAGACCGAAGTACAGGCCGCGCGCGGTAAGCGAGCTGAGTTCTGGGCTCGCGTGGGAGATAAGGTAAGATATCTTTGATATTGTCTTGCTCATATCGAAGATTACATGCTGACGCTAGTTTTCTTGTAGGACAAAGCTATCGAATCGCACGAGGCCCTTCTCGAGAAGACCGGTTTCCTTGGTACCAAGATCGACTTGGTGCTTGCCATGCTTCGTATTGGACTCTTCTTCGGTGATCTTTTGTTCGTGAACAAGACCATCGAACGGGCAGAGACCTTGGTCGAGAGTGGTGGAGACTGGGACCGCAGAAACCGCCTTAAGGCATACAAGGGGTTGCATCTGCTTACTATCCGCTCTTACAGCCTTGCTGCACCTCTCCTACTTGACAGTCTGTCTACCTTCACAAGCTACGAACTGTGCAGTTACTCTTCGTTGGTGATCTACTCCGTGCTTGCGGGATCTTTGTCCCTCAAGCGGGTAGACTTCAAGGCGAAGGTGGTGGATGCACCTGAAATCAAGGCCATTCTTGGCGCTGGAGAGGATCAGCTGGCTGCACTGAGTGGAGAGATTTCCTCTGGCCCTGGTGCTCGGGATGAGGAGATGAAGGATGCTTCCGTGTCACGATCTACACCCGCCGGTGCCACCACCGCCGTCAACTTGACATCATTCGCAACTGGCTCCAGTGCTCCAGTAGACACTGAAGTCCCCATTGATTTCTCCCCATTGGCAAACCTGGTGAACAGTCTTTACAATGGCAACTACCGCTCGTTCTTCAAGGCACTAGCAGGTGTTGAGGACCAGTTCTTGACTCAAGATCGGTACTTGCACGAGCATCGTGCCTGGTTCGTTCGTGAGATGCGTCTGCGCGCCTACCAGCAGTTGCTGCAGAGCTACCGTGTGGTGGGACTAAGCGGCATGGCCAACGACTTTGGTGTGACAGTAGACTACCTGGACCGGTAAGTGTTTCTTTCCTCATGGTAGAGAATCAGCTAACAATATTTCAGGGACCTTGCCCGATTCATTTCCAACAACCGCATTGCGTGCACTATTGACCGTGTGAACGGCATTATCGAGACGAATCGACCCGATGATAAGAATAAGCAGTATTCCGATGTGGTGAAGCACGGTGATTCCCTGATCACCAAGATTCAGAAGTACGGCCAAGCCGTGCGTCTGCGTGGAAGTGAACGAAGCTGAACTGATATACCGGAGGCATGAGCCGAGCCAACCAATGACTATTATGTACCTGAATGGAGAATCTGTGCCTAGAATCGAGTCCATTCCCCATGATCTCATTTGACTAAAAGTAGATCGGTCCCCGCATCGGGCGGCGCCGGAAAACCGGGCAGTCGCCAGACTTTCCGAGGGAAATTGATCGTCGGAGGCTGATCCGAGGTGTTATCGAGTTACTATTATACATCGTCGGTGCTATCAGTCACCGGGTTCCCGTGTTGAAATGTGTAGAAACGCTGTAACCGCTGTAAGCCCAGTCGAGACTCGGTGAAGCCCTAATATCTCTTATCGTCAGGGCTGTGGGGAAAAACGCTGAGTCAACTCATTCACCGCCCAATGGCCAAGGCCATGGAGTTTTTTTTCTTCTTCCCGTCAACACAGGGATTGTCAGAATATCGTGTCATTGATTACTTCGAACATGTCTTGGTCAATTAAGCTCGCATCCTGCGCGCGGGCAGCTCCGCTGCGGGCGCTGACCCGGCCGAAGGGACTCCTATATCGCCCGGTTTATGCGGGGTGCCTCTCCGCTTCAGGTACGTATGAGGCTTTATATAGTTGCATCTCCGCAATTTGGCTCTCAGGTCACAAATCAGAGTTGCCTGGTTGCCTTATTTTTACATCTCATCGTGCTTTATCTTGCTCGTTCCGCCCAACCCAACCATCGGACACAACAATAACCCTGTTTTGAACTTCACTAACAGCCTCGGGTGATTTTAGAGCCCACCATGACTCAGACTACCGTCTCCTATACCGCTCAGCGTACCTTGTCAACCTTCCAGACCTCCAAGTGTTTGACCGTGGACAACATCAACCCCGCCGTTCGGGAAGCCAAGTACGCCGTGCGTGGTGAACTCGCTGTCAAGGCCGAGGACTACCGCCAGCGCCTGATCGATGGCGACAAGTCGCTGCCCTTCGAGAGTGTGATCTTCGCCAACATCGGTAACCCCCAGCAACTCGACCAGAAGCCCATCACATTCTTCCGTCAGGTTCTGAGTCTCGTCGAGAACCCATTGTTGTTGGAGAATCCCGAGGTCCTCAAGACTTCCTTCGGATACAAGCAGGATGTTATTGAGCGTGCCCAGACCTTGCTCGCCAATGTGCAGAGTGTCGGTGCCTACAGTCACAGCCAGGGTGCTCCCGGCATCCGGAACAGCGTCGCCAAGTTCATTGAGAACCGTGACGGCTTCCCCGCCAACCCCCAGGACCTGTTCCTGACTGCCGGTGCCTCTTCCGGTGTCAGCACCCTCCTCAGTGTCATCTGCAACGACGAGAGCGCTGGTGTTTTGGTGCCTATCCCTCAGTACCCTCTTTACACCGCCACCCTCTCTCTGCTGAACGCCCGCTGCGTGCCTTATCTTCTCGAGGAAGAGAAGGCCTGGGGTACAGATGTCACTGCCATCCTCAAGTCCATTGAGGAGGCCAAGGCTGCCGCAATTGACGTGCGCGCCGTCGTAGTCATCAACCCCGGAAACCCAACCGGTGCCTCTCTGAGCGCCGACGACATCAAGAAGGTCCTTGATGTCGCCGCCGAGGAGAGCCTGGTTGTGATTGCCGACGAAGTTTACCAGACCAACGTCTTCAAGGGCGAGTTTGTCTCGTTCAAGAAGCGCCTGCGCCAGCTTCAGAAAGAGATGCCCGGCAAGTACGATGACGTCGAGCTGGTCTCGCTGCACAGTATCTCCAAGGGTATGGTCGGTGAGTGTGGCCACCGCGGTGGTTACTTCGAGCTCGTCGGCTTTGATCCTCTGGTCCAGGAGCAGATCTACAAGCTCGTCAGCATTGGCCTGTGCCCGCCGGTCGTGGCACAGTGCCTGCTCGAGTGCATGGTCAACCCTCCGGTCCAGGGTGAGCCCAGCCACGAGCTCTACCAGAAGGAGTACACTGGTATCTCGGAGGGTCTGCACAAGCGCGCTCTCTCCTTGTACAACGCCTTCCAGCGTATGGAGGGTGTTGAGGTTCAGGAGCCCCAGGTACGTTTACCCTCTCCCATTCCCCAATGCAACATTTACTAATTCCCCCTAGGGTGCCATGTACCTCTTCCCCAAAATCAACCTCCCAGCCAAGGCCGTCGAAGCCGCCAAGGCCGAGAACCGCGCCGCCGATGAGTTCTACTGCCTGGCCCTCCTCGACGCCACAGGTGTCTGCGTCGTTCCCGGCTCTGGCTTCGGCCAGAAGGAGAACACCCTTCACTTCCGCACGACCTTCCTCGCCCCCGGCACCGACTGGGTCGAGCGCATTGTTCAGTTCCACTCCGAGTTCATGAACAAGTACCGCTAAACATATGTCCCACAAATATAAAAATCACGTATGCATGGGTCATGCTCTGGCCCGCTTCTATTCAGGCGATTTGAGCCCGCTATTTGGGGTTCTGTGATGCTATGTTTTGGTTTGGGATTTGGATTTGGATTTGGTTCGTTCGGGATACCTTATAGACTACTTACTCTATTGGACTTGCCAATTTCCTATCACAATATTTCTTCTCGTGTCTACTTGGGGCTTTGCATGGTTTTCGGGCTGTATGTATCTGTATAGGGTTGTATACTGGTTGACAGCTTCATACTATATTTCCCTTGATTGGGATCAGATATACATGTTTGCTTCGGGGACTTAGTAGTATACCGATTGACAAGAATTGCAGGAAGAACAGATATATATTTGAAATTAGCCGAGGACTAATAAATATATTCATCCGAGAGACACTTAAAGCGTATCTCATAGACCAACTTCACCTCGATTCCATGCCAGGCTCCCTCAGATTGAGATAGTCGTAATATTATATCACATTCCAACAATACCTTTCTAGGAACATTCCCCCAAGCAAACCACATCATGAGACAAACCCAGTCAAGTTGTAACAATCGTACGCACCTCTCTCGACGGTAGATGCAGCCACCTACTGTAGACCCCAGTCTACGTTTATAGCACATAAGTTAGTACATAGTATATACAGTCCAAATCCCAATAGATCTCAATGTCCCATTCAACAATGACATAACTTACTGGTAGCATTTCCACCCACATCCTTCCCCTACATACTGTACATGCAATGAATAAACATAACTCAATGCATCAACTACCAAGAAGCGGTGAACCCAACAGCCCCAGATATACAGTACAGTACACACCAGGCACACCGGCACACAAGAACCGAGAAACATCCCTATCCAACCCCTAGGCCCGGGATACGGGGTACAGTATGTCTAGTCATGCAAGGACTCGAGCTCAGCTCAGCCCAGCTCAGTCCGGTTCTGTAGCACATGACCATGACCATGACCATGCCATGACCATGAGACATGGAGCAGGAAGCTTCCTCCACCGCTAGATCGTACAGCGTACATAATGCAGCACAGCATGCTCTATAGCCGGTAGAATCAACGCAATGGTCCAGTCACACCGACTCAGCCAACCTCTCACAATACAAGCCTCGACTTGCATTCTTGGCTAATGCTTAGCTGTTTTGAGGGGGGTTGGACCAGGGATGATGCTTGTATGATTTCGTGCTGTACTGTAGCTTATGTCTGTGTGTACAGTAGCTTTTGTGTATGTGTATGTGCGTGGGTGGATCTGAGATGGACTTTGCATTGCATTGTATTTTTGGGCGTACTGGGGTTTCTGTATGGGTATAGTTTACAAAGGAGCTGTAATTTACTCTTTTCTTTTGGATTTTTGTTTTCTTTGGTGATTTGTGTATTTGTGTGAGGATTGTGGGTTTGGTCGATTGTATTCAGGTTAAGGTTACTGGTGGGGATGGTTGGGTATCAGCATGTTACCGTATGTGCCCGTTCCTACACTCATACACTAAATTGAAGATCGATCGATCGAAATGATACGGCTAAGCCGGGCACGCCGGGCACGCCGGTCAAGCCTAAATGAAAGACAAATGCATTCAAAGTTGCGCGTGAGTCGAGGAATGTCGCATTGTGAGATGTGATGTACAACTACCAGGAATCTGGTCTCACCGCTAGATCTGACGCCGCTTGTGGAAAGGTTGACTCGAGTAGTGTGGTTGCTTGGTTTGATTGGTTGGCAATGGTTAACGTTCTGAGAGGCGGCGTAGTGTATAGTTTATCTGAGAACTGAGGGTTCTTGGTATGTCAATCTGAATGTTGATTTGCTGGTATATCGAGGGATAGATGTTATTTACATCCATCCCATCCCCTACATAAACAGTGAGCCACGAATCCGAAACATCTTATAATTTGCTCCGCATTGCATGAGTTTGGGTATCATTGCCCGGAGGCGACTGTGTTGAAGGTACCGAGTCATTGTACAAGAGTAAAACAAACTGTAAGCTCTATAGAACAGCAGAACCAAAGCCATGCATAGTGAGGGGTGAAACAAAATAGCAAGCAAAAGAATGTACAGACACACAGGCACAGAGGGCACAGGCGCACAATCGACCAAATCACAAACCCCTCTAGATTGAATAGCTATCAAGGAAGGAATCTAGACTGGCTAATGGAACAAGACAAAGGCATTTATCATCATCTCTCATCAGGGTCATGAAGACGGTGTGGAGGAGGTGGTGGTGAGTGCGAACAGCAAGCCCCGGGGACAGAGGAAGGAAGAGAAAGAAGAAAGCAAGGTAAGGTAAGGTAAGAAGAGGGAGGTTGTACCACCCAGTCTCGGTCCTTTTTTTAAACTACGCCCAGGACTGTTGGAAGAAGTTGTCGTCCATGGGTGGGGTGGAGTCGGCGTCGAAGAGACCGTTGGGCCAGATAGGAACGGAGTCTGGCGGCGAGGGCATTGTCATGGGGGCCGTGGTCATGGGCTTGTATCCTTGGGTCTGTGGCATGGCGTAGAGGTCCTGCGAGGGAACCGGTTTTGAGTCCATGTTGGCCTGCAGCTGGTGCTCGAGCGCTGCGGTAGACTCATTGGCCGACTTGAGGAAGTCGTCGATGTTGATCGAGTCCAAGTCATTGGATGAAAGGAGACGCGCCTGGGGCAGACCGACCAATGAGGATGCAGAGCTGAGGCGCATATGGTCCATGTCCGACGCTTCGCTGACGCTGTGCAGATCATGTATGTCATTGCCGGCATGACCTAACCCTGGCAGCGGTCCAAACTCATCGGCTTCGGAGATCTCCCCTGATGATGACGGTGGTGGGAGACCGGATGGATATGTGTAGTCGAAACTGGCGTATGACGGGGCTTGTGTGCTAGTCGAGGTAGGAACATCGGAGTATAGAGGGAAGCTCGACCAGTCGACAGAAGGAGCACCAACACCGGCAGATCCGAGAGGCATATCGGAATCCGGAGAGGTAAAGTAACATTCTCGATACGAGTCTTGGAAGGCCATGCAGGTAACCGGAGAATTGGTGCTCGTGGTCGGGAAGGAGAAGGCGGAGATGTCGAGAGGAGGGACATTGGTGACGATCTGCTCCAAGGGATATTTCTCTATCCCAGGAGGAGCAGAGGTGGGATTTGAGGTCGCATCGTTGGCGCGATCTAATGATGGGAGGGCAGGGGTGGCGAACTTGTCGAATAACTGGTCGAGAGAAACGGGCTTCACGTCGTCATCGCCCGAGGCTGGTGCACTGTTGGGAGAGCCATTTTGAGATGGTTGTTGCGATTGCGGATGTTCAGACAGCGCCAAAGGTTCCTTAATAAAGGCCGACTGGCCTAACGGCAGATGATCCACGGACCGACGTGGTAAATCGGCCGGATGATGGATGGTATGTGATCGTGGAATCGTATAAGGCAATCCACATTTGTGGGCCATGTCATTATGTTTATGGGCGGGTTTATGGTGGCCGTCGCGGAATATCGTCAAAGTCGACTCGGACTTGGTCGAGATCAAAGGCGGTTTCCGCGAGGTTTCAACTGGAAGCGGTGGAGAGAAAGGGAGACCGGTCTCAGGCACAGGATCTAGATGGTCCTTTTTGAGTGCACAGGTGCATCGCTGGCCATGGTAACAGCCACAGCGGCCATGGGTATCATGAGGGTCGGAGTCGCTTTTCTTCTTCTTGTCGCCGCATTCACATTTGACGTGAGTTGTCCGAGACTTGCGTAGGCCGCGACAGTGAGTACATTGAGAGACTGGGCGGCCTTTTTTATTGATGTGGGTCAAAGGGCGGTCTAATGGAGGTTAGAAGTGACCAGATTGAGATATTTGAGATTGGTTGAGAATCGCATGATCCAACGTACCACTATGATGACAGCTGCTGACGCGGTGACCCCGGACGCAAGCTTCACAAGCCCACTTCTCACCTTCGATGAGCATCGCTGCGAGTGTTACTGTGAAGTACACATGCGATGACCGAGAGAAATAGGGTATCAAGAAAACAGGCCGGTCGGAGTAGACCGGTGAGGAATCAAGCCGTCAAGGCGATGGCTACTGGAGCCGAACAGAAAGGGTATATGGCAAGGTCCCAATGCGAGGTTCACAGAACGCCAACAAACTGCGAACTGCCCAAAAAAAAAAGAAGCGGAAATTCAAAGGGTATCTGTATCAGGCGAGATCGGAGAGGGAGGAGGGGGGGGGGATAAAGTCGGAGAGTAAAGAGTAGAGAGGGGGACCAAGCCTACGCACCGTTTGGCGCCGGCCTAAAGACAGGACACCAAGTACCGGTAGTGGCGGCCAAAGTAGAAAGCGTTCGATATAAGGAGTCGTTGAACACCCTATGTAAGAGGGAAAAGGGAATGGGAAGGGGGGAACGTTAATAACGGGCGAGGATTTTCGTTGCGGTTGAGGTGACTGTGGATGACCGTAGGTGGTACCTGTAATTTACTCCAGGTTTACGTCTTTACAAAGGAAAGTGGATTGGGACTATTAGGTTAGGGTAAAGGGTTATGAAGTAATATGGGTTTTTATTGACTTTTGACTGGTGTTATGCCCCAAACCGGAAGCCCTATCCCCAACGAACTATATGCAGTCAGCTACCGTGTCGACCGTGTCTCTCGTACTGTATCATCGATTATCTTCTCCCCTTCAATAAGTGAACATATCATCTCCTACATGTACAATTTGTTGAGTGTCCATACCCACGAACCCATCCCCACCAATCTCGCTAGTAAAACCTGGGGCCGCACATCCCGACCTGGACAACTTAATTGTACGTAAGACATCGTGACGCTTATGGTATGTTTCAAAATTTCAACCCCCTGTCTAGTGTCCAGGTACTCGAACTTTCCATGATCCTTGTTGAAAATCTAGAGACTTACGGGATAGACAGTAATATAGTCCAGATGACGTTGATCAGATCCGGACTAGATACCTCTCCGGTCTCAGAAAGAAGCCAGGTTCAGAATTACATTCGATTACGATGCAAGTCATAGCCCGATGGCGTCAGTGTTCCTGCTTCGGGCGGCCTGCAGAGCCTTTTGGGGCCGGCGGGCCCTGATCTGCGCCCCCAATTCCCGCCAATCAAACAAGGGGCCCGGTTCGTCTATTCTTACGCGGCACTGGACATGTATTGTCTGGTAACGGTACTGCATAGAAAGGGAAGAGATTTCTTTCTCTAGGAATAGATGGACCGCCAACAAGTCACCCCTGCCTTGGATTAGCTCTATTTAATGTGGGATCCCTGCGACCAGATCAATGTCCGGAATATGCAACGGTAGGTAAAGTTTCGCGCGCGTAGAGCGGAGAAATATAGAATGCCTAGCGCTAACCCGACTGAACCTACCTCAAATCAGGATATCTGAGTGGCTACTTGAACGCCGATGGAGTGCTCTGCCTGTTTAGATCCAAATAGTTACAATGTAAACAAGCTAGCAAACTTCGCTGGCCTCGGTTCTTTTCAACCCCGTAGATGATAAGATCGAATCCGAGGATAAGATATCCGGAACAGCAAATGGAGTCATTCGGAAATCACCCGAGAGTTGGCAGGTAACACTGCTTATCGGGTTGTCTTGCCGAAAATCGCTATGTGTCAGTGTCTTCTGCTGAGATTGTACGGTAGTTGTAGACATCTGCACCGAATTCGTGGCTACAACCGAGTCCATCTACATGTAACAGAGCCGCAGACTCGGTTGCCTGTAGTTGCCTGGGAACAGGTGAAATGCCTTGTGCATGGGAGACAACCATAAGATGCTAAGAATCCATAGTGAATTCATTTGGCTTGGATATTCTACAGTATGTCAACAGACCTGCCTGAGAAACAAAGAACACTGGTCAGCTCGAACCGGCGACTCCAACCCCGTGATCTCGGCCTGAGTAACAAGGCACCCAGGAAAAGGTGTTAATCCGCTCCAACACGCAGAAACGAAAGGCCGTCCTCCGTGCGATCCCAAAAAGTAAACGCGATGTCGAGATAGCTTCAGAATGAGATATCAATATAAGTTCTACGTCAAAATGTTGTTGCTTAACGCGGTGCCCTCGGCGCTAGCCCCCTTGAAAATTCCCCCGCGAACTTTTAGCCTGTAAAACTTCACTTCTGACATTTTGCGTCCTACACTTTCTTCCCCCATCTCCCGGAAGCCCGCTTTGCCCACAACCCATCATTATACTTGGATTTTCCAGTCATTTCTCGCGTGATGAACTCTCGCGAGCAATCTGACATGCCTCCGGCGCCCTCTTACCCATCGCCCAATGGTGCGCAGATGGCCCAGGGCGCCATGCCATATTATGGGAACCGCCAAATGACCACCGACGAATTGCTTTCCGCGGAACTGTCGCGCGAGGCCTCCGGTCCTGGCCTTGGAGAGTCGAACAATGGCGTTCACCATGGCCAGTCCATGGTGCTTGGTTCCTCTAATGCCGGCGATATGGGCCGTAACTCGTCGGAGGATCAACACCAGCACCAGCATATGCTCCAATTCCCTCCGAGTCAACAGGTTGGCGTAGACCCGAACCACGACCTAAGCTATGGCGAGCAGAGTGCGCGGAAGCGATCCAAGATCTCACGAGCGTGTGACGAATGTCGGCGCAAAAAGGTATCACTATTTTTCCCCCCAACGCGACCATGATCCAGAGACTAAGACGCGTTTTCCCCTCCAGGTTCGATGCGACGCGAGCTCGGAAACTGGTCTCGAGACATGCTCCAACTGTCGGCGTCTAGGCGTTGTATGTCAATTCAGTCGCGTCCCGATGAAGCGTGGTCCTAGTAAAGGGTAGGAGATAACAAGTGTGTTATAACAACAACTTCCCATGCTAATTGGGAAATAGTTATATCAAGGAACTTGCTGAGCGCCTCCATACCTTGGAGAACCAGATGCAACCTGGAATCGTCCAACCCGATGTGCCATACCAGTCTATGAACGAAGTGTCGCTACCAAGAGGATACCAGGATTTCGCATCCCCCGTGGAATCAACCTCGGGTAATCGCAAGAGAACCTACTCTGTCTTCGAAGGTCTGCCCAGCTCCTCGTTCGCGCAGCCGTCTTTCAATGCCCGCGTCTCGCAAAATGCTTTCGATACCTCTGAAACAACTGCAGACCCATACAATCCAACGGTTGCCAATGGAAGCGCACCGAAACCAGGCAATCTTTTCTGGAACCCGACTGGCCACGAGAACGACCTCCCAAGCGGGCTTGAGATGACCGACTTGCCTAAGCATGAAGGCGATGATGACATGAGCCCGGTGACTCTCGATGAAGGTGCTCTTGATGCGTACTACCAAAAGATCCATACTCTTCTGCCAATTCTTCCCCATACCAAGGACCGCACATTGGAGCTTCTGCACCAATGCAATCGAGAGGCGCAGGAAATTTTCTGCTATGCCTTGTATAGCGCAACCCGCACTGACTTGACTCGTGTTGCTGGTAATTTCGAGAAAATCAATGGTTTCGATAACGCGCAGGATCTTCTCCTCTTCCACACCCGCCAGCCATTGATGGTCCAGTCGACCCCTGTCAACCTTGTCTGGCTACAATCCTTGCTGCTCATGATCATTGACAGTGACACCCGTGGACCAGACAACTTTGTCTTGAAAGATGGTGTGCCCAAGGGTAGCCTTGTGCAGGCAGCTAACAAGCTTGGCTACGATCTGGCGAAAAGCCAGGGTCAACTGAAGAACAAGCGTTCTTCGGATTCTGATGTTGACTCGGATGCCAACCTCACCCGACGCAACTGGGTTTCCCTGGTTATTCTGGCACGCTGGTATGCTATCAGTGTTGCGGATGTGACTGTTTTGGGTGGCCACGAGATTGGCGGCCGGGAGGATGAAAAGGTCGTCGGTCAGATTACAAGTGGAATCGCCTGTATGTTGCTCATTCCCTTCCTCTCAACGAATCATCAACTAACCTATGATAGCATATTCGACCTTCCTCTCGGAAATGGTAACCCTGGCCAACGTCGATCATAATGTCTGCCAAACAAACACAGGCCTAGGCCGCATCGTCGGCGCAAATCTTGTCTCCTCTCTAGAACGCCTAGCCGAAATGGAAGATGTATTCCAAGTACACGAACTCCCCGAAAACGCCACAACGCGCCCCCTATATGAAAGCCTCCAAACCCAGCTCTACTGGACAGTCCGCCTCCTAATCAAACGTCACGTCTACGTCTACAGCCCCTACGAAATCATCTTCTGCGCCCAGGAAGTCATCACCGAAATGCACAAGGCAACCATGCAAAACAGACTCCCCTCCCCCTTCGACCTGCACAGTCTAGCCCTAGCCTCAATGACCCTCCTCGAAGCAACCGTTCTCCCAGAACACGCATCAGAGTGCTGGGCTTCCCTAGACAAACTGGAAGAAATCCTCGAACGCCGCGCTAAGCGGAACGCCGACCCCTCGGAGTTCGCTAACATCTTCGCGACTCCAGAGTGGGATTCCAAGATCCGCATTTTCCTTGAGTGGCGCCGTATCAAGTCCCAGGAGAGCCAGCTCCAGGAAGCGGATCTCGGCCTTGGTGCTGGCACTGGCACCAAGGGCGGCCAGCCGCCTATGGGGCCAAATGAACAGCGCTCGCTTCAGCACCTGGCTGATTTGGCGGTTGGTGCCGAGGGCTCTGTTGGTAATGGGCCTTCGACACCTCCGCCTGGTCTCCATGAACATGGTGAACCTTCGCCTAACCTGAACCCCCAGCTGGCGCAGTCGCAGGCTGGGTCTGGGCGGGTTATCGTTGACTTTACTATGTTGACCAAGGAGGGCTATCTTAATGTCTTTTCTGGGTTGATCTATCGTCGCACTCGTTGAGTGGGCTTATCTGTGCCATCTCTTCTCTCGAGGGTTATTTGCCGGCTTTGATGTTTGGGGATTAATATAACCCTTTCCAGACTCAAAATCTTGTTTGGTGGGTTCTGCTATGTGTGCCACATATCGCTAAAACTTGTCGTATATCGTGTGGTTACAACTTTGATATGAGATCTTTCCTTGGTTTGTCTTTTCGTTTTGTCCTTGTTTCTCCTCCCTGAGCGAGTCATGACCTGACTGACAGACCTCCCCTTCCATTTTGTATTCTATCTACTATCTCATACTTATCCCGGGTGATTCAGAGACGAACAGGGAGCGGTATTTACTTAGCTTCGGTTATCTATTCCAATACTATACTATCAATGTCAAGCCAGTCATCAATACTAAACATCATCATTTCACCTCATCCCACACAATTCACGCATCCCTTCAGCATTGACCTGATAGATCGTGCAATGGCTCGAATGCATCGTATAAGATATAACAAACCATGAAATATAACCCAATCCGTAGTAATTGATATAGCATGATAAAATCTGAAATCACAAATCTCAAATTCTGAGACCTGGACTGATATCAGTCCCAGCCCATTGCTCACTGCCTTTTCCCAAACGCAAACCGTCTCCACGTCCCCTCAACATCCTGACACAGGCTCATAAATCTGTCATCCTCGATCAAGTCACACATCCAGTTCTCGAGAAAGGCGACTCGCTCTGGTGTGGGTGCAGCTAAATATTGCGCAAGATGGTCTTCTGTCATGGCGGGGACTGCATGGGGTACAGATGCAGATCCAAACGAGGGTAGAGAGGGTGATTGGTCCTGTATACGTTCGGGGCCGGTTACTATGCCGACTCTGTTGTTTGCACCCGGTTGAGATTGTAATTGGGATGCATTTTGGAGAGTAGCTCTCTGGGCTAAGTGCTCAACTACCCTGTCGGTACTAGATACCTCTGGAGAGGTGATGAGGTTCTCGCAGGCGAGTGATTTCTGACTCGCAGCTGCACATTGGCTTTGTTGGGAGGGTATAAGAGTCCCAGCCTCTTGCAAGCCAGGATCCAGGACGGATAGCTCGGGTTGCATGACTGCGTCGAAGGGATGGTGAATCCGGTCTTGATCCTTAGCTGATTCTGCAGGTCGAGCGACGCTGGCGGAACGGGCCTTTTTAGACGGTGGCTTTTGGAACGGCAAGTCTCGCTTGGGAGGTAGCATCTGGTTCAACTGCTCAAGGTTGTGGATTGCGGGGACTGTGAAAGACTGAGAGCTGGATGCTTCTGGCTCCTGGTAGGATACATATGGGGCCTGAGTGGATTGAAATGGAACCGTGGACAATGGCTCCAGGCTTTGGGCTGGATGATTAAATGTGGGTTGACGAGGACCAAATCTGCAGGGAGCGTAAGACACAGTGCTGGCAGGAGATGATGCTCGGAGGGATGCTGCTATTATTATACTATGAGAATGAAAACTTCTGAGGCAAATAATATGGTGCTTACAGGTTCTTTGAGACCCATAGGCTCCGATATGATTAAATGGGGCACCAATGCTGCGGACTGAAGTTGATGGAATCATGATGCTTGGTGCATGAGAAAGATGACCAGATGTCCATGATGATACGGAGGGAGTTGGACGTAGAGCAGGTGTATTGCCTTCAGTCAGTGGACATCCGATCTCCCCTAAGATGGCCAGAGCTGTGTGGTAGTCACCTTCCATGGTGAACTTGATCTGAAATCGACGGATCTAAGATTTAAACAAAGGTCCAGTTAGAGCTTCATCCCCAGAGACGATATATTGCCAGGAAATACGCACATGGGTTCCACCTTCAGGATACTTGATCGCAAGACAAGGGAGCTTGACGACAGCCGCAAAGGGAAACTTGGGCAATGAACCCTGAGTATCTGACTGGGCTCTCAATTGAGCCATCCGAACAAGATCTGTGACATTGATATCCTCCTACTCGAGGGGGTCACTAGGGTCAGCATTTTGGCTTCTATACGCCATGTGTGGTAGAGAGATACTAAGATGACATTGCCTCGGATCACTCGCTGAATTAAGCCGATTGACGCAGAAGCACTACTTGGAAGCTTCTCAAAAACGCAAACCAAGTCTCCATTGCCACTCACATGATTCCATGTCAGTGGTCCAATGTGGTCAATGGTAGTAGTGGTGTGGGAGAATTTGGCAATCGCCAACCGAATGATCTGGGGACTCAGTGCCTGGGATGAGCGTAATTTCTGCATGATTGGAGACAAAAGATGAAAGAGGATTGAACATGAGATTATGGGGCCATGGTATAGCCTGTGATGGGTCGTGTGGAGTGAATTGAAGATGGAAGATGCAGCGGCATGACTGAGAGGAATCTCATCACATTACCACTGATGCCAAGTTATATCCATGGATGCCATGGTTGATATTTCAAACCACTTAGTTGCAAGCATCGTAAGGGTCCCTTCTATTTCAATTTGATGCTTTCAGGTCTACGTATCCATGCCAGCTAACTGCTTGATAAAGATTGGCTAGTTTATTTGTTCAAACAACTGCCAGGAGAGCAACTCAAGATATTCCCCAAGGAAGAAATGATAAGATATAATCTCTAGAGGGCCAATACATTATTGCGTACGAGTTATTTTGTAAAAATCCAATGCAGAATGCAGGTTAGACTTCTCTTTATTTGTCATGGTTGCGTTTCACAATGAGCAGGGGGTTCCTGAGAAGGAATATGGGACAAAAGAAGACAACAGACAGTAAGAACAAAGGAAATCTCCAAGACGTTGACCAGCCCGTGCCACAACCTCATCACGTGCCACGACCTCGAACTTCCATCACAATACGCTAGTCCCAGTCAGGACAAGCGTCAGCGCCTGATGGCTCAGGCGCTGATAACGGAACAACATATAATCCGGCAACGCGCTGAGAGCGCGGACTTTTGGCTGATCAATGCCGTTGATCGCAAGCGCAGCTACAGCCCTCCAGGGCCGCAAGGCATTGATTATTATTTCATATTGTACCCTAGTCCCAGATACTCGTCATATTTGCGCAGCCTCACTTTACCCTCAGACTCACCATTGCAGCGAGCTCGTTGACTATTTTTCGCTGTCGCATCCTTGGTCGCCTTGACATTCGAACGCGCGCGAGAATCCTGCGACCCAACTCTAGTCACCATTCTCGATTTCCACTCACCCACCAAATACTCGGCTGGGTCATAACGAGAGTACGAGCCCGCCAACACAAAACTCCCTTCCGGATTTGACACCCTTTCAATTAGCGTGAAATCGCTTTCCTCGTTTGCTACCAGACGTATCAAGGGCAGGACACCTCGAGCCGTGACAGTCGCAATTGTCAGTTGGGCAAACGCAGAGCTGTCTATTCGGCTTAGCCTGACTTCGCGAAGTGACACGAGTCATCTCGTTTGCTCCGGATTCATCAAACCGAGTCGGTGCGAATTGCGAACGTCGCAAAGCTATCGCGAACTTCATCCTCCACCATGTCTACCCCTCGCACTTCTTTACGACGTAAGATCCCTGAACAGTTGTGAGAGTTGATGCGAATATACTGACTTGTCTCTCAGAGGGGCTACGCCAGGCCCCGAAGGTCAACCAGCCCTTTATCCCTGACACCACTCCAGCTCGTCGGTCACATATTCAACATGAGTTTACATCACCCCAACCATCAACGAGTCCCCACCCCGTGAATTTTAATCCGGCTGCCAATCCCCAAAACTCGCAGTTTGCCGTCGACAGCTGGGAAGGAAAGGACCACAGACAGCTTCCCATGTCAACACGAGAAGTTCCAACCCCAGGAAATCGACCAGTCCTGTTTGCCAATCTCCGTGACCCAGCCAAGGCACCCCGGCAAGTGGATTATTACGATCCCTACTTTCCCTTGAAGTTTTTGGAGGTCCCAAGAAGTCAGTCTCCCCCTTCAAGCCTTGGATACTCCCCATGGACTAATGCCCTCTCAGCCGATCATATTTACAAGCGTGCTCACTACGGTCTGCAGTCTGGCATTCCAGATGAAGTTGACTTTGCATTGTACCATCTCGTACAAATCTCAAATCAACGATGGGACAAGTTCAAATTTGAAGGATTCCCGCTGCTTGCTGAGACACTCATGCAAAAGGCCCTTGACATTACACATCTCTGCACAGGCGTCAAATGGGAGTTTCAATACGATCCTCTTCAGCCTATTGACCGTGTCAATGTTCTGAACTCGCTACATGGCACACGCGACCTTCTTGATAAGATCCAAAATATCCCAGTCAACCTTCCCACCGACAGTCTCGAGACCGACGAATTCAACCACCAGCTACGGAACATCAAAGAGGCAACCTTAGTGCTCAGGAATATGGTATTGTTGAAAGAGAACGCATTCTATGTATCACGCTATGCGAAAGGTCTATTGCGAGACTTCTTGGTTATTTTGATCAACATTCCGAATCAACCCCGACTCAATGAAATCAAGAATGATGCTCTCGATATTGCCGAAGAAGTTACAAAGTTCTTGCGTACTGACCCGGAAGACCCCCTGTGGATCTCTCTTGTGAAATGCATCGACTCTCCTGATCGCGCGCATGTGGTACGAGCCCTTTGGGCTCTGACCCATTTCGGTACAGAGTTGGATGATGCGGATGCCAACCGGTCCATGGAGAGTTTGGCAAAACCAACTCTGCAGCAACTGTACTATCACACTCTTCTTGATCTCGATAAGGACATTCTGAGCGGCGCATTGGACTTGTGGTATCAATACACTCTCAGTCCTGACAACATCGAAACATTGATGGATGTTGTCAACTTCCCAATTGTCTTTGTCCCACGCATGGTCGCACTATTAACCTACGAGGCTCGACCGACTAGAAAGGAGACTGTTCTCCAAGAAGAAAAAGTTGCACCTCCACCAACTGACATCCCTCGTGTGCCACCTGAACTTTTGGAGAAGCTCATGGAGCTGTCAGAACCAGAGCGCAGCTCACAGTGGCTGCGTTGCTGCTTCATCGAAGACGCAGAATGCGAGATCACCCAGATCGCTCTATGGCAAGCATACCAGAGCCGATTTGCAGACCCCCGTATTGCCGGAGGTGGTGTCCTACCTGCTGCTGAGTTCATCAAGAATGTTAGTAACACCTTTACGAACGCACAAGCACAGGTAATCAACGGGCCGGGCCCTTCCACCAAGTTCATCATCAAGGGCATTCGACCCCTGGAGATTGCACACACTTTTGAGGCGTTCCCCTATGTCTACTGCAGATGGGCCGATAACTCCAAGCCTTCGAAAATGTGTCAACGCGCATTCACAAGCCCGACAGACCTACGGACTCACGTCTTCGGCGATCACATGAGCCTCGAACCAGCAGAAACCGAAGGCCAATACAAGCTGGATCCCGCAGAGACTGCCATCCACACCTGCCAATGGGACCACTGTGCACGATTCCGAGCATCTGGCCCCAGCGCCAACACATCCATGGTCGCTGGGCACGTCTCCTCACATTTACCCGAAGACCGTCCCGCCGACGCCCAACCCCCAAGTTCCAAGCGCGCAATCCTACAAGAGCGCATTGTCCGCAAGTGGTTCTACATGGACACCCCAATCAACGAGAAGGGCGACCCCTTCGGCATAGCCTACAAGGCCGCATTGGTCCTGCGCAACATCGCCCGCGGCCTGCCCAACCGCACAACGTCCAAGTACGGCGGCCTACCCTGGAAGAAGGCATGCTTCGTCAGCCAACGGCCAAAGATTGTCGAAGTCTGGGACCGGAACCGCGCCCTACGCAAGGAACTGACCGAGCTGATTATGGTGATTGAAAAAGAGGTCGACTACTGAGCTTTTCTCATTAAAAAACAAATCATTTGCCAATGCCGCATGTTCCTCTTATTTCCTTCGTCCCCTTGTCATGAAATCAACTTTCTTATCTGTACGACTAATACCCCGATTACTCGTGTTCTCACCGTTCCTCCGGTCCTCTCGCTCCCATATCTTGTCTCGATGTACATCATTAAAGAGCAGCAACTAGGCTGGCGGTGTTTTTCTCGTTTCCGTTCTGATTTTTCCATGACTGGTCATCTCTCGACTTTTGCTAATACATGTACTGGCGCGCTCAAAAATGGGCACCCTAAGAGCGGAGTTTCCACGGGCAATGGGGTGGGTGGATGATGCTTCTGGCTTAATTCCTTCTGATATCTTTAATTTTTTTTTTCGGCGTCTGTGGCAGAGTGAAATAGAAATTTCCTTCGCTGAGGCTTGAGGGTTTTTTTCTTTTCTCGGTGTTCGTTTTGTCTTCTTTATCGATCTCACTGTTGCTTCTGGTCTTTTTGTGTGGTGTACCATATCTCTGTAGTAAATAGTCCTAGAGGGCTTGCAATTGATTGATTGTCATTCATTTCAGTGCTGATCGAATCGCACATTATCATTCTACCCTGTAGCGATGGTCTTGGATGCACTGTCACTTTCTGCACTCCCCGGCAAACTCGGCTAAAGCTCGCATCGCATCCTCGGCCCTGGCAACAGGAACATAGATGTGATCATGGAAATATCCACTCACGACGTTAGCGCTGATCCCATGATCCTTGAGCCGATTGCTGATTGCAGCGATGAGTCCGACCGCTTCCAGGCTGGAGTGGATGGTGAGGGTGATCTTCTTGCAGGGGAAGGTTGGTTCAGTGAAGCCGTGGGATCTGGCCAGGGACTCTGTTGTCACTATTGTTGTGCCTTCTTCTTCTTTAACGAGAAGTTGGGGTTCGAGGGTTGATAGGGGGAGTGTGTGGAGTGGTTCTTTGGTTGTGAGGAAGACGTAGATTGTTGAGTCTAGGCTTGGTTGCATTGTTGCTAGCAGGGTTTGGAGGTTGTTTTCTCCTGACATTTTGAGGTTGGATGATTGAATGTGATTGGGATGTTTTGGGGTCAAGATTTGGATTGAGGGTAGAGAAGTGTACCAGAGAGGGCAGTTTGATAGGGTGGAGATGTCGTCTGAAAGGCGTGGCGGGAGTCAACGTTCGAACGCCAAAACCATGGTGAAAAAGACTCTTAGCGACGAGAAAATATGAGATGCAATAGATGCCTTGTTAGTTAAAAACAGATTTACTACATTCATGACAAGTTATATATCTCATATCTAGATGACGTTGGCTTCTGAAATTCAATATCTTGAACGCAAAAGTCTCGAGGCATTCAAGTTAAGATTACTCTGATATCCCTTCAGTCTATTGTTCGAGCTGATAGAAAATACGCTTCAAATTCCTTCGGTAATAGAAGCTTGACGTCATATGGAAGACCTGTAAACCCGACTGAGCACGCAGGTTCCCTGACGTTTATGATATCATCGATGAATATATAAAGTCACAACCAACTACACAAATTGCACCAACTACACCAATTACACCATGGCACGCATCTTCATAACAGGCTCAAGCGACGGAATCGGCCAGGTAGCCGGCAAAATCCTGGCAGATCAAGGCCACTCAGTAGTGCTTCACGCGCGCAACGCAGACCGGGCAGCGCAAACCAAAAAGGCCGTCCCCAATGCCGAAGCAGTGCTAGTAGGCGACCTTCGCTCAATCAGCGAAACCAAAAACCTAGCCAAAGAAGCCAACTCCCTAGGCAAAGGCGCCTTCGACACAATCATCCACAACGCAGGCATAGGCTTCGGCGCAACATCCAGCCGCGAAATAACCGCCGACAAGATCTCGGCTGTGTTCTCCGTCAACACGCTCGCGCCGTACATCCTCACCTGTCTAATGGACAAGCCGACGTCGCGGCTGCTGTTTATGAGCTCGGATAGCCATTATGGGGGCGATAACTCCATGCGCAATGTTACGCAGTCGCATTCTTATGGCGATAGCAAGATGCATGATATGATGCTTGCTAATGCGTTTGCGAGACGGTGGGGGGAGCAGATCCAAGTGGTTAGTATGGATCCGGGCTGGGTTAGGACTAAGATGGGAGGTTCGATGGCTCCGGGGAGCATTGATAAGCCCACGAAGGCTTTGGCTGAGTGGGCTGCTGGGAAGGGGAATCTAGCGAGCTTGAAGAGTGGGACTTTCTTTAACCCTAGCGGAGCAGACTCGCCTGACCCTGCTGCTGGGGTTGTGGCTAAACAGGAGGAATTGTTGAAGATTTGTAAAGAGGTATCGGGTGTTGGAATTCCTGGTGAATGAGAAGAATGCGATGTAAATTTAATTTAAACAAAGGCTATGAAACTATTATGACTTTTAAATATCATGTCGTGCGAACTTGCTCGCCATTCTGATCCTCCTTCCTCGGTAGATGAGAATGAATGGGAAAGGCACGAATAACACGCACAAACATCCAAGCAGAGTGCAAGCCCATCCAATGCCCAGGTTGTGGAACATGGCTGATGCAAAAAGGGGGAATCCAGCGCCGAACGACGAGCGTAGAAAGTCATTTCCTGCAAGTACTGAGGCAGCGTATTTTGGATAAGCATGTGCCTGGTAACAAAAGATGCAGTTGAAGATCAGGCAACCACCGACGGCGAAGAGCATAGATGCAATGATAGGGACGATCCAGTGGATACTAGCAAAGTTGCCTGTCCAGCCGAACCAGAATAGAGAAATTGGAAGGGCAAAGGCGCCTATGATAGCAGGAGGCATTTGCATCTCCGGTGCGATGTTGCCCTCTGCATCAAAGTACTTGGACTGGTAACGCCATTTCCAATAGAAATAGGCTGGGATGACAATGCAGATAACACACACTAGGATTCCGAGGAATGCCAAACCACCTTCACCTGGATTGAAACCGCGGAGCTCCTCAAAGACGATCGGGAAAGCCTCAAAAAAGATGTAGAGGATTCCATAGATGAGTGCGATGTAGAGATTGGTGATAAGGACGATTGGCTCAAGGAAGCAGAGTTGAAAAGGCCGAATAAGAGCCTCGAAGATAACGTCCTGAGTTTCAATTAGCAACTTGTTTTATTTTGGACCGGCAAACTTCCACTTACTACAGGCTTGACTTCTCTGATCTCAATCTCCGACTCGGACATATATTGAGAATTGCCCGTGACGCGGCGAACCCGACGAGCGCGCCGAGCAAGGATATTCGGCGCAAAGGTCTCCGGCAGACAAAAGAATAGAAGAACCAGGGTAAATCCCGACACCCAGACCAGTTGCCAGATAGTCCAAGTCCATCCCATTGCAGAACTCGCAAATCCACCGAGCATAGGACCCAAGACTGGTGCAGAGATGGCGAACATCCCCCAGACCCCAATCATGTAGTCTCGAGTTTGAGGGCTCCACATATCACCCATAGATGCAGCCCCCGTTGCCAGAACAGGCGATCCGAATAACCCAGTGAGGAAGCGGAAAGCCAGCAGCATTCCAAAGTTATGGGCATATATCACGCCGAAGTTGAAAAAGACAAAGACCAACAATGTCAATACATAGGTTGGGCTTCGACCAACCATTGGAATTTCGGACAGAGGAGCCCAGATCATCGGTCCTATAGACGAAGAGGTCAGCACGTAATCTGGACGTACCGCAGTGTTGATACGAACCTAGACCATAGCCAAAGACAAAAAGGGTCAGACCCAGCGTCGCTGCCACCTTGCTCACCCCAAACTGCTCCGTGACGCCTGTTATACCAGGTGTGTAAATGGCAGAGCCAACATAGACCGCAAACGTAAGAAGCCAAATCTGGCAGCTCACGAAATACTTCTTCCCCAAACTCCACTTTTGCGGATCCTGTGCTCGAACATTAGCCCTTGGTTTGGTCTTTTTTTTTTTCAGCGGCCTAGAAGCATAATTGAACCCACCTCCGAATCATTCTCTCCTTTCCAACTAATCACCAGTGGTTGACCAGTCTCCCGTAACGTGGGAGCACTTGACATCCGCGTGGGTGTTGTGGACATCCGCCTCGACGCCTGCGACATCACAGTATATAGACCAAAGGCCTCGAGATCCTCAGGATTCTCATCGTTGTCGACCGGAGTGGCAGGCTCTTCTTCTTTTGGTATTTCGGTCTTCAGGTACTCGGTCCATATCGCTGGATCGTACTCTTCGGGATATTGGAAGTATCGGAAACGTGAAAAGAGGCGCACCAGCTTTCCAAATGCTGTGTCTCGAATGGTCTCCATGGAGATGGGTCTGTCTCCTATGCTCAAGTGATTCGGACGATTGAGCTCTGGAATAGCTCTGGTAGATTCAGTGATATAAGAAATAGAAGTCTCAGGTTCGGAATGACGTTGCACCCGTATTTAAATGCTGTTGCTTGGTTCAGCTCTCTGCGATGGTCGATTACTTCGGATGTAAAAGTGTATTTTAAGTCCGTAAATCCGACTACTCGGATATGTGTGGCTCTGACTCCAGACCTATCAACCGGTTTCTCTTGTTTGAGTGGATGGAAGCTCTGTCTCTTGCGCCGCAGATGAATTAAAATTTTAGCTACGACATACGTCGGCATAACTTTCGATCAGAGTTTGACCTTTGGTATGGTTGATGTCATCACTCTCTTGGCACTAAATAGTTATACCGAGATCACACTCGTTCCGGGTGCTAAAGTGTCTAGAAATAGGAGAAATTCGATATGGAAACATAATTGGCCATCACTTCGCTTCTCCATAGTGGAAGGCAGTCTCCAATTTAATGCTCAACTAAACAGATCTCGGCATTGGAAATTCGAGGAACAGCGGTGACTTGATTTTGTGAGGGAGTTGCATACTAAACTGAAGTACCCCAGGTTCAGGCAATCCAATATATCCGAGAACTAATGCACTTTGGCCGACTGATGCATTGGAAATGTAATCAATTTAGTCGATGACATCGGATTTATCATTCTGAACTTAAGTAACTGGATTCTGTGGACATTCAATCAAAGAAAACAATACTAACAGCGCAAAAGAAGAAGTCATTCGAACCCCTAGCCTAGTAATCCTAGTAACTAATAATCCCCAGTAGGCATCCCACCCAAAGTCGGAACATGCTGGCCATGGAATCCAAACCCAACTGCCCCATCCACATTCGCGCGACCAATTTCAGCCAAAGTATGTGCATCAAGACAAAGCAAATAGCTCTTGCCTTTCTGACCATCCAAAACCACACTCAAAAGGACACCATCATCCTCGCTCGTTCCCTCGGGATTGGCAACAAAGATAGGCTCACCAGGAGACTGACCATAGCAAGCCCAGAGCTGAACCTGCTGAGTCTCACAATCAAGCTTCATAATCCCATCCGTCAACGTAGACTCCCCGCGAAAAGTCACCGCGTAAACATATCTGTGCTTGTGTGTGACTCGCGTGGGATCCATAGTCGGCAGCTCGGGTGACAAGGACTTGCACACTGACCACTCGATGGAAGCCCTTTTGATATCGGACTCGGGAACAGATGGAATCGCGGGTAATCGGAATCGAGTAATCGACGTACGGAACGAGTCATTCCGGTTCTTCTGGAACTCCTTGGCTGTATCTCGGGAGGAAATCAAGTTATCGTAGTAGAGGGTTTGCAGGAACTCGGAGCTATCGGTTTTGACAATATCGGCGACCAAGTCTTTCTTGGTCGGATCGTCCTTCGATGGCTCGAGCCAGGCATTGATCGTGTGGAAACAGAAGAACGCTGGACTTTCGTATGTGGCCATCAGGCCTTTTCCGTGCTTGCGATCAATGACATACCATACTGCTGGCTGGCTGGGGTCTGTTGGTAAGATGGCGTCCATGAAGGATTGATCCATGGCTAATGGGTTGATGTGCGCATTCCATATACACAGCACGACGTGGTCTTCGGTGATGAGCAGCGAGTGTAGATAAGCTGGGATGGCGTCGAAAGTGGCCAGAATTGTGGTTTCGCCTGTTGACGCCGACACTCTGAACACGCGATACGTGCACGTCTGTCCCAGTGTGAGGTTGAAGTTGAACATGTCTCCAGTAACCGGATCAGATCGAGCATGCGACGCAGCAAGTTGGCCCGCGAGCTCGGGGTGTAGGTCTGTCTGTGAGGCCAGACCTATCGGCTCGAGGGTTTCCGGGTCCAGCTTCTTGAGAGCATTGTAGTCGGTCTTTGCATAAAGCGTGCGGATCCCCTCCGAGTTGGTCCAGCGCGAGGTCTTCTCATCTCCAGGCTTGGTATCCAGTCCCGGGAAGTTGATTGAAAGGGTCACGCCGATGTTGATACCCGCTGGACCGGGCTGAGGCCGAGGTTGAGGTTCAGGCAGGAATTCACTTTGGACTTTGCCCAAGACACTCTTGCACGGATCGCGTTTCTGCCCAAAGCTGATTCGGTCTAGATTTCCGGCTTTTCTCGACTGCTCGATGAGGTCGTCTGTCGAAAAGCGGGAGTTGTAGAAGATGCGAGTTGATGGATTCGATTCATCAGGGGCTCTGATTTGGAAGCGATGGGTTTGACTGAAGCCATCGAACCAGTGGGTCAGTCGCAGAATTTCTCCATTGTCCGCTTGAACCTGGCTTTTGCCTGGACCGGTACGATATAAGACTCCTGCGGCATAGGCAGGGAAGTGGCCGGTGACTGGGATCTCGACTGGTTGGCGTTGTTCGTATGCGGGATCGTACTAAGATGCAGGGATTAGAATGTATAGTTTGCATGTCACTAGTCACTAGTTACTTACGCCTTTGTCTGTGGGCCAGTTGTTATAGTGATCGCTACTCTCCATGGTCATATCCATTGGTGAGTTAAGAAGAGCAGGCATATTGAATGATTTGGTTAATTGTGATAGAACGTATAGTGATGTATTCAGGTAATTCTAACCCCCTTTCTCCCTCTCCCTCTCTATATATATCCAATTCCACCCCCTGATCTCATATCCAAATCGGCGCAATGTTGAAGTGGGGGAATCGCGACGGGCTGCGGCCCCGTTTGAACGTCCAATCGCCACCGCCGAATTACCGAGTTTCAGCCCATCGTCACTCCAAACTTGGCCAAGCCCCGTCAACTAACTTTAGCAAGCGAGATGTCTATTGCGATCCTTGTTTCCATGTCCTGCCACATCTGTCCGTAACTCACATCGGCTCTTGAAACCGAGCCCTCCATGGACCATCATACCCGCCGTTCACCGGCCAAGAGCTGGCAATGTGACAAATGCCAGTCAGAGTTCCGACGGATGGATCATATGAAGCGCCATGTATTGACTCGTAGGTCCTAACCTCGCACTGGTTGCAAAGTAATGATTGGTTCCAGATCACACAGCCAAGAAGCACGTCTGTTCTTTCTGCGGCTCTGCGTTCGGCCGAGGGTGTGTACATGTCTTCGAAGCACATAACGTCAGAGGTATGATGACTGACCAACATATCTATCCAGGGATGTCCTGCGCAGACATTGGAAATCTTGCCAGGATCGCGTAGGCAGTGGTCAGGCCATTCCAAAGCCTGATCGAGGCGGGAAGCACAAGCGGGCTTGTGATAGTTGTGCTCGTCTAAGGAAAGCTTGCACTGGAGAGCGGCCTTGTTCGGAGTGTATCCATCGTGGAAGGGGGTGCACCTATCAGCGGCTCCATGAAGAAGAGACCACCTTACCCCCTATATCCAAGATTCTTTCGGAAAGTCGAAATGCGGAGGACATAGAATTGGAGACGAGTACCTCCAAGACACCTGGCATCTGGAGTCTTGGCCCTGCGACTCTTTATCCTTCTTCTACAGAGGTCCTTCGACGCAAAAATACACCGAATTAATAGCTACGCGGAAGAATCGGCAGATGATCACGAGCACACTTCAATCGTAAGCAATATTTCGTGTCTCACTATTTACAATCGATTAATCCCAGTCATAGGCTGACAGAAAATGGAATGCTCAGATTTCAACTGTCTAACTATCTAGATTCTGCAGGTACCGATAAACCTCGACGAAAGCCACAAGCCATGCTTTTTCCGTATTAGGATGAGGATCCAAAAGAAGAGATTTAGGCCGCCAGAAGCTGCGATGAGTACCATACTTGGGCGTTGTGAAATGAGGTCCATGGAAAGAAACCGCGCCATCTCCAGGAAATTGGTCAGACCATGGAGTATTTGCCGTTCGAAGAAGATCACCATCTTTGAGAGCTGCATTCAGATGCTCGGGATCGGATCGCACTTCGGGCCAACCTATGGGCAAGATATAAACCTTCGGCATTCCATCAATGACACTTTGAACTGAATTGATAACGGAAGATGGATGCGAAGCTGCACCGGTCGAAATCGCCGTGTCATTCGCTATGCTGCCATCGCCTTCCATCAAACCATGCTTTTGCATCATACCCAACAGTTCGTCCAAGGCCGAGTCAAATGGAATGATCCCAAGGAAGTCATATCGGAAATGTTCAGTAGCCGCGAACTTCGAGGCCGGAGTTCGCAGGATTTTATCTGCACTCTGCCGCATCCTCGACAAGATATGGGCGGTATTCGGTCGGTGTGCTTGTTCCGGGTCCAGAGTACGTTTCAGTATATCCGAATTCGCTTCCAACATATCGGCAGTCCAATAGAGCTCCTCGGATCTCAAATGGAATGACTTGGCTTTTGCTTTCTGGATATCCTCCCAACAATTCTTCAACTCTTCAAAAGACTGGTAAGCCTTCAGTGACCGAGGTTGATCCGTATGCAAAGAGGAATGATCTTCAGCACCGAACCGGGTCAAGTCTGCCTTGCGCCAATGAAGAGCGATTTCATCATGAATGCGATCTCGGGTATAATCCCAAATCTCTGAGTAGTCTTCCGGCTGGACAAAGTGAATATTTAAGCCCAGGAGGTTTTTTCCAATATTGGTTGGTGCGACCATTGGCTTTTTCGCTACTGTAAATATCTCTTTGTAGAAGTCGGCAGCAAATTTCCACTTGATCAGACTCTCTTTGTCGGCACCAAACATGTTGCTGCAGACTGGATGAGACATAATATGGGCGTTGATTTTGGGCTCGTCGTGACATATCAACCTGAGGACGTCCCATACTCGCAGGTCGTCGATGATCCTGTCGGCCAAACTGGTCGGTGCCCATCTGAGAAGATAGATTGGAGGAAGGATCGATATTTTTTCCTCACTCATCTTACACACTTGGTCAAGAATATGTGCAAATGAAGAAAAGGGCAGAAAACAAGTCAAGAGTGTCAAGAATTCGTTTCGCAGAACCAAGTGATTTGCGCCTCAATGACTCAGTGGGGGCCAAAACATGAGACAACCTCGAGAATTTCTGCCACGCTATCGCAAGGCTCTCCTTTAAACTTTACTGTCTTGTTCAGTCGCATTTTTCTTCAATATTCTCAATGATGGAGACAAACGTCGAGGAATTGCATCTGTTAGATGCAAAGACAATCGCACAGCGTCTGCGACAAGATCAACAAGCATGCCGAGACAAAAAGGTACCAAGCAACCTGGCAATTCAACTATCTTCTGCTTCAGAAACTCTGTTTGACAGAGTAGCCAAGCATCTATCGCCACACTGTTCTTCCAACAAAACATTGTACTGGTTCCAATGCAACAGCATTATCGAAGGCATCAAGGCTTACCTGGGCCAGTTGGAAGTGATGGGCCGACCCGAGACTGAGAAACATACATCCATAGATAGGATGCATGTTCCAACATCAGACCAGTTGGAAACAACTCTCAAAGTGCTGGACTATCTTCAGAAACACCAAGTGGTGGCTCCAACAGAGCCTCTGCCAGGGGTTCTTGTTGCCTTACAAGGCCAACTTTCCATGGACAATAATACTCGATACAGACAACATGAGAGATTCCAAAGACATGACGCACCGAAGGACTCGGGTATGAAGAAACGATGCTATATCTGTCGATACCGTTTCACGCCGACTGATTCTCACGACTTATACCCGTCGCTATGTCGCCAATGCGGCATGTTCAATATCAGCTCCTCAAATCTCTCGTTACCACATAAGCTCAATCTCACTGGTAAAATTGCCCTCGTTACTGGTGGGAGAATAAACCTGGGCTACGCCACTGCATTGAGACTCCTCCATTGCGGCGCCAAAGTCATCGTATCCTCTCGGTATCCCGCCGATGCAGCAACCCGTTATTCCACTGAAGCAGATTTTTCTCAATGGGAGAAAAAACTGAAAGTCGTCGGCGCTGATTTCAGAACCGCAAATGATGCTTTCCGACTAGTGCATATTGTCAAACAATTACTCCACGTCTGGGATGACGAGGCTCCATCTGATCCCCCGCAATCCCTAGACATCCTGATAAACAACGCAGCACAAACCCTCACCGATCCAATCAAAGCAGAAGTAAAAGCAATTTCCAGAGAAGAGACTCTCTGCAAAGACACCCCACAGCTCCAAGCCCTGATGGCAGGATCCGAGAAAGACAGTTATACGCCCCGAGTCAGAGGCGGACAGCAAGCAACCTGGATTCCACGTATAACAAGCAGCAATCCACCAGATCAGATTGAAAATGCTACCAACCCGCAGCTCACAAATCAAGTAGCCACCAAAGGCCTCAGAACAACAAACAATGAAGATGAGCCATCAAGGTCATCCTGGGTCCAGTCTCTCAACGAAATCCCCTACGCCGATCTGATAAGCGCCCACTCTGTCAACGCCTTCGTGCCTCTTATTCTCTGTCGCGAACTCCTCCCAGTAATGGGGAACCCGCCCGCCGGCGCATCCACCTGCTCTCCGCCCACACCAGCGGGATACATAGTGAATGTCTCATCCCGCGAAGGCATCTTGGAAGATACACCCGCGTCACGAAGCAAAGCCGGACACCACGTTCACACAAACATGTCCAAAGCAGCCATCAACATGATCACAGAGACAGAGGCACAGGCGGCATGGAAGGGACGTCGGGTGGCTATGAATTCGGTTGATCCGGGGTATATGAGTGCTGCGCCGGAATGCCAGCCTGCAGATGGATGTCCGATTGGGTTTGAGGACGGTGCCGGGCGGGTTTTGTGGCCCGTTGCTGTTGGTGAGGCTGAGGAGGAGGCTGTTTGGGGACGTTTCTTGAAACACTTCCGGGTTGGGGTTGCTATTACTCAGAGGGGGTAGACTTGATGCGTGAGACTGGCGATGATGTTGAGGCGTGTTGCTTTGTATGTCTCCTTCTGGGTCCTACTTGATAGTGGGCATGTCTTTGTTCGGGAAAGTGTTTAGGGATGCGAGCCTTGGTATACAGTTCAAGAGTATACACGTTATCATTAACCGCATATTTTTGTCAAGCTGCAAAGCCCAGCCTCACTTACCCCAATGATTCGCTCTGATTCTCACTTAACGGGAGACTTGAATACCGTAACACTGTGATCGGACCAAACCAAACCTTCTTCCGTGCTAGGAAATGCCAATTCCATATCAAATCGACCGAAAAGGACAGCGAGAACAGTCTAGATTTCAAGGTAGGAGACTCCATGCTGTCAGAACTCAATTGCTAGTCACTGATGAATAAGTTGTACTTGCTGAATCCCTGGACAAGATCCGGATGATATCCGATTCTAGTAAGATTAGTTAGCTGGCATGATCCTCATTCTCCAGTAAGCCAGCTTCACACTGTTTTCTCAGTGTAACTTATAAGAAGTTGAGTTGCAGCTGCATTGCAGACAACACCCTGCCACATGAGCCTTAGGCCAGAAACAGCGGTGAGTTGTGGGCCAGCGGCATCAGATAGGGGGCTAAACCATGCCCGCTGAATGAATATAAGAAGTGTACAGGCAAGAAGGCTTGTTCCGGTCAAATAGAATATGTATACGGGTGTCAATCATAAAGCAACAACAGATTGTAGAACAGAATGCGGTATGCTGTCTTGCTCGAGTGAAAACAACATCACTCTCCCAGCGAAAATCTCAAGACAAAGCCATTATGAGGGGATAAGCGAGGTAATAAGAGACATGTCATATCGGACCTTTTGTCCCTGACATAGAATGATATGCCTGAGCACTAAATCACTAGGTAAATTTTATTTGTCCGACAGGATCTTCAGTGTTCTCATTCGCTCGATATTCAATGTCCTCAAATCTATTGGAATAGGCAAACGCGTGCGTAGTTTTCGATATAATCCAGGATGGCGCAAATGGGAGATATAGAATCGAATCTAGATCCTAATTTACCCAGATTCACCGCTACTATCACACTCAACTTACGCAAAACTGATGACAAAGTACTGCAGTAATTTGGGAAAAACCTTTGTGCCCTTGGCGCCATTATTTCTTTACGCATCACTTGTGATGCTTCTTATCTACGATGACATCAACAAATATTACCTAACTTATAGTTAGTCAGACAAAACTCTCGCTGCTGCGGTTTCTGTCTGATACTAGACAAGTAAAATCAGGAAACCTGTATCACACAGCCCGAAAGCTGGTGTATAAATGTATGTTATGTGGAATATGGTTATATAGACAGGTCAATTGCTGCATATCCCCAAGGTTCGAACGCAGCACACCACATTACTCATCGAGGTAAAAATATAGAATCAGCGCTCTCGTAGACATTCTCAATGAAATTCTCATAGCTCAGCCAGGCATTGTCATTCGGCGGGACGAAAGTTGTATCATTGAAATCCATCGCTTCCCAGACATTTGGCCAAGGTAAATTCCCAAACGGTGCCTGTTGCGAAGCCATATGCAACCCGTTTTGTGGGGCTATAGGCGCGCCCATATTGATCATGTTCGGTGGCGGTGCAGAATGAGGTATTGATTGCGATTGCTGGGGCATGAACCCGGCAGCGAGCTCATTGAAAGAGAAGCGTGACATTGCCTGACTGGCGGACTCTTGCTCTTGAAGCTCTTTCCGTCGTGTTTGGGCTTGGGCCATGAGTCTCTCCATTGGTTTCCAGAGCATGCCTTGCTGCGAATCGGCGATGACGAGTCGGGATCGTTGGTAGACTTCGTCGACGACGGACCAGTATTGGGACATGATTGATGGGTCTTTGCAGACGCATAGCTCGGCGATTGCGACTGCTAGTGCGTGCCACGGGACCCACATACACCCAAACCAGCGCCATCTTGCAGCGCCTGGATAGTTGTATGCTTCTTGGGAAATTTGGAGGTTTTCGGCTGCTAGTTTGAGGAGGGCGTCGCCGTGGATCTTGGGTGGTGTGAAGGTTTTGCTTTTATAGAGAGGTCGTAGACAGGCTAGTTGCAGCCAGCTGCTCATCAAGCCGGCTAGTTTCTGTGCGTACCATTGGACGTCAGACTGGTCGGGCCTGCAGCCGCTCAGGAGGCCTGCGACTGTTTGTTGGTAGCCGTGGACTGCTTGTTGGCGTTGGCCCATTAGTTCCACGGCTTTTGGTTCAATGAAATCTGCGAAGGCGAGTGACCTGGTGACTGATGAGGAGGATGCTATCACTAGGGAGTGTGTCATATCTGTAAATGTGCCTGGTGGGTGCTGTGGGATGGGTCCCGGCATGCCGAACCAGATGTCTTCATCGTTGATGTTTGAGGGTGGGTGAGAGTCGATCCAGATTGCTTGCATCATTGGCTCGGATGCTCGGTCTAGGGAGGCGGCTATATCGAGGATGCCGATTCCTAGCCATAGACGATTCCGCATTTCTTGTTCAAAAGGGGTGACGTAGAAGGGTGGCTCGACAAGATGAAGGGATAGTGCTTGGGCTACTCGTAGTGCCATACTTAGCATAGTCCATACTCTTCGACTTTGATCTTGAGATCGTGCGGCGAGCTAGATACACGTTAGGCTGGTCCTCATCTTGGACTCAGGCATGGTGAATGAGAGTGTACTCACCAGCGAGATGACATATGCTTGCAAAACAGCCAGGTCATTCGTCGTGACAAAGTCTGCCCTTGCTAACGCCCCTTCAGTTTCTTTCTGAAATTCTGCAATCACTGTTCGTTTCTCGGCATGGAACAACGCCTGACATTCCACATCATCAATGGTACACACGGCAGCAAGATAGACTGCAGACGCAAGAGTAGCCGGCGCTTGATGATCTGGCTCATAGTCTAGATATGGCTTGTCGTCTCTTAAAAAGTCTCGTAGGGAAGGTCTGTGTATCACTTTGAACACAGGGTCCACATTCTGTAAATAAATGTCGCACAGCCTCTGTCGGATGTGAGGTTGCAAGATGACCCCTTTGTTAGAGTGAGATGAGTGTGTCGACCCCTCTGGACTCTCAGAGCTCACAAGAGACAATCCAAAGCCAGTCGAATCTTTAATATCGCTATGATCATGTTCTAGCCGGTCATCCAGCACAGTGCGCAATTCGTGTGCCTGGCCATCGGGTTAGCGGTTTCTGGGACCAAAAATGTAAGAAGTCCGCCTGATAAACTAACCTGCTGTATAATATCTTCCCAGAAAGAGATTCCCATATAAGTAGTTGAAGGACGAGGTCGCTGTGGGATATTCGGACTGTGAATTTCACTGTGCTGGGCCCCATCGGGATCAACGTTCCTGGCCACCGTCGAAGGATGTGAGGCCTCAGAAGCTGCCGAATTTGCATTCCCATCCCGTTCAGTCGCAACTTGTCTCAAGAGGGCTTCAAGTTTCGCGACCCGCTCAGACAATTCCTTGTCCGAGCCCCCGACCCGCTCAGCGGGCTTTCGCGTCCGTCCTCTTGGCAGCCGTGCCCGCTCAACGGGAACACAGACAAGACCGAGACGTTGACAACTGGTACAGGGGCTCAATTTGTCACATCGCACCTTGCGTTGACGACAGGCCTCGCAGGTGAGTCGCACCCGCGGGGCGGAGGAGCGCGAGGCTGAAGCTTTCTCAATGCTGACCTGGCCTACGGTGTAGCTCATACTGAAGCTGAAGGACAGTTGTATTCCACTGTGACGGTGGATTTTCTCGCAGATCAAGTGGACATTGAACAGGACTGTGCGAGGAACAGTTGAGGTTCTGGCCCCCAGGTTGGAGATCTCCACCAGGATGACCAATCATCGGCCAGTCAGCAGTTTCTGGCTCGGATGATCTTCGCTGCTGCATCGCGGTAGGCTCATTTATATGTACAAGTGTTGTATTTTGACTGCATTCACTGCATTTACTGCAGGGATGAGCCCCTGCCCTGCAGGCGCCATATCCTTGGGATCATGCATATCCTCAACTTCACTTTGGTATCAACTTACACGTCGCTCTCGGGCAAACCCCGATATGTTCTCTAATCTCAAACAAATTGAAATCCTAAACAAAGCTATATGCATGCAAAGCAATCAGTCTGATAATTGGGGGCATTTGGAATCACAATATTGGCAGAATTACTATGCATCGAAGCGGGTCAATACATCCTTTTGGCGAAATGGTAAGCTGATCCACTATTTTCACTCGCAAAATATACCCATTGAAGGATCTATAACCCTACTCTCCTTTGCAAGATCAAATAATCCATGGAATACATTTGTAGGGTTATCTAGCTAGTGTGACGGGGCGGATGCGATCTGGACCCAGTGACAATCATTTAGACCACAATTCCATAATTACACACAGGCCACTAGTTGGCCACTATTAAGGCGTTATTCCCCCTGAGTGCATCGATCAAGGTTGGGCTTCTAAGGTTCGATTTGTCAATGTGCTCCAGTTCTGTCGTTCTCTGCATGTATAACGCAGTCCACATAGGCAGCGACGGTACAGTATACATATATCCGTGATTGGGGTCCTTGAGATGGAATCTGAGATCAGAAAACACACACCTCCATCGGAAAGAGTGAGTTCCCAAAAAAGAACCTGCTCTACAAATGAAAGGCAGCGCTTCCCAGGTCCCAGGCAACAGATCAAGAGCAGAACCAACCCATCTGAACCCATTCATCATTCCAACTCAGACCGAGAGAGAAGACTAGAACGGCGATAGCGGAGAAGAGGAAGTTGACATCTCCGTGGGGGGGATCGACCTCCTCGTCTCTATTGGGGGTATTTCCCCCGAGCAAAATCAAGAATTCACGACGATCTTTGAGGATAAGGAACTGTGCATTGACCGAATCATGGAACAGTGCACAATACAGTGCACATCCTTAGGGAGTTTTAGGGGGCTCCAATCCTTCACGGCTACAGTTCAATAGTCGATGATTTCATCACGTCTTGGCGAACCGCGCGCGGGGTTTTTTCGGTTTACTTCGGTTGAATATTTCGATACGCTTTACTTTGGCAGTTGGCAGTTGGCAGTTAGCTGTTGGCTGTGCGCAAAATCGTTGTTGTTCCACGCGTTCCGAGTGTTTCGCCTCCGTTGCCAAGTGCTTCAAGTTAGGGCTCGGTTAAACACATGTACACTCTTGCATGTCAAGAACCTCCAGTGCAGTGGGATTATTATCCCACATTCTCAGGCAGGTGAAGCTAATACGAGTAATTAGGTTATTTAGGCACTATTGACATTGACAGCCCTGAACCATGGAAGGGGAAAATTTTTGACGAGCGTCAAGTGGAGTTGTCTTAGTGGGAGTTCATGCACGTCCTGCTGATCGTTTTGATTGATTCAATTGATTCTGCGATGGAGATTTCCCCACAAGGCTTTTGTGCTTGTCAGAAACCCTACAGGAGAAAGGTTAAACCTTACTGCTTCGTATATTCGTATGTTCGTATCAGGGGCACAACTTCCCTTTCGAGATGTACCATCTGCTGGTTCCATGGAAAGACTCAGATATAGACAGCTGAGGCCCTCAGTCCAACGGGCCCCGTGTGGATCAGGGCTCTACTCTGGCCAAAACCTCCGAGCTCCACGCCCCCTGAGAATGTTCATCCCATAGGCCCCAGAATAACGGTTTGGCCACTGATCGTCCATCAGTGAACATCCTCATAACATTCGCAATCTGCCACACTGTACTATCAAACTCTGTTCAAGCCGCTTTCCAAAGCATACAAAGCGCTCGTGGCCATCAGTACTGCTCGTACTATGGGGCCCGCTAATGTTTGGTGGCGTCTGGCACCCACCTCGACGGGACGAATGACTCCCTTTTCCCGCCTAATAGTCGAGCATTCCATCCAGGACTTGATCTTAGCCCCTCAGTGGCTGAATGAAGATCTTCACATCGGGACAATGTAGAACAGTCGATTCTTGGGGCTTTTTCTTGCCGTGTTCCTCTCGATTGCGGTGCCTGAACTGTCAGTTCGTTCCTATTAAACCCCAGGCTATGCCCACGATCGTCGTAGTTCCGGGTTTTTCTTTTGCATGGACCGTTGACTGTGGTCCTTCCCCGACATTCGTTTATTGATCTTCAAACCTCGTCTCGTTGGTACTTTGCTGCTAACATTGACTGACACTCTTTGCCCACCGACACACTCCTTCCTACCGTAAACACGGCTTTATGACACGATGACTATGCTGTCAACCCCCCGAGGCCATGGCGCCCTTGCCGTGAGCACCGTCTTCACTGTACTGGCAACATTCATCACGGCCATCCGCATCCTCACTCGGATATTTCTCGTCAAGAAGATGGGGGCAGATGACTATGTCATTCTCATCTCTCTCGTATTCTCTTGGGTCTTCTTTGGATTGATGGTTGGTGAAGTTTACCACGGCATGGGCGAGCATTTCAACAAAATCCCGCGGGATATCTATATAACCCAAATGATCGTAAGTCACCACAACGTCTCCCATTCTCTCAAAACAACGAGAAACATCAGAAATTAATCAGAAACAGTGCTTTTGGGCCTCTGTCCCCATCTACCAAACAAGCCTTATCAGCACAAAGATGTCCATTCTTCTCCAGTACAAGCGAGTCTTCTCCACACCCCGTATGCGTCTTGCTTGCTTGATCCTCATCGGTTTCCTGGGTGCTTATGGAACCTGGACTATCATTTCGGCCTGGGCCAATTGTGTCCCCCTCGCTCGATTCTGGGACGACACTGTTCCCGGTTTCTGCTTCGACAAGAAACCTCTGTGGTTCTCAAACTCGGCTATCCACATTCTCACCGATATCCTGATCCTCATCTACCCGATGCCAGTGCTGAAGTCGCTGCAATTACCAAGGAAACAGAAACTTGCCGTCATGGGCATTTTCGCCCTGGGTATATTGTAAGTTTCGATCACTCTCCCAAATCCCCCAGATGCAATTCATCCAGTCTGTGTACTGACACTTACTCCTCTCTAGCGTCCTCATCACAAGTCTTCTCCGTCTCAAATCCCTTATCGTCATCTCCGATTCCACAGACCCAACCTGTAAGTTCCTCCCAACGAGATGGCCGTCCCCGCGTCTCCGCGTCTCCAGACCACCCTATCCACCCCACCCCTAACCCTAACTAACCCTCACTAGACGACAACACCGGCGCCGCTTCCTGGTCCGCAGTCGAATGCAACGTAGCAATCATCTGCGCCAGTCTCCCCGGAACTCGCGCCTTCCTCACCCGCTTCCTCCCCCACATCTTCTCTACCGGCAGCAACGGTTACCGAAGCCGCACGACGCGGCCCTCGCGCAACGGCCGCAGCGTCCTCGCCGGCACTGGCAACGGCACTGGCAACACACACGGCCAAAATACCGTGCTGGCCTCTGTCGTCGGTGGCCGAAATGACCCCGACTACGATTTGGAGGACCTGCCTGAGTCGCCGGGGTCCTACGGAGCCTTTACCAAGGGTGCGGAGGGGGGCGCTACGGTGAAGGAGACCTTTTCGGGCATCACGGTTACCACTCGCGTACAGCAGAGTGAGGATAAGGTTGCGGCTGATGATGCCAGCACCAAGGAGCTGATCTGATCAGGCTGTCATGACTCTCTTTTTACTTTTTGATCCTCTTTGTTTTGTTTTGTTTGGTTTGACCTGGAAATGGAGGCTATGGTTCTTTTAATGTTTGTGTTTATATCGCGTGTTATACCCCCTGAATGGCAGAGTACGGAGTACTCTATAGTTTTATCATTACTTTCTTCTCAAATTATGGTAAAAGGGTCACATTGGTCGTAGAAGTGGGCAGAAGAGTTCGTCTAGGTAATCGTGGGAATACTAGGGTAGGGTATTAAGACTAGATTGTGAATAGAAGAACAAGGATAAGGATGAATGCCAAAGCGAGATAAACTACATAGTCTTGGAGCAATGCATGAGGCCCGCTCCGTACATCCGTAACAGCCCAAAATCAATGAAGAGTCGAGGTCTCGTAACAGAAATAGAAAAATGCTGGAAAGGTTATACTATACTGGAGGATAAGTTTCAAGGCAAGTGAAAAGGTGGAAGCTGGAATGTGCAATTGCGCGATATCCAATACGCGAATGCCACCAGCTATGCAATCCTGGAACTGAATACTGCCTGCACATAACCTCCAAATACAAAGAACTGATTATAATTCTCTACTCCCAAACGTTGGAGAAGAGGTCGTCTGATCCTCCGAATCCTCCAGCGGGCTTGGGGGCGTTGTTGCTTGATGTAGGATTAGAAACTGGAGCAGCGCTGGCCCACCCGCCGAAGTCCTCGTCAGCTGCCACGGTAGGTGCGGGCTTCGCCGCTGAGGAGGGCACGCCCCATCCGTTTCCAAGGTCGTTAGGGGTCAGGGTGTCAGGAACCTTCATCGTGGAAGCGATGGTTGAAGGAGCGGGAGCGGGAGATGGAGCACGGTCAGCTGTGCTCCATGCGTTACCACCCCAGGGATCCAGGCTTCCAGACATCATATTGGCGGCGGTAGTGGCTGGCGCTCTCGGAGGCGCAGGGGGCTGCACAGGTGGACTGGAGATATTAAAAGCAGATTTCATTTCCTGCTGTGGAGAAGTTGCGGTGGGCTTCGGAGGTGACATGGTAGAGGCAGGTACGGAAGGAGGCGAAGAAAACCCGAACAGGTCATTCGAGAGAGATGACGAGGGAGGGTTCGGTTTAGCGCCAGGGGGAGGAGAAGCAAATCCACCGAATCCCCAGTCTTGTCCGTTTGAGGAAATGGACGTCGTGCGGGATTGTGGCTTCGGGGCGGACATGGTTGGGGAGGCGAGGCTATCGAAAAGGTCGCCGCTAGCGGATCCGGAAGGAGATGTGACCTTCGGGGCAGCCGGGGTCGACTTGGCGAAAGATGTAAGATTGGCAAATGGCGAAGCCTTTTCAGCTGGTCTAGGAGGCGGAGGAGAGGTAGTATTGGGGAAGCTCAGCCCGCTAAAGGCGTCGGTCAAACCACCCATGTTGGAGTGGCCGGATGGCGCCGGGGGAGAGGCCATGTCACCGAACGAGTTCGTCCGTCCATGTTGCGCAGGCGCAGGCTGCGGCTTCGCGTACAAAGACAAGATTGATTGTTTAAGATCTGGACGAGACATTCCAGTAGGCGCAGCGGGTGTGGAAACCGTGCTAGTTGGACGACTGCCGGCAGATGGCTGAGTGCTCCCGAAGAAGTCCAGGCCGAGTAGTGAATCATTGGGCTTGTGTGTCTTGACTGGCGCAGGCTGTACCTGTCTCGGAGGCGCACGCGGGGTAGGATCGGTCGTGCTGGGCCGGTTAGGAGGAGAGATGTCGTCACCGAACAAGTCAATTGAGGCTTGTTGACGGTGTACCGGAGGCTGGCTGGGAGCGGCGACACGTTGCGAAGCGGAACGTTCAAGCTTGGCTTTCTCCTGCACAACAGCGAGAGGCTGCTAGATTAGCGCCCATGTTCGCTCTCGTTCATCACGCGATCACTCACCACGTCGTCGTCTCCATCATCAAGAGTCGAGGGGTCCGGTAAACCACCCTCCATCACCCATCGCTTGCTCTCGTACTTTGTCCGAATAAAGTTCTCGATCTTCCTGTTGGCGCAATTCGTCAGGACAATGCGACCCAAAAAGTCCGAGGGGATGCACTTACGATTCGGAGGGAGCGTGGCCCGGTGCCAACTTGGCTTCCCAGTACCTGCAACATGTTAACCGGTGTCTGCCATAACCAATTGATCGCAACATACTTGTTCGCTCTTGAGTTTCCCCATTTGATCACACTCTGAAGTTGTTCATCGGTCCAAGCATCGAGATCCACGGATTTGACTCGACTGATGTGTGTTCCCATACCCCTGTGAATGCCGGAGCACCGAATGCAAACAAACACACCCAGGTTCCAGGAAGCCCATCGCGGATCTAAACAAAGAAATTCTCAGTAAATGACCGCCAAGAAAATGGACATCGAGATGAAGCCAGCGTGGGCGCAATTTCACGGAGGGGATCGGGGACTGACGTTTGTTCCGTTTACAGTCGGCACAAATCTTGTTGTGTTCCAGTTTCAGCAAACCCTTGATAGTCTGCGAATTTTGGGCGGCTTGGCCGGGAGTAGGGCGTCGAGACATGATCTGAATGACGCGAATTAGATGAGGGTGAAAGAGAAGAGAAACAACAAGGCCCAATAATCTTAGGTGGCGGTCGGCACGGTTGCGGCCTAAGGCTGCAGTGGCGATACGGACGGGGGAAAAATGCCAGCCACGCAGTTTGATATAGAGTAAGTGGAGGTGGACATGGGATTTGAGATTTGAATACTGGCAATTTCTACGAAATGACTAATGTTATAGTTCAGTAAACGACACATGGTTGGTCCACTCCAAATGACACCTCTCTTATGCACGATGTGCAGCCTAACTCCCCGCAACCCTAACTGGATTTAAACATCAACATCACAACTCTAAGCCTTGGCCTTGGGAGCTGCATCCTCGGAGAAGCGCAGACTAACACTGTTGACACAGTGGCGCTCATCAGTAGGGTTCTTGTAGCCTTCACCCTCGAAGACATGGCCAAGATGACCACCGCAATTGCTGCAGACAATCTCTGTCCTCTTCATACCAAAAGTATTGTCCACGTGTCGGGTCACAGCGCCGGGAATAGAGTCAAAGTAAGCAGGCCAGCCACAGCCAGACTTGAACTTGTGGTCGGCAGTGTAGAGTGGCGCATCACAACCGGCGCAATTGTAGACACCCTTGGTTGGGTAGTGGGAATCATATTCGCCGGTGCCGGCACGCTCGGTCCCCTTTTCGCGGAGGATACGGAATTGCTCTGTCGATTTTGTCGTTAGTCAAAGTGGCTTTTGGTGTGGTCTGTCTCCCATATGTGCCGTGTTGTACAAACCTGGGTTCAGGACGGCCCTCCACTGGTCCTCGCTTCTCTGGTCAGGGTGTGACATTGTTGGGGTAGATTCCTCGGTGTTACGATTGGAACTGAAGAAAGCACCAAAGAATGGAATTGTTGGTGCAGCTTTGAGCGCTGTGCTAGCTTTCGAGGTAGGTGACTTGCGCGTTGAGCTGGACAGAAGCCGGGATGCGTTAGATGAAGTTGGGATGCGGAGGGATCGGTATCTGAGGGGCGAGATGGTGTGGCGTAGTACTTGGTATCGCATGGAGATGATTTGGTATGTGAAGCTAGCAACGTAGATCCGAGAAGAAATAAGCCAGAAATCATAGCGGGGACGAAGCTGAGCCGGGGCCGTTACGTCATCACGCGGGGAGTCCCTAGGAGATCGTCTCTGCTTCTATACCCTTACTAGTATGCCTGTCTCTAAACTGATACCAAGCAACTAGAGGGGTCTCTCTACAACAATCAGTGGAATTGCCTTGATTGTCTTCTTATAATATTTTTATCTCAACTCGTCCTGACTCGGTTTAATAAACTCCGTGAATTGAAAGGGTATCATCAACAGCAAATCTAACAACAAAGTCAGCAGTAATCTGACAACAAATCTCAGAGCATATCCACCAAATCTAACAGTCAATATGACACAGTGCTAACTCCAAACTAATGATAAGCAGGTATTTATCAGTTGAAACATAACAATAAAAAGAAAACAGAAACGGGGTCAACGACGGTAACCGGTCACCAGCAACACGCCACGATCACATTCCACTTTCCAACCCTCATTCTGCAGGGTTCTGTACACGGCGGGCCCAATACGTGCGGCACCATCGCGACTGTGGTTGCCGACACCCACCACGATCTTGAACCCGCCGTGCACATGCTTGCCGCCGCCTCTGACATGCTTTAGATCACCCAGGGATTGCCACCACGCATTGACACGCTCCCGAGAGATTCTGATGGCATTGGGAACCGTTACTCCGTGTAGGTCCAGGTCATATTGGGATGATTGCTGGTCTACCAATCGGTCAGAGGCGGTAGCTTGGTGACGCAGCGCCAGCTGGCGCTGTTCATTTCCAACTTCCCGATAATATGCGGACGCCCCGTTGTATAGGGGATTGGATCGGGCACGGCGGGCCGCTTGAGATGCCTGCGCCAAGGCGTTCGACCGCTGCGCAAAGTGGGCGTTTGCCGCTGCGGCAGCCTGCCCGTAGTCCATGTCAGATGAGGATTCAACCGTTCCCTCAGAGGACTCAGTCACGGCATTCTCCTCTGACTCAAGGTCCACTGGGGCTGAAGTGAACATAATGATGTCTGACAGTGAGTTGAGAATAGGCCCCCGAGCTAAGGCCTCGGCCAGTTCATCTGCGGCTTTGAGCTCATTGTTTGCGATGCGAATCAGGCCGACCAAAGTTGTTTCGGGAATGGTCGCATACTTGTGAGAGAGCTCCGCGACATAGGAGATGATAGCATCATCAGCGTCAAGTTCCTTCATGTGCCTTGGTGCGTAAGCGATTGCAAGCGCTCTAATAGTTGCACAGAGCGACATCGAATTGCCATGATAGGTGGAGGCGACATTTTCCCGCACAAGAGTGGAGGCCCGCGTGGAGATGAAGTCGATGTCTTTTTTGCCTGTCTCCCATTTGTTGACGGAGGGGGTGTTGCTACCGCGGGATAACGGTGCGTCGCGATGCAGTTTCTGACTATTTTTCTTCTTGTTCTTTTTGTTCGATTTTTTTGACTGGTTCTCATCGGCTTGGAAACCATCAATTGATTTAGGTAACAAGGTTTGGCGGTTGGCAGCAGCCTCTGCCGGAGTCTCTTGCGTGGAGCCATGGGCAATTTGAGTCTCATCAATGAATGCAAGGTTCAGGAGAACATCCATTGCACGGCTGAGCTCATCGTGGCAATCCTTTAGAATGCGAGCAGCATGGTGACGGGGGATACTTGGGAACATGCACATCAAGTTGTAGATTTTGTCATCCGATGTCATGCCAATAAATGTGTATCCAAGACGTGAATCGAACCCGTTGAGATTTTCGTTGACGTTGTTCTCATCCCCATCATTCAGATCAAGATGTTCAAGCGATGGCCAGCTCAAACTTTCAGGGAGGTTTGCGACACTGAGGCTGTGGGTCTTGGTCGTCCCAGAGGGATCGAAAGGTAGGTTTTCTTGATCCAGAGCAGACGTCTTCAGTGCATTCAGGATTTCGCGTAGTGATCGAACCTCAGCAGGCACTGCCAAATCATAATCCATGAGAATCGCCATGAATAGAGCTGGATCAATAGGTGGGCAATACAGCCTCTCAAGCTCCTACGATCGAGTTAGACCACAGTGCAAAAAAAGGGTTGGTATTTTTATGTGGGACATACCTTGGATAACTCATCATGGTTTGCCATTTTGAAGTCAGATGCTGCAAAATGGACTTGGCCGAACTACCAGAGGATCGTGATTGTGGGAGAGGAGAAATAGCTTCAAGTTGGAGATGAGCTGTACCCGGCGATAATCGCGATAAGATACGATGTAGATCTGAGTCACGTGGGAGCTGTCACGTGGGAGTGGCGCGGCGAAGCGAGAACGTGGGATGGAGGGGAGAAAGGAGGTTAAGGTTTTTTACGGTTGAGCGCCACAAAACGCCACAAGACGTTGATTGGTTACGACTCATTACACCCCACTTACCTAGGTAGGTAGGCAGCCACCACCTTTCTGCCTCGGGCCTTTGACACCTCTGGCACTGTCAACAATTAGACAAACACCTGTTTCAATTGGCTCTATGGCCGTTTTAGTCTATCAATTGAGCTGCTCCAATGACCAAATAAGCGCCAAAGTCTTTCACGAAGCGATAATGTCTCAAAAGTATCCGTACTCTATACTGAAGCTAGAAACTAATTTGAGCAACACATCCTCAAGACGTTCAGGTACCCGGGACGGACCGCCGCAAGGCCAGCAGTCCCCACCCATTCGGCCACGCTAGCCAAAGGTGGTGAGTGGCACAAGCAGTGACTGCCGCCGGAGAGACCATGCGTAAATTGCGAGTTGGGGTTCCAGCATGAAACACACGGGCTCCAACAGGTGCATTATACATCGTCATCATCAAATCGAACTTGGCAGACCAACCACTGCAAATTCACATGGTGCTGAGACTCTCAATCTGATATACCATCCCGTACTATTCTTTTACCAAGCTCTGGGAACACCTACCTGTCGATAGTGGTCTTGGTATGGCGTGGCATGGCATGGCCTCTATTAATGTCCGGCTACTCTGGGATCTAGCCCATTGCCTTGGGCCTTTTTTGGGGCATATATGCGTGCTAAGCGAATGCCTTTGAATATACAAGTCCACCTCCTTGGCAGTTCGCTGTATGCCTTGCGCGGCGTTCGAATTTCTTCAGGGGATGCAGCTGCCGGCACCACTAACACTGCTAGGCAAAAAACAAAACAAAAAACATACAACAGTAAGGATTCGCTAGTGGTCACCCACCTAACTACTAACTTACCGGCGTGTGGCTTAAGTACGGCTGAGCGGACGGGAAGCCCTGTTCTCCACACCCTGTGGTCGTATGTGCTTGTAATTAAATTGAAGGGGGATATGTAGATTAATCTAGCTTTAGAGTCTATGTCGGATGTGCTTTTTGTTGGACAGTGCGGTTTTTTTTTTTTTGATATGTTACCTTCTGAATTCAACTGCGGGTGGCTCTTGAGGTCGCTTGTTGATAGTATACTCGTCTATGAGATAGGGTTCCTCTTATTTTGTCACTTAGGGGTTCAGGTCGATGATGACCGTTGGCAAGGGGCTGCTAAATGAGTAATTATCACTCAGCTAATGTGATTAATGCTACTTGTGGCGTAAGGAACAACTTGAAGAATAATTATTGAAATCGGTATGCTAATATGGCGCTAATCTATTAGCACCACCTTTGTGTTGGAAGGGGGGCTTACTTAGTATCGCAGTATACTGAAGACAACTGGTTCCAGATGAATTCAAGAGAAGCTGTAAAGATATCCACCCTAGACAAAAATGATCCCCAACGCCAAACGCAGCCGGGTTTGACAATAGTGGAAGTGTCAGATAGACAAACATATTCTCAACTCCAAACGGGGGCCTTATCATACGGCAATGATGACAAGGATGTGGCTCGGGGGACAGCCTCGGCAGCAGCTAAACTATTTTGATCCGATCCAATGAATGGCTCTCCGAAGCTGAGCTCTCACTGTGAAACTATGGATATATCTCCATTCCGCTCTAGGTGACTATGTCAGATCCTCGCTGAATGAGAACATTACGTATGGAGTGGGACATCTATTGAAGAGGCAAGATGGTTTCTGTGGTAGTCCCATTTCCGTGTTGCTATGTCTCAAGGATTCTGGTTGGGAATGGGATCTTTTCCTTGGCGTTGTCCTACCGTCATACCTCCAGGGCTATCACACCCTTGGAGTCCAGTGTGTCCGGTGTGCTTGGGCCTTTCGGAAAATACTGTCACACTCCAAGGTTGGTCAAAACTGTAAAACTGTACCGCGATGAGAATGGCTTCTGTAAGTTGACGTTCTGAAAACAGTCCCGTAACAAACTTTTATACTTGAGCTTGGTAAATCCCAGCTACAAAAACCAAGGCTTATGAAAAAGCCAGTATGCTGTCTAGAGTTACTAGAGATTCTACCGTCCAATCGTGTCAGCAGCAGCTCTGACACCTAAACGGTCTTGACGTTTTGATATATCCCTGGCAATCAGCAATGCCTAATGAACTGCAGCGGTGATCCTGGGGGTCCCGTGCCTTGGCCAATAATCACCAATCTGTCGAGCAGGAGCACTTTTCATGCGTGATTGTAGAACTTATTTCAATACAGACAGAGACTATGACGCGCGGCCGGTTGCTATCACAGATTTTGTACGTCGTGAAGTCACCAACGATATGTTGAAGCCCAGTCCAAAATAGAACTTTCAAGTTACAGCATTGACAGTGAATTCTTTGGGCTCATTTTGCTTTAAGGTCGTAGCAGAGAAACATCACGGGAACTCAAAGATGTGGTCCTTGTCTGGTCATCTTGTACCCCGAGAGACTTGGAGGTACGAGGCACACAGTATCAAGGCACCACGGAAGTCAGCCCAAAAATAAAGATTGGTAATGCAGATGAGGAAGACCCTGGAAGCATTGCATCTTGTGGCCACTGGCATCGACGCTATAAGATACTATACTCCCGTCAATGGCTCACCCCTGACTCCTACTTCCCTCCAACCTCGCGGTAGTATATCTTAAGCCGACCCCTGCCGGATTGAATTTTACTCCCTTTTTCTTCTTCCCATATTACTGGTGACCAGTCACGTCATTTACTATGCGTGTTAACTTTGTTTCTTGGGTGGCTCTCGCTACTACGGCAGCAGGCATGGTCCCTTCTTCTTGAAGGATCGTATCACGCTAATAATATTTCACAGGTCTTGTCGTTACCTCGCCCCGAATCGGCGAGAAGATTGATCCCGATCGCCCTCTTACGATCAAATGGCAATCTGTCCTGTAAGAAGTACTTTTCGTGGCGGACCTTTGGACTTTGTGACGAGCCCCAACTAATCCAAAATGCAATCTGATCAGGACCGATCCTCCTACCTTCAGCATCGAGCTGGTCAATCAAAATGTGTATCCCCCAACAACCGAAGTCGTCGCGCAAGACGTCGATTCCTCAAAGGGCTCGTACACGGTCAAAGCCAAGTCCTTTACTGATGTAGACGTTGGGTAAGCCAGGCAAGTCAATTCTTATGAACTGATCACTGAATGTATAACAGAAAGGGATATCAGATCAACTTCCTTTCTGACAGCAACGGAATTTTAGCTCAGTCTCAGCAATTCGGTTTGACTGCACCTGGGGCCCTCTCTAGCTCAAGCTCTGGTAAGGAATCTAGCACTGCGAGTGAAACTTCGTCTGGGTCGACCTCCATGCTTTCTTCCACAGCGTCGACAAGTGAGATCACCTCTTCGACTTCTGTTTCCTCAACTGCTTCTTCTATTTCTTCGACTACTTACTCTCCCACCAGTGCGTCTACCCCTACTTCGTCTAATATATCTTCTACTGCTGTCTCTACCCCTGCAACTTCTTCTATGATGAGCTCTACTCCAAGTGGGTTGACCTCTTCCTTTTCTGTATCTATACTGTCTTCTGCCTCTTCCGATGAGATTCCTACATCAACCCTATTTTCTGTTGCTTCAAGTTATGCCATGTCCTCTTCATCCCTTCCCGAAACATCGACATCCATCCACACCACATTCTCATATTTTTCAATCGTGACTTCCCAATATTCTTCTAGTCCTTTTTTCACAGCATCTTCTATACCAACACTGTCTGTTGCCACAATGCTTACGACTTCTACGTCTTCGCCAGCCTCTTCATCAGCATCTACACCTACCATCTCTTCCACAAGTTCATTCATGTCTACATCTTCACCTACAACAACATCATCTATGACAGCAACTACTTCTTCCACCAAATTATCTTCCACCTCATCAATCTCTGCATCTCATTTTTCCTCGACATCTATTCCGAGCACAAACTCTTCTACTTCATCTCATTCCACTCCATCTTCCACATCCCATGCCCGCTCAAGCACTACCCGTGGTTAGTAATGCAGGCAGCTTTAGCTGTCAAAATAAAACTTCACTTCCACCGACACATTGCTATCCTGGGACTAACTTACTCCATAGAGTCCAGCTCAACCATGAGTTCGAGTACGATGTCCAAGACCCATACCTCCACATCGACGACTACCCACCACACGACTTCTACCAAGACCTCAACCGCGACCGAATCAGCGACTACCACCTCGAACGCCGCTGCTATCCTTCTACCCCCTGCCCAGGCCGGAGGTCTCCTTCTCGGTCTGTTCGCTCTCGCGCTCTAAACATCACCCTCGGTCACTCTTTATGCCGTGAAATGAAATATATGGGTTGAAGACTGTTCGGATCTTTATGCGATGTTTGAGAGAAATATGGAAGTATCATCTGGTTTATGCTTTTTTGGAAAGATATGGCCTATGGGCCTACAACATCCAATATTAATGAGAATGCAATGAATGCTCTGTTTTGAAGTGTATATCGAGCCCATGAATAACTAGATCAAGTAGTTGGCTGAAGAATGGACCTCGGCTAATAGCTTTCTCCGCATGAAATCATATCTTATAAACCTCCCGAGCTCCTCACCTCAACCCAGCTCAGCTTCGTCAACTACCAACTACAAGCGCAATTTGCAAGTTCAAGAATACATCACACGAGCAAAAATGCCAGCCCTCACTCTCCACCTCCTCGCCATAGCCCCACCAACAACACCGGAATCCTTCGTCGCGCAGCTCTCCAAGTCACCAGAAGCAAGGATAATAGTCGCATCCCGACCTCGACACACAGTAGTCCACCCAACCATTCTGGACAAACACCCTCTAACAAACACAAAATGGGACCTTCTACTTCTACTGCAACCAACAAACCCAGCAACTCCATCAACAAACCCAATCCCAGCATCCCTCCAAGACGCAATCAAATCTGAATACAAATTAACAGCCGGAATCCCCTCCAAACTCCTGTCAACCTACCCAGAAAAGGACAAAACCCTTAAATCGACTCCTCAGCCACCCCTCACAGGCTCCCTCTCCAAGGCCCTGTCCAAAGAATCAAAATCCACCTCACAGAATCTAGAACTATCACCAGACCTCATAGCATTCATGGACGAACTATGCAAAACACACACCGGCCCAGTGACAATGTTAAACCTCCTTCATTTCAACCACCCCCACGGGAAGAAAAGTTACTTCAACTACGGACAGGCGTTCATCCCCGTTGCTGGCAAGAGGGGCGGCGATGCGAAGTTAGTTGGGAATGTTGTCAGGCCCGCGGATGGAGCGCGGGATTCCAGAGGTGAGAATGGGAGGCCGGCGGAGGAGTGGTGGAACGAGATCTCTATCGTGCATTATCCTTCTATTCGACACTTCTGTGATATGCTTGCTGGGGAGGATTATCAGGGCATTAATGAGGAGCATCGGTTGTCGGTGAGTTTTTGGCTTCGTGTCTGAGAGTCTGGTTAGGGACGTTGCTGATTGTCTTAGGCTCTTCGAGATACTTTCTTGCTTTGTACTACAGAGTTCGATGTTGAGAGTCTTGCAAGCTCGAAGCTTTGATTTGGTTGGAACTATATGTGGACATGCTGTGATCGGAGGTGCTCACTAGGATTTTGTGGGATGGAAATTTGTTGATCATTTGTACCAAGGGAATGTGATATATACATAGAGAAACGAACCGAGTCCAAAGTCATTGACAGTGGAGCAATTGGGTATTTGACGATTAAACGCTTGAAATCCAGAGGATGACAATATCAAGATTTGACGACGCTGTCGCTTGGTCGGTGCCAGGTACGGATATGGCCTACAACGGTCATTAGCATTGGTGGACCCGGGATTTTGTTAGTCGATAGAAGGGGTGATACCTTCAAGTGAAGAAGTCATGATACAATCTTTCTGGAACCCGAGCCAGCAAATAGGGTCTTCGCCAACGATTTTGGACTGAATCTGTCAGTGGTGTTGATAGAATACCTGTTTAACGACACTCACCATGATAGGAGGCAGGAGAGCCGTTCGTGACCGTGGTTCAACGGGATGACTGGTTGTCTGGTCGATTTCTCCAATGAAATGTTCCGTACCATTCGAATCAGAGCGCATACGGTTACCGGCGCTGTCTGCCCGGTGTCTGTTAGAAGTCTGCGTTCCCGGCGCAACAATGCTGGTTCTCTTTCGAGTCGAGGCTTGGTGATACTGGTTTAGTGTGTTAGAAGATGGATACCCAATGAGTGCTAGCCAAAATTCAACTCACAGCTCTGGGACGATGCAGCATTCCAACGCTGAAGTCCCACAGAAGCAGACGACAGTCATCGCCTACACTGCCGATTCGGTATGTCTTCTGGTCGCAACGCCAGGGGTCGAATGCTACCGACGACACCCAGGAGTTGTGACCTTGACATCTGGCGACAATTTTGCGCTCAGGGAAAGACCAGATTGTCAAGAGATCATCCTGACCGCCTGTCACAATGTATTTGCCGTCTGGTGACCAACACGCACAGATCAAACCACCGTAATAGCTGCGGAAGATATCCAATACCCTGTGAAGCATCAGTCAGGGCTTCATTATCTCTAGATTAAACCTCGACTTACTCTTCCTTCAAGTAATCCATAAGACGGAGAGACCCGTCCTCAAGAACCACGGCCAAATGCCTCTGATCTGGGGAGAAAGAAAAGCTCGAGACCTTGTGGTTGGCCAACTTCCAATACGAGAGAGGGTTCGTCTTCTGGTTCTTAGAATTGACAGACTTCAGAATTTCCAACGGCAACTTTCCGTTTTCCTTGTCAGAAGGGTTGCTGGGCTCGGGGGTGAACAGGGCATCTTCTTTCTCCTTATCGTAGACAACCAAAACACCGTTGGCGTGAGATGCGATGAATAGATTCTCGGATCCGGGAAGCCATTTTATATGAGTAACAGGAGAATTGTTGATCACTCCATTCTTGTTGATTCGAGCGTACTTTTGTGACATGGGCTCGTACCATATAATGTCACCAGCTGAGGATCCCATCACAATATCCAAGTGCGACGATGTCTTGGTCAATTCGTTGATATCATGGCAGAGCATATGGGCCTTGGTGAAAAGGACTTTTGTGAGATGTTCCTCCTTTGTCGGAGAGCTGAGGTCCAGCCATTGGAATGCTCGGTTGATATTCGCAAAGGCAAAAACGCCATTCGGGTCGCGGTCACTCAATCGCTTCGCCGAGGTCTCGTGGGTTATAACTCGAGAAACAAAAGAAGAGCTGCTCTTGATGATATTATTCTTGGGCTTCCTCCTCTTCAGCGCATCTTTTGCCGGCACCGGTGGTGCTATAAGTGCCGAATTCCCGTCTCCGAACTGAGGGGCCGTGATGGCCGATTTCAAAAAGGTCGGAGGCTTCTTCCGGGGGTCAAGACTGACGAGAGAGAGCTTCACGCCGCATGTAGGGGGCAGAGGCACTGTCGCGAGGGGGTTTGGGTTCACAATCGGGGCTTCCGAGGGGTGCGGAGGCGGGGTCGCGAGCAGGAGGTCATCTTGAAGGGTGTATGTTCCTAATATGAAATCACAGGTAAGCCAATTCTGTGCGCTCAAAAAAGCCGCGTTAATCCGCGGATAATATATGCGACCAGCGTCAGGTCATAGCTGCATACCTTCACCAACTTGTAATGGGCAACCCTTCTCTGGATGGGTGACAGTATTGTTCGTTTCAACCACAGGAACTGCCATACCATTCGCCGCCCCCGCCGCATAAGCGACAGGGATGGTATAGCGAGGAGGAGGGGGTGGAAGGACACTAGTTTCATCAGCAAGAGACGAGATATGGAAGTCTCATGAGATCCTCTCAGATCATGCGAGTATGGGCCAATGTTGCGGCTTGCCGATTTGTCCCGGTAGCGCGAAAAGTGCTAGAAGAAAAAAAAAGGGGGAGACGTGAGAAATGACCGAACTTACAACATAATCGTCACAAGCTTTCAATGTCGACCGAGATCTGTGTGACCCAACACCTGAACCTTGGATCCGATAACGTATATTCTCCTCTTGCGCCAAGTTGTCGTGTTGACAGTTATTGGACTATATCGTGCTATCACCTTATCGATGGCAGGGTACTTTGCTGCGCTCGTGTCGTGAATGAGTGGCTGTGAGGCTCCAGATAAAGGCACGGACGGACGTCAGCTGGGGCACAGAGCCACTGGTATATATAGTTTATATGCAAGGATGTAGGTATATCAACAAGGCGAAAGATCAGGTGTTCAGGGATTCACGGATTCGAGGATTCGAGGGTTCGAGAGAGAGATGGAGAGGGGGTTGCAGGGATCAGCGAGGAGATGATGTCCGGGGTAGCGGAGAAGAAACCGCGTGCCTGGGGCCCGGCTTAACTCCGAAGCCGCTTGGACGCCTAACCATGTTGGGAACTCGGTCAATTAGGGCTTTGCGATATCAAACTACACCCTGGCAGGGATTGGAGAATAGGTTTTCAGCAAGTTATACGTTTCCGATGTGCTAATTCTAATTGCTGCCACTGACTCGTCGCCAAATCATCACTGCAGCGGCTCCTGCGCAAACCACCGCTCCAAGGGCAATGCCCCAGGACATCCATTTGCCCTCAACATCCTCTTCACTACGGGGGAATGCGGTACTAGGTTCCATCGCTGCCTCGGCAATATGAACAAAAACCTCCTGAATAGAAGTCCAAGTCACACTCACATGGAGAGGCGGACTGGGCATGTTCAACATGGCAGTGTACTCGTGGGGCTGGTGCTCGGCCCGCTGGGTCGTCCGATCCAAGTCGGCCTTGAGAGCGATGAAGACACTGGGCAACTCTTCCAAATGCGGGTACTTCGCCCACAGAGCTGGAATATATGCAAAAGAGTCCGGGTCTGACGAGTCATATGTGTAGGCGATGACATCACACTGATCTAGCAGCTTGGACTGGTTTTCCAAAAGAGCAGGCTCCAACTCGCCTAACTCATCCAAAATCAAATAACATTGCTTTCCGCCAGGAAGCTCCACTGTGTTGACGGCGGTACGCGGTTGAATGGTGGGGTGGTAGGTGGTACTGAACCCTCGGGAGAGGAGCGCATCAAGTAGCGCGGATTTACCTGACCCCGGGGCTCCCAAAACATGGCATTGCACCACATTTCGGCCGACACGACCCGGGCGTCTACGCCTCTTGCGCGGTTTTGTTATTTTCAGAGCTGCTGTGGTACATGGACTGCTTCGGTCGGAGGGTTCAAAGCCGAGATAGGCCAAGTACTCAAGGGTCGTTTTGGGAGACGTGAAAGTCGTCATGCTCCATTGGGCCAGCCAGCCTTGGAGTGTGACATGTCCTGCCTCATTGCGAACTGTGGAAGAGGGGAATGAGCCGTCGGCCCAAGAAGCAGGCAGACCGGGGGTAGGCGCAAACAATGATGCAAGCTCGGCATCGTTTAAACCTCCGTCGTTGTCCTTATCGGATAAGAGGAAAAGGTTAACAAAGAATCGATATCCTTCGGGGGACAGTTCTGCGGAGGCAAACGGAGGGACCTCGAACCGAGGATGTAAGAAGCTCTCCTGGAGGGATAGGTTGTCCGTGTACTGGAAGGCTCGCAGAATGATCCAAACCGTTTCGTGTCGCCCTTTCTCTGCGTAGAGTTTATTTAGATGAATAAACCCCTGGCAATCAATACCAGACTCAGTGACCGATTCTGGGTAGCCCTTCTGAATGGTATCCTTGATATGAATAAGATCCTCCTCGCTCAAGGGTTTCCCGAAACATCTGGTTTGAAAGTCCTTGATCTCCTTATCTGACAGATATCCATCCCGATCCTTGTCACATAGATAAAAGATTCTTTGTAGAGCCGCAACAGCCGCAGGCTTCAAAGCGGCCTCCTTGGAATCGAACAGTGGCGCGATTGGGTGTGTCACAGCCTTTTGGCAGACGAAGAAAGCCTCGTTGACATTGCGATGCTCCCGAGCACTAGTGCGAATACACGAGTCAATCTCCTTGAATTCTGCCATCAAAGGTAACATCTCTTCCTCCACCACTTGGGCCTCGCTGTGACTCGCCGCCAGGTCCGACTTGTTGGCACACAGCACGACCGGGACATTAACGCCCAACGATCGGAAATATGGCAACCAGAACAATGCTACGCGCTCATAGCTGTAGTGGTCCGAATACACCAGCAGGATCACGTTGGATTTCCGGATCTCACGCGCGAGGTTATTCCGTTCCTGAGGAACAGCCGAGGTATCGACGACGGTCGTTGTGGTGACATTTTCGGGTGTTCCAATGGTAGGAGGAATCGTTATCTGAGGGAGGACTGGCTGGATTTTATTTGTGACGAATACACCTTTGACGAGCGAGGTTATGAGACTGGACTTGCCAGTTCCCTCGTCGCCGCAGACGCAAATCCGAACTGAACACGCGAGTCAGTGTTGTTTCTGAAGGAGTGAACAGGATAGCAGGCATACCTGTTGCCATTTTCGCAGCTAGGCGAGTGAATGTATCATGCTTCACACATGGCCTCTAACATTAATATATGAAGGCTGGACGTGACGTGACGGAGATACGATAACACGGGAACGGGGGAAAGTCTTGGCGGCCTGTGGCAGCAATGCACGTGCATAAATCTATAGATCGGGAATAGTTACAAGCTCATCCATGGACTAGGGGTTAAGTATGCAATTTGCTTCTTCTCTTCGACCTTCTGGTAGATTCTCGTTAGAAAAAGAGGTCGAAATTGCCAAGCTAAGCACTCTTGCTCCGCCTCCTTTAAGCGGGGGAACGAACCCAACCCTCTCAATCCTCGATTCAGCCCATCATTTGTTTCGACATACCTCAATCATCTCCTCCATTACTAGGCCAACTGGGAATTCTTCGCTGATCAAGGCGGAGTTCTGCGAGGTACAGAAACTCTTGAGCCTCCGACAAACTGCCGTCCCGCGTCAGCCGTAAGGCCCACACTGACTAACGGGAACCCGATTAACACTTGCTCTCTCCTCATTCCCCAACCTCACTCCTCTTACAGTCGAGTTGACCCTTTAACCTCGACATATACCGCCCAATATGCCTCTTGGGATCAACAATCCGTTGCCCTCGTCTATGAGCAGTACGTGTCGATCCGTTAACCCACTTCCCCGCAGTCATGTGGCACATTTGGCTGACAATGACTCCCACCTGAACAGGCGAGTGCAAGAAAGCCGCAAAGATTTTGACCTCGTTCGTCGATCCCAAGCAAGCATTCGGTCCTGACAAAGTCATTCCTCCTGAGATCCTGGCCGGTGCAAAGGTGAGAACCTCACAATCCAATTGCGGGGTGGGGTGGGCTAACGTTCTCTTTTGCTAGGGTCTTGCCGTCCTCACTGTTTTGAAAGCCGGTTTCCTTGGTTCTGGTCGATTTGGATCCGGTATTGTGGTTGCTCGTCTTGGTGATGGTTCTTGGTCGGCCCCATCGGCTATCGCGACTGCAGGAGCCGGAATTGGAGGTCAGATTGGGTTTGAATTGACCGACTTTGTGTTTATTCTCAATGATGCCGCTGCCGTGCGCACATTTTCCCAGGTTGGTACGCTAACACTGGGTGGTAACGTTTCCCTCGCTGCTGGACCGATCGGCCGAAATGCCGAGGCTGCCGGAGCTGCCAGCACGAAAGGTGTCGCGGCTGTATTCTCTTACTCAAAAACCAAGGGTCTCTTCGCCGGTGTCAGTCTGGAGGGTAGTATGTTAGTGGAGCGCAAAGATGCCAACGAGAAGTTGTATCGCAGTCGCGTATCTGCTAACCAGCTTCTCACTGGTAGCGTTCGCCCTCCACCGGCGGCCGATGCCCTCATGCATGTGTTGAACTCCCGTGCATTCCAAGGAAACTCTAGAGCTTACGGTGATTCCATGTACAATGACATACCCGTATATGACGAGAGCCACGATGATGTTGTCTGGGAGGGACGAAGGGGCGAGGCATATGGCCAGGGCAGCCGACGGGAACGATCCAACACCAATGGAGACGACTATGACTACCGCGATCAGCCGCGTCGTGGGAACACTTGGACTGATGATGTGTACGATCGGCCTGCTAGAGGTCTTGGCCGTTCCGCGACAGGTCGGGAACCTCCCAGCGACTCATCCGACAGCTATGGGCGCAGCCGAAGCAACACCGCGCCATTTGAGGACGATTACGTTTATTCAGACCGCCGACCTACGCGTCCGACTGCCCCTAAGCCGGTTTTCGCACAAAAGACAAGTGCGGCTCAGTTGCGACAGGACCAGGCTATTGCCCTCTTCACCTTCGATGCAGACCAGGAGGGTGACCTTGGTTTCAAGAAGGGCGATATCATTACAATCATGAAGCGGACGGAGAAGGCAGAAGACTGGTGGACTGGTCGTATCGGTGATCGCGTGGGCATCTTCCCCAGGTAGGCACTCCTTGCTTGTCGGGACTTCAATGCTTGACATCTGCTAATCTGAATCGCAGCAACTATGTCGATGCCTCGTAAGTTTGTGACTATGCCATGCTGGTTCATGCAGCACAAACTATGAACCCCCGATGCACATTCAGTTGAGGCTTCATGGACATACAAACCTCAATGCCCTCAATATATCCAGGCGGAAGTGGATCCGCCTCCCTTTTTTTTACGCGTCAAATCGTTGCTAGTAACATTCTTCAGCGCGGAGTTTTCGTTCTCATTATTAGTTCCCCAGGGACTTGGGAAGATTTTTGCCATCTGTTGGGGTCTTTTTAGGTTTATGCAGAATATTCTCCTTTCTGGTCGCAATCTACTTCTAGAGTTCGGTACGTGCTTTCTTTGGGGTTCGGTTTGAAATCAATATTTTGCTCAATTGGGTGGCTGAACCCAGTTACATACTTGTGCCTCACAGCTTGTCCAGATCATCTAAGCTCTGGTCTATGCATACTCGGGTCACCTTTTATGCCAACTTGAACAATTGCATTGCTGGTGCAGACCTGCCAGTGTCTTGGGCAGAAGAGGTGGAGTAACACTGGGTTTCACGTTAAGACACGGGTCGTAAGGGAAGAATTTGCATGGAAAACAGATTTTGGACTGCCCGGCAGTATTTTTGTATGTTTCTTGTCTCGTGTCTCTTGTTTTTGTTCATGCTGGATTTGCCTCCTGTGGTACGTTCCAAGTATATCATTTCCATATAGTGTCAACAGAGAGTTCGGGCCTCAAACGAACGCGTATGTACCTTGGTACGAGGCCTCAGCCTCGAGCTACATATACATGGATGTAGTATCACCAGAGAAATATACGAAAGACACTCTTTTGCTCCCTCACGTCCGAGTTCGAATCCAAACCGAATGTACTACCAAAGCCAAGGACCAGAACGTGTAGATCAGAACTGATCGTCCATGGACCATTTCCCGTTTAAGTGGGGACAACGTACATGTAAGAACGCCGATTCATGAACCGCTAAACTTAACGTTAACAGTTATTTGACTGTAACTGGGTAACAGTTCAAAGTGAGCACCACTGTGAGGTTAAGGAAGTATAGATGTCAGGTGCTGCGCCCGCAAGTCAGCAACTCTTCTCCGCCCGCAAACCCCCCATAACCTTCATTCCTCTCTTTCCTTTCTCTCCTTCACACAAATGACTCGGACTTGACATCCGAATGTCTGATCTTGCGGTTCTTCTCTATTTCCCCGCTTCGATGCTCATTCGCTCCCCCGTTCATTGACTTCCTCACCCTTTGGACTTCAGGGTCTTTCGGGTTGTCTTTGGTCCCTGTACAACTGGTTCCCATGCAGGTGTGTTCTCTTCTTTCTTTCGTCCTCCTGTTTGTGTGCCTAGGGGCTTATGGTTTGGGGCGTTCCGTTCACTTTTGGGGCCCCTCAGGCACTGCTTGCTTTGGGCATGCATATCGCCCCTCCCCTCCCATTGTACAAGATTCACTGTGGGCAAATCGCGTTTCACATATTCTAACACTCCTGGTCTTCTGCTATTAGGCCACCAAAAGTGCCCATGCGGCTGGCGGAGGACACGCGACGCGGCGAGGTCATGCCCCCCATCTCTCGATTAGCGACCCGAGTCACCATGTGACAGAAGCGATCGGGCATATGTACGACGATGACTACGACCCCAACGATCCAAGACGCCTCAGCTATATATCTTCCCCGCAGGGCGAGTCAATAACAACCGTTCCGCGGGCCGCCGCAGGATCTGAGTCCTCCCCCTCCCCGTCCTCCCCCCTGCATAATTCTTTCTCGGAAGTGCAAGCAAGACCGCCAAATAGCCATACTCGACCGCCGCTTATTTCGAACCGAGCCTATGAGCGGGAAACCGACTCTGCACTCCCTGAGGGGACTCGGTCTCCTTCAGAAACCGCTACCTCTTCTTTCCCTCTGAACGATATCGACTACGAATCCAACCCTGCCGCCGTTGCCCAGGAGCTCAACAACCTCGCTGCTATTCGGCGCATGTCCATGGATGTCGCGGCTACTGGTGACCCTGATCTCCCGGACTTTTCGCTGCCTCCCTCCCCCTCAGCCGACGAAGATGACGCCTCAAGATTATTTTGGGTGCCCGCACGATTACACCCCGAGCTCGCCCCCAAGGAATTTAAGTCTTTTCTAGATAGCAAAGCTGATCACATTAAGCGTCGGTCTGGGGATTACTCTGGCCGTGGAACGGAGCGTCAAGGATCGGGGGCTGGACTTCAGCGCAAGCGTTCTATGCTATCGAGGCAAATCGACAATTCTTCGGGTTATACGGATGGCGCGGATCGATTGGAGCGTCAGCGCTCCCAATCAAATCGACGGGATGGCATGTTGAGTCCGAACTTGCAACAGCTGGAGACTTTGGTGGACGATTCGAAAGTGCCGGAAAAAGAATCGACACTCATGCGCGGTATGCAAGATTTAACCACTGAGGATAAGCCAATCTTGCCCCCAGCACCTCTGGGCAACAGTTTGCGCCGATCGACTAGGACACAGTATATTAAAGCGGGGAGTGTGAAAAAGGGCGAGAAGTTACCATATTCGAAACGAGTCGGGCGGGGAGCTTCCGAGTCTGCAGGTAGTGATGCAGATACACCCCCGGTACCCGCGAAGTCTCGCATGTCGCCTGATCCTGTACCCAATACGAACCGCACAGCTCGATCCCAGTCTGCTTCATCCCATGGCACAGCATATACATCAGGCGCAAGTCCTGCCTCAACGTTTGACCCGATAGCCGATCACCCTGAAGGCGAGCGAGAAGACTCTTACGCGGGTGATCATTCGGATGCTACCTCGGAGCGTTCTGACGGATCACGGCAATGGCATTCTCGAATTAGTTCCAACGGACGATCTACTTTGGTCACACCTCCAGGCGATCAACAAATCCCCGCGATTGTTGAAACTCCCCCTGCTCCAGAGACCAAGCGCATTCCCAGTCCTCCTTCACAACGTCCAGCGGACCGAGCTGCAACATCAACGCCACCACCGAAAACATCATTGCATGACCAGGCACCTAACAAACGCTCCAAGAACTCCCGCCAGTCTTCCGAAAGCACGTCTTCACTCAATGATTTCGCCAATAACCCCCAGATGATACCCGGCAACAGTACTCGCACTGATAGTCTTTCGTTCATCCCCACAATACCAGAAGAGCGCAAACACGAAGAGCGCAAATCCGAAGGAAAGAAATCAAAAGACAAGAAAGATTCCGATGGGACTCGCAAGTCAAGTTGGCACTGGTTGTTGGGTAGCGAAGAGAAGGACAAAGACAAGAAAAAGCACAAGGAAAGCGATTCAAAAAGCACTAAATCAAAGGCCGACAAGTCCCACGATAATACACGCCTGGATGTACTTCAATCATCGATCGACAGCACGCCGCGTACCCGTGAAAGTCTCGTATTGGACCGCTTAGATCCGAAACTGGAGGAAGAACGGCGCAAGGAAGGTGCCAGAAGAGCATCCGGGGACAAGAAAGAAAAAGATGGCATTTTTTCCTCTATATTTGGTGGCGGACGAAAGAAGCATGGCGGAGAAGGCCACCATCGCAAACATTCATCTCGAAACCTGTCTCCCGATCCGCCGATGCGGGTCATGCGCCCTGATATGGACTACCCTTGGACTCGCTTCTCTATCCTGGAAGAGCGGGCAATCTATCGCATGGCACATATCAAGCTTGCAAACCCCCGGCGAGCACTTTACTCTCAAGTATTGCTGAGCAACTTCATGTACTCTTACCTGGCCAAGGTGCAACAGATGCACCCCCAGATGGGGCATTCTTCGTCAGGATCCCAAAGGTCCTCAAAATCTAGGGATCAGCCAGATGAGTACACGCAATATCAGCGATACCAAGAGGTGAGTGCTTGAAACTTACAACTCAATATCATCTCACTAATACCCATCTCAGTCCCAGGAACAGCAACATTATGCAGAAAGTGCCTACGATGACTCTTCCATGTACGAATATGACGACGATCCGCATGATCGCTACGGCGCCCATTCGAGAGGCAGCAAGCAAAGCTATGAAAATAGTAGCGCTTATGGCCCGGGGTACCAATACGGACACTCGTCCTTTGGCGACGACGTTCAACTCGATGATGACGATGACGATGATATGTGGTGAACCAAAAACCGGCTAGGGCGTCTTCACTCGTTACTTTTTTTGATATTCGTTTTCCCACGCACTTCCGCCTTCCAAGTCTTTAGCAGCGCACGGAAATACCCATGCTTTTTGTCGGTTCGGCCTGTTCCTAGAACTTGTACACTCTCACCGGTTTCTTTCTTCCCGCATCTTTCATACATTACCTTTTATGCTTTTTCGGTCGTGGCTCCTTCACTCTTGTGTACCTCTGCCAGCCCTCTCCTTGATTTTCGTATTTTATGCTCGCTTCGGCGTATCATAGCAATGGGAAAGACTGTGCAGGGTTAGACCGGGACAAAGAGCAGGGACGTTTGCATCCTGTTTTCTTCATCCCTGGTCAGCCCTACGGTCTACGTTGGAGCTCATTTTCTCTCTTCGCATAGCGTCTGGGGTTCTCTTCCTTTTTCATTTTGGTACCATGGTGCCACCTGGCCCAACAAGGTTGGAGCCTGTTTGTATCTCTTTTCTTTTTCTTATTTTTTTTTAGCGATTTCACATTCTCATGCGAATGAACCACGGATTTGTTGCGCTGCCTTGTTTTACGCCATTCTCCCCAGGGGTTTGAGTTCATTTGTATATATAGATATTACAAGCTGCTTTGATGTGTTTTTCAACCCATTCTTCTAGCGCGTAAGAAAAATTTCATATCTATCAAACTCACCGTAGGAGATTATTCTATTTTTGGTAAGAATATACCCTGCTGATCAAGTGGGGAACCCAATAAGATAATTCCTGCTAGCACACATCTATATCTTGCCGGATTTTCAGTTTCCAACAAAAACAAACCAAGTCAATCACATCCATGAATATCCCCTACACACATAAAATACCAATCAATTCAAAACAAGTGCCTTTCTCCCAGGAGGAACCCCAAGCCAAATATGTTCAGAAACCCAATCCAAATCGCAAGGCATATCAGTAACACGATTATTCTTGAAATCCCCATGATAATCAAGCAAAGCCAATTCAACACTCAACCGTAACCGCGGATCAGGAGTTGCAGCCCAAGCAGCATACAAGCATAAAAGTACATACCCCGCCGCAATAGGTCTATAACCATGCGATTCCTCGGCATGTTTCAGCGTCTCTTCTACCAACGACGTCGATTCAAGTGCAAACGTGTGATCATCCAGGTTCAATGCTTGCATCATACAGTTGAAGAAAGTTGTTATCGTCAGTCCTAACCCGTACGTGCGTAGGTAATGCGCTCTCAGAATTGTGGTCATCAATGTTGGAGTGGATGATTTAGGGCTGGAGGCTTCGAAGGTTGTTTTTCGGAATTTGAGCTCTGAAAGAATATCTTTGCACTGTGTGTATAGTGGTTCGAGTTCGCTTTTTATTTGAGTTAGATCTTGACCGGTGTGAAGCGCAAGTTTGCCGCGTTTTATTAGGGTTGGGGCTTTGGTTAGGCAGAGCATCATTCGGCCTTCGGGGAGTTTTGCGTCGTAGTCACTCTGGACTAGGGATTCCCATTCTTCTGGGGAGAGGTCTATCTTTTCGTTGTATAGGCCTTCGAAGAGCTGGGTGATAGTATGTGCTGTTAGTATTTACTAGGAGGCTGGGCCTTGATTGTGGTCACTCACCACGCTGCCTCGCAATGAAAGGAACAGTTTGCCCTCGAATTCATCTCGTGGCCCGAAATTCTTTCTTGCGCGGAGAATATTGGCTGCGCCTCCTGCGTGGCCTGATAATAGCTGTCCTTGGTTTCCAATGAATGCCTGGCAAACTAGGAGGATCATTACGGCACAGAGAGTGTTTGAAGTGCTTGCTTGAATAGGGTCGTCTAGATAGACACCTAAGGTTTTGAGGGCTTGGGAGTACTTCCATAACGCATTGACTGAGACGATTCGGCGCGTGCAGAAGTCTCTATGAACCGTGGTCACGGCATCCACTGCGCGGTCCAGTGCTTCATTGTTGCCGAGTCTTCGGGGAACTTCCTCTAAGAATAGACCAAATGACCACCATAGATTGTATCGAAGGTCTGTGGAGCGTTTGATGGCGCCGACGAATGAATTTGTTAATGATGTAAGATGGTGGTTAGGAAACACAGGCGGGATTTCAAAAGGGGGTGTTTCTTTTTTATTAGATCTTGACTTGTTATCCAGTGTGATATTCATTTGTTCTCCATTCCAATTATGTGGAGTTGAAAAGCGATGTTCTTGCTTGAACTTATATCGTTGCAGACCAGATCCTATGCAAGGGACCTTCAGACGCAGACATCGTCCACAGGCAGGTTGCTTTTCGTCACACTTGTGATATTCTTAGCACATCGCCAGATAGAGTGGCTTTCACATGTGTAGAGTACCTTTTTCTTCTGCTTGCGGCATGCATCACAAGCCTTACCCGTTGGTACGCCCGGCATGGTGGAGACACTGGGGTAGCGGAGAGTAGATCTCAAAATGGAAAGCCTCGAGAACGGACCTGAAGCTAAAATCACCGCGAAGCCTAACTGTGAGATCAGAGAGGAGGGTCGAGGTCAAGTTGGGGCTGACAATGCCATCATCGAGCTAACCACTTCGGGTCGAATGGGCCGCTGAGAGGCTGAGTCTGGCGATTCTGATTGGTTGGGGGCCAAGTATGCATATCTCTCCTTTTTGGGGGTCTTGGCCTGTCTTTGACCAGTCGAGTGATCGAGTGAATGGAAGGCATTGGGGCTCATCGAACTCAATATAATCTATCGCTCTACGCCACACACTTGGGATTGCAGTTGGCCTGATTGAGACACATGGACCGCTTTGTTGTGTAGATCGGCAGGGCTGAGAGTGCGAGTTCGATGAACATTTAAAGGCGTCAATTTCTGTCAGTTATGGGTTAACTCATCTTTCACAAGAGTTTACTTCACCATGGTCGCCAGTACAGAACGAAAGGCTGACAGCCTCTACCTATACACCCCCAGCCATATCTTGCCCGCTGTGTTTGCAGCTCTAGTGGGCATATCGTTTCTACTACATGTTTACCAGAATAAGTCAGTTGTAGAAACATACAAGCATTATATCACATATATCTAACACCTTCAGTTGCTATCGATTCTGGCGTGTCACATTTTTCCTCTGCTGGGGTGGTGCAGTATTCACAGCTGGCTGGGTCATGCGCTGTATATCCAGTTACCACCCCGAGAACTTGAATATCTACATCGCATCGAGCATCTTCATCTACGCTGGTCCTCCAATCTACTCTGCAGCCGCATATAACATCGTGGGACGACTGATGAACTACCTCCCCATGCACGCCCTTCTAAACCCAAACCGAGTTTTGATCTTCTTCGTCTACCTCGGTGCAGCCGTAGAAGCAATGACAGCTGCAGGCGCAGCCAAGAACCTCACAGCCAAGGGCGACAAAGAAGAATTCAAAACCGGCGGAGCACTCATTGCCGCTGGCCTCGTCCTTCAAGCTGCGGTTGAATGCTGCGTCATTGGAGTCGTGGCAACAGTTCACGCCCGCTGTTCGAAATCCCGCATGCTCTCACCCAACGTTCGCATTCTATGCATAACACTCTATGGCACTTCGACTCTCGTTCTACTGCGTTGCATCTTCCGCGCCGTCGAAGCATTCGAAATGTTCGACAAGATCGGCTGCAGGGAGAACTGCGGTCCGATTCTTAGCCATGAATGGTATCTCTATGCTTTTGAGCTGGGTCCCATGCTTGTATTTACTTGGTGGATGAATGCGCTGCATCCTGGTCGCAACTTGCCTCGTCAGAAGAACCGTTACCTTAGTCCTGATGGTCGCATTGAACGGATCGGACCGGGGTGGATTGATCGACGGTCTACTTGGGAGACTTTTGCGGATCCCCTTGACCTTGGGGGTATGATCAAGGGTACGCCGTCTCATGACGAGTATTGGTTGAGGGAGGACCACTGGCCTGTTTGTAAGGATGGGAGCTTTGCTATTGGGACTGCTACCAACAAGAGAGTTGGTCTTGTTCATTCAAAGGAGCTTGCTCCTCTGAGTCCTACTGTTTAGATCGTTGCTTGGAGTGCTTCTGTGATCACAAAATTTGGTCATGTCTTGCTGTTTTGTTAGTTATATATTCGATGCTTCGCTCTTCTCTTGGTGTTTGAGCGATTGCCATTATTTGCTCTCCTTTACCGCTACAAAGATAGAATTTTCCCACATTGCATACCAATGAACTACAATGTGATTTGATTTGTCTATGACTTAGGATCTAAGAGCATTTCGGTGAAATTACGTTTGAGTTATGGCGCGCCCGAAACATGATTAGAAACCCGATAGGTTTATTGGAAGTAGAGTTGACATCTCTTTAGTAAGTGCAAGATATAGAATTTAATATGGTATCTTATAACTCAAAATATTGCTATGTCGTATAGAACTACTATTGAACAGGATGTCGTTAAATGTGCAAGGCGTAGTATGCCGTACGGCATCACGCGGCCCACACCCGCCCGGTCCGATTCCGCCTCGAAGTCTCTCTCTTTTACTCGAACACGGCACAGCATATTAGCGACAAAATGACTCCGGCAGAAGATGAAAGGCCATCAAAAAGAGCTAGACAGGCCTGTGCACCTTGCCGGTAAGCTTGATCATGCGCTCTACATCCACATTGCTGACACTGCTTCAGTCGGAAAAAGTCGCGCTGCCCCGGAGAAAAGCCTGTCTGTTCATACTGTGAAAGACTGGGTCAGAAATGCACTTATTCTGGCGATGAAGCTCGGAGCGAAGAGCCTGAGCATTCTAAAAAGATGGTGAGTTTATAACGAATTTTACTGGATTTCAGACTGAGCAGTTTGTTATACAGGATGAGCGCATCTCTGGGATTGAAAGTACCCTGGACAGATTAATGGACTATATTACGTGAGTGAGCTTCAACCTGATATATTTATCATACTAAGTAACAATGCAGGCGTCCGGTTCAAGATCGGACTCCCTCGTCTGCACTCGAGCATCACGATGAAGGAGCCCCGGAGCTATCCCCCCAAGCTATGTCAGTCGGTGCTATACTTTTATACTTCTAATGACTCTGATTTGCTTATGAAGATTCCAGATCCCGCTCTTCAGAGTTATCAGCAACAGATCTTTATCTGACATATTGCAACTCACAGCCCCTTCTGCTATTTCCTTATCGATCTTCTGTTGCCTCACTTGGACCAAGAGATCCAGAACTTATGTCCGCCATCAAGGCTCTTGGAATCCGGTTTCTTGACGGTGGAGCAACCGATTCTACAATACAGCTTGAAATAAAAAGCTTGACAGGGCGGGCTTCTCAACTGGTCATGATACGATTGGCATCTGGTAGTGTAGAACTATCAACACTCCAGACTATGTGCCTGCTGAGCATGCTTGAATTCACAGGTATGCAAATACCATGGTTTTTGACTTTCAATTCCTAACATCAGATCCCGAACCACAGCTGGCAATATCATTCGTGCAAGATTCTATACCAAAATGGCCTCATATTTCATGCAAAACCTCGAAGTCAACGGCCTAGACTCACTGAGCAATTTGGAAACTGAGCGCGATGAGCGCAAATTATGCTATATCAGCCTCATCATGCTCCGCAATCTGCAGGGATCTTTCCAACCGCTTCATCCCAGAGAGACCCCAAGTCCATTGGGTGAAAATGGTGAACCGTCTTCGTCATTGGGGTCCATGATATCCAACATGGATACCGCATGGCGTGCCAGCAGCTCCAAACCGGATATGGGAATTGTCGGCACGAACATCTACACAAGTGAGTTATGGGCGTTGGCTTGCAATTACGCAGCCAGCCCCGTTGGCATTGATGTCCATCCCCCGTGGTCGCCGCACTCCGACTACGCCATGATCCATTTCCAACACTGTGAACACGAGAGTCTCATGCCGCTCAGATTCAGACTCCATGCAAGTCCCTTCCAAGACCATCCCCCGGCTGAGCTCCAGGCTCATCGTGACTACTGGAGCCCGTGGCTGTTCTTCCAGATGGTTTGGCATGCGGTCCCTTGTCTTATTAATCATCCCTTTCTTCTTTCTATGCGCCTTCGGAGTTTTCGCAGAACTATGCCTCAGTCGTTCCTTCGCAACTCGTTCGAGCAGCTGACATTTCATTCTGGCTGGATTCTGCATTTTGTTGAGCTTATCAGTGCGAAAGAATTTGAGGTCTCCGATCCTACCATAGGCCATTGTGTCGCTATCGTTGCTACGATCTATCTCCAGCATAGCTTTGTGGAGGATCAAACTTTTAACCGAAAGGCCCAGACAGGTTTCGAAAAATGTCTCATGTTTCTCCAGAATATGGGACGTCGTTGGCCACATATAGACCGCCAGGTGAGCTTTCGTCTCTTTTCGATCTGAGTGGATTGAAATTAACATTGCCTAGGTCCAACAACTACAACAGCTCAGGGATAGTGTTTCTCCCGGAGGGCCCACGACGGGCAGTGGTGTGTCTGGGGGATCAAACCAGCGCCAAATGTGGTCCGTCAACTTACGGCTACTCTGGAAAATCTTGGTATATGCCCACGCGAGCAAGTTGTCAGACTCCAACAGCGACATCTTCGGCCCAGAACTTGCTAAGGTCAGCATTGGAAGCTCAGGCGACCATTCTTCTAGTGATATTATCGATCGAGATTTCACCCTGATTGGATCTGCGGGTATCTCAGGCCATAAGACAGTAGCTGCTGAATGTGTCACTTATCCCCCCGAGCAGACTGAGGACCTGGTACAAGCACCGGGGCAGATCGCGCCTACGATGGACCTCTCAGGGCTTCCCGGAGATCCAAATCTAGAGTTCACAACTGGAGATGGGCTCTATCTCCAGATGCAGGATTATGGCAGAGCATTTGAAGATTGGTTGAGTGTCAATCCAACATGAGGACGAGAGAACTATAAAACACGGCGAACACGGCCCGGTCCCGCCATCTCCGGACGCCAAGACCCGGCATTGTCCCGTGGATGACTATATACCGCCACATTTGTGGCCAGCGGAACCCCCGGTCCAATTTACAAATATTCAACGACACAGGCTCGACAGACTGAATTGTTGCCCAGCATGTCTACAGCCAAGAATGACTCAATCCTGATCGTGGGCGCCGGCGTCTTCGGTCTCTCAACCGCCCTGGAACTGAATAAGCGCGGATACACCGATATCACCGTGGTCGACCGATTCGTACCACCCTCAGCAGACGGCAGCAGTGTAGACATTTCGCGTATCATCCGCGCCGACTATGCCGACCCAATCTACTACAAGATGGCCCGCGAGGCATACCAGGGCTGGACTACCGAGTACAAGGATCAATACTTCGAGTCCGGATTCGCTCTGTTCTCTGAAACTCTCAAGAACAAATATATGGAGGGCTCCAAGTCTGTTATTCGGGCAGCGGGTGGTCATCTCGACGAACTTACCGATGCGTCTGATATTCGAAAGCTCTATCCTAGTGTCCAGGCCAATGTTGCTGGCATGAGCGGCTATCATAACCCGAAGGGAGGCTGGGCAAATGCAGCAGGTGCCATCCAGAAACTCGCGTCTAAATGTACGGTTGCTGGTATTTCGATCATCGCTGGACCCAGGGGTACAGTTACCTCTTTGCGCAAGGCCGGCTCACGCGTTGTCGGTGTCAACCTTGTCGGAGGACAAGTTCTGCTTGCTTCCCAAGTTATTCTGAGCACTGGCGCATGGACGAACCGCCTACTGAACATTGGACACGCCGCGTCCTCTTCTGGTCAACCTGTTGGATTCATCCAGCTGACCGAGGAGGAAGCTCTAGAATACAAGAAAATCCCGGTCATGATCAACATGAGCTCCGGCGTGTTTTCTTTCCCTCCTACACCGGATACTAATGTATTGAAACTCGCTCGTCACGGATACGGCTATGCTACTGAGATAAATGTTGATGTTGATGGTGAGAAGAAATCGCTTTCTTCGCCCAAGTTTGAGAGCAGCAATGCTGCAACTGGTTACCTGCCCGATGATGCCGATGAGTCTCTGCGTCAAGGTCTTCGTCAGTTCTTCCCTAAGTTGGGCGATCGCCCTTGGATGAACCGTCGGTTGTGCTGGTATACCGATACTCCCAAGGGGGACTTCATTATCGATCACCACCCTACCATGCAGGGTCTGTTTTTGGCCACTGGTGGTGCTGGACAGTAAGTTTTGTATATCCCACATTGTCGATCCCACGCTTATCCTCATTTCTTGCGCAGTGGTTTCAAGTTCCTCCCTATCCTGGGTCAATATATTGCAGACTGTTTTGAGGGTAAGGCTCCTCAGAACCTGCGTGAGAAATGGAGACTTAACCTGCCCAAGGGTGATGCTAATGGTCCCATGGCGGGTGATGGCAGCCGAGGTGGCCCCCCTTTGAGAAGACTGAGCCCACTTGAACAGGCTAAGCTGTAAATGAACTTTGACTTAGCGCCATTTCAAGATGAACTATGATACATGCATTACTATGAAAGCAAATTATATTGTCCTCGACCTTTGAAACCACTGAGAAATGTAGTTTTGCTTACCCACTGCTTGTGTATGCATGTGTTCAGGTATTTCCTGTTCCTTGTTCTTGGCGTGAATTAAGCGGAGAAAAGAGGTATATAACATTGGAAATTTACTAGGATTGGGGTTATTTAGGTGACCCACACTGTCATGGCTTGGAACGCCCTAATGCGAAGTATGCTGATGTCGATGGAGGATATCATCAGCCTATACGACACCAGAGAATCAGAACAACGAAAGAAATTGATCAGATAGCGTAGAGCTATTAAGAGAAATAGAAGCAGGATGCCTAGAGATAGAAATAAAAGATCGGGCAAACTTTGAAGTCAATTTTATCACATGACAATCCATGATGTTATCCCTTATAGTTCCAGGGGTGTCTTCACTCTTTCATCCCCTAAGCTGAACAGCCATCGGTATTAGGCTATCCTAATTTGAAAAATGAAAGTCCTCGCCGCGGCTACATTCGATACATTGTGTGGGAAAAGGTCCTAGGGGAGCCTCTAACGAAGGAATTCTTCTGGGGCTTGGATATCACCGCGCGCAAAGGTATCCGTGCTAAGTTCCGCAACGCCTATGAGTAAGTTTACAGTATAAAAATCTCAACCAAGTAGATGGGATGTTAACACAGTCAAAAGACAGTTACTTAGATGCGGGATAGAACCAGGCTAATCCAGGATCTCGAAAATCATCTTTGATCAGCCTACAGGCAACCTGTACGTCTGGGATGCCCTATAAATACGTTGAAAATATCGCTAACAAGATTTAGTCATATCTCGGGGTTCCGAATGGGATGGCCAATTCTCGATAAACTTGAATGGTCAGAGACTCGTTACGTCGAGTTTGAACTGGCGGAGCTGAGTGAAGAAAGAGACTGGTATCTCCACCCAGAAAATTGGCTGTGGTAAATGCTTGTGATTGCTCTGAATACAGTCGGAAGAGGGAAATCAGACAATATTACAGTCACATACAGTTCGAAGGTGTCAACATCGCGATAGTCGCTAAACACAGGTCGTTCTAGTTTTTGGGGCCAGGAGTGATTCTCGAAATAAAACCCTGATCCAAGTCCGATATTTGGACTCTCATTACAAAACCATACACTCTATGTCACGAAAAACAATTGGAAGTGTAAGAACATATGGTGTATACTTCAAGGCACAGAATAAAGTTAAGATCGCCAGTCACGTGTCGAAATTGACGTCGGCTCCGAAACCCCAGGCTTGGGCCACCTCTCCAACGTCTTGTCTGCTCACGCTTTGTGATTTTTGCTTTCAGGTCACCATCGCTAATACTTGGAAATCTTCAAAATGAGTGACGCCTATGAACGAGAGCAGTACGTCTCATCATTCGCCTTGTCTTGAATACGCCCCTGGTCCGACCTTGGGAGGCTCTCACTGTATTATTCGAGTTCGTTACTGACAATTCGAACCAGGCAGAACAATGCGCTCCTGAATTCTCTTTCCTCCAAAGTTTCCGCACTCCGTGATGTGACGATCAACATCCATGACAATGCTCGGGATCAGGATACACTCGACCATACGGTATGTCTCAATTCTCTACACCGCACTCCTCAGCCACAGCAGTGCTTGTCGAGAAGCTGGGGGCTACAGTCACAGTGACAGTGGCCATAGCAGGCTATTTAGATTCATGACTAACGAAGCTGCTTCCCTCAGAGTGATGTGTTCTCTTCTTTCTCGACGAACCTGAAAGGCAGCGCTACCCGTCTCACACGCATGGCGAAGCAAGGCGACACCGTTGCTGTTCTCAAGATCGCCGGAATGTGCATTGCGGCCGGTGTCGTTCTCTACATTATTCTCGGATGGATATTCTAAACGGTTCTTTGATCTTCATTCGATACGCGTCGAACCCTTTTCGTCCTGAACCTGATCGGTCTTCGATACTCTTGCTGGAACAAGACTCGGCTCGATCCTTTTAGCATGTCGCGATACCCTCCATATTGCGCTGCCTTTATCAGTTGGTGCGCTGTTTTTATTCTGCCCAGCCATCATTCCATATGACCCGTTGGACATCGAGTGTCTGTTTTTCAAATTCCATTCGTCATCCACATATCCTTCATCCACACTGGAGCATTAGCTCATATGGAGCCGACGCTTCAACTATGTGACTCCACATACCTCCGCCATTCTCGATCACCTCTCGACCTTTGAATTCATGTTTTCATGACTTTGCAAATCAACCCAGCAGGGCTTTAATACTTCTGTTTACAGCATATGGCTCTTGCATTGCGATTCGAGACACTCGTTACTTCCTTCATTCTGTGTCATTAATAATGTGAATACTATTGAACATAATACTTGGCTCAGGCCTTTCTACAACTTGAAGTTGATTTATTCAGAAAAGTAGTGAGACCAAAAATGGGATGCTACAAAGTGTTTGGTATTATAGTGTGATGGTTTGCTACCTGCTATCCAACCCCCAAAGGCCAACGCCCATGAATGCCGGGACTGCAAGTCCGGCGCCTTTTAAGATCATACAAATAAAGGTGAGTTCAAGACTGTACTTCGAGCCGAGAACAGCCTCGAAGTCGAATCTCCAAGCGTTCCAACCCCACGCCGCATTTAAATGGACGTCGACTATATTCAACTAACATCATGGACAGAAGATGATTGTTCTCTTTCTTTCATTGCATATTTCAGATGTCCACCGTGTTCAAAAACCCCTGTCTGCCCTTGAAGCCCCCGTTTTCGGCTAAAATACTTAGGAATGTGAACCCAGCCTCGGCGAAACCGATCTCGTCAAAAATCACCACATATCCAATTCACTGGATGCAGAAACCACAAACCAGAGTATTAGCAGACAAATCTTTCCAATGAATCAACTAAGAACTCCCCTCACTTACTCTCTCTCCCACCCATCCCATCTAAACAACAGATGAAACCCACCACCCCTTCCATATACCACCACCACGACGAACAAACACCCAAATCAACAACAATGTACAGCAAAAACAGATTCACCCGCTGCCCAGACCCAACCTGCCGGAAACCCCCAACAATCGCGAACCCAAGAATCTACCAAACCATAATCGCAGGCATGGCTCTAGTCCTGGGGATATGGTTCCTAGTCATCGAACTACACGAGAATGAAGAGCGCTGGCGCAAGACCGCAGGCGTAGCCATCTTCCACGGAAATCTACCGCCTGTACCGCAATACTCGCCTGCAACTGTACCATCGCTTTTGAAAGAGCCGACACCCATTGATATTGGATTGACTATGCCGACGCGTCAGGCTGGGGTGATTGGACATCGATTCACGGCTTGAAATTCGGATTGATTGGAGATGGACGTGTTACCTCTTCTTTCTCTTTCTCTTTCTCTTTCTCGCATGCGCGTGTCGTGGTCTATTTATGTTATGGAGCACGGAGCTGCTGGTATGCGGATTCGGGACCAATCTCCATATCAGTATCGGAACGGATATCTGTGTTGCGGCCTCGGGGTTGCAATCTGGTTTTGGTCATATTACGGGACAGATGATGTGTTCCGGTTAAACGCAATGCTCATCGCCTCCGGGAATGTTGGGCTGTCCCATTGCTCACATGCTGAGGCGTCGTGATGGCCGGGAGACTCAAGGTCTGGCCCAAGATACATGGAATCGAGTATACTATTTGCTGCGATCTTTGTTGACTTGTCTCTGGTGGAATCATGGCTGGTTGGCTGCTACTGTTCCATACTATGTCGAACTGGAAACAGAAAAACTGGGATTAAATTCATGTTTTGGCAGTCTTGGTGCACCGCGAGGTGTAAAAGAATATTGCCTTGGTGAGCACTACACTGTGCCGGCTGGCTTCTGACATTTTCAGGCTTGCATGTCTGGCAAGAACTGGACAGGAATGAATGATATGATTTCATCCAACAAATGTAAATAAGAACCATCAATCATGAGCATTGAAAACGTGACCCTTTTGACCTCTGACCCTCCCCAAACCCCGGCATATCCAAACCAACCAAGCCCGAGTATAAAATCACCCGAATACGCAAAAAGTCTTTTCCCCCTTGGCGTCGATCGCATCTGTTAGCTCCCGTTGCAACCTCGCCCCTGGCGATCGGAAGAAATCAACTTCGGCACTAAACCGGCAAAATTTAAATCTCGAAGCGCTTTGACACGGGATTTTTTTCCATGAATCCTGTCGGTCTTTTTTTTCTTTTCTTTCAGGGGTAGCCCGTGCTGTATCATGGACTGGCAATTGGCGAGATTGTTCGACGATTTGAAAAAAAATAAAAAATAAAAATAATGATGGAGACTGATAAGAGGGTACTACTGTATAGAGTGGAATGACTGGCGCATCACTGGATCTGGATCATATTCTGCATGCTTTGTGTGTTCTTTGATGTGGGATTGCGTCAATGATAGCTGATCTGGCTCTCCAATCATGACTGCGGATACTCGTCATCTGGACGTGGAAGTGTTTATTTGGGTTCTGCTTCATCACTTGGACCTTTGACGATGATGCAATGCCCAGATCACACCGGATGCTGGATAGGGCGGCCATGATGTTCACAGTGGAGATCATCTGTGCAAAAACTGGTCGATCCGGAGTGGGTCAGGCCGAGCATGATTTTCATGGCGAATGGGTTCAAAATCGAGAAGTTCTAGATTTTCAGGGTCTTTCTTGGACAGGACTCCCCAGCAGGAAGTGTCCAGATGTGCAGAACCAGACCATGTAGATCCATGACAAGCCTAGACCGTCAGCACCTTGTCCAAGCATCATCTGAGGCATACAGTAACAACGGCCCATGATTTCCATTATTGTGATATTCCAATCTAGTTCCGAGCCTGTTCTGGCCCAACTAAAACAAGCCTAAGCTCAGACGAGGTACGCGTCACAATAGAAAAGACCAACCCAGTTCCAAAAGAACCCAAATCGCCAAAATATCACACCGGGCACAGACACTCGGGAGGCCTTCGGGCAACAAACCGGTCGGGATTCCGATCGGGCGCGGAAATACCCGAGTCTGAGGGTTCCCGAATAGGCCCGGACAGGGTTTCAAGTTTCACGAGGTGAGATTGCAGAGGCGTGGATAAAGAAAGAGAAGCCGTCGCACGCACAGCAGCACATACAGCCGCACACACAGCACGCACAGGAACACAAAGACATCAATCGTGCATCTAGACTGCTGCACCAGCCTATGAGCGGTCTATCATGAAACATGTTCGCAGGTCGAAGCGCCACATCAGCCCCGTAGCCAGTGGCCCCAAGACAGCTTATCTGTGTGATTCAGGATGGAATTTCGCCATTGACAGCGGAGTGGAACCTGGCCCGCTCTAACCGCATCGACTAGAGTCGGTTAGATCACGGATATTTCCGATACTGTACAATTCTTTTTACCGCTGATTGCAGTTGCATAGGCTTGGATCAGCGGGTTGTCCCCTCTCCTGAGGATATTCAGGCACATTGCCTACAGAGATCATCGTGGTGGTTGTGGTGGGTGCCTTGCAGTGTCGGAGTGTCCGAGTCCCAATCTGTAGGGCAACCCACTGTATACTGTAGGCGGAGTGGGTAAGCCCGAAACGCCTTCTGACTGTGGTGGCGCCATGATGGAGAATTGAACCCTACGTGCATGGTGTGCATCTGACTCGCTGGTAGCCCTGGTGTGTACAATATGTATTCGGCAAGAGAAGTTAATCACAAGTGTGTGTACGTGTGTTGTGCATGATCGTCCAGGGGATCATCCCGAGGCATGGCGTGATGGGTAAACGATAGCCCCTGGAGAGGGAATGTAACAGTAGATGGCACAATGGAAGAGAATATGGACTGATCAATACAGGGTTAGCTTCGACTCGTGAATATGGAGAACATGTGAACTCGACGCCGTGCTCTACTTAATAGGAATTTGGGTATTGAGAGCGCTGACTAAAAGTGTCAATTACGCTCGTTCGGTGGTATTTGCGTATGGATGGTGACGGATAAATTATCTGTCTCATCTCACTTTTGCTCATCTCAGCTTTAACTCTCTCTTTCATCTCGCTCACATCGCACATTGCATATCTCACATCCTCCAGGGCTTCTCTCTCTCTCTAGCTTAGTCACTTGCCACCACACTTCGCCGGAAACGGCACCTCCACCAAGGTGGGACCCGTTAGTCGGACCGGGTTTGCGAATCTGGCTATGGTCCGGAAGATCAACGATAGCGAAAAATTCGGAAAATACCTCTGTGTCATACCTCGACGCTGCTTTCTTCTATCTTCTCATTCTCCCCTCATAAACCCACTGTGATCTGCCATTTGCTGTGGCACATCCCAAAATGGCCCTCAGCTTCTTCAGCAGTGGTGGAAGTGCCAGCAGCGCTAAGTATTTCGACATTAGGTGAGTGGGGACGCTGTGTGTTGCGCATGAACGGGCTGACTGGTTGCAGATTGAACGACGACTACATCGTCTTCCGGGGTGGTGAACATGAAGCCGCCAGCGCCCATCTTCGGGGTACGCTGATTCTGTGCTTGTCAGAGCCCCTCACCATCAAGCATTTGCGACTGGAGTTGACGGGCATGTCCCGAGTTTGGTATGTGCTGCAGGTCTGATCTTGGCAGGGCCATGGCTAACCCCTCCACAGCTGGCACCTGCCATCCACCTCCACCGCCGGAGGCCGCAAATCGTGGCGGGAACGTGTGTTCTACGACAAGACATGGAGATTCCGTGATCCTGGAAAGAGCAAGACTGAGGTCTTACCGGCCGGCAACTATGAGTATCCATTCGATGTGGTGCTGGAGGGGTCGATGCCGGAGAGTGTGGAGGGTCTCTCCGAGACCTGGGTGATGTACCGCTTCAAGGCGGAGATTGGTCGCAAGTATGCCAAAGATATTGTGTGTCGGAAACCGCTTCGCATCATTCGCACTCTTGATCCCAGTGCTCTCGAGTTGTCGCATGCAATGGTATGTGGGGTTCTCCTGCATGATGATGATTTTTTACTGACACCCCGCAGTCCGTGGACAACATCTGGCCGAACAAGATCGAATACTCTATTAGCACTCCGACCAAGGCGATTGTTTTCGGAACCTCTATTCACGTCGATTTCAAATTGATCCCACTACTCAAGGGCCTGCGCATCGGACAAATTACGTCACAGTTAATCGAAAGCCACGACCTCACCCTGAACCCCGAAGACCCTGATTCCATTCGCAATACCTACAAGGTGACTCGGACAATCTTGACTGACGAGCACGAGTTGGACGAGGACAACATCGAGATCATCGATGAGGCAGCCGAGGGGTATCATTGTCAGCGTGTGCTGGACATGCCGCAGACCTTGACCCGCTGCCTGCAGGACACAGACACGAAGGGAATCAAGGTTCGCCACAAGTTGAAATTCCGCATCCAGTTGCACAACCCAGATGGACACATCAGTGAAGTAAGTAGTATTGGATCCGACCGCGGCGACCAGGCTGACTTTGAATGCAGTTGCGAGCTACACTTCCCGTCTCGATCTTCATTTCTCCTCATATCGCCATTGATGAGAACAACAACCTCGTAGGGCAAACACCTCAATCCACTCGCGTTGCAGTGGACGACTTGGCGCACCAGGCACCTCCCCTGTACGGCGAGCACACCTTCGATCAGCTTTACAGTGAACTCGATCCCAACGGTTACCGCACGCCAGGCCCTGGTAGTGGCCCCGGTACTCCTGGCGGCCCTCTCAGTCGTAACATGTCTGCTGAGAACCTTGCCTCGATGAATGCCCTCACCAACACCGATATCTCGGCCTCGGCGCTGCACCACCGCCTGACAAACCTGAACGCGAGCCCGTTCCACAGTCGCACCCCAGCTGAGACCCCGCATGAGGCCCAGTCCCCTACCGAGTATACCATCCATCGCCAATTGGGCGTTCCCAACGACTACTTCGGGCCTTCTTCTGGCTCCAACTCACACAGCCATGGTAGCAGTCCTGAGTTCTCCCGCCGGCCTTCAGACGAAGTCGAGCCCGATACTTTGCCCTCGGGCATGGCTACTCCCTTCCACCCACAGTACGCCGAGGTAGAAACCCTCAGCCGAGTTCCTAGTTACTCGACTGCAGTTCGTTGCACTGTGCGCCCGCGTGATTCTGGTCTTCCAGATTATAACGCCGTGGTAGCCAGTAGCTTGCCGACACTCTCCGTTCCCCAGTCTCCCCAGCAGGCCTACATCCGCAGTGGCCGTGCAAGCGGAGTCACCACTCCTTTAGAGGTGCAGAACCGCCCCGGATATTTCAACTCTCACGGCGCCAATGCTGATGATGAGGATCGCAGACTTAGACTAGTTCAGGCTCGCGCCAGAGCATGATTTACGGCCCCGACGATTTCCCAGCCCATTCATGATCTCTCCCTTTACTCCGACACACAAGTTCCTCTCCGGCCCAGTGCTGGACACGGCCGATCTTTTCCCTCTCTCTCTTCCCCTTCCGATTGATCATGGACTGGTCTGGCATGACCCCTAGCCTTCGATAAAACTGGAACTCAAGCATTCCTTTTTCGGCGTTCCCTCCTGTTTCTCTTCTGGCGTTCGGTCATAGACAGGAATATTTTAGATGGGCGTTTCTTGCTTTTCTGATTCGGAATATGACGCGCATCAGCACGACTTACGCATGTACTTAATTCTTTGTCGGATTATGACTCTCCAATCCAACGATGACATCATATCTTGATCGGGTAATCAGCTGTAGATCCTTATGTCAGCCAATCTCAAAATGCGAAATCCGAAATCGGAAATCGAATTCGCGGGGGCTTCCGGTCTCAATGGCATTGTTTCGCGTGCGGAATTGCTACAGTGACACATGGCTGGAATACTGACTGTTGATGCCTGTTCCGAACTAGGTGGGCTTAGATATGTCAAGTTGTCCAGTTGTCCAGTTAGGTTGGGTTAGAGTTGTCATCTTCTATAGTTACCACATCCCTGGGATTTCTAGAGTCAGATTCATACTCCGATCCATTCCTATGGTACAGGCCATGGATCGAAAAAGCCTCCCACATCATGGCTCCGATCTTCAAATTGGGCCACAAACTAAGAGGGTTGCAAGGGGTGTGGCTCAACGAGGGGCAGGTGACCTCATTGGCGTTTTGGGCCACTTAAGAACTCCTGATCTGCCAACCTCCCACCTTGGACTGTGTCCTCACAGAGTCAGTATACAACTGCGCCACTGCACAGTGGACTTGTACAGTTAAATTGTGTGTACGCGTCTCCATTTATGGAGCCCTCTGCTCTCAGCTAACTCCCAACTAGTCCACTAGCGCTGCTTCCGGCCTTGCTCTTCCACTTGAATTATTTCCGCCACACCCTCTAGTCCCCCCTCTCCAACCCCGGTTCTGGGATAAGATAGCGACTTTGCTGGGATATTGAAAGCTCCACGCCGACTGGTCTTACCCTGTTACCCGATACTATACTCGATCTGCTGCTGCCATGTCTACCCCCGCGAGCCCCGCAGATGTTAAGCTGCCTCAGCGGTCTGGCACCGTGAGCAGTGGCTTCACTCGGCGCACCTCGATGAGCGATGATGAGGCTATTCCCCAGACGGATAGCAGTGAGGTTTGTGCTATGCTTCAATTGTTGTGATGGTGTGGACTGACTGCTAAATGGTGTTAGACTACCACTCTCCTGCTTGAGCGTCTCCGCGCTTGGAAGCACATGTGCGGATATCTCGAGGATTACTTTGTTGTGACCGCCAAGGTGCAAAAGTCTCAGTCCAAGGATTATGAGAAGATCTTGAAGGTGAGTGTTTCCAGAATGGCGTGGGGTGTTCGCAACTGACAAACAATGGTAATAGACCGTCAACGAACCCCTCAAGGAAGGCCACCACTTCAGCTCCAGCGCTGGTGGTGTGACTGGATTGTTCGAGAACCTCCGAAACAACACCCAGGGTATGGTGAACATGTACCTGGAAGGCGAAAACAATCTCAAGAAAGGCGTCCTCCCCACCCTTGAGCGTCTTCACAAAGAAATCAAGAACAAGACTAAGGAGCTCAGCTCCGGAGCCTCAAAGGGTGCCAAGGCAGTCGAGAAAGCTCGCGGCCTAACTCAGAAGCACATTGAGCTTCTAGGCCAGAACTCGGCCTCGTTCGACGCATACGCCTCGAACAAGATCGAGCAACCGCACGACCCGTACCTCTTGAAGCGCGGCATCAACCACCGCCTTAACAACCAAGTCAACGAGGAGAATACCCACCGCCAGGACATTCTCGCCGTGCAAAACTCTTTCCAACAATTCGAGGCCCATGTCCTCCAAACCGTCCAAGGAACCTTGGAACAATTCCACCAACAAATGAGCGGCCAAACCGAACGCCAGCGCGCAATGTACGCCGACATCCTCAGCACAGCCCAGCTCATTCCCCCCGACTTCGAATGGGTCAATTTCTGCGTGCGCAACGACGCAACCCTCGTCAACCCTGACTCCCCACCCCGCTCCTTCTCAAGCATCACCTTCCCGAACATGGGCCACCGCTCCACCCAACCCCTTATCGAGGGCTCGCTGGAGCGCCGCTCACGTGCCGTTATCAAGGGCTACAGCACTGGCTACTACGTCGTCACTCCAGCTCGCTACCTGCACGAGTTCAAAGACAACGACGACTTCCGTCGCGACCCCACCCCAGAACTCTCCCTCTACCTGCCGGACTGTATCGTCGGCGCCATCGACGGCGTCAAATTCAACGTCAAGGGCAAGGATGTTTCCTCCGGCAAAATCGGTAACGCCTTCCACGCAAACACCGAACTCAGCTTCAAGGCCCATACCGCCAATCACGCCGAGCAGTGGTGGTCCATCATCAAGGACGCAACTCGCAGTGCAGCTGCCGCCGCCCCAGCCGCCGCAGCTGCCGCCGTTTCCCCGACAGCTACATCTCCAGGCGCAGCTGGCTCCGCCAGTCCTTCGCGCAGCGTCTCGGGCCAGAGCCAGCTGCCCCCTACCTACGCTGAGAAACAGCAGGAAGCGCAGGCTGGCCAGACTTCCGGTGTGGCGTCTACTTCGCCGGTGGCTACTTCCCCTGCTGCGGCCTCGCCCGTCGAGGCTAAGGATATGGCTCCTACCCCTGGTATCAATCGTACTACGAGTACTGCTAGCCACTTCCACGGTTCACCGGGTGGCTCGGCTGTGCAGGAGAAGTCTTAAAGGTGCGTACCTGGAAACACTACCATTACCATTCCTGTCACTGTTGCCGTCTTTTTCTCCGGTGGTAATTTGACTATTGGATTTTTGTTTCTTGTTGAAATGCTTTGTTCATACATACTTGTATTACGCTTGCCTTTGTGCTTTCTTCTTGAGCTAGCCTGGAGAGATGAAATTGAGCGAAGGTGTGTGTACAGCGTTGCGGGGATCGATTGCTCGTTCCTGATATACCATACTTAATGAATTTTCTTTCTTTTCATTGAATGCATGTGGTTTTGACAGAGTAAAGCTTTAGATATATATGATATTGTTAAATCTGACCAGAGTAGTGACCACCGCTGGTTTTACGGAATTATGGATGGGTCTTATAATGGATTGTTATCCAATCAAGCGATTCCCTTACGGACTTAACTTGGTTCTTGAGAAACACATGAGCGGTCGTAAACGACACTTGAGAACGGAGAAATATAACAGGATTCAAATAAACACATATGCAAGAAATCTCAAACGCTAAACCGATCAGCCTCGTCAGATCAACTATCAAAATCAAAGAACAGGATAACCACAAATCCTCCAAAAGGACAACAAGCTATGAGTACTATACTTGGCTGAAGCCACCCAGGCAGCAAGAAAGACTCAGAAATCCTCAGGACTCTCCAAATCATCCAACTTCTGTCCCAGGAACCTCGCCAACGCAGCACACTTCGACTCAAGCGCCAACAAGACAGCCGGCGAAGCCGACAAATTCAAACTGGACAATCGCTCCAGATCAACACTTCGGTCGATTTCATGTTGGTCTAGATGTCCGTTTTGCGCGTCTGGGTTTGCATTCGACAAAGTCGGAGTCCGCTGACCATCCTGTGATCCATCCGGTGAGGTTGTCGCATTTCCATTCCCATTCCCATTCGCCAGATCAACGTTCGGGCCATGCTCAGAGGTATCTGTGTTCGCTGTGGCTGGTGTCTCGGTGGAACCAGATCCCGGTTTGGACGGGCCCACCGCGGCGATGAGCACTTTATCGGCGATGCGCGTTACCACCGCCACGGAGTCATCTAGCTCGAAGACGATGGAGCCTACATCGCCTAGGGACATTGATTTTGCCGTAATGTAAGAGGATGGGTGACTGGCTGGATTCACGCCTGTTAGATTGCCTGTTGAGGCTGTTTTCGCGTAGCATGTGTAGGCGGCGCCGTAGGTTGCGCTGAGGTTTCGGAGTTGGCGGGAGGAGAGGGTTGAGCCGTGGGCGAAGACTGCACCGTTGGTTGCGAAGACGCTGGGTGTTTGTTAGCTTGTTTCTTGGGGTTGGGGTGAAGGTGAGGGGTGAGGGGTGAGGAGAAGGGAGCTCATGCATGATTGTTGTTATCTCTGGCGGGGAGAGATTATCTTCTAGGAGATCGCTTAATGCGTCTGAGTCGATCATCTTGATATCTGGGAGTCCGGGGATCATGGTGTCGGTGTCCGTGTCGGTGTCAGGATCAGTGTCAGTGTCGATCTCGGTAGTGGTGTCGTCGGGGTTCGTGTCCTGGTCCGCCGATGTGTAATCCTCCACCTGGATGTCGTCTGTATTCTCCACTGAAACGAAATGCGCTTCAACCCAATTCTTAGTTGGCGTGTAGGAACAGTCTTCTGGAAAGAAGAAGCAGTTATCGCTGTAGTCCTCGTCGTCGTGGTCGTACTCGATCGGCTCGTCAGAGTAGTCCAGTAGGTTCTGCGCGCACTGCGACTCGTATCGGGCCCAGTATGGAAGGAACGGCGGCTCGAAGGGGTCTTTCGCGGTGGCTGCAGTCGAGAAATCGGATATCGAGAAATGGTCTGGGACTGGAGGGGGTTCGCATTCAGCCATCTTCACACCCATGGATATTGACTACGCGAGGGAAATCGCGATAGGCTAGTGTTTTATGCTCTCCGCAATACAGGTGTATTCAATCGGGAAGTAATAGAATAGAGGGAAATGTTCTCATAGCGGGCACGGGGGAGGGGAATATGGAGGTCGGGAATATTGGCTCAATGGGGCCCTTGGTCCATATGGAAAGTCACGATGATTGCAATCGCGTCCGGTGGCACAGCGGCCAGAAACCAGGAAATCGGAGACTTATAAGGGTACGGCCACGGGGGTCATGCGATGTGGTAGCCTGGAGGCTCCGCAGTCGCAGAGCGTGTAGGTGGACTGACATTTGATTGGGAGGTAGAGAGGGGAATGGCGTCTCCTGAGGGCCAAGCGCGGCAGTATAAGAAAGTCGAAAAAGAAAAAGAGGTCAAGGGCCTGGCAAAAGCATGCGACACGAAGTCGGAGAGACCAATCGCGTTCAGGGGATCAACCGGGAGCGGGGGCAGAGGCTGTGGGGAGTATGCAAGATGAAGCAATGAAATCATTCGACGAACCTGGAGAGAAATTGGATGTGAATGGAGAAGAGGCAGGTGTGACGACGAAGATGAAGATGAAGATGAAGATAGAGGATGATCTGCGGAGTCGGGCCGCTAAAGTGACGTTCGCCCGGGGTCGACTGGGTATTTATACTGGGATCGTCGAGCAAGTCGGAGCAGTCAATTTCTATGGACGTGTCATGTGATTAACTATAACTTATAGGATGAGACTTGGAGTATACACTATATGCTATTATCCAATGATCAACCCATGTCTCCCCTTTCCAGGAGTCAGTCGATAATCCCATTTCACCCCTTTAAATTCTTCCCTTTCACTCATAGTCGCAGAGGTCTGTCCCATAGGAGGACTCAATGATGCAGCAACCGCATTGACATTGATCGGCGGTTCAACCCACTCCCCTCCAACAGGGCAGATGTCAAACTGAAGGATCAACATGGTCATCAAAGCAATGATTTCCCCAGTGGCGAAATGCCGACCAGCACAGATATGAGGAGAGGTGCCAAAAGACATAAAGCCTGAAGCTTTGGTCCTCCTTCCTTCTGGGTCTATAAATCTCTGAGGATCAAACGAGTCCGGGTCATTTCCCCATGCCGATACACTGCGGTTGATCACTGCAGATGGCATAACAAGGATGGAGCCCGCTTTGACGAGACAAGATTCGCTTAACATCGTATCTTCAAATATCACACGCAGCTGGGCAGAGTTGGAGCGAATTCGAAGGGTTTCCTGCAGGCATGCAAGTAACAATGGACATTTCTCTTGAACAGTTGCTAAATCGACTGTATGGAGCCCCTCCGAGTTGACAGATAACGCGTACTGGCGTATCTCATCTCGAGTCTGTTTTAGCAGCTCTGGGCGGGAGAACAGGTCGAAGATTGCCCAGTAGCAGGTTGGGACTGTGTTGGAGAGAATTCCAAGACCCATGATTGCTTCCAGTCGAGCTATATCTTCTAGTTTTGCTCCACCATCAAGCTGTGTTTCCCAGCGTGTGTATGCCAGCCGTGATGAGTTCAGATGGCCATCAGCTTTGTAGTATTCCAGGAAGGCATTTGACAATTGTTCGCGACCTTTCCATGCCTTCCGTGCAATCAACCATGGTGCAAACCCCATCATGAGATAGCTTAAGTTGTTTTCGATTTCCCTACAGCCTCGATCAGATCTGACGATACAGGATATCCTTTGGGGAGGGTTGGACGGCGTACTTACCAATAAGAATCACGGTTCTTCTTTTCTTTGTAGGGGTTAAGCGGTCCATAGATGGCATCTGTACTGGCAATTGTCATTGCGAGAGTGCACCACTCATAAAGATCAATCTTGCCACGATGGGCCCTCAGCTCCTTGACACTCTGTTGAACACACTCCATCATCTTGGTGTTCAACTCATCCAATCCCTCGCCTAGGAGGGTAGGACGCATAGTAGTGACTGTGTGATGCCCAAGTCCTTGACCCTGGGATTCCTTCCCGCGAAGCAGCTCAAGACCATGTCCTGTGATGCCCCCAGCGCATTCTGCTGTGCGGGTGAATAGAGGCTCGAAGGACATCGAGCGGTGATTCCGTCTCACGGCTGAGACCAACTCGGGGGACTTGATCACATACACCTTGTTGAAGAGCATATCTAGGCTGAAGGCTGACAAGGGGGTTTTTGCACTGGATTTTTTAGTTTCATTCAAAATGAAAATGTTCAAATCATAACAATTACCTTTGCGACGCAAAATATTCAAGTCCATAGTAAATGAAAGCGGCCAGATGGCCGATTACAGGGATTGAACTAGAAATCAGGGGTGGTTCGAGAGGTTGATGTTTGCCAGCTCGGTTGACCATCACGTATCCCAGTAAAAGGGCCACGCCCACTGAGAGTATTGAAGTGACATCCAACATATTTTCAAACAGTGCAGTGAGGCATGCAATATGCAATATTTTGCCCAGGTGTCAATCTAGATCTGTGGGCGGTGACAGCCATGAGATGAGAACCCCACAACGTGGAATCAGACTTTTCTGATTGGCTGCTGTGTTGAGGCCTGGGGTCTGGGGCATCCAGGGCTCTGGGATTCCATATCACAGATCTGGCGTTTGGAGCTTGAGAAAAGCTTCAAATGAGAAAACCGGTCAGCTAAACCCATATCCCAGTGGAATTTACCCTTGCCATTGGGGTATGGGCCCAAGCCACGCAGATTGGCTGACGGCCAGTACTCCCCGGCATGTCATAAGCTCCGGAGATGACATTGGCAATAGCATAAAATGACTGTGATTACTACTTCCAAGCTTGTCTATACTGACAGACTCGGCGCATCGTAAAGGCTTCAATCATCGGCGCAAAAAGCGAGAAAAGAAGATATAGCGTCATGTGCCCCACACTCCCCCTCACGGCTGACAAAAGCTCTTCCCCTCCAGCTTGAGAGTCAATGTTTTCACGAATTTCTTCCAGGGTCCTCCAACCAAGTGCGTACATTGGAATCCAGCCCTGAAGACCAGCCAATCGCTGACAAGTCTGCAGACATACGATCATTGGCAACTATGGCTACCAATACCTCCACCTATAAGCTTAACCGTTCGTCCAACACCAGCTCTCACAAAGCTTCTCGCCTAATATAATGAATATACAGACACGATGATGCGGGTCAAGGACCCGCAGCGATCAGTGGAGTTCTACAAGTTCCTCGGCCTGAGCCTAGTGAACAAAATCGACATGCCGGAATGGAAGTTCTGCAACTACTTCCTAGCCTACAACGGCCCAGCCTCCCTCCAAGGTGACCGCCACTGGACCGACCGCAACGCCGTGCTGGAGCTCACTCACAACTACGGCACTGAGAACGACCCCAACTACAGCGTGGTGAACGGTAACACTGAGCCCCACCGCGGCTTTGGTCACATCGCCATCTCGGTCGACAACATTGAAGCCGCTTGCAAGCGTATCGAGGACGCTGGATACCCTTTCCAGAAGAAGTTAACCGAGGGTCGTATGCGCCACATTGCCTTTGCCAAGGATCCCGATGGATACTGGGTCGAGATCATCCGTCGTGCCGACGAGGATATTGGCACCACTACCAACCCCGACAGCTACCGTCTGAACCACACCATGCTGCGTGTGAAGGACTCCGAGGCTAGCCTTAAGTTCTACCAGGAGTCGATGGGTATGACTCTTGTTCGCACCGTTGAGAACCCGGAGAACAAATTCAACTTGTACTTCTTGGGATACCCCGCCTCCAATCCGGAGATCAAGGAGGGTGTCAAGAACGGAATTGCGGAATGGGAAGGCTTGCTTGAGTTGACATGGAACTACGGCACCGAGAAGCAGGAGGGTCCTGTATACCATAATGGTAACACCGAGCCCCAGGGCTTCGGTCACATCTGTAAGTGACGCACACCACACATTGTCTGGTTATTTGCTAACCCCGTCCAGGTATCTCTGTGGATGATCTCCAGGCCGCATGTGACCGATTCGAGAAGCTCAACGTCAACTTCAAGAAGCGCCTGACCGACGGCCGGATGCACAACATTGCATTTGTCTTGGATCCGGATGGATATTGGATTGAGGTTGTACAGAACGAGAAGATCAAGCGTACCTCCAATTGGTAGATAGTCAAGTACAGTAAATTTGACCTGGGTGCTTCGATATACTCACTGAGAGTGACCGAAGCAAAACGATAGAACAGCTGGATTAGCAGCTCTCCTCGAAAAGACCTTTGCGCCACTCTATCCCTATTTTAATGTCGACCTAGATCAAAAATTCGTCTACTTTTCAAAGCTCCTGTAGCAGTCGACCCTGGGGTTCTACCGCCAGTATAGACTAAATTGCGTTGCAAATTTAGGCAGTCTGCTGGAAAGGACAACGAGAAAAATATCAATTAACGGAAAGTAAGCGTGGCCATCACTTCAAGAGCGAGACAAGTAGCCATTTCTCGGCTTCCTTTTGTCATTGCTTGCTGACCGGTCTTGGTTTCCCCGGAGGGCTTCTCCATTATCTGTCCTGTATCTCCTCACCCATCACGAACTGATCAAGACCCGACCGGGGGTGGAACCAGCTTGTCTCTTTTCTTTGACACAGTCTCCTGTATTCACATGTATCTGTGTTGTAGTTCAAGGCCGCTTATATATAGGAAGGGAAATTACAGTATCTATCAAGGGAGCCTAGAGGGCCGAATGTTCTTTATACATAATGTGAAGTATAGATATACGCAAACTTGCATCGCCTCGTTCACTTAGTAAGACAAAACAAAGCCATAATAGCCCACTGTATAGGGCAGGGGCTGGTTTCAAAGAAGTGGGTTCTAAATTGATTCTATCCCAACGTCGAGGTGTGTGCATTCATCAATGATAGGAGAATTTCGTTGACGCGTTATTGAGTGGTGTCAGCAGGATTACAACTGGGAACTGAGCCCACTCTGGATATTCTGTCCTCTATATCACGTTTTGTCAAACGCAGCTAGGTCTGAAGTTGCATCCGGAGTGAAGCGCTCCGATGTGTGGTCTTAGGGCTTCTCGAAACGTTAGTCTGTAAGCAAATGTAGGTATCAATGTATTGCTTGCCCTTTCGGCTTTTTTTATCTTATCTTTCTGATTGAAGACAATTTCAATGCTCGTTTCATTTTGTACTGGTCTTTATCATAACGCGGAAGAGAAAATTGGCATCTTCGACCTCGAGCTGAGGGACCAACAACCGTAGTCGATAGGACATCTGCTTTCCCCACACCACTAGCACATTCTCTCTTTCTGTTTTCAACGATGATCGTCTGCATGAGCAAAGGCCTATCGGAAGCAATTGAACAGCCGGCTAGAATCAAGACCGATACTTGCCTCCGCAGTTTATCATTCGGAGCACTGTGAACCGGGGAGGCTCCACCACCCTTTATATAACGATGGCAGTAGGACTTGAATTCAAGCAGGATCAGCCGACTAGACTATTGATACTACGTGCTTCATAGTCTTTGATTTGAGCCATGATATTTTGAAAAGGGGTGTGTTGTGCTGAGCCTACTAGTCTCGATACCAGCACAGATATACTTCTATCTATATTTACATTTATACTTGTTTTGCATATCATCTTGATCTAACCTAAGCGTGGAATTGATCTAGCTCAAGGTAAGCGTGGATTGCCAACTGCTCTACCATACAAATGTTTACGAATTATCCCTAGATGGAATCCGAGTACTGTCGGCTTGCGGAGACAATCCGTCAACAGGCTAGCATCCACCCTAAGTCACGCTACCTCGTCGCCATCGCCGGTTTCCCGGGGTCTGGGAAGACGACCACAGCTCAGGCGGTCGTCCAGCAGCTAAATAAAGATTGCCAGGTGCATGCTACGCTCATCTCAATGGATGGATTCCATTTGTCACGCAAAGCTTTAGACCAACTACCAGAACCCCAGCAAGCACATGTCCGTCGCGGAGCACCGTGGACGTTTGACGTCTCACGCTTTGTGACTTTTATGCATCAACTTCGTGCCTGGTCAGATCAGACACCGCTGGTACCGCCATCGTCAGTGACTTGGCCTGCCACGGACATTATCTGGGCACCGGCGTTCGATCATGAAGCAAAAGATCCAGTCGAAGATGGAATTTCCATTACACCCAATGCATCTATCATTATTGTTGAGGGAAACTACTTGCTTCTCGACGAGCCGGGTTGGCGAGACTTGGCAACGCTAGTCGATTATCGAGTCTTTGTCGATACGGATTTGCAAGAGGCTCGTGAGAGAACCGCGAAGCGCCATGTGTGTGCCGGCATTGAGAAGACACTGGAAGATGGTTACCGGCGCGTGGATAGTAATGACTATCTCAATGCATTGTGGATCCAGGAGAAGCTCCTTGTGCCTGACCTGGTGATGAAAAGCATCCCAGTGAATGAGATCAGATTGATTTAGACCCCAGAAGACAATTGCAGATAGAGGACAATCGGCTCAATGCTGTCGATAGAAGCAAATTGATATCAAGAAGCCCTGGTCACTTGACCTGCTTATCCCCCACCATTTCACTGGTCGCCGCTGTGGACCCCTCTCCCCGCCCCCAAGTTCTCTGGGGTTTTCAGTTCTCGTCTCAGTTCTCACTTCACGATGTTCTTTGACTATGAGTTAACGTAATCCGTACTATCTACTTCCATGGAAGTCATCACCTGCCCGCGACGCCACCTCGACCCCCGCATTTGACCCCCATCCAACGACACGATCACCATGTCGCCGGACCCAGAAAGAACAAAAAAGGCACCTCGCAAGCACGTCACGACCGCCTGTGTACCGTGTCGAGAGAGCAAGATCAGGGTAAGTGCCCGCGCAAAGCAAGGCCCTGATACTGCGGGGTTTCAAATCTAACGCGACCAGTGCGACGGAGCAACTCCGCATTGCCAAAATTGCCAGCGCAAAGGGAAAGAATGCAAATATCAGCATGGGGATGACAAGCGCAAGTGGGTGCACTCGTCAATCGCTTTTCGCGCGACCTCTGAGAGGCAATGTGCTAAAATGTGCTACATTTGAGTGTCAGAGTGGCTAATCGCTTTTCCAGGGTATCTTTACGAGCTGCAACGGAATTGTTCTCTGCTCGGATTGATCAACTTTGTCATTTTATTCAGGATCAGGGGTTAGTACCCCCGCCTATGAACCCGGAGGATGAGGCGGGTATGAATAGGGTCCTGGATACCCTCCAGATTCCGCGCGGGTTTCCTCAAACACCAGTGGTTGCTGCGCCCGCTCTCGAGAAACAGTCACCAGTTGAGACAGCGGGTCCTGTGATTTCTGGCCAGTCCCCTTCTCGGAGTCCGCCTGCTGCTAGTCCCAATGTACCAAATCCCACGACAGACTTGGTTGCTCCGGGTGTATCGCCAGTGCAGGATACGTCCTCCAATGGACAGTTTCCTTCACCCGAGGGCTGGAATCCGTTTGGAATGGTGCGCGGTGCTTCCGAAAATCAGAACTTCGTTCATTGGGGATTTACTTTACCAACTGCCGAAAGCCTGGACAACATATATGCCAATCTTAATGGAGGATCCAGTGGCCCTGGTGCCCATGTACCCGGGATGCATATCAACAACGGACTCAGCCCGGATAGCCTACCGCTAGGCATAGACATGGTCCCGCAAGCTCATGCTCAATTGGGTCAATTACCGCCTGATGCAGAGCATGATTCAGACAGCGGAGAGGAAGACGAAGCAGAGAATGACGTCATTGAGCAGTTATCTCATCGTATTGGGACTCTCAAAATCGCCGGAGATGGCCATCTCCGATTTTACGGTGCTACTTCTAATCTCAACCTGGTGGATGTTTCTGCGACTCAGCAGCGGCAGCGACCAGATGCTCGTACTGTCCGTCATGATGGTCAAGATATTCTAAATCACCTCCGGGTTGGACAGCCTGTTGATCAGGCTCTTGAGGATCATCTTGTGGAGCTTTATTTCACGTGGCAGAATCCTAGTACTTATGTTGTTGACAAAGACATGTTTATGACTGCACGATCTAAATGGCGCAATGAGTTTGACGATACTCCTTTTTACTCGGAGGTTTTGACTAATGCGATGTAAGTTTACCTTTGTTGAATCCAGGGGAGACTGTTTATTGATATCATGTTTCACAGGTGTGCAATCGGGAGTGCTTTCGAAGCACGATACCACCCCACGTTTATCACATTTCCTAAATCTCTTTCCGAGTTCTTTGCAGACCGAGCTAAGGCTCTTCTCGAAATCGAACTTGATTCTCCTTGTGTGGCGACTGTTCAGGCGTTGGTTATCATGAGTTGCCATGAAGGTGCCTCAAACCGTGATGCTCGCGGTTGGTTGTATAGCGGTAAGCATTGTGGCGATAGAAAGGCACAGGTAGCAATACTGAGAATCCTGCAGGAATGTCTATGCGTCTCGCTTTTGATCTTGGGCTTCACTTGGACATGTCGACTTATGTCAATAGAGGCGATATCACTCAAGCCGAGGCGGATGTACGTCGGGCAGCATTTTGGGGAAGCTATGTTGCAGACCAGTAAGCTTCCTTGTCTTCTGTTTGGTACATTCCTTTGACGAATCTAGTTTTTGGGGGTTCTACTTGGGACGCCCATTCCGCATGAACGCTGGAGATATCAGTGTTCCCAAGCCTGCTTCTTCTCTTGGACCAGAAAAGGAAGATACGTGGCATCCATATGGGCATCAAGCCGCTCAAGGAATGGTTCAAACTGGTATCAAAAACCCTACGGAGTTGATTTGCAGACAATTCGTTGTATTGTGGGAGATGATCTCTCCAGTTGGTCATATTTTGTATGAGATTCTTGATTCATATTGTCATAAACACCGCTAACCCGATTTTAGGTATGGATGTTCTGATATTTCTCGGCATGATTTGCAAAGGTTATGCTACCAAGTTACCGAAGACCTTTTTGCTTGGAAAGAGAATCTTCCATCTAGTCTAGAGATCAACCTGGATGATGATGTTTCACCAAAATTACCACATTTGATGATGCTCCAGTAAGTTGAGATACTCCATGAAGCAATTACCCACTGACAATTGAATAGTATGCAATACCACCAAATCATTATTTTCTTCCACCGCCCTTGGCTCTCCAAGAGCTATATCCAACCCCAAGCTCCGCGACAAGGCCCGGGCTATCACCACGCGCGCCGGATGTGCGTCGAATCCGCCACAGCCGTCGCACGCCTCCTCCATCTCTACGAAAAACACTACACATTCCGCCGCATGAACAACCAAGTTGTGGCGGTAATCTTCAGCGCAGCCCTAATGCTTCTCTTTGTAACAGTCTCTAGTTCCCCTCTCAGTCCTGGCAAGTCCGGCAACAGTCCAACATACCCCCGCAGCGCAGAGATGGTCGCCTACCTCAACCTTTGCTTCCGCGCTCTCGATGAGCTAGGTCAATCATTTGACAATGCCAAACGAACTCGTGATTACCTTGTCACTCTCCAACGCCGCTGGCAAGCACATATGCGTCGTTCTGGCTCAGCGACTAAGCGTCAGAACAGCAGCGCGAACCTGCAATCGATATCTTCAAACTCTTCGACTAGACAATATGGCCGTGCGATTAATACCCAGGGGGTAGACTCGCGCAAGAAAACTCGTCTGTCTGTTTCTGAGCCCCAACCTCATATGCAATCTGCTTCGGAACTGCCACCTAGTCACCAAAACCATCTCCCTCAACAACCTCTTCCACCTCAACAGCAACAATCTTACCAAACGCCATTTTCCGCCTCCCAGCTCGGTGACCTAGACTGGATCCGGGACTCTGACTTGCGTCTTCTATCCGAAACCCATGGCGCAAATGGAAATGCCCATGCGTCGGCTAATGGCATGGCTCATATTTCTTCCCCGCCGTTCCCTGATGACCCTAATATGCTGGCTGATCTTGGGGATTTTGATGGTTGGTGGCAGCCGCAGAACAATTCCTCTGGAATTGGAGGACCACCTTTATGATCGATTGAATTGGTGTTGATCTTGTTGATAGAACGGAATAGATCGGGGGTTGGTGTATGGAAATTTGTTGATGAGTTCGCTTTCTAACTTCTGAACATGTTTTTAATTCAACATATTTTGAGATATAAATTATACTATTCTGAATACGATAGGACTGTCTTTCAAGTTTCACATAATCTGAACCATTAAATATGTATATCACTCCATTCAAATTAATCAACCTCATCCATAGTTCCATCAAACACACTCTTTAACCACACCCCCGACTTCCCGCGACTGTTCAACGTCCCACAAAACCCTAGACAAAACAACCCTTCGCTCACCAAATCCCTTCTCCCTCCCCCAAAAGCAAGCCCTCCGCATAGCAGAGACCATCTCCTCAGCCTGCCTCCCAAGAACGGTATCCTCCAAGCTTCTTTCATTCCCCCTGACGCCCTTCTTCTCCAAAGAACTCTCAGATATACCCTCCCTTTGACCATCATGCTCGCCCCCAGAATCCACCCCCTCCCCAACAAAAACCCTCACAAAAGGCAAAGTGACCTCCAACCTCCCAATCCCATCACTAGGCCCCGACCACCTCGTCCCATTAATCCCATAGTCAAGCCCATAAGGCGGCCACCTCGACAGAGCCTTCCGTCGACGCGTACTCGCCCCGGCAAGAATATCAACCTCATCTCCATCCCCATCAGGATAGATATCCTGATCCCAAAGTGACCCCTCAGCAGCATTATACGCCTCAGCAGCCGTCACAGTCCGTGTATTCTGCAGCACAGGAGTCGGATAATCCGGTCCGGTCAGATACTGCGGGAAAGTACGTGGGACGTCGCGGCCAGCAGAGCGGAGAAAAAGTATGGGCGAGGCGAAGGAGTCGAAGGTCTTTTCTGGCGTTGCGAAGAATCTTGAGCGGGCTTGAAGGAGAGGGACTAGGTCTGATGGCGCGGATCGTTTTTTTGGGGCGCGTTTTTGTTTTGAGGATGTTTTGCTGGTGCTTTCTGGATCTGTCGTGGGACTGGGGTCTTCTGTTGTGCAGTATTCGTCCAGACTTGGCCAGTCGCAGACTGGGTTTGTGGCTGCTACTGCGTTGATTGATTGTGCTTCTGTCAGGGATAGCATCAGAGCTAGAGATCCGCCGATGTGGGTACCGTATATTCCTAGTTTTGCGTATTTCAGGTTGCTTTTGATCCAGTCAAAGCCGGCTAGGGTGTCGTGCACTGGGGTTGGGTATTTGTACGTTTCTGAGTGTGGGTTTGTTGCGCCCAGGGTTTGGTCTGGAGTTTCTCTTTGCAGATCCGGGCTTGGGGTTGAAGGAAGTGAAGATATTGAATCTTTGATTCTTCCAAGTCGGTAATTGATTGTGACTACCACTGCTGATGCGGCGCTTGCTAGCACATGCTGCGGTGATAGTGCATAGCATGGGCCTTGCATCTCCCTGGCGTCGACATGATCGACTTCAGACGTCGACAGCCCATCTGATGGAGATGTTTCAGTATGAGTGTCGTGGAACAAAGGTCCTGGCGGCAGATAAAGAATCACATTTGGATATCCGGATGATGTTTCATGAGAGCATAATGTGCTTGGTCGCGTAATTCTAGGGAACAAGTTAGCATTGGCCATTGTTTTTCGGGAGATATGGATATTTTATACTTCAAATCGATCGATCCATTGTTTCCAACAGGAAGAGAAAATGTCTCGTCGATGCAATCCGATGAAACTGTGGAATACCGCGCGTTTGGGAACCGCGCGATGGAAACGCGACCAGCCCTTCTCGTACGTAGGAAGAGGGTGAATCCACGAGACGCAACGATTATATCTCGCATACTCTCGCTCAATAATGTTTTCAGCTATTTCGCAAAGTCTGGATGATGTATGGCGGAGAGTTCGCTTTGCAGATTGGGGTTGGTGATTGTCGCCTGAGGACTTAGGCCACCACTGAATTTGAGGCCTCAGATATGACAAAATACTTCAGTTTCTAACCATCTAGATTGAGAAGGATTGGCCTCACATCTGATAAAAGGTATTGTCAAGATGAAGTTCACGATTGATAGTTTAAAGATAAACTGTGAATCATCTAGCATCTCAAGCTTCAACTGGCGGGTCATGTCCATAAAAGTAGATCCATCTAACAAAAACATAATCAGGCAATGATCCACTAGGTCAATTTATTCGAATCTGAAGAACTCTAAAATACATGGACTCGGACAAATTCCCCTGACATAATGATCCCACGGAACTAAAACATAAACCCGAAAAGCTTTCATGATCTGTCACCAAAGCTAACAAATACATCAAAAGGGAAGTTGACTACTCCAAGAATCCTTCCAAGAATAAGAATCTCTTTGAAGAGTAGTCGCTGATACAGCAGGGTCATCCCGGTCCAAGGGAGCCTCAGTAACATCCTCGGGGACAGGATGCATGACCTGCAAACTGAGCATGGGATCCATAGAGTAGACACGCAAGCCAACAACACAAACAGCATTCCACGGATCAACAGTAGGTTCGTCTTGGCCCATCATTGGAGGGTGACACTTTGCATCTCCTTCGGGAGGTACATCGAGATCACTGTCGAATTCGAACCCTTCCAGTAGCTCCAGATCACTGGGATCCAGCATATCTGCGGAAATCCGATAGTCCAAACTTCGACGCGGGGATTCCGTTGTTCTCATGCCATGTCTGGCGGCATATTTTTCGTGGAGGCCTTTGCTGCCATTGACGTGGATTGTTGGCACGGAGCCATTCGTATAGGGAACGCGTCGATCGCTGCCATCGCTGGAAATGCTTGCGACATCGGTGGGGGATTGATTGACTGGAGCGTCAGCGAGGATCTGCGTGGGGATCGGGCTGCGTTCAGGACTACGGTCAAAAGAGCTGCCGTTAGGAGTGCGAGTGGCACGCATAGCGGCGATGGTCTCTTGGCGATCGTGTCGAGCGGCCATTTTCTGGTTGCGGACCCATTTCTTTTGTAACTTCTTCTTGATCTCTTCGTGAAGCTTTCTGGTCTTGATTGTGTTGTATTGCTCCTGGTCGCGCTTTTCTTGCTCTGTTTGCCCAACCACTCCCTTAGCATGGGCGAGATCGTAGGAAAGGCCGACTTGGACAAGCTTTTCACGCCTGGTAGGAGCAACATTGCGGACTATCTCTTCCGTTGCCTCTTCGTCATGTCGGAAGGCGGTGATTTTCATCAGGACATGATAGCGGCCTGGGTCGAGGTTGATTTCGGCGTTGACAGATCGGCCCATGAAATGGCTGCTGTGACTGCGTACAAGGTAGTCCTCTTCGCCTTCCTTTTCCAGACGGAACTTGAGCACGAAGCTATACTGGCCAGCCAGGCCCTTAAAGTATCGGGTATCCAACTAGGGTCGTTAGCAAAACCTGATCTTACCACCATTTGTCTGAGTACATACTTGCGAGAGCACAATGACGACTGGACCACTCTTGGTAACGTCCATCATGAACTTGGTGCTGTGATAATCTGCAGACCATGGGACATTCAAGGTAGTCCATTGCTGTGCGATAATCCACTCAGGACCAAAGAGACGAGTCCGGTCGAAGTGCTGGTACTTCTTGAGGAGGTCTTGATACGAAATCCAAAAGAACTACTCCGTGTTAGCCTGAAGTGTACAGCAACGATCAATAGAAAAGGCAGCACTGACTCCGTCATTTCCAAACTTATGGCCAAGACGCTCCATCCACTCAGGTGTCCATTCCTTGGAGCCATCACCCCAAGCACCGTGCCATTCTTTGCGGCCCCAGGGGTTCCTAAACGGCATGAGCTTGTGATTCATCAGTGTTCAACACATATTGACGTACCGGAGTCTAAGCAAACGCTCCCCATCAATCTCCCGAGCTTCCATGATAGAATAAGAGTGGTTCTCGGAAATGCCCTTGCGATCTCTGGGAGGACCACGATATTGAGGGTCCAACCAGTTGGAGAACATACCAGTCCCGCAACCAAAGAGGAACTCATCGTTGACCTTCATCAACTCCTCGGTCCAAAATCGATCCTTTTTAAGGATATTGCTGGACAAGACCTCGGACGTAACGCCCCCAGTAAGATCTTCGATCGCTTCACCAACAAAGCCGCCCTCGATAGCAGAATAATCCCCATGAGCCTTAGCAAAGGCTTTTTCAAGAAGCGGCAGCCATGTCTCATTTTCATCTACGCACTGCGCGAAGTATAGAGCTCGCGAGCCAGTTTGCCACGCTCGTCGGTACTCCTCTTCTGTGTCAAGGCGGTTGATTTCATCCCAGACCGGCCGCTCATCTACAGACTCATCGTAGTCTGCAGCTCGCAGATAGAGCTTGTCGTCCACGATGCACTGCTGCCACTCACCATCTACCCGTCGAATTAGTATAAGTTTGTGATTCCCAGTTTCACTCGATGCGCCATACCTCGGTAGAAAACAAACCCATAAATACCAACTTCTTCATCACGAGCCACACAGATTTTCTCAATCAGCTCCTCCTTGTTACCCATAGTACACAGGGCAGCCATGAGCCAACAATCCCCATCGCAGCCCTGACGAACATCCGAAGCGGTGGGCCCGTTAACATAGAACTGCGGCTTCTCAAAGATTTCCTATACCACAAATCAGCACCCAACCGCTAGAAAAAGGGAAAGAATAAAGAGCTTTGAACTTACAGTAACTCTCTTAACACCCCTAGGTCTCATCTCTTCATTAGTTTTGTCCAACCCATCAAGATAATGCCGCCGTTGAGACTTCAAATCAAGCTCAATATCAAAATGCGGGTCCGTATATTTCTGATTAACCCGCTCGCACTCTTTTATAATCCGCTCAACAGATTTGAGACACTCTTCCCGAGCCTGCTCGTAGGACTTGATAGCTGTATGGCCTTGAATACGGCCGCTGGGAACACGTTTTGCGCGGGTTCGTGCGTAAGGGTTGTCGGGCAGGACGGTGTAGACTTTTCCAGGGTGTTTTGTGTTAAATTGTTCCCAGAATTGCTTTACGGATTCCTGGGGTGGTTGGTAGCGTGCGCGCGGTGGTGGACGACTGTTCGAGCGAGATGAGGCTGGGGGTTGAGGGGCGCCGTAGCCCATCTGGATCATTTCATCTTCTAAATCCATGCTTCTGGTGAGGATCAAGGGGTGGGATGTTGAATGCTGTCGTTTCTATACTTGGGTGTTGAGGTCTTTTGGCGAGCTTCGTCCCTTATCTTCTTTACTCCCGGAAATCGCAACGATGAGTCTAACCAAGACGAATGTTTCTTATATTGTCGCAGGGGCCGCAGTCGCTTCAAGATCCGAGGAGCTGAAAATAGAAAGAGAGGAGAAGGGCATGCTCTTAATAGAACAAGAATGTCGAGTGTTCCCCTCATGCACGGCCATCCCGAGCCGCGATGGCTCAGCTTCGAATCTCACCTATTGATTCGCCGGCTTGGGCCCTCATAGGCATTGGGGGCGTTCATAAGGCTGCAGGTGCGTCTGGTCAGCGAATGAGTCTGACGGTGGCATTTCTGGCCCCCAAATATGCTTCAGCTCGGCCCCTCACCCCCATAGCACCATAAGCACTGATTCTGCAGCTAACGGCTCGTTTCATGATAGCAGGTGCTTATTGGGTCTCAAAATAATCAGTCAGGTCCCGGTGCAACTAGGTGAGCAAGTTATCTGTCCCATTTCAAGATTTGTGCGGGGGCGCAGCGCTGACACGAGGTTGTGCTCTTGGGCCCTGACATTGGCATTACGGGAAAAAGAGGCTGAAAGAGAGGCTGATAGTCAGATGATACCGTCACATCGGTTTAAGATTTGAGAGCCTGTTTACAGGGCCAGAAGGGGTATGTACGCCTGTATTCACTAAAGCACTTTCGTAACAGTAAGCCCGCCCTCCATGTCACTCCCCATTGAACGCCGTACATGAAAAAATAAAACCCCGGGAGCCCTGTCATTACACAAAAGACGGGAGATCGTGATCATACTATTGGAAGCCGTTAGACTGGCCGCGACCAGAGTAGTACGAGCTGCCGTTGCGGAAGTATGGGTGCTGGCAGGCCTGCTTGGCCGAGAGTCGGTGAGCCGGGTCGAACTCAAGCAGGGACTCGAGAAGCTGACATCCAGCTTCCTCCAGTCCAGGGACGATCTCAACATCGGGGCGCTTCCACTTGGGGAACGTGGCTTTGTAGTCGGGGAACGAGGTGACGCCGGGCCAGATATCTTCGCCGGGGGTACCGAGGATACTATGCTTGTTAGTATTGCACCCAGGCCGATCAAAACATCTCACTCACCGGAAGATCTTGAAGATTTCATCGATTTCAGAGTCACCGGGGAAGAGAGGCTTGCGAGTGCACATCTCAGCAAAAATCGCACCCACGGACCACATGTCAACACCAGTGGAGTATTGGCGTCCACCGAGCAAAATCTCAGGCGCCCGGTACCACAATGTGACAACCTGAAACACCAATTAGCAATGAAATATGAGCAAGTCCTAGCATATCCCTACCTCGTGGGTGTAAGTGCGCAGAGGAACACCGAATGCTCGGGCAAGACCGAAATCAGCCAGCTTGAGGTTACCCTCACGGTCAATCAAGAGGTTCTGGGGTTTCAAATCACGGTGAAGAATACGGTGGCTGTGGCAGTAACGAATGCCCTCAACCAGCTGAGCCATGAACTTCTTGACCATTGCCTCACCCAGACCGAGGCTAGTGCCGGGCTTGAAGCCATCAGGCAAGGGCTTGCCACGGCCACCATCGCTGACAGGAAGAGCCTCCATGTATTTCTTGAGATCGAGATCGAGGAACTCAAAGACTAGGTAGAGTTTATGGCCGTCGGCGTGAACAATGTTGAACAGCTGGACAATGTTGGGGTCCTGCATTTCCTTCAGGAGCGAAATTTCGCGGATGGCGGTACTGGGGACACCCTCATCTTCGGCTTCAAGGCGAATCTTTTTGAGAGCGACAATTCGGTTGGGGTGATTCAACTCACGGGCCTTGTAGACAACGCCGTAAGTTCCTAGCAATACCACGCGTTAGCTCGTTTGTGGATGGCACCAGCCGGAGAAATGGCACGTACCTTCACCGATTTTCTCAATCTTCTGATAGTTATCCATGCTGGCCGTCATTCGATCCTTATCTGCTGCCAAGGAGCTTAGAGAATGTTTGAAAGATGTTTGGAATTGGTTATGGTGCGGATTGGAGAGAAGTTGCCAGGGAGGAATTGAGGAAGCAAGGAGCAGATAACATAAGGCTTGCCGCTACTTACTCTGTGGGTCTTCGTGGGAGCTTCAGTGCCGCAAGCTCCAAATTCCCCGGGGGAGAATCAGCAAATATGAAAGTGAAGAAATTGACGAGACTCTTGTATGGTGGGGAGAGAAAGACAAACAAACAACCCCCCGCGCCTGCCAGGCGGTGAGCGCGTCCCTTGACTGGCCCTTTCCCTCCCCGATTGACTTCCTATCCCGTCATGGCTCCAATCAAGGGCCTGAGTGCCCAGGATATTCCTCCTGGGCCCATCAGGGACTGCTACAAGATATACTCCGCCGTTCAGGAGGTGGAGAATGATCCTGGTGTCATCGATCTACAGCAGCTCGATCCCGACCAATTGCCACGCGGAGTAACAATCGCGCAGTACCTGTCCAGCCAAGAACTACGATTGGCCTTTGATGATTTCATTCGAGGAGGTCATGCACCGGCCGAAGAGGATGCTCCGATGACGGAGAACATCCCAGTCTACAGCCATCATTTGATCTCCGGTTAGCATTGAATTGCCTTGCACCACTAATTTCCACAGGAACAGGACCAAGAATTATGCCTGACTCTTACCAGGTCTACTGATGATCCCTGCCCTATTTCCAACTACGGTACAGACGGAACTCCTCTCCCGCTTGTTCCATCGAGACTTGTCCAGTCCAAAATATCAGACCAATGTACATCGACACTACGATGTGACCTACCCAGAAGAAGAACCCCATGGTTCCAAGTCCTTCTTTGAAGATGACCCCACTCGCACATTTCAATCGAAGGATCCGCAATTGCACGAGCCACTGGATGTCCAGAGCTTCTTGGAAAAGAGACTACGTTGGATCGCCCTGGGTGGACAACATGACAGGACCGTCGCTATCCTGCCCGGGGAGATCCCATCGGAAATTCCACAGGATATTGCCAAACTAATGAGCGCTGTATTTCCAGACAGATTAGCTCATGCTGCCATGGTGGACATTCATTCCACCAGAGATACCCAACCGATTCACCGAGACGTGAATCTGGAAGACGATACAGGCCTAATGAGCGTGAGCTTTGGCTGTGATGGTTTGTTCCTGGCTGCCCATGACAATGGAGATGGCTGCGAAATACTGCGACTTCGATCAGGAGACACGGTCTACATGAATGGTACGTCGCGCTTTGCCTGGCATGGAGTACCGAAGATTCTGCCTTCGAGTTGCCCTGCATGGCTAGCCAACTGGCCATCGCTTGGAGAGACTCTTCCGGGGATGCCGCCTGGTCCTTACCAAATGTGGGAGGGTTGGATGTCCAGCAAGCGGGTCACCCTAAACGTTCAGCACAAGTCAACTACCCATGCTTTCAAAGAAGGCACAGGGCACATCTAATGCAGGAGATACCGATATTTGGATGTTAGAGTCGTAAATTGCAAGTCAAACCTCCATTTCCTACATGTTCTCTCATGTGTTGTTCTTGGCAGCGCTCCCTGGCGGGGGTCGGGAGTAGCGGCACGTTTGGAGGTTCCCCAAATTTTGGAGATGATATTTGCGTCTCAAGACCAGACGAATCAGTTAGAACAGATAGTGTGAATTGAATGTTGACATCCCCAAATCGCCCAAAGCAGACTGATAAGCCCATGTCTCCAACTGACTCCAATAGCCCCGCACAGATAAGCTCCCCGTATATAAACACTCGGGTGCACATACGACCCCAAACACCATACATCGTCTACGGAGTAGGCATTCTGTTCAAAATGTCGGATCTAACATGGCGCACACGAGGCGAGGCCAAGCGTCAATCCATCCTCGATGCCATTCCTGAGAAATGGCGATTGCAGGACCCCATTCCTCCAGCCACCGAGCTCCGCGATGTCACAGGGTATATTCGACAATACCTGACAGACCGCGAGATTGAGATAACAGAGAAAGACGCAGTAGACATTGCAGCCCAAACTACCACTGGAACCTGGTCGGCCGTCGAAGTTACAGAAGCCTTCTGCCACCGAGCTGCCCTTGCCCACCAACTTGTACGTCCCAACAAGCACTCTTGTCCAAGCATACCAACAGCACGTAAGCCAAAATCTGACATCAGAGTTGAACTAGGTAAGCTGCCTCCACGAAATCCTCTTTGAAGCAGCAATCGACGACGCAAAGGCTCAAGACGCCTACTTCGAAAAACACAAAATGCCCAAAGGCCCTCTCCACGGCCTCCCAATAAGTCTCAAAGACCAATTCCACATCAAAGGCGTGGAGACAACAATGGGCTACGTAGGCTGGATCAACACCTTCCAAGGACTCTCCAACGACCCGCGCCGCTGCACAGAAGAAAGCGAGCTAGTCCGCGAACTACGCAACCTAGGCGCAATCCTCTACTGCAAGACCAGCGTGCCTGCAACGCTCATGTCCGGAGAGACCGTCAACAATATCATTGGCTATACCTGGAACCCCAAGAACAGACTTCTTTCTTCGGGTGGTAGTTCCGGCGGGGAAGGGGCGCTTATTGCGCTGCGTGGTTCGCCGGGAGGCTTTGGAACTGATATCGGTGGTAGTGTGCGTATTCCGGCGGGATTTAATGGGCTTTATGGGCTGCGTCCTTCTGCTGGGAGGATTCCTTACCAGGGTGCTGCGAATTCCATGGATGGACAAGGCACTATTCTTTCTGTCATTGGGCCGTTGGCTACTACTGCTAGGTCTTTGACTATGCTTGTCAAGGCTGTTCTTTCTCAGAGTCCTTGGTTGCATGATCCCCTTGCGCTGGAGGTGCCGTGGCGGGATGATGTTGTTCTGCAAACTAGGGCTTTGGTTGAGAAATCTGTTGCGGGGACTGATTCGGCGCTGGCTTTTGGTGTTATGAAATGGGATGGTTTATGTCCTATTCATCCGCCTATTGCCCGTGGTATTGAGATTGTGGTGAAGACTTTGCAGAGGCTTGGTCATCGAGTTGTTGACTGGAAGCCTCCTTCCCATTCTATTGCTGTGAATTTGTGTGTATGTATCCGGATTTACAATTCTCTCTGTGCTTTTTGACGAACAGATCAGATGTTAACCCACAGCAGGCCAAGACATTCGATATGGACGGCGGCGCGGACTTTAGACATCATTTCGGTCTATCTGGCGAAGAGCAGGCTCCGCAGGTAATCGTTACAAAAGACGGCAAGGAAATGAATATTTCTGAGCTAGCCGAGCATAATATCGCAAAGCGCGTCTATCAGAAACAGTACATGGATTACTGGAACAGCACAGCCGAGCTCACTGGCACAGGCCGACCTGTGGATGGAGTGTTCTGTCCCCTGGCACCTCACGCGGCCGTCATTCCAACTCAATACGAGTATGTTGGATATACTGGCTTTGTTAATGTGCTAGATTATACCAGTGTGGCAATTCCGGTTACTTTTGCTGATAAGTCAATCGATGTGCGTTCGGTTGATGGTTCGACAGATGGTGGGAAGCATATCAAGTGCGATTGTGAGTTATCTTCTTATGTTGCTGAATGGTTTCCTGCTAATCGCTGTTTAGACGATGCTGAAACATACGATGGCGCTCCAGTTGGGGTGCAGTTCGTTGGCAGAAGATTGCAAGAGGAGAAGATGCTGACTTTGGCTGAGTACCTGGGTGAAGAGATTGCGCAAGAGGCGAAATGATACGTCTGAGATAGCATGAATCCATAAGGCGAACCAACTATCATATTAGCATATTACTAGCGCATCTATAAAGCCGTTCGAATCACATAAATGTTTCATTGAAGCGAGGATCATACATGCTCGTGTTTCTATACACTTTGTACTGGGAATTATGGAAACAGCGCTGGTAATGGACAAAGTTGGCTGGCTGAGTTAACCAATCGACGCTGTCTCAACCTCAAAAATATTTTCCAACTCCTTTATAGACATCCTGTAAAGACCGTGTTCAGTTCATAGATGTAGGAGGCCTTTGTCCCGATGGCGCAGCAATGTTGGAAAGATGTGGCGTGGAAGGTCCCCATGGTTTACCAATCGCAGATCCCTGCGCAGGAGAAGGACCAGATTCGATTAATGACCCCGGTGGTCCCTCAGAGCCATTCATGAGGCGCGGACGTTTGGCCTGTGGCAACCCACTGGGTGGGCTACGAGGATCTGCATAGGAGTGGGGTGAAGCATAGTGGGTGGATGAAGCAGGTGTAGAAGCAGCGCCAACATCTGGACTGAGAGCAGCGGCGGATTGGAGAGGACGCAAACGGTTTGGATGAGAGGATGAATCCTCACCGGGACGCGGTGGGCGAAGGTCTGGACTTTGCCCAGGCTGTGGCTGGCCTTGTTCGGTGTCTATCAGCGGGCTGGGATTCCCATAGCCAACGCCGATCCGACCCATGCCTTTATCGTGCATGACGACGCGTTTCCATTTTGCGAGCACGTTGTCATAGTTCCATCTTGTCGAGTCGGCACCGATTTGGCTGTTCTGGACATCTAGTTCCCGCGCTACTTCCCGGGGAAGGGGCAGTGTGTCTGGGGGGAATAGCGCAAACTCCCGGGGCCATTGGCATGATCCGAGGCGCTCGACTTGGGCACGGAGCTGATTTGCTTCCTGTTGCACACGGGCAAGCTGTTCATCTCCAGACTTTCGCTTTTCTGACTCCCGGGCGAATGCGCGCATGATTTCGAGCTGCCAGGTGTCGCGACGGGTCTCATAAGTAAGGGAGTTCCAATGGTTGAAGGCTAAATCCAAGTGTCGGATGCTCATCTCCTCGTGCTGCTGTGCATTGCGGTATATCATGCTCTGGTCCGACCCGCTATGGTGGTGTTTCACGTGAGATTCTGCGGCGATTTGTTCGGTCTGCCATTGTGCCACCTTGGATCGGAGCGCTTGACGAACGATATCACGATGCTCGGCGCCGGGGGCCTGTAGTGGGAACGAATCCGAGGATGTAAATGGTTGTGGTGCAAACAGGCTTGGTGGGGGAGGGAGTAATTGCAGGCACAAGGAGGGGAAGGTTTGAGCTTGAATCTCGAATTCAAACGGAGACAGGCGAGGTCGTATACGGGAGCTAATTTTGCGTCAGCATCTTTGTATGGTTGAGAAGAAACAGATCGGCTTACGTTGCAGCTTTGATGTTATCGAGAACTTCGCGCAGCGCCAGCTCCAACGCTCGCATGGTATCTGGTTTGGTGGAACCAGCGCCCCTGCTCGCGTAGTCTGGCAGCTGTAACGACCCGGCGCGAGATTGCGACGGCGCAATTTGAGGCCCATCCGGCGTGCGACTGGTATTGGGGATATCATTGATTACTCCAGTGGCATGCCAGGTGGGCGTGTTGAACATCATGCGCACCGGAGCATCCCGCGACTTCGACCCCGTGTCGGCTGTTGCGTAGGAGTCCGACGTGGTCTTTTTCTGGGCCCTTTCGGGACTTTCCTCGTGTTTTCCTGAAGACGTGCGAGCCTGGCGACGAGTGATTCCACTGCGGATTCGGCGGATCTCTTCAACATCGTGGATACCGTCCGGTTTCTTTTTAAAAAGGAATTGATCGAGGTGTCGGCCTAGGGATGAGGAGGTGAAAGCTTGCTGGCAGTACTGGCATTTGCGATCTTTGGAGGCGAGACTCGCTTTCGAGTTCGACTGATCGTCGCCGGCAGTCGAGCCTTCTGGTGTGTCCCTGGAAGCTTCTTCCTTCATGTTGGGAGGTGGAGACGGAAACAGGCAAACAGCGAAAGGGGGAGGGAAGAGGAAACAGGGACGCGTTCACGATAGGGATCTTTTCAGACTATTCAAGCATGGCATAGAAATCCAAAGGCTGATGTTGAATGCCGAGACCAGAATTGGAGAATCGCAGTGGAGGAATCCAAAGGGAATGCCAAGCATTCGGGCGCGGAGATGATTGGAAGTTTGGGGAGGAAGATTTATCTATTGGGCATCGACAGCGAATTAGCTTGGGATGTTCGAGGCTCTTGTGCGTAATATTTTCGATCCTACTGGTGCTATTTGGCTCCGGCGGGCTCATTGCGATGTAACTGATCGCCCAATAGATAGCAGCTGCAGGAGGGTTACTGCATAGCCTTGAAGCCTTGGACAAATAAAAACTAATAGCAACAAGTAGCATTAAATCAGAAGAAATACAAGGAGATATTCATAAAAGTTCATTCTCTTGAAAATGAATAAAAAATGTATTGTATTCGAAACCCTGAAAACTTGTATCGTCCAGGGTTGAAGGATATCCTCCTTCCCTGAGTGTGTTGCTATCATTGCGCAGCCACCCCAATTTTACATAGGTGAAACATGCTCATACCCTCACAGCCCATTGGCTTTACTTTTTCTCGTCTTGCGCTCGCTGAGCCATCGCTTGAAGTTGCGAATGCCATGCAAATAGATCCAAGAGAAGGCAAAGACCGCGGCGAAATCGAAGATGACATACCCCCAAAATATACCCTGGAGACCGTCAGGATCTAGCTTCACGAGTTGCAGAGAATGGTACTTACATAGGCTCTCCATTTGTGCGAGTAAAATATGTTGAGACTTTTGGCCTAAAGAGCATAGTCCCCGATTAGCTTTGCTCGTTGGCGGAACAGAGAGGACTAAGGGGTGAACTCACAAACTGATCTCCAATCGAATACTGACAGAATGAGCACAGTCCATTCCCAGCATCTCTTACATATCCACCAGATTTCTGGGCATATGGACCTGCATACTCTGAACAGGTCATACCAGAAGGAGGACTGAACTGGGCTTCTTCGCGCGGAACGCAAACGACGGGGATATTATGTGTAATGACACCAACGAACCCTTCCAGCAGGTAGTGGAACGGTGTAAGCCAGTACATCCAAGATTGCCAAAAGTGTGGCAGAGCCGCGTATGGGACGACAACACCACAGAAGGCTGCAATGAATGTGAAGAAACACGGGACAAGAAGGCTTGCAAAGAGCTCATTCGGTGCCATTGCGGCAATGAATTGCCCAAATCCGACGTAGAATAGTTCAAATAGCATGAGGAGCATCCAAGTGTAGCCGGAACTGAATGAGTCTCGTGGGAACCAGGTACCCCAATACCTGTGGTATTGATGTTAAATTTGGGCATCCATTTGAAGTGTAAACTTACCAGCAGTTGAAGTATATTGATCCTGCAACAATGGAATATGGCAGTTCTGGGAGGATGGTACTTGTCACAAAAGCGGTCCAGGAGTAGATTTTCGAGTTGAACTCGCGAGATTCGTAGAGACCCCGGAAATGTAGGAATTTCGGTTGGAGTTGCTGGATTAGCGGAGGAGAGATTGTCAAGGTCATGAAAACAGAGAACAATCTCGACTGCATGTCGATGTAACTATTTCCTAGATGCCAGAACGTGAAAGTATTGAAGAGACCAGTAAAAATGTGCAGCATGAATTTGCCCTGGTTCAAATCTATTAGGTCAAAGGTCGTTCACTTGATTATTGAAACACTCACGAGAATATAGTCCGGAATCCTCCAATAGGCCACAAAGGCGCGCTTAGTGACTGCCAATATTTGGACGTACAGAGGCATTGCATACTCGCGGTCATCTTGCGTTGTATCATCGTTGTGGAAGTCGCGTCGAGATGATATGATTTCCTCAATTTCTTCGGTAAGCTGCTTGGATTCGGATGAGCTGGCCCATACTTCGCCCCAATCTTGGCCCTTATAATCCGGGTTTCCAGCTCCAATAACTTCCAGCATGTACTGGTCAATGTTAGTATAAGCTGAATACCTAGCACTAGCAGACGCACCTCTGCCGGATTTGCATGCGGTGAGCACTTCTTGCCGCCGTTCCGTTCGAAGTATTCGATGAGCATCTTGGAATCATGCCCAAGTGGTCCATTGTAGACTACCCTTCCTCCGCTCTTCAGCAAAAGAAGCTCATCAAATTGTTCAAACAAGACGGCGGAAGGTTGATGGATTGTACAGAGAACAGCTTGACCGGCATCGGCTAATCGTCGAAGAAATCGTACAATGTTGAATGCGGCAAGTGAATCGAGACCAGACGTTGGCTCATCTAAGAACAGTAGCAGCTCAGGCTTACTTGCTAACTCCACTGCAATAGTGAGGCGTTTTCGCTGTTCCTGGTTGAGACCCGAACCTGCAGATCCCACTGTTGCACCGGCAATAGATCGCATTTCCAAGAGGTCGATCACCTTTTCACAATAATCGTACTTTTCTTGCAGCGGTACTTCTTTCGGCTGTCGCAAAAGGGCGGAAAATCGGAGAGACTCTCGTACAGTGGCTGTCGGCTCGTGTATATCCATCTGCTCTGCGAACCCAGTTGCTCTTTGGAAGCTCCGTGGAAGAGGTCTAAAAATGTTAGAGCGACATTGAAAATTGTTCAAACCGGCAGTATATCGAATTCTTACTTTCCATCAACTAAGAAATTGCCGGTGATTACACCGAAATTGATCCGCTGCGCCAGTGCATTGAGCAGAGTAGTTTTTCTGGTCATGTATCAGTCAGTATTGGATGTCACTTAGATGAGGGCTTGTCTTACCCGGCGCCAGATGCACCCATCAGTGCAGTGAGCCGACCTGGCTTTACATAGCCTTGCACATCTTTCAGTAACTGTTTCTCGGCTCCCTTGTAGGGAATTCTGTAGTTGACATTCTGCCAAGTGAAAATGGAAGTATTCTTGGAAATACCCTCAACCTTATCCCCAGCATCTTTTGACACATCGCCATTCATGTCAAGAGCGCTGCCGTTTTTCTCAGCCGACTCCTCGTCAGATATGTGCCCAGAGCTTTCGATAGCCTCTTGAACTGCTTTTGGCGCCTCACCCCGTTTGAATACTGTGACTGAGCTTCCTCCTTTATTGGGCCTTTGTAACTCCATTCCTAGCATTGTCAAGCAGATGAATAAGATCAACCACCCAATAATGATCCCAAAATTTCGCCACAGATGAGCTCTGCTATAGGTGTATGCCGTTTCAATGTATCTTGATCCGTCGACGATCAAGGAGTTGGGGCTGCTGCCTTGGATTGTACAACTTTGATGGGATGGTGATGTTCCAGGTCCGTCGGGAACAACGTAAGGTGGTTCACATTTGATCTGGAGATTGTAGAATTCGTTGGCCATCAATGCTTCGAATGCATATTGGACGGGGTTGATCCAAATAAGCCACTTCAGCCAGGGGTGCATTTTCCAGGGCGGGATCAGATAACCTGGAAGAAAATGTTCATTACAAATTGTTGACATTATAGAACAGTGTTGAAGACTCACCTGTGTATACAATGAGAGCTTGAATAGCAACACCAGTGAGACGCGTTGCTTTGATTCTGTCAGTTCTTTCTTCCTAAAAATGGTGCATCATCACCTACCGACATCCAACGAAGCACATATAGCTCCTAGCGCGCGGAAGAAAGAGTACATAGTCATGGTTAGCGTGAAAATGAAAAGCAAGTTGATGAAAAACTGTGAAGCAGTGCGCGCAAGATTTGACATACTATATATCACGTTAGCTTGATCATATTGACGTGGACGAGAAAGCGTACAAGTATACAACCACATCGAAGAGCACAACTTGGATAAGAACCAGAGGCACATCAACCACAACTTGAGCCAGAGCATATGCTGCCGGGCGGTAAAATGAGCTAGTGCAGCGTTAGCACACCGAAACAGATATCACAAATAGTTACTCACAAGCTTTTGTGTTTCATCAAAATGGGACGACTCTCGAACGCTGCCGTCAACTCTGCCATAGCGAGCAATGCGTTGAACAACAGAATGAAGAACATGACACCACCTCTAGTAAAAACGCCAGAACTTGAAGCAGTTAGTGAATGAGTTTGACAGGGTCGTGGACTTAACGCACCTTGTGTCAGGCAAGTTAAAGAATAGACTCCCGACAATAAGTGCTTGGAAAGTGATCACACTCCATTTGCCAATCAGTGACTGTCTGTCACCAAACATTACCAGAAATTGGCGGTGCGTGAGAATCCACACCTGTTTGTGGAATGGCACAGTGTAGTTCTTCTGCTTTATATTCTTCCTGGCTGCCTCTCGTTCGTGTTCTTCACCCTTAAGCTCCTCCTCAAACGATTTCATATTCGCAAGTGTGCCTTTGAATGTGCCACTTTGACGATATGCCGCTTGAAATTGATCTGCTGTGCGAGGGATCCTGTCTTCCCAACCAGCCTTTACCCGTCTTGCGTGAGGGTCGCTGACAGACGTCAAAAAGTCAGGTGTTGTCCAACGCGGAGGACATTCGAAGCCCAATCGTTCGAAGTAAGATTTGGCATCCTGACTAGGACCAAAGAAGGCACACTTCCCATCCTCGATCAAAATTACCTTGTCAAACAGATTGAACAAGTTTTCCGACGCCTGGTAGAGGGCTACCACAGTCGACACATTGGCGGTATTAGTCAAGCTTCGCAGACTCTGGACGTATTCCAAGGCTGTGCTAGCATCCAACCCTTTTGTTGAGTTATCCCAACACTGAGTGCTAGCCTTTGTGACCATAGCTTCTGCAATCGAGGTTCGCTTCTTCTCGCCTCCAGACACTCCACGAATGAGCTCGTTGCCAACCTTCGTCCCTAGAGCATGTTCAATCCAGAACAACTTTGCAATCGCCGTTAGGAATGTCTGCTGATAGTCCTTCCGACTTTCGCCTGGGATACGCGAAGCCTTTTCGGGAGTTCGGGTCTTTAATGCAAATAGCAAAGTATTTCGCACCGTCAGAGTTGCATAGTGGAGATCATCCTCGGGATTATACAGAACTACAATTTGTGTGAGTGGGAATAGGCCACTGCATAGAAACAAACACACCTTCAGACCGATAATTCTTCGCCATCGTTTCGGATTCGGTGCCGCCATATCGCACGTCCCCTTCAACGCTTTCGTATCCAGCTCTTTGGTTGCCCAGCACTTTCAGAAAAGTAGAACACCCAGAGCCAGGACGACCCAGGACAAGAAGCATCTCGCCAGGACGTACACAGCCCTTGTCAGGTTAGCAGTTCGTTTTTGAATCACGGCCATAGTTCTCACATTAAAGTCATCCAATATGGTTCGGATGGATGGCTTCCCAGCTCCAGTGCCTCTTCTGCCACGAGTCAGTAGTCGTTTAATGAGCCGCGGTAGCCCTAGAAAAATGTCTCCATTGGTAGGCTGGAGCGCAGCACCGAGGCCGACGCCCTTCACTGTAAGATCTCTCCATACAACTCCAACATGTCTTGTTTGCTCTTCTTCCGAGCTTGCCTTTCGTTCCTGGCCGAACATTCGTGATATCAGTCTTTCGATCTGCGCCCATTCCTCCCCTTTTGTGTCGTGTCCGGAGGCATAACTGCGCCGGCGACTGATGGTGCTTGCGAGACTCTCATCGTTGAACTGCGTCCCCGAGGAGTTTGATTCAGGCTCTGGGCTAGTGCTCCGGACTGGTTCGAAGTTTTTGGTTATGTCTGATCTAAGTGACGAGGCTGAACTTGTTGCAGGTTCGGAATGGTTGACGTTTGGCCCTTGATATGAGGTTGATGTCGGCGCGTCTGCTGCCAACTCCCCCTTTTCCATCTTTTGACTCAGTCTCCGGCTTCACAATATACGTTGTTTGCTCTTGGTTCGAATATGTCGATAGTGGAAGTGATACAATGAAAACTATCAGGTGACCCCTTTCTGGTTCAGTTGCACAGTAGCAAATACTCGCATTATTCTCAGAGACGATGGAAAGAGGAAACATGCAAGGAGTGTCGGGGAGTGTATATATTACGTCAAGTATCCTACGACCTGGAAGCAACCTTGGAAGGAGTCGGTGTCGGAGCCTCAACTCTCCGAGTATGCGACGCATCGAGGCACTTCAATTCCAAGAACCAATCATCAAGAATCATCTGACTACATTTGCATGATTCAAACGCCGATTGTCCGAGTCCATTTGTGGTGCTGGGATCGGCCATGTGTGGTTTAGGTTCTCGGTAGGTTTGCGCTCCGATCGTGAGGTCATCGACCATACACCTCTGGCCTATGTTCTAGACCTTGAATTTCTTGTTTTGATGTCGCATTCTATTGCAGTGTATGTGACTGACCAGGTATTCAAAAACAAGGAGGCAGGTTTGGTTGCAATCCTTCACATCTGATCATGTCGTCTACGGTCTATGACATTTACTACATATCTGTGTTATGATCGCCATACAAGTCCTTTATACATTGGTCAGAGCTGCCCAATATAGAATGGGATTTTAGCGAGATCTAAAAGGGGTGCAATAAAAAGTAGAACGACAAGAATGTTCGTAATGATACAACGCAAGGGGCACTAATAAGCATAGAATCTACCTCCTCCGCGCAAATTATCGTTTAAACTATTTCCAACTATTAGTACATAACGATCTAAGCCAAAAGATTATTGATCAGAACGAGATATATTAAGCGACATAGAAAACCTCAAGTGCTGTCAGTATTACCTGGTAAGCCGTCGCTATATCCACGGGAATCGTTCCCGATGGCATCACTAATTTTTGTCATGGCAAGATAAGGAATCTGTTTGCTGTAAGATTTGGAAAATGCTACCAGGAAAGGAGTCGTATCGCATCTAGGTAATTTCACTATCATCATCTCGTCATCCGAGTAAAAGCACTTGGTTGTTGATAGTAGCTTTCATGCTCGAATTAGTATGTCGATTGTTTGCCTTGAGTTAAGGCTTAGAATTTTGCAAGCAGTACGTAGCATTTCATATTCAGAAGGGTGTGTTTAGGGGGAAGTGGCGAGCGTTGTGGAGGTCTTATTCGGAAGATGCTTCAATGTTGTACGCGCCTAACATAACCCTGAGAACATGGCACGGTCGATGAGCCGGAGGAGCATTCCCTTGTCAAAACCAAAGTAAGATGGCATCATTACCACATACCCTAAGTATCAATAAGCCTAGTAGTAAGCAGCTCTACCTAATAAACCTCTCAATTCCCTTCAGAAAATGAAATCACTTTCGCTATTCAACTGAATTATCCGCAATTGATAATTGATCAACAACTGCCATCCCTATGAAGCCCCATCGAGCTCACAGATTTCTGCGGAAGGTGTTGGAGATGTTCCATTTATCTCCATCCCCAAAGCGGGCATCCAAATCACGCAGCAAGTAATTGGCCCTCATCTCTCACCCTCTGTGAACGTTGACCAACAAGAACGAACCCAAGTGCCAAATTGTGGTGTATTGCCACCACAGCCGCGCCTTTCTACGGCGTTGCAGCTGCGCAAGACTTAGACCATGCCAGAAAAGGTGGCCAAAGCAAGGATGTCGCTCAATGCAGTCTCGGCACCACTCTTGAAAAGCCAATGTCAACCCGCGAGCAGCTAGAATCACGCATTATGAAGCTCTGGAAAAACGTCTGGCTGGGTCTGTATGAGATCAACGACAACGAGGAGAGATATCATGTCGAGCGCATTGAAGCTCTCTACTTTGGAGCTGGATTGATCCGAACATACCGCCTGGGCGAAATGCGCGTCCTCCGGCGTCGATTCATGCGAGCTGAAACCAACAACGGAATCGCCGCGATGAAGCTGTTCCCGGATCTTTCCCTTTCGACTCTCCTGGCTGTGATCCATATTCTGGAAGCCTATGAAAGCGAGATTCCAAACTTGAAACTGCTCTATTCCATTCTGAAGAATGGCCAACTTGGTATGTATGAGACTGAGGATGCAAAAGACCGTGCGGTTGTGCGATCGAAGTATGATGCGATTGCGGAACCGATGGAGAAGAGAATCCACCAATATGACATTCGCATGGATGTGCTAAACATGGAAATTTGTGATGAAGCGATGGGATTCCATGATTGCCTGAAAGGACAGCACATTTATACGAAAGTGTTCCCAACCCGGTGGTAATTATAATTCGGGCTACAAAATCCGCTGTCAGAGTGTCTCCATCACTCAAACTTTCTCAATAAGTCGCATCTTTAGTACATGGTATCAATAATGATTGGAGGCATTTGCTCTTGACCGTGTTGTGTTGTTGTGTTAATGCTTGGTCGGCAGTTTCATATTCCTAGAGTTAGACAGCCTAGATAGACTGGTGTGATTGATACTAAGATGAACTCTTTTTTTGGCTTCATTGTTGAGCTCATGGAATTGAGAAGCTATTTTGAATATTCATTTTGCCAAATCATTGGTAACTTACCGTGTCTGCTGCCAAGTTTACGTCAGTCCTACGCATTATATATTTCAGTTCAAGTGAAGCTTATTTGATCCCGCCACACGAAACGTTTTTCTTAGCAACATATTTACTTCAGTTATTAGAAAACAAGACTAGAAAGCGAAGACAAAATATAATTAAGACCTAAATAATTCATCAGATAACACGCTCACTTCGAGGACTCTACATAGAAATCATATCATACTTCACAGCGCTGTGATCTATATGGTGGCCCCTTTGTAGTGTGCACATCGATTTGGCTTGCAATCATACGAATTCGATATCTTGGGATCAAAATAATATAGACTCCCAGGTTTGAGTAGAAATCTTACATAGGAAATAATATGATTAATCATTCATACTTATAACCATCCCAAGTTTGATTGAACAGCTTGGCCCTCACTGTTCTAAGATACATCAGATTTCCTAGTCCGTGTCTAAACATCCAGTACACAAGGAAAAAGCTGAATCACTATGAAGACTTTGTCTTCATAAAACCCCGAGCCTCTTGGAACTAGGAAAAATATCTAGCTCTGCCAGGCGATATCGCTTTGCAGTTATATGATAAAGCATATAACCAGAAATGATCGATTCTAGACTGGCAGATAGCTTAGGATGGGACTTTCCTATCTCGCGCAAATGACAAATCGCATCAACAAGGTCATCACAGAGGGTCTGCAAAAATTGAATGGGTGTCTGACCGTGGGATTTGGAGGAGTTGGTTACGAAGTTGCATGTGTCCCTTTCCTGGCATTCTTTATAGAATGACATGATGTCGTTCCCCCAGTCCATCAACGAGATTAGGTATGGCACTGCTGGCAGACAGTAGGCGATAAACTCATGCTCAGTGAATTGCGAGCTAGGAAACAACATCACTGCATATGCCTCTGGCTCTCCGGTTTTGAGACGAAAATAGTTGGCAAAATCAGGCGCCGATGCCGGAAACTCAAGTGTTTCCTTGCACTCGGCTTCAACATAGCAAGCGCTGATGAACTGAAGGGCATCTTTGATGATCAAATCACCGGAGAACTGGCCAAATGTGGCATGTATCGTGTTACTTAGAAATTTGGCGTAAGACTCAAGCATTTCATTCTTTTGCTTTTGGCCACTGAGCAGACATCGACTGAATTGTTTGAGATCATCTCGCATGGTCGCATTATCGACAGCGTCGTCAATGGCGATGGAATATGTGGTAAAGATTGCAACAGCCACTCGCACGTCAAAGGGTGTGGATTGATATGCCAGTTTGGCGATCACGAGGCTTGGATTGACTGCCCGTGTCAATTTTGCCAGGTAGAAATCGGACAAGGCCTGATTTTGGAAATATTGTTTTACCTCCTCATCAATAGCAGAATCGTCATTTGCAGGCAAAATTTGATAATTGACGTCGCAAAGGAATCTTTGGAGAATTCCCGACAGCTCTGCCTTAAATTCGGAACTGCAAACGGCCGAAGGCATAGTGCTTTCCGAAGGGTTGATGAAAGTGATGGTCATCCTAACAATAGACCAGATGTTTGAAGTAGAGTTCAAATGAAGTAGTGTGCAACTTGATTGAATCCGAGTACAGAAATACCGGTCAGCAGAGATGTAAAATGAAATCTACCAACACTCAAAATAAAGCCAAGTACTCTTATGTCTCGGATCCGAAAATATTGTTGTTCGCCTAACGCAGGTAATACGTGATCTCAGCATCTCGTGCATATCTCATCACAGATAGCTCATATCACATGTCGATGAGCTGAAGAATTCAATGATCTTCCGCGTCAGATCGTCGTAGTCTAAATCTCAACCTTATCTGATCCGGCCCTCTCAACAGTGGCAGTTAACATCTTGCACACTTCCATGAAGGATACTAAAGATTATTGGCAAGTGACAAGCTCCAAACCGGAGTTTGTTTTATCGGGTTTTTCATTGCGAGGGAGTCGTGATCGGAGGCGTCAGTCAGCATTTCATCTACAATCGGAGCCCGCATGTTGATCCTGACTGAGGGTAAGTGGAGCTATGCATCCTCACCCAATTAAAATCATAGATGATACTGATACACGGAGACGCCGGAGACGTGGCTTGGAATAATCCTGATTGACCATAATCCTGCATTGGATTCGCCCAATGGAGCAGCTTATTCGCCCCGATTCATGCACATGGGGGCCACGATGACTTGTATATTTGATACCCCTCGTTCGGGTTCCGAAACTAAAAGTCTGACATGGCTACCTTGGATGAGTTGCACGGTCATGATTCTTTCGGTCGGGATCAATGTCTACTAAAGTTTTGGAACCCCAGTCTGAGGGTTTACACTGAACTGCAGCTGACATGTGTATTGATAAGAATGCCCAAAATGAGAATAGCAGATTCATCGCCGTCAACCTAATTTCAAATCTTGACAATGCACCGTGGTAACATTATGCTTACTGATACGATGATCCCAATGATAAAGCAGTTGTATGGTCTACGTGGTCAGTCAGGTAATGATCGACTGGATCGTTTCCCTTTCGTGATGGCTGTAGAAATTGCACTTCTGAAACATGACAAAAAGAATAAAAGCCCCCGGGGCCATATTTTTGAGTTGTGAAATCAACTTTTCAGACACGCAGGGTGCCTAATAGGTGGCCTTGTTCTTTGCCATTAGTGATATTCACGGAAAGGCGTCTCAGACCGTCCATAAGTATCAAGCCAAAATGATTTATCATATGCGAACTTACCGCTAATGCAGATTCAACATAGAGATGCATCGACCCCACTGTTGCTGGTTGGTCTATGAAACCCAAAACATCTTTCAAGATTAACCCCTCTCCCTTGTTTTTTAAATGCCTTGGGTTGTCATGTTTTTCTTTTATTGATCTGACACCTCCTTTACCCGTTCTTTTCCCCTAGAACGAACCTAGCAAGTATGGAAGAACCTCTCCCGCTCGAGTACAATACGTCGCAGAGTGTAGCAAGCAAAGAATTTTCGTTAGGATTCCTGAGAGGAAATGGTTCAACTGTTTTGTACTACTGTATCATTGGGACTGTCAGTTACTGGGTTGGGAACATGTTATACAACATCTATCTGCACCCTCTGAGAAAGATTCCTGGCCCAAAGCTGGCAGCATGCAGTGCTTTGTATGAATTCTACTGGGATGTTCTCAAACGTGGCAAGTATGTGTGGCAGATTGATCGCCTACATGAGCAGTACGGTAAGAGGTTCAATCATTCGGTCGGAGCATAAAAATCGATGACTGACCCGGGGATGGATTTGCAGGACCAATTGTGCGGATTACGCCCCGTGAAGTTCACATTAAGGACGGCCACTACATAAGCACCGTATTCGCTCCCTCCAACAGAATCCGGGATAAGGATCCTCAGTATACACCTGCTTTTGCCGCACCCGAGGCCGCTATTTCGACAGAACATCATGATTTGCATCGGTCTCGCAAGGCGTTGCTGCAGAGATTCTTCTCTAAACAGTCAGTTGTCAAGCTTGAACCGTACGTTTGGACCAAGGTCGACGAGATGGCAGATATTCTTCGTCAGGCTCATCAAGACAATGTCATTATCGACGGAGTAGGAATATTTGCTGGACTGACTGCCGATATAATCACTCAGTATGCGTTTGGAGAGAGTTTCGAGACCCTTGGCCGCGGAGAAGACATGAACGCGGTCATGAGTGCGGTAAGCGCTGTGACCATTACATTTCACTTTAACAGATTCTTCCCGATTCTACGTCCTATTATGTCCAAGATTCCTATCTCATTGTTCAAGAACCTTCTGCCTGGCCTAGCAGATGTAATTGAGAAGCAAAATACCCTACAAAGGATGTCACTTGGTGCCTTGGAGAGAAGAGCTTCTAAAACCCATGAAATGAAGACTGTGTTTGATTCTCTGACAGACGAATCGGTGCCTGAGAGAGAGCGTACCGTGAGCCGATTAATGGACGAGGCCTTCGTTATTTTAGGTGCTGGAACAGTCACAACTTCTCGAGCTGTGACCAGGATTGCCTTCCACCTTGCTCGGGATAAGTCCATTGCCCGGAAATTACGAGATGAACTTCGCACAGTGATGCCCACGCCTGACGCGCATCCTGAATCACACCAACTAGAATCTCTATCATACCTTGTGAGTACGATTATATTGGATAGTCTTTCATCTATACTGACGAAGAGCAACAGAATGGAGTTATTCAGGAGGGAATCCGTCTCACCTTCGGGGTCACAATGCGTCAAGTTCGAATAGCACCAACTGAGACACTCATCTACAAGGACTTTGCAATTCCACCCGGAGTAAGTCAACACTACTATATAGGACATAAACTATTGCATCCTTCAAGAACAAGCCAAAGCTAAATCCAATGCTGACTGATAACGTCCTAGACGCCGATTTCACAGTCGACTGTTCTCACCAATCTAGACCCTACACTTTTTGCAGACCCACATGAGTTTTACCCAGATCGATGGGTAGAAAATGGAAATGAGCTATCCCAGTTCATGTTTTCCTTTTCAAAAGGAAGTCGACAATGCCTAGGCATGAAGTATGTTCTTTAATGACTGGACCTACCCTGCATGCAACAAAGCTGATCTGATATAGTATGGCATACGCAGAACTGTTTATAGCAGTAGCAAAATTAGGACGGTGGTTTGATCTAGAGCTTCACGAGACGAGTGAGAAGAACGTGGTTATCACGCGGGATCTTGGTGTTGGGTCTCCTGAAAACGGGCCCTTGAAGGTTCATCTGAAAGTGAAAGGACTGGCAACTTAATAGATGAGCGTGCTCCTTAGACGGTCTACCGATTCACTCGGACTATAATGGGGGCATACTAGAAAGCAACCTGAGATGAAATAGTTGCAGTTGCATTTAAGACTTGCCTTGGCACTCTAACCACGGAATTTTGACCAAGCAGAAGTTGCTCATTCGGCATGATGAAACCCCTATCTTAAACAATAGAGTATGAGCTCTTTCGCTGGATCCCCAGCCAAGGATAGAGATCAGTATATTGTCCACACAGAAATGTCCATTATCCGCTGTTTTCCTCAAGACTAACGGAATATTGGCCCCTTTCTCCGTATCCAGAAACAGTGTCACATTGACGGTGATGATGCACTCGTGAATTTCAACATCAACTGCACATAACTTGGTACTCCATTGGTAAAAAAAGATATATCTAGTAAGGCTTTACCACTACCAGTGTAGTCCATAGCCATCCAAGTACAGAAGGCCGCTTCGAAACAGAACTCGTTACCGCCTCATGGTAGCAATGCAAAACGATCCACGACAAGATGCAAAAGCAAACAATGTCCTATTTTCAACCTAGGCAAAATAGTTTGCATGACTGTATGGTTCTGGTGACCTAATTTACATCTGACAGGAACAAAGATACTGGGTCTTTAGACCTTCATCCATACATCCTCATTCTGGTCTGGGAAGCTCTCACGGTATGGATATTTCTCAATCCATTCCTCGGCACCAAGAACAGTTGCGTGCTTCTCGTAGAACTCGCTCAAGACATCATTAAGTTCTGTCAAGTGTGATCAGACTGTGGAATTCATCTTAGGAGATGGTGATGGTACTCACGTTTGACTGCAATAGGGTCGGAAGGCTGCAGTGAGAATCGAGAAAGACCTTCCCTCCATAGCACCAGTGCAGAGGGAATTGGAGTACCTGGGACTATGAGTATTTCTCATATCTTAGTTTAGGGCAGCAAATAATCATACCTCGCTCGATACAGACAACGGAAGGGTCTAAAGGACACTTGCCGTCGTCGATACCTTCCTGGTAGTGCTCAAGGTCAAACCTGAGCATCTGCTGCATAAGGCGAGAGTTGGGCATGAAGATCGGCCCATTGGAGTCTATTATGATAGATCAGCAAGCCATTTCATGTGGAATTGCCGACTGCAAGAGCTGGACGGAAGCTGACTCACAGGGACTGGACTTGGAGATGTTTGCATGAACCAATCCGTCTTCGGATACTTTGATGCCGTCCTTTCTGTGGCGAGTCTCGTCCTCACTCGCGTCGTACATTGTCGCATTCCGGTGTAGTTGGAATCGATACATTGTTGCTGGGAAAGAACTATGTGTGGATAGAAGAGAGAACTTTCGGGCATTGCCGGGGTTCAACCGGGTGGCCTTAATCCAATGACTCCCAAGCATGATGACAACGTGTTTATTAAGCCTTATTACAAGGGAAAACACAAGAGAAAATTCAGAAGTATAGAGATCTGGATCTCAAACGACTCACAAAGGGGAAACAGGTGACGTCGAAGCTCTGAACTGCCGCTGGGCGGTCAGCCGGCTCGGTGACTCTTTTGGAACTTTTGAACTTCGAACTCAACAACGGTGTATTTTTGTTGTCTACAGAATTTTCTGAGCCTACCAAATAGGCACTCGACAGCAGTGGTGGCATGGGAAGTTAAATTTGGGAAATAAGGGTACGGGGGAGAAAGAGACTCGACTCAGCGGGTTTCTGTTACCTTGTTTCGAATGTTTATATCAGTTCCTCTTGCTTTGCGTTTGCTTTCTTCCGGCTCATCCAAGTCAGTCTTTTTATTTTCCCAGCGCAAAGCGATCGAAGAAACAAGGGTCTCTTAGATATATATATGGGTGGCAAACCATGGTGGCTTTTCCCCTTCAGTGTTAAATGACATTGCCTAGGAAGGTCCATTATTATGGGATGCCCGTCATGGGTGATGCTATCTATATTCAGTAATTGACAATGCGTGTGCGAATATGTTCAACCATGTCTGCCGGCAACTCTTCCGGATTCACCAGGCCCATTTGCAGGAGATCAGACCAGAAGAACATGGCTCTGTCCTGGGAATATGCCAGGTAATCAAAGCCCTCTTCCTCATGGGCATCGGATTCTGCCGGGGACATCAAAGCCTCCTCTTTGATATCGAGAGCTTTTTCATTGTTTGAGGCACCGTTCATTTTTGCGATGCCCTCTTCCATACCAGGGATTTTGGCTTGGACGATACCCCACGTCGCCCAGTTTACTGAGCTGATTACACGCCACAAACGTGTTTGTTTCATCAAGTCGCGCACTCCCTTCTCCAAATCTTGCTCGAGAGATTGGGCTTGATTCCAGGACGACTCTGTGGGATTTTCGTCAAGATCAAGGGGCGTGATAGCTGGGGCATTACGGCCAGAAATGACTGGTGATATGTGTCCGGCAGCTACGCTTGCGGGACGATGTGTCAAGTAATTGGAGATAAAGCGATACTGTTCCTCGGGTGTCGGGTACATGCGATTATTGCAAGCCCATGAGCGCCCTTCATCGTGGTAGTTGTAACACCATTCGGTCTGACTTCATTAGAACATGTCTCCAAGCTAACATTGCTCTGGACTCACAAAATGATTGGCAAACTCATATCCACGCGTGTTGGCATTTGCATACTCGAAATCGATGACAACAAGCTGCTTGTGCTCATTCGCGGGCAGGAGTAGTGGCGATTCCGTCGCAGGCTGCATTCGGAGCAAATTTCCATATTGTGTCTACCGAAGTCAGTACCAAGGCAGATGAAATGCAGACGGAAACATACATCGTTATGGGCGAACACAAGTTGTCGCTTGATCTCATCCATTCCACCACAGGTAGCGATGAGCCAGGCCCTATATCTGTCTACGGCTTTGCGAAATGTCGCCCATGGCACACCGAAAACAAATCCCCGTCGTCGCCACGATTCGGTGGCTGCTTTAGCTTCATTATCTGGTGATTGTACCTCTTTGTCCAACCAGGTTGTCAACCTTTCACAGTGATCTACCCATTTCTCGTAGTCTTGGAAGACTTTCGGTCCACCCTCCCGCTCCTCCTTAAGAAGTTCTATACCATCGTGAAGCTCCCGCATTCGCTTGGCAATATGCTTAGCAGTCTCCGGAACTCGCAAATCTTGCGCTGTCAAGGTGCGAGCCTCCAAGAATTGCTCAAATCGACCGTTTGTGAAAGTCCCAAGCACGCGCGGGCCAATGTTCTTTCGACCAAGACGGCGCAGAATTTGCAATTCCTTTTCACGGTCGATGAGGTGCTCAGCCTGGGGACCATAAATCCGAAGCAACAGTTTTCTATAATACAATTAGCTTTGAAAGAGTCAGAACAGACCGTTACCATATACTCACGGAGGAGGCTTCTTAGAGACCAAAGAATTGGAGTCACTCTTCAGAGGGAGATTCTTGGGCGGCTGAACCACATATACCGCATTAGTCAAGGCGCCACTAAGTCGCACCACTTCAATGTCATTGGCCCTTTCCATTGGGACTTTGCGCCAGCCACGGAGCTGTAAAGTATGTGCGAGACGAAGAATCCCAGTTCTAAACGTCTGCCAAGCTTCTCGATCCTTCACTTGCTTTGAAGATATGCTGCTGTCAACAGTATCGTCATCTGCAGCGACACTTGAGTTGTACGCCAGGGTCTTGGAGTTGTCAAGAACTGCCTCAACGCCGGGGACTGGAGCTTCGACATCGGTGTAATCAGATTCCGAGGCAGAGCCTCGGCGAAGGCCTTTTAGCTTTCGTCGGGCTACCCGGTTCACAGATTGAAGTGCATCCAGCGCATCCAGACCGTGCGCGCGCGAGTACTGCATAAGAATCTCTTCCAACTTCTCCAGAGGCAGAATAGATCCAGGACGGTGACTGGGTTCCCCTGATGCTTGTTGATCAGTACCAGGGTTCTCTGTGAGGTTTGAAACGGCGTCATCCCGTCTGGATTTGTGAACACTGTGCCGGGACTTCTCGTTCTGCAGCCATTCTGATACTTGGTGAAACAAACTCAACTGGTGTTCTTCATCGGGCTTCTTAGGCTGGACATTTTCTTTCAATGTCAGAGAGTCTAACTTGGCGCTAGCCTGGTTGGTGATCATGGATGGCATGTAAGTAGGTTGAATCGGTGGGCGGGCGGTGGCTTTGAGCACGGATGCGCGATACTGCCTCAGCGACGACGTGTCAGGTGGGGTGGCAGAGGTAATGTGAGTTTCATCTGCATGCAAGGACTTCTGTGAAGATATGTTTAAGCCGGTTCCCGAAATAGGCGGCGAGTCTACTGGCAATCAGTAAGTTTAGGATTAAACATGAGTCAAACGCGCAGAGCACCACAATGTGATATCCTTCAGTAATTACTGAGTATAGCAGTGAGGTGCGGGGACGAAATTTGCCAGGCGCAGTGATACGACGACATGAACGGGGACACCTTACCTGCAACTCCGGGGTCACAGCCACCATTCTTGTGCGAGGGCATGGGGTCTGAGCGCCACTAATGGGTGAAGTGGCGTCTATAAACTGAAAAACGGGGGTATCGCCAGAGATGGTCCACAAGGGAAGATTAAGGATGTTCATTAAAATGTATACACGAGTGAGCGCCCAACAATTATTGAAGTTACCCCAAACATAGCGGGGGCTGGATTTACATGTGATAGAGCGACTTTATGCCTTAGGCAAAAGGGGATCACGTGATACAGTAGATCACATGATCCTGTTCCATCCACGTGCTCCTTGGCCCACATCGAGCCTTGGCGCCAGTGATTGCAGAGATATCGGTGCTATTCAATTGGCAGTTGCCAAGTGCCGATGCAGAAGGGATCTGCGGGGGCGTGATCCTGGCCATTGGTGCTGCCAAGACCCACTTCCTTGGAATGCGCCCAGCCCCGGAGATCACATGTTGATAGCGACTCGTCGCATTTCTCTCCTCATCCCACTTTACCCTAAATGCACGTTGCTGGGCTTCAACACAATGACACGTCCTGTACCGTTGATCAAGGCCCAGAATGGCCTGGTTAGCTTTAGCTCCACAAGAGAACGGGAATTCTACAAGTAAAGCGACTGTGCCCTCCCTCGAAGGCTATACTTATACTGACTTGGCAGGTATCTGCCCCTGTCGAGACATACAGTGCCGCATGTCAATCTTGACACCTGTGTTGGAGATTTAACCCCTCGAACATCCCCCGATTCATCACTTTCCGCATTTGCTCAACTCGGCGCATTGCGGTTAGATGCTCAACGAGCCACAATCTCGCTTTTTGGTCGACATGAACAGCACATTCTGACCGAAGCAACCCAATCGCTCAGCTTAAGGGATGACAATGACCATAAAACTCTGGATGGGCTCTGGGTTGGGGCTTGTACTATGTCCTATGACCGCGGTTTCTGCGCAGCCATTGCCAGCTCCACGTCCTCTTCAACACAGTCCCCCACAAATGCGGTCTTCATTGTTCCGGATTTAACTCAAAACGAGACTTATCAAGACCACCCAGATGTCACGGGCGATCCTAAGATCCGCTTTTTGGCTCACGCTCTAATAGTTAGCCCAAAAGGAATTGTCATTGGTGTTTACACCATTCTCGATGATAAACCTCGATCCTCCCTGAATTCCGAGGAGATGAAATTCCTGAAAGATATGGCAGCAACATGCATGGACTATTTGGTGACCAACCGGGCTAAAAGTCAACATATCCGAAGTGAACGCATGATTGTCGGACTAGGAAGCTTCCTAGAGGGAAAAGGCAGTCTGCGTAGCTCCTGGGTGGATAAGACCGACGGAGGCGCGACAGCCGGTCAGGACAACAAAACCGAAGGAAGCGTGAGCACCCAGCAACAGGACAAACAACATCTAGGTGGTGTCGGTCTGGCTCAACCACGCAAGGACAGCCAGAGTCTGCCTTTTCGCTCAGATCAGTCTGATACCCCACTGAACACGAAACCAAACACTTTGCGGGGGCGTGCGAGTCCCATGCCGAGATCAAAGAGCAACACGTCACGAGATGGGCGGAATCGCGCAAAGGCCTACCCAGAAACCAAACACAAATCGAAAAAAGAGGTGTCTGTTAGTCAGATTGAAGACACGTTCGGGCGCGCCGCCAACATCGTTCGCGAAAGCCTCGAGGTTGAGGGTGTTGTTTTCTTCGACGCTAATTCTGGTGGGCAAGATGCTTTTGTGACCAACGAAAGAGCAGATCATGATGGTTCTTCGAGTGAGAATGAAAACAAAGCGAAAAAGGAGTATACGCAGTCAGATGTCGCCCAATCATTGCTCGAAAACTCTGGCAAAGAAACGTTGAACGCGTGCAAAATTCTAGGATTTGCCACATCTAATGCTGCTAGCGTCAACAGTGAGTTGACTGGAGATGCAAAGCTTGCTTTGTCGGAATCACTGCTTGCTGGCCTCTTACGCCGCTATCCTAGTGGCAAGATTTTCAACTTCACCGAAGACGGTTCCATTTCATCTGACGACACCAGCGATTCCATTTTTGAGACATTCAATTCTCGCGTGGGCAAGAAATACAAGAAAACGCGAAAATCTGTCCTACGTCATGATGCCTTAGCTCTATTGAACATGGCACCGGGTTCTCGAAGTATTATTTTCTCGCCGGTCTGGGATTCTCATAAATCGAGATGGTATGCGGGAACATTTGCATGGACAAAGACCATGCAGCGCGTCTTCACTCTAGATGATGAATTGACTTTCTGCACCGCTTTTGGCAGCAGCGTTATAGCCGAGGTTCATCGTCTAGGCGCATTGTTTGCGGACCAAGCTAAGGCTGATTTACTGGCCGGTCTCAGCCACGAACTTCGATCTCCTCTTCATGGTATCTTCGGCACTGCAGAGTTGTTGAATGACACCATAATGGATGCTCTTCAACGGGGACTTGTACACACTATTTCATCTTGCGCAAACACATTGCTTGGCTCAATCAACCAGCTTCTCGAGTTCTCCGGTATCAACGATATCCAAAAAAAACACTCTCTGAGCGCATCATCAGATTCTACTTCCTTAGCCCCCAGCGAAAACGGATCTATAACTAGAGGCCGCAATACTGAATCCATCATCCATTTGGATGTTGCTGTTGAAGAGACTCTTGAGACAATTTTCGCCGGTTTCTGCTTCTTCCACAAATCGCGCCTTCCGCTCCGGGGTGGGACTCAGAAGAACGGTAAACAGACTGGGTTTGTCGGCTTAGCAGGAGGCGTGAAAATGATCCTCGACATTGACTTTGCTTCTCATAGCACCTTCTTCACTCGCCCTGGGGCGTTGCATGTTATCCTCACAAACATGGTGGGAAATGCCTTAAAATACACCCAGCAAGGGTATGTCTATGTCTCAGTTAAGACGGAACCTAATGAGCTCGGGGAGAATGATGAACCTTTGCGTTCCAAGATGACACTATCTGTCCAAGATACAGGATGCGGCATGGACTCAGAGTTCCTACAGAATGGATACTTCACTGCCTTCTCACAGGAAGATTCTCTGCTACCTGGAAATGGCTTAGGTGCCAACATCACACAAAAAACTGTTTCATCACTTGATGGTGAGCTTGAGGTTCGGTCTCAAAAGGATATTGGGACTCAAGTTGATGTAATCCTTAAACTGGACAACGCCCCGCGGCATGTGGAATCCAAAAAAGATTCGGGCGACGACCCTCAAAACGACTTCGTTGTTTCGACAAGGCGCCTGGTGCGTCACAAGTCCATCGGAATACTAGGTCTCGGGTCGTCCGAGCTGGACAATAGCGTGTCTTCAAACCTGCAAAAGATATGTCAGGAGTGGTTTCAAATGGATGTTCACCTCGTCATTCCATCACATACACATTTCCCCCACTGTGATTTCTACATCTCGCCCTATGAATACTTGGACATTGGAAACCTGGAGATCAAGTCTATCGCCCCTGACTCGGATGCAAAATTCCCCTCTCCTGTTATTATAATATGCTCATCCCCGAGAGTCGCTCATTCGCTGTACTTGGCAGCTCGCCAGCGCGGTGATTCAGATGTCCTAGAGTTCATCTCTCAGCCCTGTGGGCCTCAAAAGCTAGCAAAATCCTTGGATAATTGCCTGAAACGCCAAAATCGCCGTTTTGTTGGAGCCGCGACCCCAGCACACTCAAGGATCTCCGAATTTGAAAGGCTTAGAAGTCAAATGTTTCCCACTCCTGTGGAAGACTCCAGGAAAGAGTCGGCAGTAACACCGACAAATCATTCGCCGCCAATGGCAAATCAGGGTCATACGGACCCAGCACCAGGAAAGTCTCCATTAAACCAAGCGGATTATTTCTCACTTCTAGCGCCTGCCCTAGCTCCTCCCCAAGAGGGCAAGGAAACCGCAATGAATGGGAACCAACCGCAGCAAGGCCCCCCAATGGCCCTATTAGTTGATGATAATGAGATCAACATCTCTTTACTTGTTGCTTTCATGAAAAAGCTGGGTCTTCAATACCTGATTGCACGCAATGGACAAGAGGCCTTGGAATCCTTCAAGGAAAATAATTCTCAAGTCAGCATTGTTCTTATGGGTAGGGTTCGCTTCGGGGTGAGATCTGACATATGGATATTAACTCTTTCACAGACATCACCATGCCGGTCATGGATGGTTTGGAATCCTCACGGCAAATTCGTGCTTTTGAAAATGTCTTAGAGGGACATGACCGTGTTCCAATTGTCGCTCTGACTGGTGTCGCCCAAGCGGAGGTTGAAGACGAAGCTATCAGCTCGGGGATGAACTTGTTCTTGACGAAACCTGTGCGATTGGATACTATTGCGCGAGTCATCAAGGACCACGTGGGCGTCGTTGAACCCCTGCCAAAAGGTAATGGTAATGGTAAAGTATCGGAATGCGATTCTGGAAAAGACGACATTGAGCGGTAGGTTACCTCAATTCTAGAATCCTAATATTGCAACCTGAGTTCAGAACTTGTCTTTCATCGTTTGAAAGATCTCTTCTTTTCAAACTTACTAGATCAGTTGGCTATAGACTTCGCTTTTCGATTCGCCGTGTAGATATTTCATAAGAGGGAAGTCAGAAGTTCACTCGGTAGGGTCGTCTCTTTCTTCTATTTCTTTCATTTTCTTTCGTCGTTTTTACCACGAGAAGTAGACCTTGGTTTAGAACTAGTCTACATTTCTTGGCCTGCGAGGACGATGCCAGTAATATAGATGCGGTCATTTAAGCTTGACAACGTGAGTCTCGAACATCGTAGGCAATATGCCTGATACTAACTTTGCCCTTCTTGCACGCCGTCATTTGAATTCATTTTCCCCTAAGAATAACCTTGAATCTTGCTCATATCTGATGAAGTGGCAATAGCTACGGCCTAGCGTGACCTTGGTCTCAAATAGCATGGTTTATATGTAAGTGCTAAACCCCCCCCCCCCAACCCCCCCAAAACAACTGCAATACCCAAAATGCGCTAAAATACCGCTAGTCTTGGGGGGGGGGGGGGGGGGGGGTTGGCTTTTCAGCATTTCACAAAATTTACTCTACACCACCTGATTAGCCCTAATCACGGCATCTACTGCACTGAATTTTCAATCTCAAAGCAGAGAGAGAGATTGTCTCCCAATGGTCTATTATTTCTCAAGTATATGTAAATCTAACAATGGACTCAAAGATCAAGTCTTCCACGTGGCACTCCAACTGGCATTCTGAAAGGGCCAACCACCAAGCCCAATACTAAGGAGACCACTCCCCTCGATCTCCTCTGCGTTGGATTTCAACTCATCAACATCCCAATTTGCCCACAAAAACTTTCCTTTCAAGAATTGAGCCTCAGGACTCGCAAGCCAAACATTGAAGTTCGCCGGTAGAGAAACTAACGCAACATTAGTCTGAGAACATTCCCTTTACCGCGATGATCCTTACCATGATCCTCGATACCAATAGCTTCAATACCTCCAGCCTCTTTGTTCATATCGGTGTCGACGATTCCAGGCTGGATATGGAATATGCAAAGGTCCGGATTCCCAGCAGCCACGGAATCCCAAAGTCGGAATACTGCCAGCTTGGCGACGTTGTACGCAGAAAAGCCAGGGCCAAAATTCACATGCGCAACGGAGGAATTAATGTCAATAACTGTTGCATGCTTAGATGCATGACGAAGGAAAGCCTGTGAAACAAACAAAGTTCCTCGTAGGTTCTGATTGACGGCATCTAGAAACATCTCGCCATCTACATCCCGAACAGGATCCTGGGGGCCGATCATGGCCGCGCCACTGACCAGAATGTCGATTTTCGCGGATTGAGCAAAGCTTTCAAAAGCTGCGTCAACCTGAGTCCTGTTGGTGACGTCGGTAGCAGCCACAAAAAGCTCGATATCGGGGAATTTCTCCTCGATAGCAGCTTTGGTCGCTAGAAGGGGCTCTTTGCGGCGGCCAAGAAGGGCCAGTCGAGAAGCACCTGCTATGGCGAAAGACATGGCTGTCTCTGCGCCAATTCCAGTGCCACCCCCTGTCACTATTACTGTCTTGCCTTCGGCAGAAAGTTCAGGACGGTTGGGAGAGATGGCTGGGTAACTCTCTGTATGCCATGTCGCAGTCGGAGATGGGAACGGCGCAGCCATGGTGGGTAAAAGGTAATTTGGTATGGAATTTGAGTAATCAGGAGTGGTTATTGGGTTGATTGCTGGATGGAGAGCATTGTTTTGAAGGAAACATGGCCATATTTAAGTCTAGATCGCTTTGCGCTGGGAATAAATGACGGAGTTGTACAATTTGAGGCTCGGTAATCCTTTTCGAATAACCAGCAGGTCCAGGCCATAGAAGATAGATTGCTCTGAAATAAATCCAATCGGAAAATCTGTACAAACACCGAGGCTGAGTGGCATGCCATGCTCGGCCTTTCGCAAATTGACCATGCTCGGCCCAAACAAATTGTCGCGCGCCGAGCTGACAAATAACGTTAACAGCCTCTAGGAGCCGGGGGAGGGGGGACACAACATTGAATGAAATGACCGATTCTCAACTTTGCGCTCAACACATCCTCAATACATCTAATTTGAAATGTCCGAAAGAACAGTAGAGGCTGTGCTGCGATGCGGGCAATGCAACAAACCATTCGATAAAGGTGACTCGCACATCTTCCCCATGCCGCATTTCCGCTGACGTGGTTGTAGAGTCCACATTAAAGAGGCATGGCTACTATTGCCGATCTCAACGCATTGGCTACGCTCCAAAACCTCGGTCATGTCTTTCTTGTGCGGGGCGCAAGATGCGCTGCGATAAGATGAAGCCCGGATGCTCGAGGTGTAAAGCCAAGGGTATTGAATGTCACTATGTCACCAAGTCAGTGAAGGTTGCCAGTAACAACCACCGAATCCGTCGCAATGCGCCAGAGAAACAGACTGATGCGGGGGATACGTTTTTATTACCTCCCTCGGACATTCAGTATCATGTGCACTCAAATGACGATGATGTTACAAGCGGCGACAATGCGCTTGTTATATCAGAAACCCACGTCGCCGACCACGATGGAACCTTTGTCGATTGGAACATCTCAGATATTGATGTAAGCGGGTTTGCCATCCCTGAAATAAACAATAGTTACCACGCGCCATACACCGATACTACATCTATCGTTGATCAAGTCCACGCCGTAAATTGGTCTATACCGTCACAGCCAACATCAAATCCAAGGTATCTCAATCATCGGCCGAAAGGTCCACCAGATGCACAAAGAACGGTCTCTCTGATTCAACAAACTTTGAAGTCCTACCTCCTGACAATGATGCGCCATAACGCCCTACCCCCATTCATCCATTCAAGTCTCACAAAAGACTCATTGGAATTGGAGGCACTGGACAACTGCATTACTCTGGTGCATATGATTAGCAGTGGGACAAGAGGAAGCCGAAAGCTTTTTTGGAAGAATGTGAAGATAGAATGTGAGCGGCTGCATAGCGAGGTAGGTCATAACTGCTCTGAATGGGGGACAGTCGAGTGTAATGGCAAACTGCTCATTCAATTCTAGGCTTGGAACTTATCAAAGTGGGGACTGCTAGCCGCTATGCAATCGGTGTCGATTTACATCCTGTTCAGGCTGGATGAGGGCGAGGCAGAGTACAATAATTTCGATTCGCTGATGCTTGCAACAGTTGCAGTAAACTTTATCCTTACTTTGCAGTCTACTTTGTATTTTCGTGAATTTTCTAACGACTATATACAGGTCATAGCCCAGCAACTTACCCAAAACGATATGGCAAGCAACTACAGCCTGGGTCAAAATTGGAACGATTGGCTTTATGAAGAATCAAGACGAAGATTGGCGGTCATCTATCGAGTCATGAACATATTGGTGTACTTTGACCCTGCAAAAATGTGCAATTTGCCCTCAGATCTAGTATTGGCACCACTCCCGACGAAGAAAGAGCTCTGGGAAGCGAGTGATGAGCGGGCTTGGAATTCGGAGTGCCAGAGGAATCCTGCAGGAAGAACTGACTTTGGTCTGGCAAAGGGTGGAGAGCTCATAAGACTAGGTAGTGATTGCAGGGGTGACACATTAGTTCATACTGCTATCACTTCCACCAGTCCGTTGCGACACTGTGCGAGCTGGGAGGAATGGTGTTCTGGAATGGATGGGTTTGGGCGCCTTATTATGCTTACTGCTTTATTGGCACAGTAGTATGGAGGATCATCTGTCGTTCGCCCTAAACAGCCACCAAATGCTTATTGGGGGCTCTTGCTGGTGTTCATCGCGAAGTTGAGTTTCTGCCCAGTTGGGCAAGCATTTAGGGTTATCAATGCAAACAGTGCAAACAGCGATAACGATCGATAAGAATTACAAAAAAAGACACACGATAAAGCTTTCGAACCTGGGAATTATCACGTCGAACAGGTCATTGAGTCAAATCGCCTTAGGCTTCGATATAAACATCTTCAATATCCGTCTTTCTCGGAAACCGCAAGCCCCACTCCCCCAAAACGCCATAAATCCAAAAAAGGAAAAGAAAAGCAATGTTTCAATCCCGCCTCAGACCCCTCCCCCGCGCCAATCCCACCACGACAGTTCAAAGACCGGACTTCGGAGATAACAATGAAGAAATCGACGACGAATCTCAAGAAGATATTTTCAGCAGCTACCTAGCCCACCTCCTTCCAGATGATGCGCCTTCCTTCCACGGCGATCCAGGTCAACACCTCCTCTACAGCTCTCCCCGCTATGGAGAGCTAGATATTATGGTCCCGAGCTATCCAGGCGAAAGCCAAAATCGTTCTGATGAAATCGCTGCCGGACAAACCAGCAAGGTCGACGAGGGCCGCAAACTGTTTGCCCATTTCCTTTGGAGTGCAGCCATGGTTGTTGCGGATGAAATCGAGTTAGCCGACGAGGCTGATTCGAAGAATACTTGGGCTGTTGAGGGCGAGACTGTGCTGGAGCTAGGTGCTGGTATGCATTTCACTCTCTCATATTGTAGCAAGGTCAATGGCTAATCACCCTATCTAGGTGCCGGCCTCCCATCTATAATTTCCGCGCTGTCCAAAGCCTCCGCGGTCACGATCACAGACCATCCATCTTCACCAGCCCTCAGTGGCGCAATAAAATTCAATATCAGCTACAATCTTTCGAAGAGAACCCCACCACTCGATCAAAATGTCTCTATACAGCCACACGAGTGGGGAGTCTTGGACGATGAATTCTCAATCCAGAAGAAAGGCTCTTTTACACGGATCATTGCAGCCGATTGTTTCTGGATGCAAGACCAACATCAGAACCTTGCTCGGACGATGCAGTGGTTCCTTGCGCCTGGTGGACGGGTGTTCGTCGTTGCCGGCTTTCACACTGGCAGGCCGATTGTGGCCGGGTTTATTGAGACGGTGCTTGAGAATGGCTTTGTCATCGAATCAATTTATGAGAGGGATGCAGTAGAGAGAGCTGAAGATGGATCGGAGATCAGGAGGGAGTGGATGCCGGTGAGGGAGGGAGAGGTTGATAGGAGCAGGTGGTGTGTTGTTGCTATTTTGAAGAGGGAGTGAGTGCTTCTTTGGGGTTGCATTCTATCCTGCTCATACTTACAAGCAGGGTTTGTTTCTGATATTAAATTTTGACTCGAGGTGAGGCCTCGAAGCAGCATTTAAGAAGAAATTCAAAGTACCACTTACTAAAAATAAAGGTGTAACTACTCCAGGATCTTTATGAAATACGTCCTGTTTATGTATAGAGAAATATAGTTAGCTACATGCATATCTTAGATCAAACCGTAAGAGATTGGATGGTTTTAGAAATTAGCCTTTGTTTACCAAGATAGATCCATAGTTCTCATCTTCTCATTCTCACCCTCACTGAGCCCTAAGTTTCAAATCTCAACCTCCACCGCTTCCCAGCCACTGCTTGCTGATTTTATCTGTTTTAATTATTACTAGTTGCTTATTACACGTCTCAATAAGCTACCAATATCCAGTGGAAGTAAATTATAGCGCTTTCAAAAATTAGCATCCAAGCTAAAGTGCATAACGTCCGGGTAATTTGTGTAAAGTAAGAGGCTTGTGCTGCAGGGGGTTCCTTCGGCCCAGTGAGGCTATATGTTGACCATGATTCTACGTTTCCTTTAGAATATGAGCCTTAGTGCTCTTTGCTAGGGTATCGATGAAAAGGACGAGTGAGGTATCAATGCAGTCTCGTTTATTGAAGAGTGATCACACTATAAATGCAGGGTGACTTGACTAGTTAAGAGCACTTAATTCACTACATGCGACAAGTTTTGAGGACCCAATCAAGATTTGTCTCAAACAAAAAAAAGCTTCCATGATTATTGAACTCCAGATTACCTGGTGTAGAATGAGCTTCAAAATGCGGCTAAATAAATCGAACAGGTAACGCTTGCAAAACGGTAAATCCTTTCAAGGATCTCCGAGGGGCTTTTGACGCATCTTGTGAATCACCACGTCAGCCTTTCTATCTCGTTCCTGTTCAACATCGTATTCAGACTCGTTAAATACCACCAGTACTTTTAGGCAGCAATGTGCATCTCGAACCATTTGTTGAAGTCCGTCTAGAAATCTCTCTCGGTGATCGTACTGATTGTAATCCAAACATCGATCCGACCTATCGACTGTGATATACAATGTCTGAGACTTGTCGAATAGTCGCACTACTCGGCTAGCAATGTTGAACAGCATATTGATCTGTTCGTTGTTTCCGAATTTGTGGGATTCTTGGGGCGACTTGTTACTTCGAAACTTATGTAGTTCAGCGCGGAGAGCATCCCGCTCCTTGTCAATTCGCAATGAAGCCTTGTTTTTCCAAAGCAGTTGCAGTAGAATGGCGGGAAGAGCTTGATAAATCGGTGCTCCTGTCCTAGGAAAAATGTAGTAGGCATGATGCTGTGGGTGTGTCCGTCGACGAGCTTCAATCGTAAAGAATGCCACCTTGGATAGCCAGCAGTTATCCGTCCATGCGCCGTAACAATTCTTTCCGCACAAAATCAAGAGAGTCGACCTTTTTGCTGAGTCCCATTCCTGGAAGACACCAAGCTCAGATAGATGGGAAGGCTCAATTTGCTGCAGGAATGACGAGTTGATGTCACGGTCCATGTGAAAGGAACTGATGTAGTCTTTAAGATCCTCTTCTTGAAAGGATTCGGAGAATCCCTCGAGGCTAAAAGTGCGACGAAAATCATCCAATTCTTTGTCTGTGAGCTGGTCTTGCAATGCTACATACTTTGTGTTATATTCTTGTCGCACATGACGAGGAAGAAATTTTCTCACCTAGCACTTCTTGTTGCAAATCTGTATACAGTCAGCTACTTCTAGCCTTCGATAATGTTGCGAAATTTGAAAACTTGAATATACCTTCATTGCTTTGCTTTATTTTATCCACGTTCTTGGCCAGTAATTCCTCTCCCAGCAGTTTGATTTCGACAATTGCATCTTGTACGGAGATAGCTGCCTGTGAGACAGTTGTGTTCGACGGAGCCAGGGCCCTTAAAAAGCGCTCTATGTACAAAATGTGAGTACCATCTCATCATAAACTGGATGAGACTTACTGAAACCACTCCCCATGTAGTATTTCGTGGCAGCAATGCAAAAGTCAATGAACTCGGTATAAGCTAGGACAAGTTTACCCTGGAAAATCTTATCAAGAGAATGATCCTCATCATAAATCCTTCGATACATTTCAATTCCTGGTAGGCGGTCTCGAATAGATTTTAATGTTGACGCCAGTGTTGCTTCAATGCCATTTTTGTTCCGAGCAATCTATGCCAGCTGTTGATGATTTTATCGACAGACAAAATGAGAACGAATACAAGTACTTACGATGAAAAGGATCGATATGGTACAAAGAGCGATTCCTCCATACGGAGGAGCGCAGTCTTTAATGGTTTCCACGATGGGTGAAAAGTCCTTTAGGAAGCCAAATACCAAATCACCCGATTCCTGGTAGCGCTTCATAAACAGTCCGCAGCCTGCTCCATGAGCATCGTCGTAATGTCCTTTGGACTGGACCAGCATTTTCCAGTTTTCTTCAAATTCTTCAGCACTCTCAACAAGCGTCAAAGTCTTTTCTTTCTCTGAAAGACTTTTCTGCTGCAGAACACTGTCCCGAAACTCGCGTTGAGCATTTTCCGACCGTTTCAAAGATTCCCTTTCGGTATTAGCTTTTTCCGCATGGAGCCTATCAGTATATCTTCATACCAGTCTTGGCTAGAAAGCCTCTGGGGTTGCTTTTGTTCCCTTGCTAGCATGGTCAGTAATTCAGATTTGGTTCCTAATTCAATTATAGGCTCTCCGTCGCCCCGTTGTAGATACAGCGCTGTATCAAGATTCTCCGTAGAAGGAATGCAAAGGTTAATTTAACGGCAATAAAAGATTATTGCACATGGGCCATAGATGACAGACTTCTTAAAGGACACCGGGGCTCGGTCCGGTCTATATTCATTTTGGCCCCCTACGCACGGAGTCCCAACTGCGACTAAAAAAGTACGATTGGATAAGGCAGGGGTATTCTACCCCTCCTACTCCTCATCAGACTCCTCTATATATAGACTTGTGAGTAATTATCAGCGCTTACAGCGGGCTTACGTGGTTTCAGCTGAAGTACGTACCTAGCTGGCTCTTTTTCGCTCATCTTCTTACACTCCATGCGTGTAAACGAACATTTCCAAGAAACTGCTTGAAAGCCGCAAACTCATGGACTCTGAAATGGTGAGTCCACATAATTTTGATTGGTGATCACTCAATTAATTTAAAGTAGTCGTTGCTTTCGAAGATAGAGGAGTTGGAGGCGAAGCTGCTTGCATTGGAAAAGTTGACCGAGCATCTAGCAAAGCCAGAATCAAAGGGTACAACAGCCACAGACGTCGCTGAAAACATCGAAGAGACGGGAGAGAAGGCGGAGAAGGGTGATAAAGGAAAGGAAGAGAAAGGAGAGCAAGAGAAGGGAGAGAAGGAAGAGAAGGGAGAGGAAGAGAAGGGAGAGAAGAAAGAGAACGAAGAGAAAGAAGCGAAGGAGGTGGAGGGCAAAGAGGTGAAAAAGGATGATGAGCAGGTAAGTCGGACGTGTATTTCTTTCCAGACGCAGCTAACAGAGGCATAAATCCATAGACTCCGCAGTCCCGCGCACGCGTTGTTTTCAGTAGAATCAACACTAATGGGACATGGGAAGATTATGAGCCTGATGGGAATTCAGACAAAAAACCTTTGGACACAGAGGGACGGGCATTCACGCTCCGTAAAAGAGTTTTGGATGATCCTACGACGAATAGCGGCGAGCTTGATATCCAGAGCCTTCCTCTGTGGGACCTTCTGAAAAAAGTGTTTCAGATCTATCCAGGCCATATCTTTCAGGGGAGTCCCAAAACAATTCACTCGCCCTATGAGCCCCTCATACTCTACTGGGACAAGTTGCAAGAGACCGCGAAGGACTCCACCATCGAAGCGACCGCTCGAACTGATCTAACTTTGCTGCTCGATACAATTTCCAGTGGATCCGGAGACGCAAAACTAGACAAATATTTCAAGACACGAGATCAGGACAGGGAACAGAATCTGACGACGTATGACAATCTGTGGACACTTTTTACACCCGGGTCTTTAGTTTATGGGAAAGCCTTCCAAGATGAGGACGAGGTTTTCCTGGTCGAATGCAACACCTCGCCATGGCCTTCTCGAGACAAAGACGATGAGTGGCAGGTTCTTTGCTGGGCCTATGACTGGAATGGCCAGAGCTTCAAAAGACTACCTATTCGTCTCAATTTCGAGGTCTTTGAAGATCGCAAGCCTATCACTTCACTTCAGTTCTACCCATTAGCTTTCTGCAAAGACTCTGACATTCTGAAGAAGAAGTTGGTGAGAAGAGGTGAACAATACCGAAAGTTCTGCACGGCAAAGAAAGGGTCGCAAATGTTTGGATACGATGGGTTGGTGACGATCGTGAAAAGAGGCTTCACTGATCCTTTCAGTAATGACGATCAAGAACAACCCGAGTCCAAGTCCCAAGACATATACAATACGGATTCCTCTTATCGAGCAGGACAAAACAGCAAATCTGTCAAGGTGAAGGATAGGGTTATGGTTGATTTCGAATCATACTTTGAATATGGACGCCCGGACGCCATCATTGGCGAACTATTCCTGGACAAAAACTCCGGGGAATGTGAATGTTCGACATGTCAGTCAAATAGTGGGCTTAATGACCTTTACCGGACTAAGTTTGACAATGCCGATAAAGACGGCCTGGGATGGAGTGAGGAACAATATCTTCTCTGTCCACCGCGGGTGTTTGGCTACATTCTGCGTGAAAAACAATGGGCGCAGTTGCAGGTCGACAAGCTGTTTGAAATACCTCGTGATAAGGAAAACAGTTCCTGGTCAACAGGACTAAAACTTGCCAGCGAAACTACCAAAAAGATGATTTTAGATCTGGTAACTGGTCATGGAAAAGCCACGGAAGGAATGAATGATGGGTTGGAGGTAGAAGATCTAGTCGAGCGAAAAGGGAAAGGCTTGGTTATTCTGCTCTATGGTAATTCTCCTAGTATCCTGTTATCTTCATATTTGACTTAACGTTATTCCTCAATAGGTCCACCGGGAGTCGGAAAGACATCTACCGCAGAGACTGTTGCAATTGAAGCAGGCAGGCCCTTATTTTCTATCAGCGTCGCTGATGTGGGAACAACTGCTAAGCATGTGGAAGCCAATCTGGCCCGAATCTTTGCTTTGGCAAGTGCTTGGCAGGCCATTTTGTTGATGTAATATTCTCATTGTCTGCATATACACTGCCCTGATACTAACCTATCAACAGCGATGAGGCAGATGTCTTTTTACAAAGCCGATCTTTGGGTATGAGTTTTGGGGGGAATACTGAGCGTAATGCACTGGTCTCAGGTAAGGCCCTACAGCATGCTGTACTAAGTGAGGTTTTTTGAGTAACCACATCTAGTTTTCCTCCGTGTTTTGGAATACTATCAGGGTATGATACTCCGCGGGAAAAGAATCAAACATCTTTTGTTAACAATTTCACAGGAATCTTGGTTTTAACGACCAATCAAATTGCTCAATTCGATGTCGCCGTTCACTCTCGCATTCACATCGCTATCAAATACAGCGAATTGGACGAAACACGTGCCCTACAAATATTCAGGAATTTCCTAGTTCCGTTAGATCGCAAAGGAAAGATCAAGGACATCAAGGATATTGAGGAGTGGCTGCAAAGAGAGATTGGCCGTGTAAGCTTTGATGGACGGCAAATCCGCAATGTCATCACCTCAGCCCTGAGCCTCGCTAGGGCAAGGGGGGATCCTCAGCTGAGTAAGAATCATCTGTCTGAAGTCGTCGTCAATGTGGACAGCTTCAAACGTGAGTTTGTGAAGCAATTCGAGCAGTACAAATCTCAGCAGAAGGGCATTTTTGGTTGAGGAGATGTCTTTGAAAAAGCTCATGAAATGACTCAGTCGCCTGTCTAATAGTTAATTCAAACAAATTAAATACAAAGTTTGGCAACTAATAAATCTCCAAGTTTGAAATGGAGGTTGAAGCATCCTCATCAGACTTGATAGAACCCTTTCCGCTTCCAAAATGAAATGATCGACTGAAGAAGTACTGGATCCAGCGGCTTATAGCGAATATCGGGACGATCCTGGAGAGCTTCTGCTGCATTGGTAGAGTCATATATTGGCGTATTTTGACTCGCTTCCCAGCGGGTCAGTTCACCCAGAACGCGCTCCTCAAACATGGGCATCAACGGAGCCAATGGCCCGTCGGGAAGCTGACCAGAAATGACTTCGCGCACCCATTGCGAGTATTTGACCAATCGCACTGCATAGCCCGCGTCATTGATCACTTGACAGGTCTCCTTGACGGTGATTGATGCTGAGGGGTCTGGGGACAAGAGGCTGTATGACCGACCAAGGTGGCGGTTAGATGAGGCAATGTGTATCATGGCCGAGATGACATAGTCGATGGTGCAGTATTCCAGGTTCTGTTGAAGATCCGGGAATGCGCCGATATGTATACAACCAACGATGAGCCGCGAGAAAAAGTCGTTCGGGTTTAGGGCGCCGGTCCTGCTGTCCCCGATGATGTACCCCGGCCGGTAGATGGTAACAGGAAGGCCTCGTTCTCGCATGCGTCGAACCATCTGCTCCGCTGTCCACTGACTGGCCGAGTAGCCTAGATCATATCGAAGAGCCTGTGTGTGGGGGAACAGCGATTCATCTTCAAGGACACGCCGGTTTCCCAAGATGAACCCTGTCGGGCCCCAAACGTCGATGCTAGACATGTAATGGAAGGATTTGCGGCGGCCCAGGGCTGCGACCCGCAGGACATGTTTGGTCCCCAAGACGTTAGAGGCGTAGTGTGCGGCATAACTCTCACAGAAATTCACCTTGGCTCCCAGGTGAAAGACGACTGATGCCCAGTTAGTTAGCCAGGCAAACTGCTCGACGCTCAAACCGAGATTTGGCTCCTCCATGTCACCTTCTAAAACCATGATCTTCTGTAATAATGTTAAAGATTCTGGCCAAAGGTCATATCGTTCTAATGTCTGCTGGATACGATCGGCACCACTAGTAGATCCTTGCTGTCGCACAAGGCAGGCGACGTGCTTCACCGTCGGCATTTCCAGGAGGTGGCGCAAGAGGTTCGCTCCCACAAAGCCAGTGGCGCCAGTAAGAAAAACGCGACCCTCTGCGTCAGCCGTCCAGTCTGGAGTCAGTTCAATATCGTCGACAATCCCTACGTCTCGGCTCCAAATCTCGGTCTCGTCGGCTGAGTAGGCGAAGGGCTCAGTCGTCGAGGTCATTTCCTCGACAAGCGAAACAAGATCTTGTAGCTGTGTGTGCTGCTGGAATTGATCCATAGAGATGCGACAATCCAGACGCTTCCGGATTGAGGAGATCAGGGCGGCGTTTTGAAGAGAAGTGGCGCCTTGCTGGATGAAGTCGTCTTGCTCACTTGCATGCGATTGAGGGAGAATCTCCTTCCAAAGTTCCTTGATGATAGACTTCTTTGTCGGGCCTCTGTTTGAAATAGACCTCTCACTGGTGGTATCGGTGGTGGTCTGGCTTTTCTTCCGAGTCTCATAACGGTCCTTCAACGCTTGACGATCCAGCTTGCCGTTCATGGTCAATGGGAGATCGTCAAGCAGCTCAATGTGGTTTGGGACCATGTATGAAGGCGATCGCTCACGAACGAATTTTGAAAGAGCTTCAACCGACAGGTCTTGCTGCCTGTTTATTTTGACAAATGCCACAAGTAGGGGTATCCCATTGTTTGCGGTTGACGCTATGTGGATTACCGCTGCCGATTCGGCAGCCTCATGGGAACGCAGGAGTCTTTCCACCTCTGGAAGCTCAATCCGGAAGCCCCCATGCTTGACCTGTCGATCCAGGCGGCCGAGAAACTCCAAGCAGTCCGAGTCTGGTCTCCACTCGGCGTAGTCTCCGGTTCGATACAAGCGGACACTCTGGCTTGGGGGTTCGGAGCCGTCCAGGACACAGCGTTCCACGTGAACAAAGCGTTCTTCAGTCTCTTTCGGCAGATTCAAATAGCCTTCTGAGAGCTGGGGTCCCGAGATGCATATTTCCCCACGAATACCGCTTTCCCGGATTAGATGCAGACTCTGATCCAGCAGATATATTTCCATGTCACCCACCGCTCGACCGATACTGATCCGATCCCGTTCCAATTCCTCGTCGGTTACTAGAAGGGCGCTGGCAAGCGTGGTGCACTCCGTCGGACCGTATGTATTCCAAAGGTATTCAGGAGGCTTGCACAACGTACGCATTGCCTTGACACTTGCAACGTCCCCAGCGCTCAGTACGTGTCGCAGGCTTTGAAAGATGGACGGCTCTTCGAAAACGAGAATTTCCATCAAGGCGACGGAAAGCATCATCACTGTGACCCCCTGGGACTCCAGATATGCCTTGAGCAGGGATGGGTCCGTGACAAGCTGTTTGTTGATGGAAACGATAGTGGCCCCAGAAAGAAGAGTAGCCCAGATCTCAAAAAGACTGAGATCAAATCCCGGGTTATTGAAATGCGCCACCTTATCATCGGGGTGCAACGGGGTAAATGGAGTCTTGCTGGCGAGGTGGTTGATACTTTGAGCGCTGACTTGAACTGGCTTGGGTTTGCCTGTGGAGCCGGAGGTGAAGAGGATATGAGTGCGATGTTGTATATCTAAGACAATGTCCAAGGCAGTAATATCCTTGTCACCAGTTAACTGGCGATGAACACTGCCCTTCCTGTCACTAGATATGAGAACATAGCCCATGTCCTCCAACAAATGATCTTTTTGGTCGGCAATGATCACATACTTGACCTTCACATCGCGAAACATATCCGTAAGCCTCATCTTGGGCATTGCGGGATCCACGGCAACACAAGTGGCTCGAGATAAAATCACCGCAAGTTGGGCTATTACCAGGTTGATTCCGGGGGCAAGGAAAATACCAACTGGCTCTTCCAAGCCGATACCCATCGAAAGAAGGGTCTGAGCCATCTTCTGAGACTCGAAGACTAACTCTTCATAGGTCAATTGATCGTCATCTTCCGTGACGGCAAGTGCTTTGGGGGAAGATTGAGCCCTTTCGAAGATAAATTGATTCATTTCGTAAACAAGGACGGGAAACACACTGTGAACTTGGAGGTTATTGGTTGATTTAATGGTTAAAAACTCAGAGCTATGTGGCAGAAAGTGGAAATGATACCCCGTGGAAAGGATCCGTTAGCACTAACTCCCCACTGCTTCAAGTTGATTCTTTTTATAATGGGTATGATAGCGCACCTCCTGAGTAAAATTCTCCGCCAATCTCATTTAGATCAGGATTGAGTAAAAGTATGACGTGCGGATTAGGCAAGTCTCTGCACTCCACTCTTTATGGATGAGATGTGAAGAACGGGGTATATCTCCACGAGCAGAAAAGGCTCGAGTAGTGGCATCAAAGCTCACAAGTGACGTCTCGTTGCCGGAGCTGGCCTCTTACAGACTGTCCAGCTTATGAAATTATAACAGGCCTATTATCAGGTATTTCAATCGCTGATCTTACTTTCCAAGGTAATGGCAGCCTGCTAGTCGTCCGTAGATGTCATTCCTCCGTTTAGACACTTTGCCCAATATCCCCGATATCGCTTGCCTATCTTACCATTTCAAGCTCCTCCGATATCATAGACTTTTTTATTCCTTGATAATCTAAGGTTACTCTGGCAAAGTCGTGCGCACGGCTCGTTTCCTACGTCGATAGTCTTGTTTGGGCCTACATTTGGGTACCTCAACATGCATGCACAACTCTCTGCTACAGTAGGGGAAGAGGTTCCATGAATGAACATCTGCAATGTCCGCCATTCATGCGGCAAGGGTCTAATATGAATCGTTTCACTTGACATCGTCTGTTCGAGCCTTAATCTGGTATGATGAAGATGCGCCTGACCGGCCTTGTCTCCAAACTGAAATCATCTCACATGATGGGATCGACAAGCTATTTTTCAATTGGTTATGATACGATGACATATTGAAAGTCCCCAAGTGGAGCAGCATATGCCCCTCAGAATGAATTTTGTGGAGGGAGTGGATATTAGACTGGGCTTCCTGGATCACATATAAAAGTATACTGCTGCATCTGCTGCATCCGCTTCTGGCTATGTCAACGGAATATTGACTAACCTTAAGAACAAACTGTTTTGACCTCATCGCAACATATACCACGTACGCCAATATGTCGATTAGACGCCCTTCATCCGCTCCCCTCCAGACCGTGATGGCATTCTATCAAACCACCCTATACTCGGCGTCACAAAGAAGATTCGGAACCTCAGATACAACACATTGCCCTTCTAACCGAACATTGGGGGACTCTGTTGATTCCCTGACGAAGAAGTTGCAGGCGGCTCTGGAGAATCGCCACCAGAAAGGAAGATTAATCGAGCCGCTAGATCCACAGAGAACGGCTCGCATGGTGGATTTTGGCTCCAATGATACACTTTCCCTTTCCTCCTCAGAGGCACTGCGTCAAGCTTTTCTCGATGAACTTGCCAAACGTCCTGACTTTGAGATTGGTAGTCGATCCACGCGAATCTTTGAGGGAACTACGTCGTATCTTCTCGAACTAGAGAAACACATGGCTCAATTTCACGGAGCTGAATCTGCACTGTTTTTCCAGTCTGGATATGAAGCCAATGTAGCCATCTGGTCAACGATTCCTCAGCCTGGTGATATTATTCTTCACGACGAGTATATCCACGCTAGTATTCATGATGGTATGCGTCAGGGAAGAGCAATGACCCGGATGTTTACTCATAATAGCTGTGAATCCCTTCGGGAGTGCCTCTTGGACATATGCCAGACAAACACAGCCGTGGCAAATGGAGAACAAACGGTGTTCATAGCTCTCGAGTCGATTTACAGCATGGATGGCGACATGGCACCTGTGCATGAAATGCTGAAGCTGACTAAAGAGATCATGCCCTTTGGGAATGTGATTTTCTCGATTGACGAGGCCCATTCGAATGGCTTGATTGGTGAGAATGGATCAGGCTACATTTGCCACTACGGTCTCGAGAAGGAGTTTCCCATCCGACTGCATACGTGTGGAAAAGGACTCGGCTCAACAGGAGGTAAGCCCGTCGCCGACGACCAAACTCTTTGAATGCATTCGATATTTGAGCCCTGACTTGATAACCTATTGGCAGCTGCTGTACTGGCCAATTCCGCCATTCGTTCTTATTTGATCAACTACGCGCGGGGCCTGATCTTCTCTACCGCACCCGCATTTCCATCGTTGGCGGCCGTGAAAGGAGGGTATAGGGTACTGGCCAGCAAGGAAGGCGAGGAGGTAAGTTGCCATAGCACTGGCTAGAGATGGGTTTAGCGGGGCTCCGCTGACGAATGACCAGCGCCGTATTCGTCTGCAGAATAATACTCGCCGTTTTTATGAGAAGCTCACTTGTCATTCAGAATGGGCAAAATGTGTATTCAGCGGGATCCTCAGCCTCCCAGCAGAGAAGACCTGTAATACTGGTCCGTATCTTGCCCCGATTATCCCTCTTATCACAGAATCTGGACAAGCAGCGAGCCTTGCCCAGAAATTACAGGACGCTGGTTATCAGGTAAATGCGGTGTTCTTCCCTATCGTGCCTCGAGAAAAGGAGCGAGTCCGCGTGGTGATGCATGCAGACAATACAGCAACTCAAATTGACGAGGTTGTGGACTTGATAATGGGCTGGTCCATGACATGTCTTGCGGGTCAGCTTGGGAAACCAGCTGGCCGTATGTCCTCACCTGAGATATATCAGAACGCGCCTTTTTCTGACTGATCATCATCGAGTTTTTTCCTGAATGTAACTAAATTCGTCGTTATAAATTGACTCTGCTCTTTGCACCACATTCACACTTTGCATCCTCGTCCGAGGCCTGGGCAATCTTTCACAAGCAAAGTGCCTTAAACTGTTTTAATTACTTTTTCACTCAGATATAAATGGTTTGCGGATGTCTGCTCAAGGACTCAATGCTCTTTTGGCCCCTGCAGCCTCAAATTCTAGCAAGTGCAAGGAAATATATGTAAATCCATTGTGCATATATACAACCCCATAGTCATGAGCAAAATTTACGCGATACTATCAGAAATGGCTGATTGCACTCCGTTCCCTAGACAATTACCTACAACAAAATCACTTACACTACTTGATAACACTCATTGATAATATAGCCCTGTTTGTATGGCTCCCTAATCAGTCGCTGTCCGAAGTCTGAGTCAATAACTATCATAATTAAATCCATTGTGACGTCAGCGACAGAAAACAGACTCCTTGAGTGGATGACAATACGCACCTTCTTCTCCGTATCAATATAGCATACATTAATTGCTTCCACATTCTCACCATACTTGGTCTTCATATGGGCATTCGTCGCTCGAGTTGTTAAAAGAGCGGTCATATCGCGGACTTGAACCCGGAAATCAATCCCAGTCTCCGCGGATGTCCTTCCATGATCTTCTTTCCTTGGTAACAGAATGTATGCAGGCCCGAAAAGCAAAAGCTCAAAGAGGTTTTTGACACCATGGCTCGTGACGATGTCGAAGAACCTAATGCGGGATATTGGTATCGTTCCTTCCGCGAAAGACAGTGAATTAGCTTGGTCTTTTTGCCTTCGCCTCCTCTTCTTGTAGTGGTCAAGTGCCTGTCCGTTGATCTTTATCTCTTTTAACGATAGGATCGTCCAAAATGAGGAGTCCATAATACTGAGGTGTAAGGCGGAACTAAGCAAAGCCGCCACGCCTAGCGAAAGAGAGGTAAGGAGTGCCATAGATCCAATTGCACTGGTGTTGAAATTATTTGGTGTATTTTCCGTTGTTTGAACAGATGTCCAAGATGAAAAGGCCGAGGCCACTGTGATACCCATAAGTAGTAAACCGTTGGAAACGATTCGGTCGTGGGCGTTGCTTGCGGAATCTTTAGTCGTGGCTCTTTCATTCTCTTGAGCTGCCGAAATAGTTCTGAGTGCCATAGAAACTTCTTTGAAGTCTTCTTCCTCCTGCTTGTCTTCATCCCTGCCCTCTTTTGAATGGAGTTTGGGGATAGAGTCATCGCCAAGCCCTAGCTCGTGCTTTCTGTGGTGAAGAACTGCGCGAATGTTGATCGGCACATATTCAGCGCTAGCTTTGTCGATACCCTTGAGCTCGATTGTTGTGTCCGATGACTGATCAAGCTTTCGGCTGTCGATAACAGCAAAGTTTGCTCTCTCCAGCAGACTCCAAGAGGCGCCGGCCGCTGCTTTGGAGAGGAAGCTTAAGCAGATGTACCAAATATAAAGGAAGTGAACCAGGTAGGCGACTGCGTAGATAAGAGTGACGGCCAGCCGTGGATAGCTGTCGATGGTTCTTTCATTCGTGAAAAATCCATTGTACATCAGCGTTCCACCAAGCATCAGGAACATTAGCCAAAGGGATGCCCACTCCCATACTAGCAGTTGGATGACACTCCTAGTTATGGGAGAACCACTAGCCAGCCACATGGCACGACGCTCTGTCGGACCTTCTGGTATAGCGGCGCATTGTCGAATGCCTTTCGCAACCCGACTGTGGTTGTTGTCGCTAAGCATTTTCCCTACATAGAGTAATTGAACCTAATATGAGGTTAGGAATAATGCGATAGATAAGGCCTGGGCATGAGATTTGGCAACCTTGCGTGATACATCGGGTTGACTTGGCTTAGCTTGACTGCTATTGGGCCATCCTCGGCTTAGAAGCTCGCCGATGTTAGCTTCAATGGGGCGGCAAGGATACATTGATGCCGTCGACATCAAGGATGCTCGTCGAATCAAGAGACCGTAGACCACAACAGCCAGCGTGACCGAAATTATCGCCAGAAAAGTTGAAATTAATTTGATCACTAATGGCAGCTTCAAGATCTCGGTCCCAGCCAAACTAGTGGCACTTTCTCGAGCATACTTAGTGACTGGGCCGAATGGCCTAGCCAAAACATGACCCGCCAGGAAGAGCACGAAGAGCAGAATAGCGGTCTTCATGACAACAAGGTGCCTACGATAACTGATTCTGGGAAACAGTGAACCATAAGTGTTTCTTGCAGCTCTTGTGTCAGATTCCATCTTTTCTTTTTATCTTCTGAGTTGGTTGAGCCGCGCTGTCCGCTCAGGCTGGTTTGTCCCCTTGGGTTGAAAACGCCTCAAGAATGATGATCAGATCTACCAAAAATTGGCGAGAAATATACTTTTGTCCCAGTGACCAAGTCGTGGCAGACGCCCTGCTCGTCTCAGACCATAGAAACCCCTCATTTTACCACGTGAGGAGCTGGTGCACTGCTCAGCCCCTCATGCGCCTCTGCGCCTCTCAGCCTTGGGCGCCTTAAAAGGACCTGCCGGCACGGTACTATCATGGAGGGGAACTATCTATTCGCTGCTTCGTTCTTTGCCCGGGCATCTATCTAGTGAGGTTTCTACTTTTTCGAACAAGGGTCAGCTTCATACCAGGATATCCTTTTTCGAATATGGCAAATTGTAGTCAAACATAGAACTGACTGGCATTTACTAAATGTACTGTTGCACCGCAACAAATTCTGACAGAACAATGAATGTTAGCGTTAGTGATTATTAAACTGAAGTATGTAGTTCATATTCTCGAAGCATACTTTGAATACTTGGTCGGGGCATTATCCAAATTTGTGCCAGTGGCGCCAAACGAATGCCTTCAACTCGGAGAAATTCTGGAGAGGACAAAGACAAGGTGAGTGATGCGACATACAACGTAGCATTACCCTTACATTTGAGTTTATTTCTATTAATCGGCTAGAGTGATGGATAGAGGCGTTGTCCATAGAAAACACGGCTCGGGTCCAGTAGGGACATATCCTCCTGTCAGAATAAGCAAAGGCAAGTGGGGCGCGTAGAACAGCCGCAAGAGCAGGGACGAGAAGGCAAAGAAGGCAACGGATGTTGGGGGCTGATGGATGCAAAGGGGAAGGAGAGTGCGTAAGGATACAGTACTGTACTCGCACGCATGGGCGTGCATAGACATACATGGACCTTGAAGTAAGGTGGATTTGAGCTTGAACTAATCAAATCATCCACCCGTACATCCATGGATATGGTTACTCGTGTAGGCCTTGAACTGGTTAATGGGATAGGATTGACCAGGTCATGAAGTCTTAATTTTTACTCTCGATATATTCCCCTTTAATGGTAAATCCAGTACATACGACCACAGGGTGTGGAGAACAGGGCTTCCCGTCCGCTCAGCCGTACTTAAGCCACACGCCGGTAAGTTAGTAGTTAGGTGGGTGACCACTAGCGAATCCTTACTGTTGTATGTTTTTTGGTTTTTTTGGGCCTAAACTGATATATTTGTGCGATATAAAAAGAGCAATGAGGCGAGAAAGGATATTTGCATATTTTGCCAATCCATCATAACCGATCGAGCCGAGATAGCAGACCCTGGAATATCTTCCACGCAGCTAGTTTTCTTGGATGAATGTCTTGAAGATCACACAACAGCCCACAATCCATACAAGATGGATGAATGCTCCAGGGAAATTTGCCGTTCCAAGATAGAAAGATATGCCTCGGCTGGGAGCAAGTCTGTGATGGTTGATAATCCCCGCGTTCACTCTGCTCGTCCTCGGAGTCAGTGCAAGAATCACTGCAAGACTCCCAATCAGTGGACAAGTCCTCGCCTACAGGCTGGCATTCAGCGGAGTCTGCAGCTCCTGCATTGGCAGCCCCTTTTCCAAACCCGGCTGGGGTCTCTTGAGCAAGTATTTGAATCATAGACAAGTGTCTAATATTCATTATTGAAAGGCACCATTGAAACCATGTTCTGGGGCTACTGAGAGCAAAATCAGACGGGGTATGACCCTGGTTATCCTCCAAGGTTGGATCACAACCAGCTTTAAGCAGGGCGCACAGTCTACCCTGTAACGAGTTTGAGCCAAGGCCGCTGTCCGGAAGCATCTGGATAGAGAATGCAATAGCTAGATGCAAAGCTCCTTCTCCTAGTAGAGACTGGGCGTGGGGGTCAGCACCCCATTGCAGAAGTTCATTGAGAACAGTAACACCATGTATACCGGGGGTGCAGGCATTGTACAGTAGCGGTGTTAAGCCATCGGCATTTCTATGCTCGATATCACCCCCGAGACAAATGATCAGGTTTACCAAGGTCGCGATCTCGGCTTCTTGAATAGTCTCCGATTCAGACACACATTGACTGATGGTAAAGTGGAGCGCACCACCTCCTAATGCGGTGGAGTTAATATCACAGCCCGAGCGGACGAAAAGTCGGAGAAATTGGTTCAACAGTGACTTTGGAATTTTATAATTTGTTGGTCGGTACCAAAATGCATTTCGAACGTCGAATATTGCACTGGCTCCATCACTGGAGTTTGAAGTTTATTAACAGGCTCAGTACGTATTAGGCTCACATGGCATACCTGCGGCAATTGTTTGGATCTGCTCCTTCATGGAGGAGTAGCTCACATATCTCGAAACGGAGGAGCCGGGCTGCCAGCTATGGAACATCAAAACACAGAAAGCAGACTTTTGGTATACGATTGACTCACTGATAAAAGACTCTCATTTTCTGTACTGCGAATAGAAGGGCTTGCCTGCCTGGTCTTGAGAAGCTCTTTTAGCGTTTGAATATCGTTCAATCTGACGCAGTCGAAAGCCGGAGACTTCGCTTCTACCACAGTGTGTATGGACAACAAACGTTGAATCTGGGGTTGTTTGACGTTACCCTGCAGTCGTGACAGGGAAATAGATACCCCATCTCTGCTGATGGAAGGATCTGGGGCAAGCAGAAGAAAAGCATTCGAGATTGTTGTTTCGCCGGACTGAATGTCTTGCGTGAACTGGAGTCGGACTGAGATTTTTCCTGTGGGAGACTCTTGGACCAGGCATGAAGTCGATATAATCTTTTTGTTAGTCGCAGACACGAGGCTCCTGACTGGGCTCTGACTATATTTCTTCGTCGCCCTTCCCTTCGGATCGTTGGTATTGGTATTTGATTTCATGTCATGAGGTTGCTGCGTTAAGGTCACCGCGGCAGATTCATGGCATTTTGCAAGTAACCCTTTTAGCTCATCTGCAATCCAAAGGCAATCTTGAGAGGGAATAGATGTCCGCTCGGGTCTTTCTGATATTATAAGACGCAGTGTCTTTTCGATAGTGGACCTGAAAAGCATCAAGGGTAATACTGCGGAACTCATTTCTTCACCTTCACCCCAGCAACCGGCAGCTTGATCATGTTGATGTAGTTTTTCAGCTGTATCACCATAGAAAGATTTCTCGGGGTTAGAGATTGGCATCGTCGAGTGTGGTAGTTGTTTTATCGTTGGGCTATATTTGGCATCCGAGTAGTATACTGCATTTGTAGGAGGCAGTGTATCATAAGCCAAGCCAGCGAATGTCTGGGTCAGACTTCCAATTTGGTCATGGATGGCCAGGTCATTGAAGCTGATTTTTGAGTATGTTAGCTTCATTCGTCCCAGACAGGGTGTATCAACATACCCAGAAAGAATCTGTAGGCTGGTACTTAGTCGTGCCTTGTATATGTCAAGGGTCTTGCATGCAGCCGCCAGTTTCCCACGAATCGCCAGCCGCACTTTTTCCTTCATGCCTCTTAGCTTGTCTCTAGTGCCTGTGCGTGATATTGAATAACTTGTTATGATCTCGTTAGTTGACTTATATTCGATCTGTAGACCCCGAAGTATATCACAAATCCGGCGCAGTGCAGAATTCGATTCGTGAAGAGCCCATGGATGTTGTCGCTGATACTGGTAGCAATAACGATTCAAGTTCACAAGCAGAAACTCGATCTCCTCCAGCTCCGTTTTGAGGTTTTCGATTTCAGCGGGAGCATGCTTGATTGTGGAAATCAGGTTGCATATTTCCTTTCCAGCCCGACATGATAAGTCCAGCAACCCAATTATTGCTGCAATATTTGCAACCGCCGACAAAGGGTCCATTTCCAAGGTCTCTCAAAATGATCAAAATTTCCTAGGAAAATTGGCCGCGTACAGCGTAAATCGTGGCCATTTGGCAACCGCGGGGGGTTGAGGCAGTGCAATATGCAGGGGCCGCGCATCCCAGAGAGGTAACATTCGTTGCCCACGCTGCCTCGCCAAAGTTGAGATGAATATACTGGTAGTATCGCAAGCAGTGTTCCGTAGCAAGATTATGGTGACTCACTCGCGACTCGGGGGCCCGGAGGTTCAGGCTTCCGATCGGTAAACAGAGGCTGCTTGCCAGGAGTAGTCTAGAATAAAGAATTGAGACGCACACTGAGATGGGAAGATAGTCGGGGAGCTCCTCCACCTCAGCCAGTTTCCCCTCTCTCCTTCTCTCCTCTCTTCATCTCTCCTAGTGTTCAATTTTTTATCTCTCGACTTGTCCTCCTGTCCATCCTTTTGATGGTAGCTTGCTGTATCATAGATACATTGAGTATGGACCTACCCAATGACCCTGCAGGCGTAGCCGAACTCAAGCCAGTTCGAGAGGACTTCGAGTTCGGTGCGGACGCAGATTCTTCGGAATACTCTCGCTATGCATCTGACTTCCAACTTGCCTTGGGCGGATCTAATTCGCCAGCATACCCGCCTCCAACATCCTCCCATTCGGACATCAAATCGCAGGCGCCGTTTGAGCCAACGCGTGGAAACCCCCAAAGAGAACTACTCTTGCAGCAATTACAAATGAATCCACAAGTCCTGCAACCACAATCCCGAGATCACAAGCAATCAACCCAATACTATCGCAATCGCCACGGCGGCCCGGTCTTGACATCCAACAATCAATCTTCTCAACATATATCTCAAGCTAGGCAACAACAATCCCTAGATCACAAGCAATCAACCCAATACTATCACAATCGCCACGACGGCCCGGTCTTAACATCCAGCAATCAACCCTCTCAGCATATATCTCAAGCTGGGCAACAAACCCTTTATACTCAAACCTCGACACCGATACCTGGCTACAATCCATCTATGTCACCGGCAGCCTCACTCAGTCTTCAGCATGCAATACCTACAATCAATCAGCCAGACTCATATCATTTGGCACAGAATGACCAAAGTGGAGCAGTACCGGTACAGAAATCCGTTACATTCTTCGGAAATAATGCGTACGGGGTTCAGGCTGCACGGCAATCGGATATGTACAGTTATTATCATAACCGCCACGAAGGGAATAAAGGTTTATAGTGCTCCATCAACAGGGCGAAGCATCTCACCGCAGATCTACCTTGGTATCCACTTCAGGGTCAACCCAAGGCAATTTTACATCACACTATTATCAGTCGCTTTCGTCGGCAACCGCTCTTCCGATTTTCGCTTTCAGGCAATACTGTACGGTACGTGTAGATCGGCTTGATTCCAATATGATCGCCCTGGTCCAGGCCTACTCTAGGCAGTGATCGCTCAGTTGATAGCCGGTACCCTTGTACGTTACTGTATCGGTAGCGCAGAGCTCATACAGTACAGCTGAATGTAGCCAAATCGCGAATCAAAACGGTTTGTTAGTACATCTGTCGTGGTCTCAGCTCAAAATCCCCAGCCCCCGACCCACTTGGTGGAGATATCACAAAGATGTTGACCATGGTTCGCCTATGGATCTTAGATTTCCGTTGAGCCAATCGACTCGCCTTCCCGTATATCGGGCTCTCACGTTGTGTTCGTTGAATATTGAGATATGGAATACTGCATAATCAGATCGAAAAATCTAGATAAGAGTAAATCGAAGACAAGAGTGAAAGGTGAACAAGTGGGACTCGGCTAGAGAAAAGCACAAGCCAATAGTTCCGATCTGTTCCATGGTGGCAAATCTTACTATGCTGCAACATAGTGGAGAATATGACGGTTTTGTGCATATCACGAAGAGTCTGCGGTATGTATGTGGATTTGCTGCCGCTGTGCATCCACCGATGCAGTAAATTATTGCATCATGTCTACTCAGGTGGGGGTTATGGTAGAATGGATCTGTTCCCCGTGGGTACCGTATACTGAGTATCAGCGCACCGTAATGTGAAGAGCGATGGGAAAGTGTGGGGCTGCTAAGCTGGAGACTATTTAAATGATTAAACAGCCGTCGCTGAAAGCTCGGTCTCTTTTCCTCAGACATTGTGACCACTGTGATATCCTACCGACAAAATGACACGTGAAGACGCTGCTGAAACTTATGCAAAGCTTTTTGAAAGCAAAAAAGAAGGGCGATACCTCTTGAATCCGATCGTCTTCGAGAGACTCCATCCCGGAGTCGTTGGCTATTTCGATTCTGAGTCGGGTGATTGGACACCGGTCGCCGACCTATCGGACCCCGAGGCGTTCATCTCTGACGGATACGTCGAGGCGTACAAAAAGCTGGGGGACTATAAAAAGGCAACCCGCGACTGGAACACAAGGACTTCCGAGAGCGAATCCGAGCGCAGCTACCGCACCAATGTAGGAGCTTCTGGTGCTGCTGGGGGTGTCCCGGCCGAAGCATCCGTTGATGTGAAATACAAGAAAGGCTCCGCAGGCCAGGCAGCCCTTATAGCCAGTGGTCTTGTCAATTATGAAGCATTCCTCGGGCCATTCAAGGATAGCACCAAGCAGTGGATCGCGGCAAACGGACGTAAGATTATAGAGGAGCATGGATCAGCTGCCAAAGAAAACGGTCTTTGGGCGATCAAGGGCGTCTATTTCACCGATGAATGCGCCATCAAGATGACGACCAGTAGCGACCAGGACATTGATGTAGGAGCTGATATTGGGGCCACTGGTTTTGGCAAGCTCGGTGGCGGGGCTGGATCGCTTGAAAAGCTCAAGAGTAAGAGCTGGACAACATGCCCTGCAGTTCCGGTCAGTCCACACCTCCAGCATTTGACAAATGACACGACACTGACATATTTGCATAGGGATCGAAGGGGCAGGTTGTCTCATTCCACGGACTCAAGTTTAAGGCGCGAAGCCTTTCGAAACTTTGGAGCTCTAATGTTAGTTTCTCTGGGCTTTTTTGGTGATACGTTATTGACACAACACAGGATTTCAGCTTCAATATGGCATGCTCATTTGGTCCTGTCAGTACATCCGAGCGCCCAGTTTACGATGAAGATGGAAAATTGAGCGGCTTTGAGGCAGTTCGGCGGGTCAAGAAAGAACGGGAAGATGATTCCTACTTTGAAATTGAAAAGACCGAGGAGCCGAAAAAAGCAGATGCTCCTGAGGATGCCGAGGACGATGATGAGGTCGATGAAGAAGGCATGACGGAAGAGGATATTCAGGCGGAGAGAGCCGAGCAGAAGGCATTGGAAGACGAGCGCAACCAGATGAAGCTGGAGACTTGGAATAATTTTGTCAAGGAGACAGAATCTATGAACCGAAATTTGGCCGAGGCGAGGGCATAGATACAGGTAGACACCTCTGCCGACGGCAATGACCAGAATTAGTTGCTAGCGCGAAAACAATAGTTGAGATTTTTTATTTCATAAAGATAGAAGTTTCCCATGTAACACATTTATAGACCAGGGAGGATCAATTGGTGCATTTCGAGGCTTTTACTCTGTTAGACGACCCATGGATACCTCTATGTATTCGAAAGATGTTCAGTGGACGATTTCTAACGTTTTTCTATGGGCAGTTAGTGCTCTAGGATGTGGATAGGGTACCTCGAGAAATGGGAAGATGCAGCGTTAATGCTCAAGGCACACTATGACAACTTGTGATGAGTGGCTGTTCTGAGTCCTTTTTCCAACCACAGCTTTATTCGCGGATCTATTATCAGGAGTCTAGGTATCGTGTGTCATCTAATATTTGGCTAGTAAGCATGTTGACACCCTTGGTCTGACCAATTTGCTTCAATATTCTAAATTTTCAAAACTTCTCGTTCATGACAACCTAAGAGAGCAATTGATCCTTCATTTTCGCCATTTATTCTAGAGTTTGTTCATCTGGGTCTCATGCTAGTAGTCTGCTTTCTTGAATCTCCGTAAGCTTCAGATTGACATGCTTCTCAATGAACTTTCTCTCTTCAGGCTCTAGAAGATGGACTCTCTGCTTCCATTATCGCAATAATCGTCGTCTTGACACATTGTTGATCCAAAGAACCGCCGATCGATTTTTTGCCAGCCCATCAGGTGGTTCCATTTCGAAATTCGGAAGCAATTGATCATCAAGCTCTATCTCTAGCATTGCTCTACAGTGACTCGTCAGGCCTCCTGAGTAATCTATACTGCTTTCGTTAGGTCGGCCTCATTTTCCGTTTGCCCCTTCCAGAATCAATGCTACGTGGCAGTTCTGCTCTTAGTCACCCTGCTGATCTACGAAGAAGCGAGATCCTCTTACAGGGACCAGCAAGTAGTCTGAACATCATCATACCCATATTTCAGGCATCTCTTGCATTCTTCACTCGTATACATATCATAGCAGGACACACCTCTGGGGAGGGCTGTAACATTGAGTTGGACAGTTCACTTACAACATTTATGAATGCCTGAATGCGGAACACTGCTTCAAAAAAGATCTAGTCAAATATTTGTTATAATTTACTCGGGTTATAAACCAAAGCAAAAACCGGCTAGCAATATTAAGATAGGGAAAAAAGACTTTGTTGTTGCCATTGAGATGATGCTCTGGCGTACTGTAATGTCCTCACCGTCGAAATATCTGATCTACCTACTCCATGGGCGGGAGTGCGGTACCAATGAAGAGACCGCGGTCATCCACATTGTGATTTCGATAGCTATAATACTTAGCAAGGGGAGATTCGTAAATTTCCCAATATCGAAATAAGCACTTACCTCAGAATTCCTACCGCACCTGGCGACAGCATCATTGTCAGCGGCGCGTCCAAGGGGTATTTCAGCCACCTTTTCACAAATGCACGTAAAATAAGACCATGTGCAACCTATAAACAAAGCGTCAGCCTAACTTGAAGGAAATAAATGAAACTTGTACATACCAACACGACATCCGCGGGCTTTTCGCCATTCATGTATGGTCGTTGAATGTTGGAAATTTGCCCGATCAATCTATCTAACCTCTCCGTTACCTGCTCTGCAGACCTATAGACCACATCAGTGATCTTCTAGGCTAATTTGATTTGCCAAGGGAGCCTACTCTCCACCCTCACACCCATGTTGCCAAATGTTCCATGCATTCTTTTGGTCCAGTCCCCTCTGCTTTCTAGAAGCCGTGATTTCTTCCACTCGCATGCCTTCGTAATCACCATAGTCCCACTCCGTGAGATCTTCCGAGAGCGTGATTTTGTCGGCATCGATAGTGAGATCAGAGCTCGGAATTCTAGCACCGAAAAAATGTTGAAATGTTTGTTGTGTTCGCTTGCGCGGACTGATCCATGCATGCAAGATGCGCGCTGGATCTATCAATTTCTGGGGACCGACTAACTGGATTGCCGTATCCGTGACTTGTTTGACACCGTTTGGGGTGAGGTCCAGCTCAGTTGCCCCGGTATAGCGGCCATTCTTAGTCCATTCGGTTTCCCCTTGGGCGATTTAAAATGAGATTAAGGGGGTATGAAGATGTTTAATACTCACCATGACGAACAAGAAAGACCCGAGGAGTCGTGGCATCTAGATCGGACATTGTGATGCTGACCGTGTCTCTTCTTTATCGAATAAATAAATTGATAGTCGTTGGAAAGAAACAATTGTGCTCAGTGTGAGACTACCTATGAATTATTTCTTTTTAGGTAAGTGTGTGAAATGACAGAAAGTTGAAACTTCGAGTGGTTAAGTAGTCGTCCATGTTCGAGTGAGGGGCAACCCCTCTTTTATTTGCCAACGCGAACCTCTCGTCAGAAGAAAAGACCTTCCTTCCCTCACAACAATGAAAACCTTGAGTTTGTGAATCTTTTCAATGGAGTTGAATGGGTTTGCCAAGTTCTATAATTGTTATTCAGCCTTTTGGGTCGGAATGGAGGAAGATAATGAAACTTTGCAGGTGTATTGGAGCAGAGTGAAGACCTCGTACGTTACGGATCAAACACCAGCAAGACGCTAGCAAGGTTCTCGCGGGATTCTGTCAGATCCAGTTAATTGCATGGTATTTGGCTATCCTAGTTAGATAATACAATCATGCAGCAGTCCTATGACTGCTGCCGTCCCAACCCAATCTGATGCAAATTGCTTTAATCATTTTTAGGCACTATCGCTCCTATATCCCTTTTGTAGAATTTTTTATTTGGTACCTATCAGAGTTTCCGGGCTAATTAAACAGAGGGCTAAGTTAACAGAAATGCTTGCAAAGGATGGTATCTTTCCCCTAAAGAAAGATTAATGAAAATAATTGCTCTGTACCATGCTCGTCTCACGATCAGTCTTGCGAGACCACATGTTCGAAACTTGCTGACATTCATTCCACAAGGCGATTATTCTGCCATCTCTTCTAATACATCCAACTTCTCATCGCGCAAGTCATCCGTAGGGCTAACAGCAGCTGAATTCAGTTCAAACACGGCGTCTGCTAGTTCTGAATGAAATGAAGACCTTGCAGAAAAGAAAATGCCTGACTCCATAAGCGTATCAATGGATTCAGTTTCGGCTTCGTCAGCTTGGGCGATAGTTATCAGGTCTTCGAAAGCTTCCTCCAGCTTCTCGTTGTAGTCACTACGGTGTTGTAGTATATAGCGGTTTTCTGAGGTACTGTCCATTTTCAAATCGTAGTAACGCTTCAGGGGACGAGAGGAGGCGAGAATAAGGATAGTTTCGATATCAGCATGTTCTGCGACAATTGAAAGTAGCTCCGGGCCTATTGATTGCGAGTGAGCATTTGCTTTTGATGACTTTTCTTTTCAATTCGAGATCCATTGCCTTTCGCTGATTAAGAAGAGAGGGGGAATAATGTGTTATATTTCGACTGCATACCTTCATAGTATGAAGCAGGGCAGCAAATATGCCACTGATTAATGAATAGTTGCAGAACTTGATGGTTGTTGTGAATGATTGTAGTAGTTAGCGGTGTAATGCCACCGCTGGAAACTGCGTTGAGATCCGCACCATATTCAAGTAACACAAGGGCGCAGTCAACATTTTGAGTACGAGCAACCGAATGTAAAGCTGTAAGGCCCTCTGGATTGCAAGCGTTCGGATTGGCACCGAATTCAAGAAGAAGTTTGAGCATCTCCGGTATTCCCGCAAAGCCCGCCGCTGTCAAAGGACTGCTACGGAAAAGACCTGTTGGTAATATGGGATTTGGATTGCCGCCTGCTTCCAGTATAAGCCGAATGCAAGGCACGCTATGACTGTCAACAGCGTGAAGAACCGTCATTCTTCCTGTAATATCCATTATGTTGGGATCGGCGCCATAAGAGATAAGAAGTCTCATATCTTCCAATTGTGCCCTGGCGGTAGCCCAGTCGAGCGCGGTTCGTCCTTGGGTATCCGTAGCATATACTGCGTTTTGATTCTCTTTGAGTTCAGCTGCTAAAGATTTAGAGCTCAATCCGAAGATTATCAGGTGGACGAGGGGGAAGTTTTGGTCTTCGACCCAATTGCCTTCACCATTTTCGGTGATACAACGTAGCGCTCTTTCTTCCTTATAATTGCATTTACCACGGAAAACAAAGTCCCAAACATTGTTATACGAACTATGTTGTTAATTGGTAAATTTTCCAACCGGGAACTTTCATGCTTACATTTCATCCACAAGGGCACCTTGATCAATCAAGAATTTGACGGTTTCGTATTGATGCATCCCACCATAGAGTGCCCACTAGAGATATTTTTAGTAAAGTCAATTACCATAGGATCAAAATGTCGACAACTTACCCTAATCAAACTGAACCCTCGAGAGTCACTCACATCCCTTGGAGATGAGATTCCTTGACTGAAAAGGTATTTCAACCCTTCAATATTCCCCTGCGTGGCAAAATTGACTGACTGTGCTGTGTCTGGTACTCTCCGCGTTGTCGACAGCTGGAATTGGGGCCCCGCATTTGGCATGTATTGGAAATGTATCCTGGTGTTCACTGATACAAACCACCAAGGAAACCAATATTCCATGGTTACAGCTGTGCGTTGCTGATGATTGCAGCCTCTGAAGTCACATGGTTTGTTCATAATTGGAAACCCTGTGTAATTAAGAAACATCTTTCCAATTACAGTTTCAACAATTCCAGGAATTGTCTGTTTCTTTCTTCGCTTTGCGTGGCAGGCACAAGGACACCAGCCTCGACATGGAATGCGTTGCGAAATCAGAACGCGAAGTGCTTCAATTTCTGACGATTCATTGCTAGTTTTGTCAGATGGCATGAAAGTTGCGTCAGGAATACTCTGTTCTTGTAGATTTCCACGGAGAATTAATTCGCCTAGAGACTCCAGACGATTATTCAAGCCCTGATAGTGCTCCTGCATGATAGTATGTAACGCAGCATTTTGATCATTGAGGGTTTGTGTGATTGTTTTAGAATGGTTTTCTTGTGTTCGTTCCGTATCTGACGTCAGTACGGAAATATGACGAAGCTCTAGCATAATATGTTGTAGGTCAAGCCTGAATGCAGTCAGTATGGAGCTTTTGCTATAGCGCAATAGAACTGCGTGAGTAGGGCTAAATTGCTTACGAGTTTGAAGTGCCAAGAATTAGAGTCAGATTAGATTTCATTGTGCGAATGTCATCTTGAAAACCTTGAAAAAGCTCCGTTTCTTTCAGGAAGATGTTAGCTCGATTGATAAACTTGCCACCATTGCAGGCCTTCGAAACATGTTCAAGCGATGTAGCAAGCTTGAGAAGAATGTCTTTGGTCCGTGCCAGTATTGGTTTCAACGAGGTTTCTTTTAGGCCTGGCGTTGAAGAATTTTGTTCTATTGCTTGTGCGACCTGGCGAAGCACAACTTCGAGGTCGGTTACCTCATTTCTGAGAACATAGACTCGGTAAGGCACTTGACCAAAGGCTCGCAAACGGGAAATCGCTTTGCATATCTGGGAAGCTGCGGTGGCAATCGCGATCACACTTGCAACGGGTGATAATGGGTCTGCCATGGCGAAATCTTTTGTAGATTTCCACTGCCACAAAATACCAGTGAATCATTTTATAAGACACGCACCTCTTCAAGTGGGGTAGGGTACATGGTTCAGGTCACACGGGGACAGACGCAAAGCCAGGGATTTCGTACGAACACGTCAGCTTACTGCACCTCAGCAAATACCCGCAAATCACCCATGACAATGCCACCCCTGTGCTATTAAGTGGAGTTAGAAAACGTGATATATGCAAGCTGCTGCATAGAGAACACATCACCTCGGAAGAAAGTGAAATATGTGAAATGACCCATGTAGCACACTTTCAATGCCAGATATATGAAAACGACATGGGCGGAAATTTGACGGCAATTTTCGATTTGAAGAATAGTGATAAAATTAAGATGAATAAGGCTTGAGATGCCAGAACTGCGATTTTCACATAATTCATCAAGCAGAGAACGAAAATCCAGTTTGAGGAAGTCTAGTCACTCGGGACCGCGTGGTAGTAGTGCTTAAGCGCCCTTCGCAAATTTATTCTACTCAGCTATTAAGACCCCGGTAACCGCCAACTAATTGAGGGCAAACTACTCAGCACGCCTGTTCGGGGTAGACCGCGGTACGCACCTCAAGCGACAATTAAGTACTGTAGTATTAGGTGTAAAGAAAACTGATCGCTTGCCTCTCTATACGACGCCAGCTGAGAGGTATACATGTTGTCTATTTCAAGAGATACGATACGCGCTAGTTAAACAGTAAACCAACGGTCCGCCTGATACCAAAAAATGAGTGTAATATCTAGAACTGCTTGTTAAAGTGACTAACCAACTAACATCCCATCCTAAACGCCATTGAATTAGGTAAATCAAACGTGGGATCTAGTATGATACGCAGTTCTCTTATGAAATAGGATTCCACAATTGGAACATCTCGGCAAGGCTCTCGTGCGTGGCTGTAACGTTGCTAGAGCCGAGTTTGCCTCACGCGATACTTACGCTATATTAGCCTGACTGGCTGTAATATCAAGGCTGATGCCTCTATAACTATAAGATCTCCTTCGTGGGGTATTTTCTCATAGATCTAGCCCTTGTTTATTCTTTTTCTCGTTTACAGCATGTAAATCGCCAACATCTTTCTCGAGTATAACTGCCGATCGGGGTTAAAAGGCACTAGACGGGCGGTAGCAAAGCTACTTTAATAATTTCTGATGTCCAATTTAAATACCTCAATACGCGCGGACGGATAGGTATTTAGGAAGAAGGCGCTCTAGCTAACTCTCGAAGCTCCGACTGGGATATCACAAAATCGATCTCCGCTATATCTCAGGAGACAATTCTATATACCTTGTCATCCATAGCTTCCAAAGATAGAAATTATCGCCGGACTAGAAGATTGTTACCCATGCTTGACCATCCTCCATCACTGGCTGTCCTGGTTCGAGACCATAGCATCGAGCAATGGTTTGGCCTTCTGAATCGACATCTTCCCACTATTCGGGATGGACAGGACTTTGTGGGGTCGAATTCCAGCCAGGGGGAACGGTAAATTGGAGATTCCCGGGAATACGACCCAATAAGATGACCAAGTCCATACTCACTGGCATGGCGAAGCTGTTTGCAGGTGACTTCACGGGTGACTGTGTCACAGAGGGTAGGGTGGAGATTCCGGGGGGAGAAATTATCACAGTAGTCTGCAGCGTTTCAGAAATCAAGCGCAATAAATGTCAGCGGAGGTTTGACGCAATCGTTTGGTGGTTTCTGCTAGTTCTTAGCGATTTCACGAAAGGAAAGAAGTATTTTGGAAACAAACTCAATACAGGTACTGTGACGTCTCAGTAAGTGTTACGTGAGAGTTGAACGGCTTACGGGGTTGTGGTCCATGGTTCAAATGCTTGATTATGGTAATAATTTCTGGTGTCGGAGGCCGGGTTGGGACTAACATACAATGGGATCGCAAAGTTTTGAGACCCACCATTCCTGATCTTATTTAGCCTGTTACGAGATCTTGAAAGTTTTATATCAGTTCAATACCAATTTACGATATGAGTGGGCTATCATGTATAAAGTCTGGTCTTATGAGGAGCGGTCCAAGATTATATGGAGCAATGAGTGTTCAATTCAGATCGGTAAAGGAAAGCAAAATATTTAGGTCTTCTGTATCATACCATGGTGCAAATTGGAAAAATTGTTATCCGGTTTCATATAAAAAAAGGAAAAAGACTTTGTTATATGATGTAGGCTTCGATCCGGGGTTATCATTCAGACATGAAAACTAAGTCGCGAGATGAGGAGACTAAGTAGGGAGGCTTAGTTCAAAGTCATATCTTAAGATTCTGGAGGATAACATGTCGGAGCTAGAGCTCTTTAGGGAGTCAAGATCCAGCGCACGTAGTTGTTAGATATTCTTGAAAGCTTCCCTCACTCCTCCTTCCTCTCTCCCCGGCGGTCTCACAATAATAGTCTTTTGTCATAATATCTCTAATATTTCAGATCCAGGCCTGCAATTCACGCAGAATAGAGTCCATATTCAATCATATAATACGATTAGGGTATGAATGGAAATTAATGGGATCAAACTCATAATTGGCCGCCATATACGCTGGATTTGAATCCTATTGAGAACACCTAGGCCAGGCTTAAAGACGCATATATAAGCTTCATCCGGAATTACTTAAAAAAACTACTTCCTCTGAGATCTTCAAAAAGTCAATTTGCTGAAAAGATTGACGTTGGGTAAGAGGATTTAGGGGACGATTATTTCGACAAGTTGATTAGTTCCATCGATTTGTGAGTACTTGCATTTTTGGAGGCTTAAGACTAGTATACTAAAAACTAGCGCTAATCGTAAATTTAAAGTAGAGTCCAATTGATTTTCATTGCATGAATGAAATAGATCCATATCCCAAAAAGTGACGGAGAAATCCGATGTTTAGTGGTTATGGAAGGTTTATGCAAGAAAGTCGGGGGGCGGGACAACGGAGACTTCTGTCATACTCCGTACTGTATTCCGTAGACGGTGTTAATATTCCGGAAATGAATTTTGACAAATCGACCTCCGGACAGCATCAAAAGAAACCGCATTGCGCGTTTAGACAGACGGGTTTAGCGGTGCCCTCCGTTTCAATTACCTCTCTTCATCTTCCATAAATTTAATTCACTTGATTTCTCCGCAAACCTCTTCGCTCATCACGACAGTGTAAAATTCAATCCTATTCAAAACGACCACCGCATGTCTAGAAGAACAGCAAACTACATCGCATGATCCTAAACTTCCATCATCGAGGTACGGTAATGGGAAGTAGCCCTCAAACATCCTCTTGAAATGCTGGAGGCCGTTTGGACGTATTTACTCACTCGTACAGATACAGGTATATGCTCTGCGCAGACTGCGAAAGATGAATACATCTATATTTGTGATAGATGCCACTTAATTCGGCTGATCATCTTCATCATGGCGGTGTTCATCCATGTTCACCAATTAGTTGGGCCTATGCAACAGCCTCACGACGCTTGAAATGATCGGAGAGTGTTTTGGTGTCACCGAACCTGGTAAACTCTCGTGGACAATCTCTCGCTACGGCTTGACTCTAGGCACATTCGTCTTGATCGGAGGACATTTGGGTGGTGCGTTTGGCAGCAATTCAATCTTCATTATCGGTATGGGCTGGCTTGCTTTCACCAGCATGATGATAGAAATCTCTGTCTACTGCAGCTACCCTGTCTAGATCCTTGCTTGTGTCTTGCAGGGCCTTGGTCCCGCCTTCACTGTGCCTAATGCACTCGCCATCATTGGCAAATGCTTCCCACAAGGCCCTCGAAACATGGGGTTCGCATTGTTTGTAGCATCAGCCCCAGTCAGTGCAATGGCAGGTCCCATGTTTGGGCCTCCGTTCACCATGGCTTGGTGACCTTGGATCTACTGAAACCAGGATTTGGGGGCCGCCTTTCTCTTCATCTTAGCTATAGTTGCAATTCCAAATATGCCAGTCGAAGGTAAGCAAAAAGCAGGAACGAACAATCCGCGAAATTCTGGGACGCCTTGATCTCCTGGGAGGTGTGACCGGTGTGACAGCTCTGGTTCTGTTCAGCTTCGCCTGGAATCAGAGCCTGGTCACTACGTGGGACAAACCGTACGTCTATGTTTGCATCATCCTCAGTCTCTTGTTCCTAGCGGCGTTCTTTTATATAAAACTTCGCCTAGCTTGCTATGCAATCCTTGCTGTCGCCGTTCTCACTTCCGACATTGCCTTCGTCTTTGGTTGTACAGCAGCGGGCTGGTCCACATTTGGCATCTGGGAAAGTACGGATTTTGGCCCCGAAATTATTTCAAACTAATGATGTGTCTAACTTTTCTTCGTCATCCGTATATGTCTCAATATCGGCGGCCAAACTCCCATTTGACTGGTTGCATGGCTGTCTCCTATCCTCGTAAATGGCATGTCAACAGCATCGGTCGTTGACAAAATTATCAACAAGGTTCCCGCCTCGTCCATTATGTTGTTTGCAAAGCTTTACTACTTCCTCACTTCTCTTCTCATGGCCTTGCGACCCGTACTGGACCTACTTCTTTTTCGCCACCATTATCGCCAACTTTGCAATGGATTTATCGTTGCCTGCTGCCACGATAATGTTCTCGAATTCAGTGTCTCGGCAACGCCATGGTACGGGATCCAGTGTGATCATGACGATTATGGTCTACAGTATATCGCTGGGTCTTGGTTTCGCTGGTACCATTGAACTTCAGATCAGCAATGGTAGACACCGAGGCAGACTTGTTTCATGGTTAACGGGATAGTCTCTGGTTTTCTGTCGGGTTGACAGCATTTGGCACTGTTCTCGCCCTCATCTTTATACACAAAGAGATTCGAAGACAAAAGCTGGCCAAGAATCAAAAGGAAGAGGAAAGGGCTAATTCAACGGATGTTTGAATGGTTGAAGAGTCGATCACTCATTGATCAGTCTTTGACAATGCCTCCGACATTACGTATTACATGGTAATACACAAGCTCATCAACTATAATTGGGAGGGATATGAGTGCTATAGAACCACGTATGGGGAACGCATAAGGACAAAGGGCGCTAAAAATTAATGTAGGACGGTGTCTCATAGCACTCATCCGATATGGTGTAAGTCGAGGTGACGGCAGAAACACCACGAATGTGCGTGGTTTTGCAGGGCAGAATCGTGGGGTTTCCGTTTAGCACAGCTTCCCGCCTAACGACAAGCCGTGAGGGCTCACTGACAGTCTTTCTCACAAGACTAGGTTACCCAATTCATAGTTCACTACCGAGCGGCAAAACAAGGTTATTCTCATCACGTTAATACTGCGCATGTACGAGTTCAGAGGATCACTCATAGGAAGGGTATATGGGCGGAGACCCACTTTCAAACATGACTATTAATCAAGCACCCAGGACTTGGTCAACCCTCAGCAGCAGCTATCTCAGCAACAGCTACCTTCGCTGAATCCGCATATCTGTGGGACAATCGTTTTGATGAAAGCTCAATCCTTCGAAGACTTCAAAGATGTCACCACGAAGAGACTGTACGGGGCTTTCATAACGCATGCAGTATGCTTGGCCGTCGAATATCTTCCCTAGGTCTTCACCTAAACCTATTTTAGATGTACATCTCCTACCGAAATGACTTTCACTTGTTCAATGACGAGTTTCCACTTACAATATGCGAGTTTCCCGAGGCTCACTTCCTTCTCCGAGAAATTAAGAGCAACAATATTCTAGTGATAGAAAACATTGATAGAGTCGAGGAGGACGTGTTTCCTTGGCCACAAAGTATACCTGCAGATCACGCGCCCGAGACCGTTCAGCTTCATCCAGACGCGGTTGATCCTGGGTCATCCACGGCTCTTTTATTCACGGCATACTGAGCAGCAAATGTCTGGGCGTATCACCGCGCCGTACGCATCCTCGCCAACGATCTGCGTCTATGGGCGAATTATTTGATCACACCCGCTATTTTCGGCGAGTCCACATCGCTCAGCCTCGTCAATTGACATTTAGGGTCAAAGCAGCGCACGCGCAGATCTGTTATTGTGCTATAGACATTTGTGCATTAATGCCATATAATCTGGTGTATTCTGTGCGGGGTTCTGACGAGCTGCAGTACCCTAAGGAGGGCTTTCTGAACGGCCACTACTCGCGAACGTCAGCCTGTAACGTCGCATGGCCTCTGTATACAGCGGGTATCATGAATGGGCTGAATTCGTCACAGAAACCTTGGATAGCTCGTCAGTTGGACTTCCTGTCTATCCATGTCGATGTGAAGCAGGCTTCTACGCTGGCGATGGTGCTGAAGAATCGCGTAGTTGGCGGAAACCAAAAGTTTACATTGAAAAACCGCTTCGTAAGTTAATTGAAAGCAATTCAGGCTCTGTGGGTCTAAGATCCTGCAGATTGTCGTTGTAGCTTCCCTGTCTCTCAATTCGACGCTAAGGTGGCTTGCGAGACGATAATGGAGATCGACCCGTTTTTCGCGGTGGCTATTTAATATTACAGATCAATCTGAATCCACGACGCCGCAGCACCGAAATCTGTAATTAACAATGATCAATCCAATCGCATTTGGTTATTTCCACCTTTGAAGCATTTGCATGATTTTTGTTTCATTTCCTCACAATTGTCATCTGAAGGTGTGCGCAAAGACATTGGCTCGCAAGGTCGAGGTTACGGGCCAACCACCGGTTGATGCCAGGTCAGCTAATGGTCAGGCCGGTCTCCTCCCTTTAGATAGCTGTTGGGCGCCTAGAGGCGCCCGACCCCGTCAGGGAATCAAACCAAGTTTCCTTCCCCTTACTCCTCCTGAGCTTAGGCTACAGTCGATGTACGGTATTGTCCGAAAGCGCGTCACGAAACTTTGGCTGACAAGTCTGGGCATAGCATTATTTCCGCCATCAAATCGATAAAGCCGTGGAGAATGATGCGTCTATGCAGCGTTTCTGGATTTCTCGATCAAGATTCGAAAATTTTATTCGTTCTCAGTTCATTTGACTATCGTTCATGTATATTGCCCTTGGTCCAGTCGCTTGATCAATGTCCATCGAGCCCATATTCATTATCAACTGCTATTCTCTGCATAAAATATGAGTCGCAACTATGATGACCTTATTTGGAAGTTTGCAGGCGCTATTGACAACGACATCATCTCGGACTGTTAGCGCTAGAAGGCCCAATATTGTTGTTGTTTTAACAGACGACCAAGATCTGTACATGGACTCGTTGTCTTACATGCCAAATGTTCAGAAACATCTGATTGACCAGGGAACTTACTATCAAAGCATTACTGCACTGTGTCAGTCATGAGCTATACTCTATGTTTGTTTTCATCTACTCGCAACAAGCAGTCCGCTGTGCGCCCGTCTTGAGTGAGCACAGCACAAATGTTACTGATGTTGAACCACCTTATGATATGTCATTCTCAGCTATTTCGAGACTCGAAGTGCTCATAAATTACAGTAGGATACTGGCAGTTCATGAGCAATCCCTGAATCAAAACTATCTTCCCGTCTGACTCCAACAATTCGGATACAACACCTAAAGCACAGGCAAGCTGATGAATTTCCACCACACTTCCAACTACTACAACCCTTTGGCCGCAGGATGGACATTTTCTGACTTTCTTCTAGATCTGTATACGTGAAACCGCCTCGAAAGCGCCTGGCAACGCGACCGAAGCTCGCCGAAAAGCGCCACTAGACAATATAGCGCTGATCTTCTTGCGGAGAAGACATATGCGTACATCGAAAAGGGAGCTAGCTCAGATGCTCCTTTTTTCGTGGCTCTGGCACCAGTTGCACCACATGCGAACGGTTGATGTCAATATTTCTGGGTCGAATGTGCCGTATACCTCCGGGGACCCAATTCCCGCTGAGGGTCACAAGTCCCTGTTTTCGAACATTGTTGTTCCTCGGGCTACAAACTTCAACCCTGATGTTATAGGTCAGCCCCGAGATGAGAAGCTCGTGAAATTTGAACGGACAGTGGTTCTTTCAAGTCAAGTGGTATAAGCTGGGTTGCACAACTTCCGCAGCAGAATCAGACCGAAGTCGACTACAATGACGGCTTTCATCGCAACTTTCTCCGAGAACTGCAGGCTGTCTATGAGATTGTTGACGGGATCTTCCAGAAAATTGAGAGTTTGGGAATTCTTGAGCACACATACGTTGTCTACTCATCCGAAAATAGGTTTCGCGTCGGCCAGCCAGCGCCTTCTATAGCCGGGCTAGCGATGCAGCTTTAAAAAAATTTATTAACATCCCGTGGATAATTCGCAGACCGCGGGTTCTACAGGAAAAAAATGATGGAAATTGTGACGAAGCATACAAATCTTGCGCCGACATTTTTGATATGTTGGGTATTGACCTGCGCGATGGCTTTGGTGAAGCGCCTATTCCGCTCACAAGAGCAGATGTCGACGATATCATAAGTACAAGGTATGAAAATCTTAATGTGGAGCATTAGGGGATAGTGAACTCGGAGGGAATGTATGGATGTCATTAGTCGCAGGGAGGAAGTGCAATGCCCGTGTAAAGTTTTGACAGAACTTTAACGAGCTGTACAGCCAAGAAAAATCCAGAAAATACGTACAAAGCTCTGCGATTGGTTGGGAAAGAGTACAGTCTTTATTGATCGGTGTTTCGTGATAGCTAGCATTAGTTATGCAAACCCAGTTACTGTTTCAGAAGATTGTGTTGATGGCTGCCCCAGGCTGACCCTTACCAAACGAATAATCTGGTTCTTTTTCTCACTCGAATACCAGGAGGTCCAGGAGATTGCTACCTCTGACCTCAAGAGGGTTGTCTGTCGGCTTGGTCAAGCCTGCGTCAAACTATGGGCTGTCCTCCACCCCCGCAAGGCAACGTGAAGAACTTGGAAGAAGTCCTCGATACCAAGTACAATGCATTCTACATTAGTATTCTCAGTTAAAGACTAATTTTTGAAAAGAAGGAAAGCGTTAAGGAATATAATGCCTCTTATATATAAACAGATAAGGATAATCATAAAGCGAATTGAATATAATATAACACCGTGACGTGAGAAATAAGTAGGAGAAGGTCATGAAAAAGCACAATGAAACGAGAGGGAATCATGTTTAATCCATGGATGTGACGGAGTTTATCCGTTACACTAATTCTTATACAGAGGAAAAGCATTGTGATAATGCTTCTTTTCTATTCATAAATAAATAAGTGTAAATATGAGCAAATTAGATATGATGAAACATTGTGATGTGAGGGATAATATCATGATGAGTAAGAGAAGGATCTATGAATCATGACACGAGGGCGAAACCTTCCTGAATTATGAGCGTGACGGAGTCTATCCGTTAAATAATATAATATTTAGTTATACTAGAAGAGTATAGTAACCTAGGTATAGAATAGAACCGACGTAAAAGATAGTAGGTTATCTTTTATGCGTGAAACCTTTCAGAATACCTGATCTTGACAATACTTGAAGAAACTTACACTATGAGAACAGATTCCGAGGAGACGAGCAAGTAGTATTTGCCTGTGCATAGTCGAAGGCATCCAGATACCCCATCAACTGGATCACAGCGGCGCATACCACCAGAATGTGGAAGATCGAATGGGAGCCGAATAGGTCGAATTTGCCAGGATATTTACTTTCAGGAAATCTGGTCTTCAGAACCACATGTGTTAGGGTCAATTTCTCTATAATGTGCAAAATTGGGAGACTTACTGCATAAAACGAAGTCCCAGATAGAAGGAAGCCTGCTTTTGCCAGAGTATAAGGAAGAGCTTTTCTCATCATCTGCGATATGCCGAACACATAGAGTCCATGGATCAAAGGGGCAACACCGGACAAGCCAGTCGCCACGAACATCAATGCTCGGAAGAGGCGATACTTTGGACCCTGGAACTTGGGATGCATTGTCATGAAGATGGTCAACGTCCCAAAAACTCCAATCTAACAATCAAGGAAAGAATTATTAGACACAAGTATCAAGGCCAAGATAAGGAAAAACAAAATTGTGCACACAGGGATTAACTAACCATAGACCAGTAGATATTACGCGGCAAAGGTTCACACCAGAAAACCATGTATATTCCCAATATCAGGTCGCCCAGTATGAAAATCACTATACCCAGCATGTCTAGTCGCAGGCAGAAATGTTCCATATGTTGGGAGTGGTTCATCAAGGTGTGGTACGTCGCCGACAACGACAGGCACGTGACGGCCGCCAACATGAAGATAGAGAAAGTAATAAAATCGGCGCCAGTAAACCCAGGGTATCTGCTGGCAAAGTACTGCTGGATATACCACTCGCCAAGCAGAAATAAAATGGCCGGGATGAGGTGCGAATAGATGTTAACTGACTCGTTATGGATATACGACCAACTGCAGAACGAAGCGTGAGCCGAGCCTGAGATAGGCCGATAGCCACGGAGAATCCACTGGTTAGATTCACGTTGGAACCATTCCGGCATTTCATCGAACGATAGAAGAGCTGGGCTTCCTGCCTTGCCGGACTTGGATGCGTTGTCGCTGATAGGTTCCATTGCCCGCCCTGTGTACGTTTCTGGCGGCTGCGGGGGCGGAACTCGAAAACGGGGAGCGGATGCCATCTACCGTCGTGCCTGATAATGATGCAATGTGGGGAGACCGGAATTTGAAAGGAAGTGAAAATGCAAGATGAAGAAAAAGGTGTCTCGCTTGTTTTGTTTCTTGCACTACTGCCTTTTTATTCAGTTGTTCTTGCTAAGCGCCAGCCTTTTTCGCCCCCACATGCAGCAACCCGGCACGACACATTCAACGCCACGATCGTCCTGAAAGAGGGATCCAGCAGGACGCAACTGGAATCAAGAAGTGATCAGGGTATCCAGTAGCCTAGAAATATCTAAAGATCATTTTTAACAACAGCCTGGACCCATATCAGGCTTTTGAATAGAGTTCTTGACCCTGCTGCTGTACACGATCCTGGCACGTGATTGCACCACTCCAACCTTAGAACAAGTCTTGCTAATCTATTCATTGCTGACCGCACCTTTTCATTACCTTTTACAGCTCCTACGGCTTGCGTGTGTGCGACGGGATCTGCAGAAACCAACTAAATCGGGTTGTTTGAGCTAGGATGGTCAGCATTGAGTTTTGTAATTGGTCCTTGCGATAAAAGTGGGGAATATATATATCCCCTGTACCGTTACGGGTACTCGTCCGTGCTCGGGCCGTTCTCCATACCCTTCTACCGGTGATTAGCCGAGCACGTACTTGTACGGTGCGCCTGCTAGTGTTTTGGGGGCGGCCCACTCGCCCGTGCGGCATATCCGCCCGTGGGGCCTATCCGTAAAATACGTTAACTCTCGAGGTCCTAATATACAGCCGACTGGTGGTAAGTGTGATAAATTATGGATCCACTCATGATACGCTAGTTGCCCAACAGGAACGCTGTCTGTTTCTCAACTACCGTTCCCACTGAGGCAATATATATATGCAGATCCCGGTAGCTAGATACAGCAGTATGCCAGTGTGCCGTTGCCAAGTTAGAAAGAAAGGTCAATTTCTCTAATTTGCTTAAGGCTAAAGACATAATAGCTCAAAATACACGCAAATGGCCGATCTACACGATAATATCCGTTCCATACAAGGGGTACTTTTGCGGGACAGCAGAAGTCATTGTACTAAAAGTCGCCCCTGCATAGGCAGCGCTTAGTGTCTCGCGCCAGTTGGAGTGCGGCAATTTTGCCATTGGCTGGGATAAGATCAGTCAAGCCCAAAGGAAAGGAACGCACAGCAAGAAGAGGAAAAAAAATGTGCCCCCCCCCCCCCAACTACGCACTCCTCGAAATCAACTCCGCACACCGAATTGAACCCCATCAGGAACAGTATCAGCCCACCCACATTAGCTGCGCCAATTCCCATACAAGTGGCACATCATTACTTCGAGTGACCTCTGCAGTCCTGTGCATTTTTGGGACGATGCTGAGTTTCTAGAATATTACGCGCATTCTTATGGGTGCGTCAAGCTACCAATCAAACAAGGCGTACAGCAGCGCCTATGCGATGGGATAGATAGGCTCTGGATCAGCGTTCTCCTTTGGCTTGTGTGTAAGCGACTTACTATATCTTACCAAGTTTTTCGCAACACCCTCATTATCGTTAGCTTATGCCACCCAATCTGGTTAAAATTACCGCAAGTAATACTATCAGTTACAACAGGCCTTCATTCAAATCATCGTAGCGACTCCTTCATACACAGTACGTTACGGGATGTGCTGGATGTAATGCTAGTGCGTGAGCAGCATATGTCGCGAAACTTGGTGACTTACAGTACGTAAGCCCAGCCATACCTTGATTTCTTGATGCCCTTTAGAATGCATCCAATCAAAGTCTCAAAAATCCTGGTCTACATATAAAAGCTGTTGCAATATCTCTTTCTCGCAGCCACTACTTCGAGGCGCTTAACCCCAAGAAGAAGGGAGAATCCTAACAGGATCGTAGATCAAGCACGCCAAGTCGTCTTGAGGTTCTGGGTCTGAATTTAGCATAGCCTGATCCGACACAGCCTGAGCTTATCAATACACAGCTCGTTTCTGCTGATCGACAAATGTTCTTCCGGCCAAAGAATCTGTGTGAAACCTTCAAATCAATCAATTTGAATGCGCGACCATGGACGGCGAAACTCATTCTCAAAGCCTGTTGCAATCCGTGCTTGGATTATTCGCTCGAAAACAACCGCAAAAGTCGGCAAAACCGGCGTCACTGAGATCACGGAAGCGCGAGGCCTGGTTACGGACGGATGCATTTCTGCAGCGCGACGATATTGGCGAGGCTGACCCAGAGAGCGTTGCAAGGACTCTGCGCGCATTTGAAAACCTTGTTCAAGACGACTCTGATCAAGAGATAGATTTCGTAGGTATTCTTGATATATAGCAAACTCCATCTTTTCGGTCTGTTGGCCTCTCACATCCTGCCTACTAACGACAGTTCACGAAGCAGAACTTCCAAACCCCCGGAAACGAGCGCTATCCGAAGCTTCGCCGCATGATCGAGAATCCGAATCGCGATCCGCATGCCGACTCAGGCACTGTCATTCGTGTTACTAAACGGAGACGAGAATGCGACGATGCTATTCAGGAACTTTTTCATTTGGAACAGGAGGGAAAGAAGCGCCGAGTTCTGCCTCGTGAAGACCTAAATCATGAGTCCAATCTCGAAGACCCCGATGCCGACTTCGCCGTTTTGATGAGGAGACATTTGGTGTCCTTGGACAATGCGTTGCGAAAACACTGGGTTTGCATTTGCCAGAAATGCTCAGGGTTGAGCGTGAGACTGTCGCCACCACAAAACAAAAAGGATCTTGAGGCTGAGGCGAGTTTCGAAGTATTCTTCGGCGTGCGCTCCATGCCTGCAACTGCATTGCAAGAAGCTAAAATCACGGTCAAGTAAGCTCTTCAAGCTTTGTGTGATGACTTCTATTCGCTAACACTGGGTGCAGAGATCTACACAACAGCTCATTGAGGCGCTTCTCTGAGCCTATACTTAGCAGCCCACCCGACTTTGCTCACATATGCCAAAGCATCACAGAGTCCCTTGGTCAACGAAATTGCTTGCATTTTACTCTCGAGGATGGATTATTTCAGAAGCTTCGCCCGCAGCCAAAGACATTTGGTAGTGACCGGGTGTCTCAGACAGTCTCCTTGTCGGCATTTTTCAATCGCCAGCAAGAATTACTTCGTGGTGAGTCGGTACTGCCGCTCAAGGGGAAGCGAATTTTGGCTGTTACACTGGCTTCAGCACTTCTTCCTTTTTTGGAGACACCGTGGCTGCAATTTTCCTTCAATCACTCAAAGATTCAGTTCTTTGAGCCACGGCAGGATGGGGAACTCCCCAACATCACGAAACCTTTCCTGGCTTTAGAACACGTTCCAATCATCTCAGCCCGTGGTACAGACACCAGAGACAGCTCTGGGGCCATGAAACACATGGTTCATCCAAATGCCAGTGTGCTAGCGCTAGGCATACTCTTATGCGAGCTTCACTATTGTACACCTGTAGAGCAGATGGGACAGGACCCGCATGTCGCCAGGAACGTCAATGATGACTTTTATACCTGCCTCGATAAGCTTCAAACTCTGGAAGACGACGCTGGCGTGGATTACTATCTCGCTACGAAAGCATGCCTTACTGGGGAGTACTATCCCCTTGGACAGCACGCTGACTTCGAGGATGTCAACGTTCAGCGGCTTTTCTACCAAAACGTCGTCAAACGACTTGAGGCCGTGATATTCAAGGCATGGGGTATTCGGTTAGAAAACTTGGGTTCATTCGATTCTCGACAGAATTCATCCTGCTGGGGCTCAATCGGTCGAGAAGTTGTCCGCCTCCATACAGGCAAGGTCGATTCCTCTAATACAAACAATACAGCCAGAGAAAGTCAGCATCGCTCAATGTCTGACGCCTCGCTCGTGAGCTACGCATCCCTTCACTCAGATATCATGCTACGGATATCGGCACAACCTTCTTCTGAATCGCGAACCCACAAATACCCCCCGGAGCCTTCAAAAAAGAGCTTTTACTTTTTTGATGCATGCCACCAGACGGGTGCTGAACAAGAGTGAGGTTTATCCCATTGGATATAAGATTTCGTCGTGCTAAAGAATTGCCAGAAATTCACTCTCGGAAAAATGGATGGACAATCTGCTGTCCTCGATCTATCCCTATGTTAACCCTGATTTTGACCTTGCCGAACCGGTACGAATAGCGATTTTGGACTCGGGACTCGATCCAGAAAACCCATTCCTGGTCGAGGACCAACAAAGCGCCAACCCACGAATCAAGGAAGCACGAAGTTTTGTACATGGAACAGAACCCCACGACATTCGAGACGAGATCGGGCACGGCACTCATGCTCTTGGCCTTCTTCTCAAAGTTGCGCCAGGCGCTGAGATCTATGTAGCCAGGATTGCGCGACGAGAGACTCTAGATCCCAACACCTACGATGACATTGCAAAGGCAAGACTATCTCTTTACGATAGCAGACTTTTTGGACTGAGCTAATGACCTGTGTAGGCCATTGATTATGCAGTTAATCAATGGAAAGTGGACATTATATCAATGTCATTCGGAATTCGTGAATATCACGAGCTCATGAGCACGGCTATATCTAATGCGTTGAACAAGCGAACGTTGTTGTTCGCGGCAGCATCGAATGATGGAGCAAATCTTGGTAGAGCTTTTCCAGCTCAATATCCCAGCGTCTTTTGTATACATTCAACCGATGGAAATGGTAATCCCTCCAATTTCAACCCTACAGCAAGCAAAACGGACGTCAACTTCAGTCTACTTGGGGAGTATGTCTCCTCTCACTGGCCGGCTGGCATGAACGGACACGATCAAACTGTCAATGTTATGTCAGGAACATCGGTCGCAACACCGATCGCGGCCGGCCTGGCCGCGTCGGTTCTATCTTTTGTCCGGCAAGAGGATCAGCGCATCGCTGTAGAAAGCGAGAGGCTGGGCCCGTGGCTAAAAAGGGACAATTCCATGGATGCGGTCTTCAAGAGTATGGTCAAACAGAAGCGAGGGGCGGGCTACGACTATATCACGCCTCATGTGCTCTTCGATAGCGGTTTGACAAGGGAGAATGTTTACGGGAAAATCAAGGATATCAAAAGGAACATGTACAAGTACTAGTAGCCTAGGAATAGTTTACTCAATTTTCAATCACACAAGGCTCACTGATGTCTATCTCGGTTGTCGTCCAAGACTCGTTTAGCATGATCTAGCGGGAACGCAATAGACGTTGCCGCTTTCGGTCACATCGGAAACAGTCTCAGCTGTCCTAATATCAGCTCCATCCACGTCCTCAACCAAAACACATTCGTCGTCATCTTTCTTCCCGCCAACGGTCATAAAGGCGCCCTTATTGTACTCTTCAAGCTTCAGTCTCCGCCCAAATTTGAGCCTCTTCACACGGAATGCAAATACAAATTCTGACTCGCAATTGGACTCCATCGCATCATCATTCGTGCTAGTCCAGTGGCCTTTAGGTCCAAAGGTTATGCCTAGCGCGGTCACATCGATGCCGAGGTTTCCCTTGACGATCATGCTCTGTGAAGTCGAGTATTTGATTTTGGCGCCTTTGACAAGCTTTATACCCGTGACAACGAAGAGCTCGCTGACAAGTGCAAACTTCTGCCGGGGCTCTCTCCGCCATGTCTGCACGGCCGGTGCCTTGACAGCCTCTTCCACGTATTCCTGCGTCGGCTCGAACGCCAGTGTTGTCACCGTGTCGAACGCGAACGTATTTGCCGTTTTGTTCGAATGCTCAACACTCACCTCGGATCCAAGGGGCATTCCACCGGTAGCCATCTGCAAGAACTGTGCATAGACACCCAAACCAAGCCCTGTCTCGGTTGAGACTGTCTTTTTCCAGTCGGTCTCCACGATAGGTGGGAATGGATCAGCTACGGCAACAACGCTTGCTCTGTTCAGAGGGTATTGCGGAGCCGATGTGGAGCGAATTATAGACCCAAGACATAGCGGGCCTGTTGGTGGTGGAGATATAAAATCGGACGTCGGACACAGAAAATATGTCTTGGTCAAGGACATGCTTTATGGTTCAGGTTCAGCTATTGGGCTCTCGTTGGGACCGAGTGAAAAGATCGAAGGAGCTGAAGAAGAGTGTGTTGAGAGAGGCTCGGTTTCAACAGGCACTGCCCGGCGTCTAAAAATCACTCAAGTGCCCCTGGGTCGAAATCCCCTTTCTTCTCATTTATTCCGTCACACTGCTAGACCGGCCAAGCTCGCAGGCTCGCAGGCCAATCAAGTAGTGCATGTTGATCTGGCCAGAATACAACAGCCGAGCCGTTGGTTGCGAGCGGTCAGCGCACTTCGTAACTGTACCGCTGCTTACAATATATTGCGATAAGCTGATACTGTATAGCCTAGTATGCATGCAACACCAATACATGTTAGATTAAGCGGGACCGATTTGAATGAATATGGTTGATTGATTCGAGAAAGATTCTTAGCATGAGGAAATGTTGAAATGTATCCGACACATGCCGATTCCCTAATTACACACAATAATCCAATGAATGCAGGCCCATGTAGAACCAATGAGTCGATAGCGGTAAATTAGCGCTCCATATTTCGACCTAGTCGTAACTCATTGTGAGAAGAGGCTGAGGTGGCGCATGAACTCCATAACTCGACGGCACCCAAGACACATGCTGCTTCCACATTACCTGATACTTTGAATTTGTTCGATAATTCCATAGCCTCGGTCGCGATTTGCTTACCCACGGCTTTTTGGTCGTCCTTTCTATACAAAGACCAGGATCGGGCCTCCTGGATCTTTGCCTCACTCAGAAGGACTTGCGTCCACACGCACTGCGCCCTCTGACCATGGAAAGTCTCGAACGCGCGGGAGAGGAGTTCATAGAAGATGTTTTCCTCCAACGTGATCTTAGCCCAACCATCGCAGAGCATGCGACACAATGTCGGTCTCTTTTCCACAAGTACATGGTCATGGCGAAAATCGTCCCGGATCCTACAGTAATAGACGATCAGCTGGCGCGCTTTTCTCTATGGGCATCAAACATGGATGTTTACGGGCCGCCCAATGTCTCACTGGACTACAGACTCCGATTCAGTCCCATAGCCGCGGATATTATACACCAACTCCTAGATATTATTCACGACACCTTGCTATCTTGTGAGTGCTTTACGTACCACATTCGGATAGATTGAAGACCAAGGCTAATGGGAGTCTCGACAACAGTGAAGCCAATCGACGACCAAGCACCACAGATTACGAGCAGGAAGAGGCAACGCATTTCAGCACATGGCAATTCGGGAGTCACGAGGAGAGCTGACGGCGACACAAGCGATTCAGAAAGCGATATTGATCTAGCAGAATTAAACTTGTTGAAGATCACCGAGACAATCGGCGGAACATTGACGCGGCTCTTCCGTCTATCCAACGCCGTTAGAAAGTCCGCTAAAGCCAACCGAGCTCGCAAGATCGAAAGATACAGGGACGACGAAGAGGCAAACAAGGCCATAGATGAGTTGCGTCTCTATACCAAATGCTATATTGAATTTCGATTCCCGGAGGCGCCGGAGGCGCTCCGCTCAGCATTGATTGAAGCCAACGCGCTGCGACTTCGACGGCTATATTATCAACGCTCCCATCGAAGGCGAATTAATCTGAGTGTTCAGAGCCCGGAAACGATTCCGGCCGTTGTTCAACTCCCCCAAAACAAGGGGAGTGCGCCAGCTGTGCGGTTTGTACCGAGCGCGCTACCAAAGCCTTCGAGGACCAACAAAATTCCGGCCCTTTCGCCAGCGCCAGCAACGAATGCGACTACTGCTCAACAAACCGCCGCTGCGGCCTTCTACGCTAAATCTGCAACTGAGGTTCCCCGGGCTAAATCTGTTCTCGTGAATAACAAGTTGTCGTTCCCTCCCATACCGCCGACGCAGCAGTGTCCATACTGCGGCGTCATTGTTGAGTTCAGGAACACTGCAGGATCATTGCTATGGCAGTAAGCAGATCATTTCTGTCGCTTCAGGGGAACACATAGCTAACATGCACCAGAAATCATGTCATCGGAGACCTGGAGCCTTTTATTTGTATCTTTTCACAGTGCCTAGAAGGAGGTCACCACGGGCACGGGACCGGTCCGCTCACATTTGAAACGTCGAAAGCCTGGTACAGCCACATGCAGACTGCTCACGGGCATACATGGGAATGTAGGGCTCCTTCACACGATCCAGTCGTCTTTGACCAAGAGATCCAGTACCAGGCGCATTCCATCAAGGAACACGGCGTGCCTGAAGCGCATGCCGGGATTCTTAGCAACGCCGCACGGAGGACAGTCCTCGATAAGGTGCTGGAATGTCCATTTGGCGACAATTTTCAGCCTTCGGGAAAGGTCGAATCCAGCGCTGTCTTCTCGAGTGAAGCTCTCCAGTCACACGTCTCCAGTCATATGAAGGAAATTGCCCTGCTTACACTGCAAAAGTTTCCCGGCGATATTGACGAGAACGCGGAGAACGTCGGTAGCGACCAACCGTTAGAAGATGATGGGCTGGCCGGGGCTTTTGGATTTCCACGTGCATCCATGTACAGCGTACTGGACGGCGAGGACCTGGATTTCCAAGACGATGACGATGAGGCTGCCAATGGCAACTTGGAACACCGCGAAGTGGACATCAGTGCACGGATTACAGTACTCGGCCTAGAGGATAAAGACGACTTGGGGTTGATGAAGCTTCACCACGCGGTGCAGGCCGGCGATCTGGGCTTGGTTCAGTCCTTGATTCAGAGCGGCGCAAGTGTAAATTTTAGGGACGAGTATGGCCAAAGCCCCTTGCATTACGCTGCGGAGAGGGGCTTCATCGAGTGCATGGAAGTCTTGGTCAAGCACGGCGCGGATTTACATATCATTGACAACTCTGGATTCTCCCCCTTTCTCTGGGCTGTGGTTGCCGGGCAAGAAGGCGCCACTACAGGATTGTTGTTCATGTACACTGATGCCAGTTCATTCAGCGCGGATGGAAAATCTGCGCTCGCTTGGGCTGCCAGTCTGGGATGGTCTCCGACTGCTGAAATGCTTGTTAAACACGGTGCCAGCATATCTGATACCCGAAATATGCAGCAAACTCTGCCTTTGAAAGAAGCGGCAGCTTCTGGCAACCTTCCCACTGCTCGATTGATTCTCGAATATGGTCAGGATCCGAACTATCGTGATCGCGACGGTTGGTCCGCGATACATTGGGCAGCAGAGGAGGGCCATCTAGAAATTGTGCGTTTGTTGCTGAATGCCGGGGCCGACCCCAATGTGGTCAGCTCTTACGGTACGTCACCACTGCACTGCGCTGCAAATGGAGGGCATGTTTCCATTGTGAGCTTGCTCCTACAGCGAGCCGACCCCCTCAAGTCAACGTGCCACGGCTGGACTGCGCTACATCACGCCGCCTTCATGGGACACTCTCATGTCGTCCAGTGCCTCTTAGAAGATGAACGTATACGATCCACTGCCTCTCAGCAGGACAATCACGGCTGGTCCGTTCTTCATTTGGCCATCCACAGTCGAGATCTTGCCACTGTCCGTATCCTGCTCAACAGATCTGTCATTGCAGAGCCTCAGACCATGTTCGACGACAGCGGCCTCTCTGCGGAAGAATGGCTGGATCGTGAACCGACAAGCCATTCCCAGAATGCCACCGGCAGTTTAGCGTTCAGCAAGTCGCGCTGTTGCCGGGCCGTCACAAGCCTTCGTCAAGCTGTTACCATAGGCAACGTCCCCATGATCAAACTTCTGTTCAAATTGGGTCACGACATCAATGGCATGAACTCTGGGAGGAGGACTGCGCTCTATTATGCTGCGAAGAAGGGCATGCTTGCCGTCATGGATCTACTTCTTGACCTGGGTGCGGATCCCAACATTCTCCCCGCGGGGCGGAAGAACTGGGAAGAATTCATTTCGCCTGGTGACGTTTTACTGCGGCTTAACCGAGCGGGATACTGGAAGCGAGATACCGACCCTGAAGTGGAGCGCCAAATTCGTCAGGCGCTCAAAGTGCAAAGTCAGCCGTTTGATCACCCAGCCTGGTTCGTATCGGACGAGTCGACTTCACCAATGCCGGACCAATTCGTCCCCCGTAGACCGGACCAACCGTCC